GCTTTTGTCCGTGTAAAACAACTTCGTACTTATTGGAATCTCAAAGCGCCAATTATATATTTTATTTGTAAATGTTAATTTCCAGTTTTCATGCCACGCTATTCTATGCCAAAGTTTTTGTGGGAATGAGGCATTTTTCCCTTTTACAAAGTCAGCAAAAAGTGGTCGCTTCCAAGACATCTCTTACGTGCGTACATGTGTCGTGTCAAAAACAAAGCCTCCGTTATGTTGGCCAGTCGTCGTCGGGGTGTTTTTACTTTCCTTTTCATGCGTGATTTTATAGGGTACAGAATTCCTTCCATTGTTTGGAGTCATATAGTAATTGAGAAGAAAGAGAGGAGCCCATGCAGCATCGGTAATATTTCAATTACACCCAACCACACACGAATGGATGTGTGAGAATAATGGAACATTTTCCTGACCAAAGGGCAAATTATATTGGTGGTGGTGATTAACAGAAGCCGACGATGCCGAATTTTTCTTCTTGCTAGTTAAAGAAGAAGCTCTAAATGTAAACCTGACCACAATCCAAAATCCACCCCATGGTCACTCCAACTCCAACCACGAACCATTTGCAGATTGGCAAGAATAAGGTGCAAGTTATGCCCAGCATTTACAATGCAATGCAACAACTCTGCCACTTATTGATGAACAGCCGGAGCACAATTACAACCATTTATCATCACGCAACAAAGACCAGTTCAACAATTCAATTTGACTTTCAACTCACTGGAAGCCGAATTTGAATCGTGGAATAATTTCAATTAATTCTTAAAGTTCAAAGTCCTTGCTTGTCTATGTTCATGGGCAGGTTTAAAAGAGAACACAGGGTCCGACTGAGAGGAGGACATGCAGACGGACAGACACAGGGTCCAGCCGTTATCAGATTGGCTAAAGGCAGCTAAAATTGCTTAATTGAAATCTCTGCAATTTTATTAACTTGTAGCTCAGGTAGTTATTATTACGCGATGAAAAATCATTGCCCAACCTGAACATTTGAATAGTAATAGGAGCACAGAATCTGATACGCTTCAGGCTTCTTTAAGAATTTCTAACAATATGCCTGCAACAGGTTATAAATCATTCAGTATCGTGATATTTAATGGAATATTTTCTTCTGCAAACTTTTACCAATCATAAAATCATCGTTTCAATTCAAAGATTGTCATCCAATTAAGCTGTGAAAATATCAAAATAATTTTGTGGTGATTGTGCATTTTGTCCCATTTCTGAATCGTGTTATAAAGTACGTAATCCTTCTCAGGGGAAAGAATATTTAAAATATCCAGTTACAGAGAACGACAAAAATTCAATTATTTACATTAGGCTGCTCATCCTTAAAATGTATAACAACGAGTTTAGATCTTAAAATTCTCAATCCGCAATTTAATCCGTATTGTATGCATGCAAAGGAAATGTAATCTCCTTCAAGCCAGTCAGCAAGTAAATTATAGTGAGTGGATTCAAATAACAGTGGTTGCTCTTACATAAATGCAGCGATTTGTGGACAGAGTTAAAGTTGAGTGAGATGAGAAGAAGCTGAGCAAAAAATTAAGCCACCTTCTTCATCATGTTAATGATTTAACTCCAACTGAGCGATTCGCATGAACTTGAGGTTCAAAAGAATCAAATTCAAGTTGCAGACGACTCGTAGGATTTATTTTGTATATCGAAACCTGAGTCAATTCCCATCAGATGAGTTCTTTTGAATTGAAGCCAACGAAGACAACAACCAGCGAGGTTTTACGTTGTGCAATGCAATCAAATAAAACTTGAAAAGATCAAGTTTGAAAATAAGAAAGCTAAATATCCTGTACAAACAGACGATCTGCAAAATTATCCGAGTTTGTACAAGTTATTTTACGGGTCAAAACTTACTGCTTGTTACAAAACTACTGAATTTCATACATTCCATGCAATTAATTACTCAGATATTTTGGTTGGGTGAATATTTTTGGCCGAGCACAGTGGGATAAAAATATAAATCCAACCACAGTTATTCGGTCAAACCGAGTGTTTCTGTGATGAATTAAAAAATATTATTACGGGAAAAGGAAATCCGACACGCATGGACGAGCATCATTAAAATTAATATCTACGAATGGTAATTGTCAAAATGATTACGTGAAGCTCGTCACCAGTGTTTGCTTTATCTTAAAAGCCGTGTCTCTTAAGCCGTGTGTCAGATTTCATAACGTTTCTTTAATCTCTCTCATTTAGATTTGAGACAGTGTTTTGTGCGAATTTGAGGTGGACCATGTGAGATTTTTGGCTTAGCGAATAACAATATATGTAAGATCTCTGGGCTGGTAGTATCACAGATTTCATGGTTATTAAAAACGTACATGTACAGTTTTTACTGTTTTGCAGTTTATGAAGTATGTATTATTAAGCAAGTCTTAAGTCACTTTATATTCCACATCCCTCTGACACATGTATACATGGTTGTTAAATACAAGGAATTTATATTTTCAAATTATCAAGTTATCAATCAGACTAACGAGACCCTAATATGGAAATGAGATTAGATATACGTCCTGCCTGATATATGCACAAAAGTGGAATGCGTGAAATTTTTTGTTTTATTAGTTTACCAGCTAAATATGCACGAAAGAAATGGAGACATGCCTTCTACAGTATTCACTCTTGGTCAAGTTGGCTTACCTGATGTGTCTATAATCCAGATTTTTCTGTCTGACTTTGGGTTTCCCGTCGTCGAATCGTATTCTACGAATAATATTGCGACAACACTTGGCACAGAATACAACTTTGTAAAATATTGTTGAAAATATTATAACACAAAGTTTTGCACTTTATTCCCCGTAAAGAATTTCTCGTAAAGTTGTACAGGCGTGATTCGTTTCGTGTTGGCGTTGTGCAATATTTATGTTTTATTTTTTATCATGCGTATCCCACACCACAAATTAACACGAGATGTCAATGATAACTTATTTTGCTATTAAACAACCCAAAAGCAAACGTCTGATAATTTTATTACGATTATTACTGTGACGAGAGCATGGTACGTAATATTCGAACGCAGTAGTCTCACCAGTTTCTCACATGGTTTTTTGTCACAAAACAAAGAAAACAAAGACGAGTCAGTACAATGCAATTACAATTTAAATATATTCACATATGAACGACACGCTCGGTTTGATACGGCATGAAAACGACATATGAGGCCAACCGTATGTCAAATTGTACGGAAGGAAAATTTCACTCCGTGAAATACACGGAAAGGTGAGTGAGACGATTTCTTGGTGATGCACACCTGTCCATTAACGAGCGGAAGTCGTTGGTCTTTGAGGACGCAGTCATACAAGATTCGACTGAAATAATAAGCAAGACTGCTGCCACCGAGCTACTCTTGTTTGCTACAAGGATACTGGTCCAGGAAATTAATACGGAATATTATTCGGAATACGAGCAAATATTACGCTATGTCTCCCTCCCTCCAACTTCTTCTGCCCTTGCCACTTGGTACCTTCTTCTTCTCTTGCAACGTACTACGGAAAGTTGTAAACTGTGTACAACGAAAGAGTTTTTTAGGTTGAAATTTCTGACACACAAAACAATGTGTTCCTTGCTATAATAATCCCTGGATTAATGTTCCCCAGATGGCCCCTGGTATACTGAGTCACCGTTTTGAAACAACCGTATTTTATCTATATGTTATCAATATATCTCATCACTGAACATTTTTTACTACGAACTTCACTTCAGGACCCAAATTAAGTCCCTCCCAAAATTAGAAGAAATATGCACGAGTTTTGATATGCTATAGTTGGCACTTGAGCGGATGAGGCAAGGAAGGAACGCCGTATTTTTTATTCCAATTTCTCAGGATGGAACTGATCGGTGACCACAAATTTGCCGTACAAACAGCCAAACTGTTGGATGAAGACTGCAGCAGCCTCGAGTAATAAGCAAGGACTGCTTTCGTTACACACCACCTTTACTACGACTACCTTTCCAAACAGGTAGGTCGGTGAAGTTAGGCTGGCGAGAGCATGCATGCGGCAGGTAAATTTTGAGAACTTGCCTTCATGATGGGATATGGGAAGAAAAAGAATGGTGAGCGAGTGTCAGTTGCTCGATGCTGCAGTTAGGAATAGGAACAGGTAGTAAATGAGATGAGACTGCAATTCTACGTAAGAGATGCGATGCGCTTACATATATTTACTGAATTGCTTGGGTAGTTGAAGGCGTCTTCGTCGTAGTTCTCTCTCATCTCCTTCTTCTCCCTCTCACCGAGTTATTTAAAAAAAAGTCATGCTTGTTCACAACAGAGTCCCACGAAGGAACTTTTTTTAGCTTTTTAAAGCCTGACGAGTGCCTCCAGGTCAGTAAATGCATGTCTGCTTGGCATTACATACACTTGAGCCTTGCGCCATGTAGAGCATTGTTACGCTAGGTTCCGAAGGCTTTCGAGATGAAGAACCCTTTATGTCCTTACATGTGCATGCATAGGAAGACAGACGAAAAGAAGATCAAGTCTGGTTTGTGTAAATGTGTTCAACTTGTTTGAAAAATAAAATGGCAAAGTCAATGATTCAACTATGGTCATATTTTTAATTATAACATATTTATGTATATTATAGCAAAGTCGTACCTATTTCTAGCCAAATGACACCATTATGATATTTATGCAGCACGAGATCAAATAACACTTTTTTAATTGTTTGTCTTCCCATTATGCTCGATTCCCACGTCTCATTCATGCACACAATTATAAATAGTTTGCGACATGTTTATACTGGAAAGTTTAGTTATCTCATCAGATTTTCGACGTCAGCATAAAGTTTCAATTAAATTTAGTGTTGTAATTCGAACCTACGCTATTTGCTGAAGCCATTTTTGCTTGCTAAATACTTTAGGCTGCTGACCATTTGTCTCAAGATTCGGTCTCAGACTACGAAATCTGATCCAGTTTGACGCCGTTAAGTTTATGCTACATATTTATGTCATTTGAATATGTACGTATTTGCTGAACTGATTTGTTAAAAAGCATTGCTCAGTCGTGCCTAGGACTTCAGCCTGATTCAATCTAAAAGTGATTATGTATAAGTGAATACTTAACAAAATGTTTGTAAATTCACTTGTTAATACCCTCGTTCGGGGGGAAATAAACACGGAGAAGGGAAAAGATTGGAAATTTGACGGTGTTCCACATAAATTCAGGCAAGTCCGATCCCCTTCATCAACCTTTATATAAATAAGCATCGCATAATTTGCGTCTCAAAATTCCACGATTTTATTACAAATTTCAGCTTTTCAGTTGAGAAAGGAATATATCTGGTGGGAGTGGACCTGCTTGGCCTGCCCCTCGACAGCAAGAAGGAAAAGGAGGCCACGACGGTATACTTAAGCGTCGTCGAGTCGGACATTTTGAGGAGGAGGAGGTGGGGGCGACCCATGACATTGATGCCATTGAAGGTATTCAACGTGGTTCTCGAGAAGGACAAGCTCACGAGGATCCACTTGCCGTTTCCAGTTCGGATTCAGCCTGAGGTTTGGGTGGATCTTGGCGTCCAGATCGAAGTGAGTTTTGAACTTGAAGAGACGAGATTTTTTGCAGAATAATGAGAACTATATTTAATTGGTTTCCACCGGCTAAGAAAAGTATATTTTTTTACTAGGGGACAAAGACGGCCATCATGAAAGCAAAGGGAGGCGACCAGATACTTGGAGATGACAAGATGGTGGTGTTTCATACCTTATTCAGTAGAAACACTCTTCAAATGCCACAAATACATTATTTGTTGGCCTGAGTTTCTGGGTTCCAAATTTTCCCAACTCTTGTAAATGGTATCAACATGAGAAATATCTAATGGTAGTGGTAGTAATATCCTCCAGCATGTAAATTCATAATACATTTCGTTCTGAGCCAGAACTTCTGACTATGAGATTTTATGAGACTTCTGCTTGTTATGAGTGACTTAACTTGATAAGCACTTTAATTTTAAAATGAATTTGCTAAATCTTACTCTACAAGAGTAACAATATGTAATTCAAAAATCATGGTTTCATAAGTTAAGCAAGTTGACTTGAATAAATTAATCTAATTAGAGTTTTTGGGCATCATCCGGTCAAGGTTTGCTTAAGTACACTACCACCCAGCTTGGCATTTATTGGAAAATTGGAAAATATACTATCACAATCATCACAACTTCTACATATATTTCCAACTGGTTTTGAAGTTCTACACAACCTGTGACGATACATATAAAATCATCGATTCGTGTTTTTGGAGACAATTTTTTGTCACTTCTATATACAACTTCATATCAAATCCACATCGTGCATTCTCCTCATACCTGCATCTCAAAACTACGCTGTCGGCTCTATATTCTACGCATTCCAAGTCGCAAAGAAATTACCCAAATGATGCAGCAATTCATTCCTAACCAAAATCCCTGCTGTAACCTGATACATTATGATCAGTAATTGCTAGAAACAAGACGACCTATCCATTTTCAAAAGCGTGGTACGTATATGAGTAAAAAATAAAGATTCACTTCTCGCAAGTTTAAGAGTGAAACTATCTATAATTATTATTATATGTGCTTGTTTTCCTTCAAGCATTAAATTAATTGCCCCAATTACACAATATGGGAGATGTCATAAAATACACAGAATATGTACAAAGCCTGCATGACCGCTGGGAAGAAATTCGCACATGTACGTATGTACTACATGTGTGTACGCCGAGGCACCCCGGGACGAAATTCATTACATATAGTAAATCATATATAGATTACAATCAATACATACAAGAAGAAGAAGTGAGGAGCATATGAACTTGTGGAGAGAAAAGACAAAAACAAGAAAAAAAATTGAACAGGAGCTTCGAAACTCGTCAAACTACATGTCCACAACTGCAACTTTTACCCCATGGACTGGATCTTCGTTACTGCTGTATTTACACAGAGAACGAATGATTACAACCTTCGAATGGATCATGACAAGCTCATCTATCTTTGGGCAGATCTGGGAGCATGATTAAATTATAAATTTCTCCAAGGAATGCAAAATATGGTAGAACATAACCATTATTATTTTCCACTAGCGAGGGGTGGTGCATGGCGAGGAAATTATTTCAAAAACTTGATTAGTTGGCTAGCCGGCTTATTGCTTCATTGAATAAAAACATGCGTATTGTTTCAATAACTTTTGGCTGAATTGGATAATAAAATGTTTTGCACGTATCTAAATCGGAGAGTGGAATTCGATTTACTTTTTGAATGTTTGGAGAAATTAGATAGTTTCCTAATGCAAAGAGAACTGTTGAACAGTAACTTCGTGCTTGTATGCAGATGATTTTTGCACCAGGCTTTGAAGTCTTTTTTTTATTCGCATATACCCAATCAACGAAGGAGCGCAATAAGTGAAGCACAAGGAAGAACCACTTATTTCTTCTTTTGTCATAAAATCAACTACTTTTAATTTTATTGCACAGTTCCCCATGAATATTAAGAGCAAAAAATGTACGTGAGGTACATGCCGACACACAATGTTAATTAAATAGTGAATGGCAAAATGACAAGTTCTTAAATCTATTAGTTTTTTAAACATTTAAAAAAATTAGCAATTATTTGGTATTAATTTTGAGGTTGTGCATCTTTGTGTAGGGTGCATAATGTTGCCAGTACTAATTGTAAGTATGTCTGTAAATTTTCACTGTTTTTTATATAAAAAAGACCGCAAACTAACCTCAAACTGCTTGAAACTACTTAATAAAAGTTCAGTTCGTAACTAACCTCACTTCAAAATAAAGCGATTAGTTGTTTGTTTGCTTATTGCTAGAAATTACTTGCAAGTTCGCACTTGGTACTTGTGAAACTCAAATTCCTAAGCTGACTTTTTAGATTGTGCGATTTTACTTATATCCACCCACCCACCAGCACCGTTGTAGTAACAACCAAGACAAATTTTAATCGTATTCACAATTTGGCGTTTGTGAGATGTGTCTGCTAACTGGCACTTTACCGATTCCGAGATGACATTTATGGGTTTGAGTATGCATGAAAATTTAGGTCGAATTTTTGATCATCGTCAAACAAAATCATCACCATCATCATCATGGGACTACTCATCGCTGCTTGAGCCTAAACACTTTTGAGTGGTTTGTCGTGCAAACATAATTAGGACAATGATCTACCTTTCTCAGACATGATTTCACATTTCACAACTTCACAATTAATTTATATCTGCTTCATTTGCATTTACATGGACATTTGCCATCAAACACGCCACTCTTCAACATGGCTTTTCCACCAAACGAACCTGTATTTATGTACATACGGATGCCTACGAAATGGGTGTAATATCATAAAGATTTTTTTCTCTGCTGCCTGTGATATACATATAAATATGAACGCATACATTGATTTTTGAGTGTTTATTACTCTTGTAGAGTCAAAGTGTAAAGTTGATCTACATAATTGAATATAATAATTGAAGTTGGCAAGAATCATGATACATAAACATGCAAATTGTTATTTCTTGCACATTCGAGCAGGACTATGTACAATCCAATTTGATACACAAAAGCGATTTCGGATGATATGATAAGCAATATTCTATTTGACTTCCCAGAAACTAAAAGCCGGGATGGTGTGGATGTGTGGTGCGTGAGAAAGCCCTGAGCCGGAATTGGTTGCCGGAAAGATAAGTTATGGTAATTACTTCAAACATGATTCTCGTAATTGAATTTCTTATCTGTTCCTTACAAGAAAATGAGATGACGGCCAATAAGTTATATATGTTGTTGTTGGGCTCTAAATTTTCTGGAAATAAAAGGTTTTGTCACATTGAATTATTGGATAAACGAGGATAGTTGATAGTTAAATAAAGTGTATGAAACGTAAATTGAATACCAAGTAAGTAAGCAGCAGGTTAAAAGCATTTTCATAATAAGAAGCAGAGATTAATTCAAAACCAGAATTAATCTCTGAAAGCCTTAAAAATTGATTTATTAATCTCAAAGAAATTTCTAAAGCTCGATAACAGTAATCGACCACTGTCAAATACGAGAAGAAGGTGACATACTCGAGAAACAAGTATAAGAAAATCCGTTGATGACGAATATAACACGCACTATGCATACATTCACGAAATGACTCTACACGTTTCACAGATTAATGACAACATTTCGATTGGTTTTTGTTAGCAAATGCAACAACATGTGGTTGTTTAGCTCATTTTTAACACCTGTCATTTGCTAGAACGCGCATACAATTGCTTCAAAACTATGTAAAAAAAAAAGTTATGAGACAAATTGTGCTTGATTAAATTGACGTTATGTGTCCCAGTCCACTTTGTGACAAGAGAAAATTGTTTGTCGAGTTTTCTGTGAGTAGGATTTCAATTGGGCAAGAAGCGACAGTCCGCAAAAAGTTATTTGTTGTTAAAGAGACGACGAGAGAGACGAGAACAAAAACGGGATGCGGTGACCGGCTTTTGTACTTATTTAGGTTTCTTCAACGGGAAAACCGCTTAATTTTTCGGACAACACCTGCACTGCGTTATCAACTTATGGCTTTTTGGATCCTCTGTTTGCATATGGCAGCATGCAAAACATAATGAGAACGACATGTTAAGTATATACTCATAAACTCTGATACGCGTACATATGTATTAGGGAATAAATTTTATTAAGCATAATTCTGAAGATTGTTGATGATCCTGGCAAGAGAAGAGTTAACGGGAAATGATATAATCCTCCTTTATTTAGTAAGTAAATAGTACGACAAATGCTTGTCCTACAATTAATGCGGTGAAATTCATAATCGCCATTAAATTTTTTATGTCTACTTGCAGAAAACGGATTTTATATGTCATGATACATTCCTATGTACATATTTTATGATGGATTAATTAAATATTGTCATACAAGTTAAGTCACACAAGCTAAAAGTTTGCAGAAAATGATGCAGATGGGAAACCTGCGATTACAAGAATATTTGTACGATTTTTCGTGGATTTTTCTTTTACGGAGTCAGTACTTTATCATTTTCTCGTACACGCCCAGAGTGCAAGGAGTTCCAAGGTAGTAAACAGCAAGGTTTTAGGTGTAGGGTGCCTAGTGTGTAATTAGATGAATCAAAGAAATCAAACCATAATTTAGCGAGAACATAATCAAGACGGGATTCATTCAAAATTTTGCTAACAAGGCAGAGCCAGCTTCTGCTAATGCTTGTCTATCAGTCATGTCATGGGAAGAACCAGAAGTAAAATTATCTCAAAACTTGACATGCATTTCAATTCTTCTTGTGACGTTTCCAATCTCCACCAACTAAAACTGGATGTATGTACATGGCTCCTTTATTCCTAAAACATTTATAATATTGCAAGAAAAATAAAGCATCTTGTTTTCAAAAAATGAGATTGGGCGTGAACCGTCAAAAAAGAAGTTCACTTTGCGCACATATCTGCAGTATATAGTAAAACAGATAACTATTACATGTTAGGTATGCATGCATGTATGTACTTAAAGCCGCTCAAGTTAATAATTACTGGATGGCAAAGATTTAGCAATTATTTCGAATGATCGGGTAAAGTGTATGAAGTTGCAAAAAAGTGAGTGGATAGTAATCTCAAAATCAGTGCCTTAATGGGACTATTCGTATTTCGTGATAAAAATGCAGATCAAGAACAAAAACTGCAAATCTGAGCAAATGTTGTACTACACGAGACTTTATGTTTTGCATGGCCAAAGTGTTTCTGGGAATGGGTGTGAATCCAACAAATCTTGAACGAAGATTAAATTGGTTGTTGCTTGAATTATTTATTTTGAAATAAATAGAAGAAACATGTATTTTATGAAATACAATCATTTTTCCAGACTGAATGTGTTCACTACAAGTTACAAAATTTTTCATAAACATGAATATGTTGTTGTACATACTGTCCCTCAGGATATATCAGCGTTTATTTACCAGCGGAACGAAGTGCGGCTGAGGTGTAGCTATTGAGATAGATTTGTCCATATAGATTTGTCTAAATATATAATTATGAACTTATTTTTAGGCACTAGAAAGAGAGATTCTGTTTGAAGTCTACACATCGTGTATGTACATCACCCACGGAAAGTCAACCGCTTAGAGAAGCACGAAAATGTCTCCATATTTGCTCCAGAGCAATTCTCAAAGCGTAGTTTTTTTATCGTATGTAAATTCTGATTGGTAGAAAAAGAATATCAATCACAAAATTCAGGAGTAATTTTATGGCTAAATTTTACCACAAAAAATTCTATCACGTTGTGGGATTCAGCTAAAGTACTATTTTGCATGCTGACAAAAGGCAGCAAATGCGAAAAACGTGCTTCTTGTCCAAATCTGACTATGAGAACAAAGTTCATTGAGTTTCGTGCACTTAAACTGTTTAATATTGTAGTGAAGAAGAGGAATCTCGCCTCGAAAAATTCGACTCATGTCCATCCACTTTCGAAAAGGGTGCACCCCACGAAGCCCAGATTTTCATTTCACTCTTTTAATTTACAAGGTCGTTATTACTGTAATAACAACGTGCTGACTGCACACAGTAGAGGACATGAACGCAGAGAGAGAGAGGGTATTACGGGAAGTTGAGTTCATATAAGAAACAGAAAATTGATGAGGCGTGCATTATTAAGCAATTTTATCAAATTTACTCAGCCTTGTAGAACAGCAAATAAAAATTAATATCCAACTTGTAGAAAACAAAAAACAAAATGATGCAATGAGAGAAAATGGAAGAATGCTTTGTTAACAATCAGTGATTTAAGCGGAGAACAATGCCATGTTTCATATGCTCGAAAGAGTGGCTATTATTACAAACAACTCATCCTTTATCATCCACATCGCTTGTTCAAAGTGAGTGTGTAAACCTTCATACAATTCATGGAATGAATTGAATTTTGATCCATCCACAAGAATAGAATTTATGCATGTATGCATTTTACGCAGTGTTGAGTGAAGGCTGCACACGGTCACGACAAATGTATGAGAAATACGTTCCAAATCCTCACCAAGAAAATTACCGGTAAGGGGTCGGCCCTATCGGTCTCGAGTTAATTAAGGAAGACAAGATTATGTCTATCACACATACTTCTGAGAACTCAGGAGTCCTCAGCCTTAGAGCTGTGGATTCAAAGGGAGCATCATATCGTATGCATACTTGTTTTTGTATTCCGTTTCATCTCACACTTAATTAATGCCCTGGTCAAAAATAGAGGCATATTAAATCAGTGAAATCTCGTTGTTTCTAAAGACTGCCCCATTTTTTGTCAGTATGAAGAAAAACACACGGCTGTCTGAAAATTCTCAAATTAATCTTTCCAGTTTTAGGTAGTTACCTTTTGTATCATAATGGGCAAGCAATGTAATTATTTCAAGTCATGGATTAATATGAAATGTCTTATTACAAGCTCCTACATTGTTTGTTTAGGGTTGCTTTTAATCATCACTAGAAAAATCCGGCTATGCGTCATCTTGTTTATACCGCTCGGTCCATCAATGTAATACACGTCAAATATCGCTCACATTCATGTCAAGAAAAATAATTAGAAGATTTGCTCTAGTCAATCACGGAAGTTTTTGGTCGCTCTGTATATATTTAATTGTGTTAATGGTACATATATAACCAAAATGGTGTATGTGGCCAAATATATGTAATATGAAGTATGTTAATATTATGTATGATTAGAAACAAAGAATTTTTTCTAAAGTCGTGACTCCAAGTTTCCATTTATTTTGGATCGTTGATAAATGCGTACACTTTTTTATGCATACATATACCTGCATCATGAAAACTATATTTTTATCTCTGAATTGGGGTTACATAAATAATGGCTCCGGGACGGTAATAAGTTTCTTGTTAGCTTACTTATTGCTAGTTTCATTTTTAATGCGTTTAGCTTTCTGCGTGCTCGTCTCCAACAATTCGCCAAAGAGCTCTTTATTGATTTTATGATATTGTTTCACTGTCTGTGCTCTCTTTAATTTTTCGGGGTCGACAATTTTCTTGGGTTTACTTGCTGGAGTCTTTTTGGGCGCCTTCTTTGTCATTGTCTTCTCCTTCTCTTTCGTGTAGTTTGTCAAGGGTGATGAGCACATCCATCGTACCGAATATGCAGTATTGGCTGTCGATGAAAATGGCGAAATCTGCCAGTTAGCAGGCTTGTTGGCCGAAGAGAGGATTATGGACGAGCTTTTCAAGCAATGGCGGACAATTCGCACTGATAGATGAGCAATTGGTTCAATTACTTTCGCCATTGTGGTCTCCTCCACTGATCGGCATTCACCTGTCAATCAAATTCACTTTGCTTAATTGGTAAAAGTCCAAGATTATGTAGACAGATGCACCTATGCTAATGACAATGTTATGCTATAGTATGTATGTGGCTTGATTTAAGCGTTAATTTGATGGCTACCACATTCGTTAAAGCTTCCTTTTGTGCTGATTGCTAAAAGAGCTTCTCCCAAAACATTTTACTTATAATATAAATATTATATATTGTTTTTACATTTATTTATGTATAAATAATATGAAGTCTGTTGGTATTATGATTAGAAACGAATAAACTTTTTCCAAAGTCGTGACTCCAGTTTCCATTTATTTTGGATCATGTACACTTTTTTATACACATATTACATATACATACACCTGCATCATTAAACTACGCTTTTATCTCTGAATTGGGGTTACAAAATCTCTCCAGTCGTCATCATAACTGACCATCTTCTCTTCTTTACTACGTGGGAGAAAGATAATGGGAACAGAACAGAAGAGATCCGACGCAATGATACTTTTATTTAATCAAAGCAGAATACAAAAGGTATTACATTATCCACGAGTAAAAAGACAATCATCAGCGAGAATCATTGTTGTCGGTCTCTTGGAGAGCGTAAAATGCTTTTAGCCGCAACAGCCACTTGTCCCAGTATTGGTCAACATCTCCAGGCTTGAGTGCGAACGTGTGACCAGGTTTCCCATCCTCATAGGCAATGGCGATAAGACCCTCAGTGATCTGTGGGGGTGGAAACGCAAAAAAGTTTAATCAAATCGGAATTAACCAGCGCCTCCGTTTTTGATTTTCAGTTGCTTATTCTCATTCAATATGTATACAAGTTGATAATAATTCAACTTTAGACCACACTGCTGGAAAGAGATCCCTTTGACCAAAAGAGTGCCCAAAACCTCATGCAAATTACGAAAATCTAATTTGTTCATAAAATGAGTAAAAGTTTATACAGAAGAAGGTGGGGATTAATAGCAAGCAGGTTGAAAATTTCTTGTCATGCGTTCATTTGTGTATATTACAGGGAGGTATAAAAATGAAACGCAGCGAGGGTATTATCAGGGAGAAAATGGCCATGCTATGTTGTCCATTAGAATGAATAATAGTTTTCCACAGGAGAATCCGACATCAAGAAATGAAGAGTCACGATTACGCGATTGAGTGAGACTACCAACCAACAGCTAAAGTGCATCCCTCGAATAAAAGTAACTTCTTCGCGATGAACTACTGGCTACATGTTCAACTACTTTGTTAATACGGTTTCGGATTTTAAACTTTGATCAAGCAGATAGTTGCTAACTGCAGGATACTCGAATCTGGAAATATTGAAATGAAATATGTCGACTGGACAATGTTAGACTTTCTGGTGTAATCGATACGTGTACTTCTGTAATGCTCACTTTGATATATTTCTAATCTTTCATCGCTAATGTCTTCAATAACATTTCTAGTTACGCACATATTTCACCGCAATGTCCAAGGCGTGCAATAAAATCGTCACAAAACTGCGGATAAGATGAAATGGTTTCTTGGCACATAATCTGATACGAATAGAATTCTAATGCAATAAAATGATCAATCTATCTATCTGAGATTGATTTATGGTCCGCATAATAAATCCGACTGGGGAGACAAGCAGTCAAACAATAGTGGAATCTAACTCACCTTCAATGTTCACATACACATCTATATGCGATAATATTAACTGTCTGCCTACATAAATGAAATGGACTGCTGCATATCGAGTCGATATACGTGTGTACCTTGGCATTTTAATCGTCGACTCTATTCAATTCGGGATAATTATACGAATCAAAGAGTTCGAAATTGATGCAATCAACCCGTGCAAACTTTGGTATTCAAATATGGTTGCCAATCATAAAAGATGTGAAATGACTTTTTAATGTATCGATGATTTGCTGTTGATTTGAATCTGATGGAGATGAACGGGAGTAAAAAAGAAATATGCAGCCAGCTCTTCTTCTTGCTCTTCTCCATTTAAGTAAGTCGAGATTATAGATCGATTGATTACTTACCTTTGGAAGTGAGTAGTTTTGATCATAATTGATGGCACCTATGTACGAAGCGATCTGGAGAGGCGTATCGTAAGTCATCGAAACGAATGGCTTTTGTTTTATAGAAGTTTTCCAATCGATTACGACTAATTTGTTCCTATTTAGAATTATATAATGTTACTTAATAACTAAATTCTTAATTGCTTTCTTAACTCATCCTTCATTAATTCAAAGCATAACATGTTTTACAAAATGTGAGCGTCTCACTCGAACAAAGCAACACAATCCACAATCCCACAATATTTGTGAATGGGGTGAACAACGCTGCTTTCCAAGACGAGTACCTTTTCCACCAAGGGCAAAATATTCGTCAAACTTTTCCAATGTCCAGCTATTGACTCGGGCACGACAATTTCCTTCATCGGAGTCCCACGGAGGAAAGTTTCAATATTGCTGTGCAGCATTTTTCCGTTGTTCAGCATATCTACATACAAACACGAATAAAAAGAAAGATGAGGAATACAAAATGTGATTTTTTATTATTCATATTTATATATCCGATGCAACGCCACAGATTCATCCGTCAGCATATTTGATTTAAACGGTGAGCGAGTCAGTCAATACCACCAAGAACGTAACCAGCTAGACAGACCAGCAGAATGCAGAGTCGAGGAAATTCTTTCCGAGATCTGTCAGCATTTTATCACTCACAAGCCAAGAAAAACAAAGGATTCGAATGCGTCTGAATTGAAATTGGAGCAAATACTTTTTTGCACATGCAGACAAAAAGCACATTTTGCATACTCTGTTATTCTAATTTGCATATGTACTATCGTCACCCACATGTCCTGAATCATTCACAGCAAGTAAATATTATACCTAGATCACCAACTAGCTACATAAGTAATTTATACATGGCTACTATCCTCCTTACACAGACAACCATGATGCGAATACTTGGCAATGTCATTCATTTCAAATTCCACTTGGTAAAAAAGCTCGAGTCATTCTTCGTACACGAGATTGACTGTTGCATGCACATTCTTCAAGAATTCTGACGGACATGCTCGCAAAAATTAAAAAAATAAGAGAATGATGATGCTTCGACAACCAGCAGAAAAATAGGTAAAACTCCACTTAAATAACTTATGTACGTACATATATAAGTATACACCGCATGTACTTGACTATCTGGGCTTTATTTTTCTACACCATTTGATAACTACTGAATCAGCGAAGAATTTCCTATCTCATGCATGCTTGAGGTAAAAGAAGTCAATTTGGAGCTTGTGACCAACACCTCGTAGAAAAAGTAATCCGGCTTAAGCTGCTGAAATTCTCTCGCAATCGCATTTTAGCAAATGGAACGGAATGACAAGACGAAACAGGGCAATAAACTTAATCTTAGAATGAATTCTACCGCATTGTTGATTATGCATCCTTCTTACATCCTTTAGGATTTGGCATTAAGTAGTTCGTGCTAGAGAGCGAGTCACCATCTTTTTGGCGTACATTATTCACCTCAGAGGACAACACTCACTCCCCTCCTTTCCCAATTCCACCTCAGGAAAGAAGAACAGGAAAGCTCTTTGGGGTTCAGTTCGGTGACAAAGAAGTGACTTCACAATGGGATTAAATTAGCATCAACACAATCTCACGTAACATGACATTAAGACCGAAACAAGAGTACGTAAGAAATGCATGCACAAGACTTTGTGGAGACGGGCAGAGAATAGGAGGAAGTGGAAATGCTCTCCTACTTACATAGGCATTCAAATCGATGGATGGTCATCCTTGTCGTCATCATCATCCACTGTTTGACTGCTTTGTTTTGTTTCAAAACTAAATATGTACGTGTACATGTACTTGAAAACCATTGTCTTTTTCCGTCCGATTGAATGAAATTGTGTTGAGCCAGTCTTGTTAGGTTTTTTTTCCTACATATTTATAGCATATCATCATAATCATGGGTGGACGGACGGACGGATAAACTAGGGTTCTAAAATTGAAATTAGCATTTATTTGTTGCATTACATTGTATTCACTCGACAAATACGCCTCATGCCTGAGTGACTGATGTGGTGTGTGGGATATGCAAAATAATTGGACAAATTATTCTCATATGTCCATGTGTGTCTATCATTGCAGATTTCATGTCAGTTTATTTCACCTTCGTGTCTTTTTAGCAACTGCCTCAGGAGCAAATGTAGGAAGCGCGTTACGGTGACTGAACTAGTCGTACATGTTGTTGTCCCATTTACTAACTAGCTGCTATTTATAGCTGTGCGACTGTCAAATTTAGATAAGAAAATCCACAATGGGATTTTGATATGTCTGTTGCCCGCAAGGAAAATAAATAGCTATGAGCACAACCAACGTCAAAAAATGCTTGCGGGTGGTGGTTGGTTGGTCATTATTCCTTCAATGAAGGGCAGGTATTCAGCTATTCGGATATTCAGTAATTATGGATGTTCAGATGCGTACACAAAATCCAACAATGACGCAACATACACACAGTAAATCAAATGTATTCAAAACCACCAATTGAATAAGAAAATAATGTCATGTTTCAAAATTAAAGTCATGTTGGAAGCGTGAAAACATGAATTAAAAGATTTGCATACAGCTCAGATCTTGAATATATTTATAAAGAAACTCCAACTAATGGCACATCGTATATATGTAAATTATCCACTAAAACTGTGCATGTACTATGCTCGAATATGCACCGATATACAAGTACATACATATGTGTAAGCATATGTATATATGCAAATGTGCTTATTCACATCACAGGAGACAGTAAATTGATAATAGGCTTGAGCAAAATAGCTCATAAAAATAATTGGTTAATGATTGATGATCAGCATGATGTATTTGCATTGCAAATTTTATTAATCCTTTCTCCCACACACAAGCTGCAAGATTTTGACAATCTTACTTCTTTATGACAATACTAGTTTCCAACAACAAAACTGCGAGACAAGACTGTTGCAAATTCAACCAAATCTTAACTTTACAGAGCAAATCGCCATCGGGGTCCGTTTTACACGAATTCACAATCAATTGTAAAATATATGTACATACTGAGGATGAGCAAAGTGTACTTTTTTATCATAGCCGACAGAGATGATTTTTTTTTACTAATTCTAAGCGAATAAAGTCGCAGTAAACTGTCAGCTTGGAGAGCGATCGTGAGATTTAAAAGTTTTTGTCCTTTAGTTTAACTTCATGCCGTCTGTCATAATTCGCAGAGATGTTACACGTAATTTGCGTGAATGTTTTTTCCTTTGCTTAAAGAAACACTTTGGTGTTCAACCATACAGCAAAAAAGAAATAATATTTTGTATGATGATCGTGTGCTCTACTGTGACTGAGAATCATCGGATATTTGACCGCCTCGTAAAAAATGGACGAGACACACAAGCGTCAAATGCAAATATGCTGCTAAATGCAAATACAAGTAATACATATTCCGAAAACGGACACCATAATAAGTTATAGACCACGAATTGGGATGACCGACTTACTTTCTTTGTAGGCAAGGAATCCTTCTTCACCCAATTGAGAAATCATCTTAGCCTGCCATCGTTCCAACGCTGCAGCTTGTTCTTTGGGCATTGTCGAGCTTAGGATTTTGGAAACGCTGGGTAAACGTGGAATAGAATTCACGGCTGGATGATGATCGGATTTGATGTCATCATCAATATCATCACTCGTCTTTGGGGAGCTGTACCTTGATGATGATCTTGGAAATGGGATTGAAATGATTTGGTGGTGCTTTTCGAGTTTCTCATCTTGTTCTGGGACAACATGGCCGTCGTCCAAAATCGGGTTTAAATAGTAATCATCATCCCTGAGTGGTGGCTCCGAGACTGCAACAAGTTTCTTCTTGGTCTTCTTAGGATTAGTTTCCTTTTTAATGCGTTTAGCTTTCTGCGTGCTCGTCTCCAACAATTCGCCAAAGAGCTCTTTATTGATTTTATGATATTGTTTCACCGTCTGTGCTCTCTTTAATTTTTCGGGGTCGACAATTTTCTTGGGTTTACTTGCTGGAGTCTTTTTGGGCGCCTTCTTTGTCGTTGTGTCCTTCTCCTTCTCTTTCGTGTAGTTTGTCAAGGGTGATGAGCACATCCATCGTACCGAATGTGCAGTATTGGCTGTCGATGAAAATGGCGAAATCTGCCAGTTAGCAGGCTTGTTGGCCGAAGAGAGGATTATGGACGAGCTTTTCAAGCAATGGCGGACAATTCGCAGTGATAGATGAGCAATTGGTTCAATTACTTTCGCCATTGTGGGCTCCTCCACTGATCAGCATTCACCTGTCAATCAAATTCACTTTGGTTAATTGCACTGAAATATAATTTAAAATTACAGCAGATGAAAAAGTAGCCGGCATAGAAAGGAAATTGTATGCAATGGAATCAATCAATTGGATACAAGATTAGTTAAGTCGCTGCTAATGGAGTTTTTTGTCAGGCTCCCTAAATGGACATGCAATGGTAATCCTTCACCCGTAAGGAACAACCAATTCCTGAGTTCATAAATAATACATTGTAAACGGCAACACAAGGAGAGAATTAGTACATTCATCAAAGCTTTGGGTCATATGTATAAGCATGCAGTATGCATATAACAGTGGTTCCATTGGACAGTAAAAAATTACTTTCATTACCACCGCAATTAACCACCCGTAATCTTTTGCTTCTGGTCTGTAGTTCTGTTGTTGAAGGGAGATCTTTTAGTGACAACTTATTTTAAAGTCTCAATTTGAACCGATGTTATTTTGAGCGAAAACCCACAGTGAAAACTAATTTTGAGTAATTTTAGCTTTTACTGTATAATTATTGTCAAATATGAAAAAAACGCTATAAGCAAGCTCAAGCTGTTCAGCTAAGGAACTAAGACGCTTCATACAATCAACCATTCTGTTGACTTTAATAATTTTACCACTTATGCAGAAGTCGGAATTTAAATTTTAAAGGACGATAGCTTGCTGCATTACAGGGATTACACGTTCGCCAAGCTAGAGATGTGGTGGACATGACATTATGACATTGGGCTAGAAGGTTAGAAGTTTTAGTAAATTAAAAGCGTGGGCCATTTGGCTAATTTGACGTTGACAAGACATGACGCTCAAGTACATGCGATAAAAGTCCAAGATTATGTAGACATATAGACAGTGCATATATGTGAAGGACAATATTCTGCTATAGTACGTAAATAGCTTGATTTAAGCGATGATTTGATAACTTCCGTATATGAATAAATTACAAAGCATCTTCTAATGGAATCTAATTTTCTAAATTCAAAGCCAGAATTTAACAGGGTATTTTACGGGGGTTGTGGGTCAAGGAAAATTAATTCTCAGTACATTAAATTCTATATTGGTGCATTACACATTTATTTTGGGAATGATTTACTACGTGATTAGTCAGCTCATCAAACATAGTAAAAAATATTTTCACAAATGTGAATGGTCAATTTTGATGAATATTGATTTAAGTGCGATTTGAAATAAACCGATAACGTAACACCATGAATTTGTGTAATAACAATCAAAATTTTAATCGCCTCACACATATACTGCAAATAACAAAAGCTACATTATTGTAGTTAAAATATGTACCACATGTTTAGACATATTATCAGTATCTGTAATACGACAAAAACTAGCTCATAAAGTGGCAATTTAAACGAGCTTAGTTAAGTTTACACATTGGACTTTCGTTTTTTATCCAATTTTTTCTGCATAGTTTTTACTTTCTTTTTGAGATTGTCAACATCAACCTCGTCATTGGTATTGCTTTTAATTTTCTTAGAGGAGGAAGAAACTTGGGGTTCAGGTGGAGCTATAAAGGCGGAATTTCTTTTCGCCTCACGCACTTTGGCTGCTTCTAATTGCTTCTCTTTCTTTTCGAGGTACTTTTTCATTTTTCGTTCTTTCTCTTGTAAAAAGTAGTCACCAGACTGAAGTTCTTTGTCAACCTATACCAATATAAATCGTAGTCGTGAATCGAATTTTTTAAAATCCAAAGCACTGCTTTATTTGTTGAATAAGATATATATAAGTACCTTGCTTTCTGGTTGAGGTGGTGGGAAAGGTGTGTATGGCTTTTTAATCTTTTTCTTCTTTGGCTCTTTTCGCTTGCTAAGTGTCTTAGATTTGAATTTGGGTAGGAATCGTTCCCAATTTTCATCCTTCAGCTTTGGATCCTAAATTATCATTATCATCAGAGTTATTACATAATCTGAAAACCAAAAGCGTAACAATAAATATAAAGCCATCGAAACTTACTTTCATGAGTTCCTTTTTAATCATCAAAGTTTTGACGTGATATATTGGATGAATATTTTTCATGGTGTCCTCGGAAATTCTCCGAACCTGAAATAGACATACACATTGTCAATGCATTGACTAACGATATGGACGAATTTGGTTGATAATAAACTAACTGAAACTGAGTGAACCACAAAATATACTTGGATGAACTACTAACATGGAATTCTGAGATACTGATATTACTAATATTGTAGTAATTACTAATGCTTGAAAATTAAAAGTCAAAAAATAGTTTTGTCCAACCCTGCGTTCATTCATCATTTACCTGTTGCAGCCCTTTGTAAGGTCCAACTGCTGAAACGGTGTTACCCTGCACTAGCACGTAGCAATTCGTCAGTAATTCGATTGCTTTAAGCGTTGCCCCGCTGGGTCCGATGAGTCTTTGTCTTCTCCGTACAAATCGTTCTCGATTCCTCACCAAGCTTCCAATTTTTACAATGTCAGCGCCCATGTCATCCTATTGAAACAAGTCAAACGTGCAAAGTTATACATGAATACCCACGAAATGGTCACTCCATTTTACCTGAAGGACTTTCATTGCTTGTTCGAAAGGAACCGATCTGGCCATCAGTTTAATCATATCTCTCGCTTTAACAATGATATAAGGATCCCAAGTCTTCCTCGTAGTTTTAACTGTCATACTTCCTTCGACAACATCCAGCTCTCCTTTTAAATCGTACTCTATAATGGTTAAATGGTTAATATATTTTGGCAAATGTGTCATATTTAACGTATAACATACCTGACAAACATTTTTGCACCAAGGGCCAAGCTTCTCTTAAATATTTTTCTCGGTATTTCGGAAACAAAGTGGCAAAAGAACTTTCATCCGCAAGCCCATTTGGATTATCTTCTTTCTTAAACTCTGGAATTTTCATTTCCCAAGCATTGTCGATGGGACCGTGCGTCTTCTTCTCGTCATCACTCCCTTCCGCCATTTTATTAGAATCTACCAATGTCAAGTACACAAACAAAATTGCAATTCTTTGTACTAGTGCTGGTAGCTATTTAACTGTCTTGAGTTCTATACGGCAACTTGTGAATAAAGTCCTAGTCTAACCCCGGATTTCAATTCAACACTGTCTTGACCTGTTCAGGAATTAGTTACTTCTAGGATGCCAAACACAGCAAAATTCCCGTGCAAATGAGGACAAGGCCAACTTTGTGGTATTTATTACTCTCTTCACTTTGTCTTTCAAAGAAATACCCGTCAGCAAAATATGTGACGACAAATGTCATTGTATTGGTCAGTGGCCCAGCAATGGAAAGGTCACAAAAGCCCAAGGCGTAGTAATACAGGAGTGAGCCACACTGGTTGAGGCCGTATGTCGAAAGGTATTTCCAGTTTTGAATAAGAAACTTGATCTCCTCCCAGAAATTGCGAATCCAAGAGTGTGACTCACTTTCACACTTTTCAATCCCTTCAGAACACTTTTTCATGAGAGCGTTGGTGACTCCCCATAATATGGCGACCAATGGGAGGAGAATGTAGTGGTCGAGCATTGCAGTGGTTTACAAGAGCAAGGGGTGGAGAAAGCCATTAAAAGAAAGAAGACGTCGACATCGATGGATAGCAAGATGGTCAACCTGTGGCATATCACATATAAGAGAAGGGGAGGAGGGAGGGTATGAGCCAGCAGGTAGAAGAATCAGTGAGGATGGGAATATCCTGTGACCTCGACTGACCAGTGACCAATCAATGTGTTTGTGTCAACCTGCCACAAAAAGAACCCGTGTTTGATGATAGTATTAGTGAAAAAGTGGAAATGAGCTGAGAATTTTGTGTTTTTGGATTGAGTATCATTTCATGAGTATGAAATGTAATTTGGACTGTAAGGTGAAAGCAGAGTAATTGGCTACACACTGAATCAAATGAATGATAAAAATGAAATGCAAGTTTCTGAAGGTTTAGATTAGATTTAACTTTTCGTAATTATTAGGAAGACATGCGATTTGATTTCAAATTGAAATTTTCAATGGTATAACAATTTAAATATTTTTAACTATCGATACAATTGCAATAAACAAAGATGAAACGGTTAAAAAAATGCAATAGTAGACAAATTATTTTAGAATTACCTGATTTAAGTGCAAGCTACTTTTTCACGGTGTAACACAAAATGTAAATTGCCCCCGTAAACTGAAGTTTGAATTTCAAAGTTTATGATGATATGATCCTTTCGCCACAGACTCTAAACTATTCTGTAAAAACTCACTTATCTTAATTTTTGTGGTACAACAATTAGCAAGATAGAAATTAACAATTACTTCAGAATTAAAAAAAAATAAGTAGCACGTGTTGGAATTTTGATGAGGTGGAGAGTGAGAATCGTGACAGCCGCTCCTCGCGGGGCACTCAGCGATGTGGGAACTGGGGTGAAAGCCATGAGTGAAAGCTAACAATTTTCATTTCATCTCTGAACCGAAAGTGAAGACGCTAGTTATTTTATTTCAGTCTGATTAGTGATGCCTGCCGAGTCCACTTAGTAGATAATAGTAAACATAGTATATTTACTATTATGTATAACATGCAGTACAACTAGTACAAGGAAGGACAGTTATAATATTCAGAAAATGAGAGTGAAAGTAAATAGAAAAGATTGGCATATAGAATATGATGTTATACAGTTAATGTAACAAATTCATTTTTTAAAGAATATATACTGGAAGCGAAATGTATCACATTATTAAATGGGGTCGTGACTAAATTCTATAACTTATTTTGTTTTCTCCTCAGGTACAGTGACAACTTCATTAACAGCGTCTGTGACCACCTCGGTTACAGCGTCTGTGGCAAATTCGGTAACAGCTTCTGTGACCACCTCGGTTACAGCGTCTGTGGCAAATTCGGTAACAGCGTCTGTGACCACCTCGGTTACAGCGTCTGTGGCAAATTCGGTAACAGCTTCTGTGACCACCTCGGTTACAGCGTCTGTAGCAAATTCGGTAACAGCGTCTGTGACCACCTCGGTTACAGCGTCTGTGGCAAATTCGGTAACAGCGTCTGTGACCACCTCGGTTACAGCGTCTGTGGCAAATTCGGTAACAGCTTCTGTGACCACCTCGGTTACAGCGTCTGTGGCAAATTCGGTAACAGCTTCTGTGACCACCTCGGTTACAGCGTCTGTGGCAAATTCGGTAACAGCGTCTGTGACCACCTCGGTTACAGCGTCTGTGGCAAATTCGGTAACAGCTTCTGTGACCACCTCGGTTACAGCGTCTGTAGCAAATTCGGTAACAGCGTCTGTGACCACCTCGGTTACAGCGTCTGTGGCAAATTCGGTAACAGCGTCTGTGACCACCTCGGTTACAGCGTCTGTGGCAAATTCGGTAACAGCTTCTGTTACCACCTCGGTTACAGCGTCTGTGGCAAATTCGGTAACAGCGTCTGTGACCACCTCGGTTACAGCGTCTGTGGCAAATTCGGTAACAGCTTCTGTTACCACCTCGGTTACACCGTCTGTGGCAAATTCAGAAGTACTTTCAGGAATTAATTCGGTTGTGAAAAGTGTGTCTAATTCGGTGCTATCGCTTGTAGCCAACTCATTAACTTCAGTGACCCCAGTTGTAGAACCCGTAGTCAATTCTGAGACTAATTCGGTGGTCACGACATCAATTTCAATATCGGTTGAATTAGTGACATCGGTTATTGCATCAGTGGTGTCCTCAACTGTTTCGTTGTCAGTTTCGGCTAAATCTTCACCTACAATGTGGGTGGAATCCTGTGATGGTTGAGAAGTTGGCGTTCCGATGGGTACAACTCCAACCGGCACATTACAGCATTTCACTCGTACATTATTTAAAGCCGTGTCATCTCCTGTAAATCATGTTATTATGCAATGAAATATCAGCCACCCCTCGTCGTTAAATAAAAGTTTACCGAATCCTTGATGATACTCGACCTGGGTCTGAATTCCACAAATACCTTGACCAGGTTCGCACATTTGAGCTTGGGTGTAAGCACTGGAGCGATACACGTGACCACTGGGCTCTCTGAAGCCTTCGAGCTCTTGCCCGTCGGCACACAGCAGCTTAAAGTTGACTGCGGCCACGTCATCCTTGTTGCGCCCCTGGTAGGTTTGCGACATTAACTGGAAACCTTCAGCGTACGTGGTGCAGTATTGTGGCTTCTGATATCTTCCAAACGGTCCTCTGAAGCTAGAAATATCCTGCACCGACTTGAAAATTATGTTGCCACAAAACATTTTTATAGCATTCACAGCAGTATTGTCAGGTCTGCGTCGATGTGCTTCCACCTTTAGCTGAAACCCAGTCACCAGCAGACCATCCGTACAATTCTCAAATTCACCCCAGTGCCCGAAATTTGTGACCAGAGGACTTTGCAAGATATGGTCTGCGTTAACAATAGTTAACACAACAAGCATAATAAGTGCCTTCGTTATCATGATGATGCTTTCTGAATTATTTTCTACTAGTTCTACCTTCTCCGAGTCGATTTCGGGTATTTATACACTATCGCAACACTACCAAATTTGCTAACTGCTCTACATCACAGTTGGATAAAATTCAAGGGAACAGTTGGTGGGAAGAGGTCACAAAGAGGTCTATGAAAACAAGGAGAGTGCGAGTTATGAGAGGTGACAACATACCGAGAATATTTTGCAAACAGATATGTGGATGCTGATTGACGGTGGTTTTACTAATATGCAATTGTGAATGTGAACTGAATAATATGGAATATTCCACAGCGTCTCAGTGGGAAAAGATTCTAATGAATATTCATTTCCTGCAATGTCATATTCCAACAATTTTACATCAATGCACGAAAATTTTCATGCGATCATGGTTAACCAAAATAGAGTGCTAGGTAAGAAATAAGGAATATATTTACTATCGACAACAATAATGACATAATTGCACTTAGAATTTTGTATGTTAATCATAGAGAATTTAATACCATGTCCTGGAGTGTGATTACAATATACAGCAATAATTATTAATTCCATTTTCCCTTTGTTGATATACAAACAATCATTAGGAGCTATAATTAAACCTTTGGTAAATGTCACAAAGAATAAATACGCTAAGCATTGCAAGCCAAATTACGATATCACATTACAAACGAAAAAGTTGGGTATGGTTCTCAGCTACTTAAATAACGCATCGCTTGTCTATTCTATACACAAATATAAAAATATGCGATTCCTAGTAAAACACGTCGATCGTAAACCTTGAATAATTTGTACAAGAAGAGAAAGACATTTTTCATTCCATATTCGCTTCTAGAATTTTTTTGAGATGCATTTCCATCGCATGCTGCGTTGCTCTGTGACCTTTTTTGAAGGCAATGTCGAATGCGGTATCCCCAATGAAATTAGGCTTTGTCATCGATGCTCCGTGAATTAGTAGTTCACTGACACAGGCTGGTTGGTTCTGATATGAACAAACAAAATACATGAATTAGATCACAAACAAGATATCAATTTGATTAGCAAAATACTACATATAATTTATGACGATAATGGAGTATTATCCACCAGTTAGATAGATCATAAATGTCAGCCTTTAGTGTGTGTATATGATAAAAGTATAATGCTACGCATACAATTTGAACAAGACGTCCTCCGGGAACATTATTACCACGAGCGGGCAAGATATAATCCACATAATCCACGATTACTAAATGTCAAGTTTGTCAACTAATCGTAATTTAAAATCGTGATTTTATATCTTGTATCAAGGTACGCTTAAGAGAAGCGGCAGCGTAATAAATATAGTTGCCTTGATTTTGTATCTTATATCTCGTCGGAGAAATTATCTTCATTTGTATTTTGCCCACCCCCAGGGATTACTACTGGAACATGTCGTTGTTGAAGATGAAAAGGGCGAACCTAAAGCTTTTTGCCCTTTTCATTCCTTAATAACAATGTTTTTGTAACTCAACAAAAATTCGAGAAAGGGGAAGGAATTGCTACATACGTAATGGGCTGCATGCATTAGCGCCGTGTTTCCAAACTCGTCCTCCGCTTCCAATTCTGCTCCGCTCGAGAGCAAATAATTCGAAACGTCGACGTGACCCTTGGCAGCAGAAAACATGAGGGATGTCTGTCCATCTGGTCCAGTCATATTAACATCCACCCCCTTATTGACGAGCATTTCAGCTATGCAAACCTTCCCGTGAAAGGAGGCCCACATTAAGGCGGTCAATCCATCAGAGTCCAAACTATTCACATTTTTATCTGTAAACCATTAAGGGTAAGGGAAAATGAACAACACAATATCATGGAATACATAATACAGCGCTATAAATTATCTTACCGTTAATATCTGTATCAAGTAGACTTCCTTTAGCTGCTTTCTCTTGAAAGGTTAAAGGTTGACTCGGAGCAGCATCTCTACCCAATGTTTTAACATTTCCACGTTGCAAATTGGTCAAGATTGTTAAAGGCTGAAAATACCATCCAAATTAGGATAATTGAATAACTGAATCGTTAAAATTTGCATTACGAGCGACCATACCTTGTACGGTTGAAATGCACTGTTTTTGGAACCAATTTCCAGTGGAGATTGTTGTTGTTGCTGTTGTATATGTGGGGCTGGTGGCTTCAAGTCAATTGAGTCAATTTCCACAAGCACATTGAGATCAAAATCTGATGGGCACTCCGGCAGTTCAGGAATCTCCTGCTTAATTGTTGCTTCAAATCCAGGGTCCATCAGAATGTGAATTGGTGGTAAAGTAGTAATGTATGCCTATAATTCTTAGGTTTCTGTTGCTTTGTACTTTGTTCGAGATGTGTATCCCAATCTTTGATGGTGGTTCTTGTCTTATCTCTTCTACCCCCCACAAGTTGTGTAATGGTTAGTGCCAAAAATTTTCGCAAACCTAATGGCACTAACCACGCACCTTATCAAACCTTCAGCACGCAAACTTATTCTGTCAATTCCAAACGTAATACTTTTTATATTCGTTCCTCCATTGATATTTTTTCAATTAATTTACGAGAGGATTTCCATAAAATCTTGGTGAGAAACAGCAGCAGCCTTTTACAAATGTTTCATCCAGAGCCCATATAATGCATTTTGAATATTAGGCGGACTGGTGGTGTTGTGTTTTGTCCGATTCGTTGTCAATGTCAGGGTTATTCGTGCCGTCGGGAACTCATCTCGTCTCTCGTCTATTCAACGGAATACAACGAAAAGTGGTCTCACACTGCATAAGTAGGTAGCAGTTTTGTTATGTGTTGCTTCTTCTATGCATAAAAGAGAGGATCATTTATATTATTTTATTAGCAAACCCTCTCCATCCTTAAATGTATGTGGAATAAAGCTGCTCTTCATTGCATAACATTTTTCTTTGGTGTGGACTCATGTTTTTGCTCGTTGAATTCAAGGTCTTACTGTCAATAATTCATTTGGGTGATGTTTTATACACAAATTGCAATGCAAGAAATACATTAATAAGCGCGTAATACGTGTGCATTAAGAAGGCTTGCGTAACATGCAGAAAGTGAATCTTGTTTAAAATTGAGTCATGCTTGAGTATAATGAGGCAGCTAAATAACAATTAAATTATTAGTTATCTTATGGGATTCTCATTGAATATAGAATATAGGTCAGCATTTTGATTTCGTTTAGTCGTGCCGTCGAAATTGCATTGCAAGAATCAATTGCAGTGGAAAGTTTTAGATACATTTATTATAACAATGGAGAAAGGGAAAGGAGAATCGAGAATGTGAGTTTTGTCATGTTTTCTTCCTAGTTTTATGCATGTGCATAGACCGGGTATGTGTTATTATAAGTACGTTTTGAGGGAAGTTGAGACGTGTGGAGAAGTGCGTAGAAAGTCCTATCTCATTTCGTGAGCTCCAGCACGTCATGATGAAAACACAACCAGGATTGCATCTTCTCATATAAAAGTCTCTCCGTCCCCACAGCTTCAACATTTGTTTCTTCGAATTCGTGTCGTGTCTGCATCCGAAAAGAGTTTTTTCAAAAGTTTTCAAGAGGGGTGCTGGTTATAAGATATTAAGGTAATTTAAGTTTAACGTAATCCTCTTTGGCTTGCACTTAAACAAATAGTACAACTCAGTAATTTCATTTCTTTCGTTTCTCCCAGAGAATGAACTGCAATCGGGGGTTGGTCTCGATGGCTCGTCAAATGATTTTGACGCCAAGACGAAATTTTTTCACTCGACGATCTCCTTGGGGTTTGATCGACCTGTCCAAGCAAATGGAAGACATGGAACGAAACTTTGCTCGAATTGAACGTGACATGAGTGCTGCTTTCCGAGATGGACCTTTTGGATCTCATTATCCCTTCAAAGTTCACAGATTTTTTGAACCTTCGTCCAGATTTTTCACCCCACTCATCGAGGGCGAAACAAAGGTTGGAGAAAATGGAGGAAAGTATGTGGTCAAGATGGAGCTGGGAAAAGACTTCAATCCAGAAAACGTCAAAGTCTCCCTGAAGGATCGAGTGTTGACCATTGAGGCCAAGTTTGAGCAAAAGTCGGAAGATGGAAATTCTCGAATTTATCAAGAAATCTGTAAATCATTCACACTTCCCGAAATGGTAAAAGTGGAGGAAGTGAAGAGCTTGTTCACTCCGGAGGGAGATCTGCTCATTGAGGCACCACTTCCGGAGGTTGAAGCCCCCAAGCCAAAAGAAATCCCCATCTCGGTGGAAAACAAAAAATAAGTTGTAGTCGTAACAGGAAGAGGACGATTTATTTAAATAAATTATTCTTAAGCAAACCTGTTATATTATAGTTAATCCGATATTTTTCTTAAACCAAAAAGTGAGTCGTCTAAACACAAGCACATTCATAAAATATAAAATACACTTTTGGTTTTAGTGCGTAATATTAATTGACTTTTACTGGGAATTTATTTTATGTGCAACTGGTAAATCGATTTGTAAGAGTCTAACAAACACTCGAGACTGATTTGAATAAAAAATCGTAGAAAAATTGCATAGTTGTTTAATTAGTTTCATCGCATCCATAACCCCAAGCGTATACTAGAATATATATACATTGACAATAAAATCAAATTTTTGTCATATGTAATGTAACCATAAAATATGTGGTCATTGTTCCATCCTACAGAGTGGGACATGAAATTGCTAGTTATTATCGCGCATACGTTATATATTTGTATTATATGACGACATATTTTCTTGGATTGCAGTAGCTTGCTTTTCTCATGATATATGTAATCAATCTTTGGATGTACGAGTGGTTTTTCGTTTTTCGTGGTGTTTCATCATTTGACTTTAAACAGAAGCATTGCAAATTGTAATTGCAAGTTGACTAGCAGTTTTCTAAAGTTAATAACATACTGCGTGGTCGTCTTCTCAGCAATATGTCAACCTCAAGGTTTTTGAAGTATATAAAAACTGATTGGAAAACAATACTTGAAAAAGTAAGTCTAGAATTACTATTTGCATTTTTCTTACTGTCTCATGTGTAAATACTATAACGTTGAATTTGAAGATCAACACGGATGCATTTGCCTCAGAAAAATCGAAAATTGGAAGCAGGCCTGCCTACAGTACGGCAACCGCCCCAGTAATAAAGACATCGCCAGCACTTGAAATGTCTCAAATCCCGTCGGAGGTTAAACAACCAAGCAGTAACTTGGATCCAACAATCATTCAAAGGGCGTGGAAATCGGCTCTACCAAACCTTGAATTAGTAAACCAGCAGAAATCGTCAACTTATATGGAGGTTGCCAAAGCCATTGCAAAAGATGCACAATCATTAAACTCGAGACTAGGAAAAGTGACGAAACATGTGGAAACTGTCGGATCAATTATTGATCGACTTCAATCAGATGACCTCAAAGGTGAAATGAGCAAAACGGTTTCCAAAAAGTCGTTTTCGTCGGGTTTAGTTTCTATTGGGTCGGCGTTATACTTTCTATTCGTAGAATATTTTCCCCGGTTATTCAAACTTTTTGGAAGTAATGATTCTCAAGATGACTAAGCCAAACACTTATTATTAATGTCCTTTTAATGTATTCTATTTGAAACAAATTTTGTACAAATTGACGCTGAATGTAAAATAAACTTGTAAATATTTTTGTTTAATTCTAATTTTCTAATCACTTCCACTAGCACTGTGTGGACTACCACCACCACCAGATTTTCTAGTAGTAGTATCACTGCCAGCCTTATCATCTTCTTCTTCCTCGTCAGAGTCCTTGAGCCGTTTTGCCTTCTCCAATTTCCTGGCTCTAAATCCATCATCTTCGTCGTCATCGTCAGAATCATCGCTCGAGTAAATGTGAGATTTGCTCTTGGCTCCTCCACTCCCACCTGGCTTAAACCGATTTTTGATTGCCGAAATAGAAATTGCATTCTCATCATCGTCATCATCATAGTCATGTTCCAAATAACTTGCGGATAATCCTCTTCCTGATCCACCTGCAGCCCGTTCTCGAACCCTTCTTTGCTTGCTTTCACGCTTAACAGAAGCGCGAAGCTTGTCCTCTTCCTTTTTCATCATCAACTCTCTTTGGGCGTCAGGATTATGACCAACAGGGCCAGATAGGACTTTTATTCCCGACGTCTTCTGAGACCTATCTGCCAGAGATAGGGTCATTTTTCTATGTGTGAATGATTCTGTTGAGTGTGGTCTAAAGGTTAATTTGGTGCGAAAGACTGCTTGTCCTTGAAGACCGGTTCCTTGCCGAATAAATAAATGATTATGATCACCCTGTAAAGTAAATAAAAATAAGTGCAATAGCCTTTAATTTATGTAGAAAATAAAATCAACAGTTAATCAACCCATCAAAATGTCAAGTACATATTTACATTATAATGAACTTTATAAAACTACTAACCTGGAGGGGTTGGCTATACACGTTAAAAATTTCACTCCCAAGATGTAAGCTCATCGATCCATCAGACCATTTCACAAATCTTGCATTAGATTCTTTCACGAAAACTCCTTTCTCATTAAATCTTTCACGCCACCGAATTGTATTTTCTACTTTTAACTTTAATCTTGCACGGCCTTCCTCGTCCAACGTTTCCTCGTCGTCTATTTCATCCTCATAAGTATTTGAATCAAACGGTCGAGTCTCGACAGACAAAAAGTTTGGTAACTTTACAAAATGTATATTTTTTCCTAAATCCGTTGTAATTTTAGGAATTTCTACATCAATTCTAGTTTCAGGTAGTGGTTCTTCTTTTTCTTCATCTGAACCTCCACCACCACCAGCGTCAGATTTAGCATCGTCATCCTTTGTCTGATCTTCATCAATCTAAGAATATTCATAAAAAAGTGACAGAGATGTTTGATATTTCAAATAGTGAAATCATAATTAAAATATACCTGCATTGCATCATCATCCTCGTCTTTAGTTTCTGCTTCATCTGGATTTACTTTTCTGGAAACCTTTTTCTCTGCTTCTGCATCCGATCCTGAACTAATATCATCAGCATCTCCAAATATATCAGATGATGCTGCTGCTGGCACATCCTCGTCACCATTCATTTCCTCGTCATCAGATAAAATCTTTGATTTGGACTTTTGTTTTTTCTTAGTCTTTCTTGTATCTGGGCTTGTGCTCCCTCGATCTAGGGCAGAAATGTGAACATTAAAAATAAGATAACAATTCAGACAAAGCTCTAAACACAGTTCATACTGCAATTAGTTATAATAGTAATGCTAACCAGATTTCTTAGATCTTGAGGCTGGACTGCCGCTCCGACTTCGAGATCTGCTAGAATGTCCAGATTTTGCAGACGCAGGACTTCCGTCACGTGACATGGACCCAGATTTCCCTGAATTTGGCGAACCGCTCCTTGAACGTGAGCCAGACTTTGCGGACATTGGCGTTTCACTACGAGATCTTGATTTCTTGGATGACGACGCTACAGGGGAGCCACTTCGCTCCGATCTCGAACCTCCGGACTTTACTGACATTGGTGACCCACTACCCGACCTGGACCCCCCAGATTTCCGTGTTGATACGGGTGACTCACTTGGTGATCTTGATTTTCCCGACTTGACAGAAGGGCTCTTTGACCGAGACCTACTGCTCCTACGAGCTGCCGGAGACGAAGCTCTGGAACTGTTGGCTGAATGAAATGAGTCATATTATTTTTCTATTATTTAGATTAAATAAAATATATAATATGACAGAAAGTGAGAATAATCATTGAACAATAAACAAAACTCACCAGAACCGGAACCTGATCCTCCGATTGAAGATGAATCTGACCCCGAGTCAGAATCCCCATCCTCCTCCAAACGATTATTTGTCGTCGTAAACGGCATTTCTTTTTGTCATGCAAATTGAAAACTGGTTTATACTGCACTAAAGAAAGCTTGACGAATCCTAGCTATACAATTTTTTATTTTAACAAAAATAAGCAAATGTAGGAAAATCGCAGAAGAATAAGAATTGCAGTATTGTAATTTGTAAATAATTAATAGTCGTGCCTCGCTGTAGAGAAGAGAGAATAATATGAAACACAAAACAAGCAGCAACCGCTGACGACCGGTGTGAAAGTTGAGATTTGTCCAGGCGCGGATCTGCCGTATTACTTTCTTCACAAAATATTTCCCAATCTCCCTCTCTCAAACACAGACAAGTTACAAAATTGCTGAAAAATAAGTGTTAATTACTGTTATGTTCAAAGACTACTGCTTTGTATTTAGTAAGTATCTTTGTCATTATATTTTGATTTTTTTACTCGAAACAACTTTGAATTTTTGGCTCATTTTGTCGTTTTCAAGGTTTAAACAATTAATAACATGGAAGCTCAAATTATTGAAGAAGATGAACTTCATCAGTAAGTTGTGTACTTTATTATAGTATGTCAATGAATAGAGTGAGTGAGTTCCGTATTTTTACAGATACATACCGGAAGGTGTTGAAATATGCGTGACCACGACTGAACTTCCTTCTCAAGAGGAGAGTATCCTAGGTCTGGACGAACGAGAAGAAGAAGTGGAGACGACGACGGCAGAGGCGTTATCACCAGAAGAAGATAACCAAGTCCCCAGTACGTACGAATGTGACAAGTGCGGCCTCGTATTATCTATAAAATCCACTTATGACCTTCACATGGAACAAATTCACGTAGACGAAGCCTACTATGCGTGCGAATTTTGTCCAGCGACTGCCATTCATTGGGCTGAATATTATATACACCAGTGTACTAATATGGATAACAAACCTCTAAGTTGTCCTCATTGCCATAAGACTGTATCCACAAAGAAACAGTTGTCTGTTCATGAAGAAATCCATGCACTTCAGCGCAGATTTACCACAAAAAAACTGGACAACTATTTTATCCGGAAACTGGAGGAAGCGGAAGACCCTTCAGTCGACTGGGGACGACTCCCATTTACGTGCGGTGTGTGTGGCAAGTTGTTTGCAAAATTATATGAAGTTGAGTATCATGAAAAACTTCACAATGAGGAGAGGCCTCCACCGAACAAGTGCGACAAATGTGGACTGTCTTACCTTAATAAAAATGATCTTAATAAACATGTCGCGAGAGGATGTTCTCACGAAATATCCCGAAAGATGATACATAAGCCGACCATTATATAGAAAAAGTAGGCTGTATTGTTGATTGATATTGTTCAACGAGTACTTTACATGTAATGTACATCAATTAATTTCTAATCTTATCCAACATTTTCAAAATCTGATTTTGCATATGTATATATATATATAGATAAAGAGATTTGTGAATACTACGTAAACATTTTATTCAAAGAAAAGTGAAAACATTACTATTTATTGGCGTTTCGAATTATTTCTGCAAATTATTTGTACTCACAATAGCAAATTTGGCATATTATTTTGGCAGAGTTTGGGTGTAAAAGGGATACAAATACATAAACGTAAAAAAACGTATTAAACTATATAATGTAATTTTTGTTTAAAATTTTAATATAATAAATGTTAATACATTCAAAATCATTGAGCATTGTTGAAGCTGGGAATTATGTATTGATATGATATGAATATGAATACCTTGTGCATTTCAATTTTTACTTTGCCATGAAGCTGAAACACAGTAAGCATATAAAGTCTCTGCGCATCACCGTATAATCACCGAAAGTGGGATGAGAATGTCCTAAAGTTTCAGCCCGACAACGAGATGCTTTAGCGTCGAGGTCATCTTCTACAATGTAACACGACCTGTTGTGGCTTGTCCACTCAGACTGACTGAATTCCCCAAAACATGTGCAACAGGAAAATGGTGTCGTTACACTGGGCGTGATGTAATATGTTCGAGCTTCTTCGTACGGACACTCAGCGCCACAAACTTTACAGGACCCATTAAAAAATTGAGAGCTGCTTGTGTTTCTCATTGTTGGCGTCGATAATGCTGCTGCTTTCCCTCTTTCTAGTACTACTCTCCCACTGCCACTGATGCTGCTGCTGCTACTGGAGACTTCTAAAGAACCGTTGTCGTCATTTTCCAGACGCTTCCTCATGATTTTTAGTTTGATTGGCCATTTAGATGTAGATTCATTGCTACTGAGATCATCAGAGTGGCTTACAATGGCCCAATTCTCCTCTTCTTGCACTCTCCTCTTGTGTTTCCTTTTATGGGAGAGACGTCTTCCTTGAACCTGCGTGTTTGGGGGTTGCACAATAGGGTCAGACGTCTTCATAAATGGTTCTCCGATTGGGACAACCTCCATTTCACACCTGGTTTCGCCTTTCGGCATGTACACGCTGTCATCACACCTTCGAAGTTTGACCAACAAAGTCTTCTCAAGAACGGAAGTCAGCAGATTTGTTGGGCTAAGGGGTTTGCTGAAATTTCAAAATATTAAACCTAATTAATTGTTCCGCAGGAACAATTTAGACGTAGCATCTCCCATGCACGAGGTGCATGTAAGTACATACCTTGTCGATTTGACAGTATTAGTATCCGTGAATTTTGCAGCACAAGAGTCACGATGACCAGAACCACTATGACTACGTTTTGAAAATTTAACAACCTCGTCAGCCAAGTCCACATCAAAATGAGTTTTATCATCATCATCACTTCTCTTGCCATTGTCCTCCTCATCGGATCTAAATGACTCTTCACTTTCCACAGTTTCAACTGCTCCAAGTTCTAAATCAAGCATTTCCTGTGTTTCCTCTCCATAATTAAAGTTATTGCTAACAAATGCAAGCAGATTAGTAGACTCTGGTGATTGGGGCTTTCCTTCTTCTGTGCAAGTGTAATAGTAATTGTTTTCTTTGTCATGGTGTGGTTGTGGAATATCTTCGGCAAACCCTTCATCTTCATAATCTAGCAGTTGCAGAATAATTCCTTCTTTCACTCGTAGGGTGCTCCCATCATCATCTGTTGTGAAGATATCCATAATTTCTATATCGTCTTCACATGTTATTATCACATAATTTACATCTTCAAACATTCCAGCGTCCTCGATTGCGGGTCGATTATCCAGTGAAAATGGTTCTTCTTCTGAATCAGTGCTAGATTTCATTTTCCTTGGGTATTCAAAATGTTGGAAATTGTTTTTAGGAGAAGAAGGTTCGATGGTGGTCGATGCGTCTTCAGACGATGATGAGTAGCAATAATCGGGTGTGGGGTGTCCACTACAGCCCCCACCATTGCTGCTATTACTACTGTCAAACAAGTCCAAACTGTCCCCACTGTTCGTGCTCCCATAGTCCGATGTTATTTCTGGTTGTTGCTGCAGTAATGCTTTCTCTGGAACGCAGTATGGTTGGACTAGATCGTCATGCACTATCGGCGTCTGAGGACGGCGTTCCTCTTCAACGGGTCGAGCGTTCCCATTTTTCTTTTTCGGAATTTGGTACCCTTTTAAATTAGCTTGTTTTTGGAACATTTGTACTGGGGCTGCTGCCGTGAGCAATTCTGCTGAGATTAATGAGCTTTTTTTGTACGATTCGTTAAAAATCTCACCCGTCTCAACATGCCTCCTTGGTCTCAAGCTGTTGTTCTTGCAGGCCAAATTCTCATTAGTACTACCAGTAGTAGCTGCAGTTATAGTTTTCAATTTCACCGACTTGCTAGCAGCAATTCTACGAGTATCATTGTATGATAAGTTGAAAGCGCTTTGTATATTGTGTTTGTTATTAGCTAGAATTACTGCTGGAGTGGCACTGTAAATTTAACAAACCAATTATTATAATTGTGAAGAATTGATGTTTATATTTCTGCAACTAAATAGATTGGAATCCAAACACAATGAGTTCCAATCATTCTTGAGTAATAACTTTGGTAGCACTGCATGGAAAGGACACGTTATTAGGTGCAGCTGAAAACGACGTACATTGAATGCGGATAATGAAATATACATATGGAATGGAACCAAAATGTTTGCTAAGTAATTGTTCCTAACTGTACCACGACTTGTTAACTGTGCATATCATAGAGTAGATGCATATACGTATCTATACATATATACTCTCCACGCCACGAGGAAAACACACCAAATCTCATATCGGTATTATGTATCTGTATGTATTTTACTTCGTGTATTAGTAGTTGTAGCAAGAAATGAGTGCATATTATTTGCAATTTGCAAATACCGTCCGTGTTGCAATATGATAAAGTTACGCACATTTAGAGCTGACAGGATTTGTATTATAATATATTTACCTACCTGGTAGCAATTGGCTCGAGTTCATCTTTTTGACAGTATTCGGCTAGGACAGCACTCGCGGCCAAGGCTGCAGAAATCGGCGACAGGATGTTACAATCCTCCAAGCCCGACGATAAAGACCTGGCGTTCTCCATGTGATCGGGACCAGAATCAACCATGACCGTGACGTAGGAGATGCAGAGTTCATAAAGCAGGAGGCTTCAAAAATATCCCTTGGAGGAAGGGGAAGGACTAAACACAAAAGTTTTTGCTGATGATAACTCGCTCATATCCTAGTTGATTTGATAGCTGCTCTTGACACGGTTATTATTTATTCGGGGGATCGATAAAATTATCAATTATTCACGAACTAGGAGGAATGGATTAGTTCGATAAACGAGTGGTGTATACATACATGTACATGTGGAACCTTGGAATTTTCGTCAGACTTGTGAAGAACTGCGTGCTTGTTTAGGCAACAGGTAATCCTAATAACAGAACCCCGTGTCCTCATTAAGTAAATACCCAAATAAATTAAATTTGTATGGACTCGACTGGAAAATTAAAGTGGTCGATTAATTTTTGCAAAGAGGCATATGCTTGTTCCTTGCCTGTCGCTGTTGGTACTGAAGCTACGAAGGACAAAGCAAAAGTTGATTGACATAACATGTATGCATATGTATATTGTACTTGAACTTGCACATAAACATTATTGCAAATTATTTTATTGTTTTACAGTGTGCTTGTTTTACAGTAACTTTTGAACTGCTAAACATGAGATTATGCATACATAAAACATATTATATAAGATACTTTTGACACAAAAATACAAAATATACAAAAGCAGCATTGCACATTTTGAGTAGGGGTAAAGTATTAAATATATTACAAAAGAGTAAATAAGTATACATTAAATTCTAATAAACAAATAATACAGGCAAAAAATTTAATTTACTTAATTATTGGAGAGTCACAGGAATACTGTAAGGTCCTACACGCCCACGTATGTCCACAGCGCGGACGACGATTTGATAACGAAATCCACAAACAAACTACAAGTTTAAATTTATTGAGAACTAAGGTCATAATTCTGATTTCTGTATTTGTGATAAAATTCAAAATATACACATACCCCAACAATGCGCCTGGAAATAGTACGCTTAGAACAACTCTTGCTGTGACCAATCATTCTTGCATCTGAACAAGACCCCAAAAATGCACTATGCGAAAATGAATTATTTGATTTTTCATCGTTTCGGCCTTTATAAATGATTTCTCCTATTTTTGTCCAATTAGAGACAACAGTGGACCTGTGGGGCTGAATGCAAACGAAAATTTCGAATTTGTCAATGTCTGTGCGAACATCTCCCCAATTCCATGTGAGGCGAACTACTTTTGCTGAATTTTGATTGCAGGCGTGGATCGCGTGTCCAAGTACAAGGTTGGGCCTTGGGGGATATTCCAACTCTTGAAGCACTCTTCTCATTCTGATCTCTGATTTCTCCATCTTTGCCAACCTCCTTCTTTGTGAGCTCGAACTATACCCGTCAAATGTTGACAAATATTTTAAAGATTGATGAACAGAAACGAGAATTCCACTGATACAATTTTTTGTTTGGTGAGATCAGTCGGCTTCCACGATTGCTTGACATTAAGTATCTAGGTAATGTTAGTCTCCCTTAACGGTTGCGACAAATGGTTGAGTTACAAATAAAATAATTAATTTTAAAAATAGTTGTTTCTTCTCGATGGTCGAAAAAAACAACTCTTTGACCTTTAATAACTTTTGAATGGGAACACACAGAGACTTAATTCTGGAAGATGAAATCATCGTAATTTTTTACTTGATTTTTTAAGCTAAAAATCTCGAGGGTATTATGTCTAATAGTAAACTTGAAATTTCCAATGTGCAGCCTTTATTTAGCCCGAGTCAGGCGTTGCGGTTGTCGGTCAAACCCACCAAGTGGAGTGGCATATTTTTGAAAATCTGTATGTATGCCCTATGGTCTCACCCGTAGGGCTTAATCTCAAAATTTCAACTTCCTACGACAAATTTGGGATATTTATATGCCATTTAATATTTTTTTCTGTCAACCCTAACCACTTAAAAGACCCTTCCCGACCAAACCGATCATTCTATCTTCGAACTTATCCTTACTTTTGACCGTTTAGGGTGACCATACGTCCCGGTTTTCAAAACCTGTCCCGGCGTCCCGAAAATGTCCCGGTTTTTAAAATCGTAGGAGAAAATTAAATTATCTGACTTTTTCGCCAAAATATTGATGGAAAAGTAGATTTTAGCACATAAGTACCGGTAACCCGCATGTAATATTTACTTAATTGCCTTTCTTGTCTCTTTCTAAAAATTCGGTGATATCGGAACCGTTAAACACTAGATATTATGGAAAATTTTTTTCCAAAATCTGTCCCGGTTTTGGTCAGGACACATATGGTCACCCTATTTTGACCCGTAGATCAAATTAGCAAAATTTCAGGTCGCTAGCTTGTGTTTAAAGAGAGGTCTCGGGCGCACAGACAGACATCTTGACAAATCTATAAGCCCATCTGAAAAGGCGTAAAAATTAGGTTTCCCAAATAATATTATCCCATGACAAATTTTCAACAGCTTTTATTTTTTGAAACCTACAGCGTAGACTTCATTTAGCCCGAGTCAGGGATTCTGTCCCTGATTCGGTGAGTCCGAGCTCATTTCTACTTTTTTTCGAAAACGACATAATAATATTACCAACCTCCGTGGTGTCGTAGGTCCACGGTCCACGGTCCGCGGTCCACACTTAACCGATTTCGCCCATCTTCGAACCCGTTTCCTAAGTTTGTCCAGTATGTACACGGTAAAAATTGCAAGTCAATCGGTTCAGCTATTTTTACTAACGTGTTTACGGACGGACGGACGGACATGACGGTTCCATAAGCCCTGATTCGGGCTAATAAAAATGAAAATTTATTTTGTAACTCGGCCATTTGTCGTAACCTTATAGACTGATAAAGTGTCAAATAATCTTGGTCGGCTTCGTCTATGTGAGTTCAACCGAAATAAATCAAATGGTCGACATGGTTATTTTTACATAGGATGATCATGCAGTCCAACGGCATCACCCAGACCCAGTCCAGATTTATGAGTATATGAATAATAACTTCATTTCTACATAAATACTTGAAGATGTTTATTTTTGCAATTTTTGAATTTTATTGAAGTAAGTTTTTGCATGGGACAAGTGGTACATTCTCATTCTAGTTGTATTGCACTATAAACTTTTCTGTATACAAACGGGATGTATTGAAGGAACACGAAATTCGGCCAGTGTTTGCTGATGCAATGAGAAAAAATGATACTCAATTCAACTACAATGTTCATATAAAGTGTGTGTAACAGAAATTTATGGTCATTATAAATTCACGGAGACGATAAGCATCAAACAATTAAGCAAATTTGTGCTACACGCTTAACCATCAGACTAAATCTTTACTCATCATCAGATAACTTGAGAATTCTCGAGTTCTTGTCTTTAACTACCTTGGACAAAAAAACGTAGTTGCTTGGTGGTTTGTGTAACAACACTAACAATGTAGGTATAAATAAGTTGTGATTAACATTTATAGCTACTTGAATCTTTTAGTTGTCAACTGTCAATGTATCTACTATTATGAATTCAATAAGTATGCATATATGCATATAGTAGTATCGGAATGAGTACGAAAGCAACTCATTCACGAACAAATCAATCTTATTAATAGTTTTAGCAGGATTTACCTAATTAATATTATACGTCTTTAGGAAGTGAGTGTATCAAAAAGATTGGACTGATACTAATATTCACATTTCTTAAATGTCAGACTGAAACCCGCAATATATGATACAAAATGCAATTATACACGTCATAAAGGTAGCAAATCAATCATACATACATACATACTATATCTTACTCAATCACTAATTACTCGCATTGGCTGGAAACAATTAACTCTATTATATATGTACAAACTAATATCCCGATGCTTCTTTATACTCTGACCCATCGAGTGTGAAAAAGTCTTCAAGCTTCCATTGCAGCGTCTCGAACGTTGGTCTCTTCATACTGTGGAAAAGGAGAAAGAATGAGATTAGTAAATTATTAGTAAACTAAAAATGGTAATAAATGCAAATCCAACCTGTCTGCGTGCCAACATTCCAACATGATTTCATATAGGCGGTCTGGGCAATTCGGTGGACATGGCATTCTATTACAAAATACAACGTATTATATATTTATACATAGATACATATATTAGTTAGTACACGCATGTGTTCTCTTTCTTACCGATAGCCATGTTCCACTTGATGCAGTACTTCTGCATTTGTCATTCCAGGATAAGGTATTCTTCCATATGTCACCAATTCAGTTAGTAGAATTCCGAAACTCCAGACGTCGGACTTTATTGAAAATTTCGAATAGTTTGCTGCTTCTGGCGCCGTCCACTTAATTGGGAATCTAGTTCCTAAAAAATAAAATAAAACCCAATTTTCAGTCATATATGATAAGAAATCCGGTACGGACCAATGTTTGTATACATGTAGCTACTTGATTCGCTGCACTTACCAAGTCTTGCTTCATATTCGTCCTCTTTAATTAAGCGAGCGAGCCCAAAGTCAGCAATTTTTACAGTGTTCGAATCCCCAACCAAGACATTTCTTGCTGCTAAGTCTCTGTGTATGTAATTTTGTGACTCCAGATACGCCATGCCCCCTGCAATTTGAGCTGCCATATCGATGAGTTGAGGTAACTATAAAGTATAAAAGTTAATACAGTTTCCGTTTGTTGAAAAAATGGTGTGCGTCATTTGATTTGAATTATTCGAGAGAGTAAAACCTTGAGTACCTTGAGACCACGTCCTTTTCCGCTCAAGTATTCGAGCAAGGAACCGTTTTTCATGAGTTCTGTAAATATATAATCATATAAATACGTAAATAAATACATGGTCAAAATAAACAATAAATTATCGATTTAAATCATTGGGATAAATTATTGAGATAATTATGCATATATATGTTGTTGTAACCTGTAATAATATAGATTGGTTCCTCCAGAGTACACACAGCATACAACTAGAAGAGTACAATTAAATATCAGTAATTATAAAATAGTAGAGAATAAATCTACAAAACCATTGTACCAAATAGTAAAAAGAAATATTTCATCCTGTTGTATTTACATACCTGGATCAACTTGGGGTGGCGCAGTTTCTTCATAATTTGAGCCTATTGGTAAAGTGAATGACCTTATTAGATCCAATTCTCCCAATACAATTTGTTCAGGCGAAACCAATATTCAATTATATGTAGATTAAATAAACTATGAACTCTGCTCGTTACCTCTGCGAGGAAGTCTTTGGGGTCCATTGTACCTGAAATAGGGATTTAATTTATACTTTGAGCTAATCGGCATGCCTGATTTGAGAGGATATACCTGGTTTGAGAGTCTTGACAGCAACAGGCGTTGTATTATTCCACAAACCTTCCCAAACCTCTGTATAAATTGGAAAAAAATTACAGTAATATAATATTGTGCATAGAAAGGGCAGAATAGACATTATAAGATTCATTTTTATTAGCTGACCTCCAAATTGACCATGGCCCAACTTTCGGATGAATTTTAGCGAAGACCTGTCAATTTCCCACTGATCTCTGGTATTGTGTGACAGTCCTGGCAAAGAAATAAAAATGACCCATTAAACGGCATCACAAAATAGACATTTAGTCTTACCTCCAGTGACCGGCTTTTCCACTTGAATGCACGGTTTGCGAAGATTGACGCATAATCCATCAGCGTCCTTGGAGTAACTATATAATAAAAAGTGTATTTGTAATGGTTGTATTTAACCACATTTTTGTCCAAGCGAAAAAACTATTTTTCTAGTCTGAAATCAAAGTGCATTACTCTCGTAATTGTAAGACAAGTTAAAAGTGGATCAAAACTCTTCGGTTACTTCATTGTACATACATACATATCTTTATTGATGTGTACATAACTCTAATCATCCGGTCGAATTAGTACAGAATAATAATTTTATACACAGAAACCAATCAAACCACTCTAATGCATAAGGTTTATTGTTCCATTATGCAGTTTCCAATTCATAATAATTTATTGTTATTTGTTACTTACTGATCAACAAGCTCTTGGAGTGTGCGGAAAGTCGTCCTTCTGGCAATAAAAAATCCACCTAAAATTTAACAAAAAGAATGATCATTACACTGCATGCACTTGTAATTATTTTCACATGATCAACAATACCTTAATGATCACATTAACTGATAAAAAATGAACTGTAAACTGTGTGAGGAAAATTCTATTATTGTTTGCCTTTTCCTTGATAAAATGACGAGTTCTATGAATAAATGTCATGCAACATAACATGGATCTATTTTCTCTCATAATGAAATGACAGATGCGACAATTTGTGTCAATCAATCAACATTAACAATAAACTGTGTCTTAAAATAAACTTTTCTTTATACTAGTCAATGTCAGGCAGCAGCAGCGTAGTATTCACTTGATCATTACAAACAACCACATCCACATCCTTTGAGATTAAAATAAATTAAACGTGTTTTAAACACCTCAAATGGTTTTTGTGATGAGTGAACTTTTGTTTGTGTTCTTAATTCCTTATTTCATTTCATACGTAGGGGTTTGTAAACCGGCAGAATTGTGAATTGGAAGAAGGTTACAAATAAGAGGAGACAGGTTTGCAGACGCGAAATACAGCAATGCAGCACAAATTTGGTCATCCCATATGGCACCCTTCAGATAATGGTAGCTTATTGTTTTAACAGAAATATTAACAAGGTTTGATTTTTCTTATAAACAACACCTCCCAAACTGCCTTCTTTAATCTCGTTGTTTTTGTATACTTTCATTTCATGTCATACATGCAACTATCAAACGTCGCGATTAAAGCGATCATACGCATTTCCCTTTTGTGGTTTTTATGGCTAAATAAATGACTGATTATCACTATGCAAGTAATGAGCGACCTGTATCAAAATATCCCCTGAAAAACAATGCATTTTTACAATGAATGAATTTTGATTTTTCTTACCATCGTCCAATTGGCGAATTCTGTAATGTTTGACCGTATCTCCGTCGCGGACGGAGAGGGAGTAGTCGTTTCTTCGCGACTCAGAGTCTCGAATAAGAAACGCCCCGTGTTCATTCTCCGGAAGCAATAATTTCTTCTCTGCCTCGATCCTCTTGATTTTCCCAAAGTACCAACTGCAAAATGGAAGTTAGTAAAAGTTCCATATTATTATTTCATCTATTCAATTGTAAATACATATATGTGTATAAATGTATGTGCCATGATGTCTGTAAATGTACAAAATTTTCAGCTCTATTTTCTATAAATATGTTGTAATTTGATTATAACACGAATATTTAATTATGGTCAATATGAATCGTATGATACGACGATATATTTAACCTTGAAATACCTTTTGATTGAAGTATTATTGCATCCTTGACAAATAAGTCAACAATAAAATGAACAATCACCCAAACAGTAGTAGTGTGTGGACAATGCAAATCGTAATTGGAAAATTATTATAGAAGAGGATGAAATGAAGGATCCTACGTGATGAGATAGCCACCGGAAGTCGTATTAATAGAATTCATCAATGGGGTTCATTAAATCCGAATCACTAACAACTATTATGTGGATACTTATACGTAACTCTTTTTATCATTCAACGAAGCAGTATCAATTTTCTATCGTTATATGTTCACATATTCACACCGTAAGGATCCAATTTCAACTTTTAATGAGGCATCGCATTGCATCATCATCAGCATGCATACAAAAGCAAAGGTTACGAATCGGACAAGCTTGGATCTATCTACATGGCTGCTACGTAGGATCCTCAGTTTTTTGGCTTGCTAACGAGACAAATTCAACATCTCAAACACTACTTATTATTTGACATTATATTGGGATTATATGATGGGATTAATTATTTAATCTCATCATAATTACGGACCCCAAATAACAGACAAGTATAATATCGATTACAAAAGTGGATTAAGTGCGAAGGCGTAAAATTACTTTGACACCGCCACATGTCATAATTATTTGGAACCTATTTTAGTTTTTGTTAGTAATTCACAATCGGCTTTGATTCACCAGGAAAATACTTCCAGATTTTGTGTTTGAAATTTACGATACAGCAATTTTCCTAATTTTGTAATTTTCTCATAACAAAATAATTTCAAATTTCATTGCCCTTTGTAGTTCGGCATTGATAATTCCACCCCCAGTGACTTCTTCTTGAAATCTTCTCCAGTGACTCTCGCCATATTATGTTTTGACTTTTTTATTTAGGAATTTCATAATTACTTTTGATTCAGATTTAGTACTCAGTCGTCGCCGTAACATGCATTCAACTATTCACTCTTTCATAAAGAAAGGTCTAGACAAGAGATCGGTTGACGATTTTATGTAGATGCTTATCTTACCATTATTGATTATAGCTGAATCAATTTCGTTAAATCTCAGCCCTTGCTTTCTACAATTTAAAATACACAAGACCTTAAGGGCCTACAGGACCTTAAGATTTCAAACCCTGGTGACGTGTATAATGAGCAACGGTGGCTTACATAATTATATTAATATGCTGTGAACAGCACAAAAATCTGACATTTATTAGCTCGTGTTTTATTAGCAAGTGAAAATTGTGTGCATGATGCTTAAAGTTGTATGTAATGTACAGTAAGAAAGGTATGAATCAAATGTATGAATTTTCTTTGATTGGAGAGGAAAACTTACGGCTCGGCTTCAATGGATTTGAGTTTGGCAACGTAATTTGATGGAATGTAGCCCTCTTGACGAGTGCTCTTTGAGCGAGCAAACCACCAGTCGCCCTGAGTGTCGTTGAGGATCTCCAAATGCTCCCCCTTTCGGAAACTGAGGTCCTCGTCCGTCCTCGCGTCGTAGTCATACAAGGCGACGAAAAATCTTGCATTTGCAGGGTTGCTTGCATTATTTGTAGGAATCTGTAAATAATTACATAAACAACATGTTAATGTTTTAATGTAACTCAAATGCCAAAATTATTATGGTATTTTTTAGGCACTGCTGATAGTCAGCCTTTCTCTTTTAAAGCTTGATTAATATGAAACAATAAAAATTCTGCCCACCCTTCCTGGCTGCCTCTTGAATGTCAGTCAGAAGAGCAGAACGCGTAGCAATTATAATTAAACCTTCTTAACTATATATGTATGTATGACAGATATATAAAAGTTGCTAAAAGAATGACAAAGGGCCAAATCTAAAACTAGGTACATTTGTCACAGTTAAATTTTATTCAGTCGTCACTCCCATAGGATAGTTTCTTGCCACACGATGAGGTTTGTACATACCTCATCGTGTGGTTTCTTGCTGCTGTTGTGACAGAAATGAAAACTCTTTTGTTATGCATGAAGACGGTAAAGCACGAAATTGCTGTAAAGAGCTACAATTTTAAACTGACAACATTCTCTCTCAAACTTCGGGTGATTCCACAAAAAGAAGCCCACTGTGAAATGTCACGCGAATAGTTCATTTATTTACTTGCAGAGTAATTGCAGAAATTGACAAAGAATACAAAAGGCGTTAGGACATGGTTTTGACGAATTCATACTTTAATTGCGGGATGGTTTTTAGTCGTAGAGATTTCTAACTTGTTTTATGTGAAAGCCCATGTCTCAAACTATAGGTAAGCATATCTGGCTTCCGATTTTGTGTACTCTGCGAAATGAGGCAAGGTCAAATTTGGAGAGGTGTCCTTTTTTAGTTTTCCAAACCAGTGTTCTTATAAAATGGCGTTGAACTAAATATTTTTTTCTTAGGTCCTGATGCAAAAATCGTCTTTGCGACTATTTTTAAGGGACTCAGCATACTTTTCACTATATAAAACCACGTTTGCCTTATGCGTATCTTTTAAGTCCGTTTTGCAGTCTAATTTCATACTTGTCTTAATGGAATGCGCTCTTTAACGCAACTCTTCCACTTTTAAGGCCCCCACATTTTACGACTTTGATGCTAAAAATCCCTAACGTGGTTTTTATCCAAGGTACATATAGTATATTGCACTTGAAGTACTTTTGACAAAATTTTGATAAGTGGTTATACCCCACGGACTGAGTTTTCATCAGACCTTATAAAATTTTTGGGAAAGTTCCCGTCGTTTTCGATGTCGAACTTCAGAAATAATTTAACTAACCAAAACGCAATAATTTTATTATTTTGTCACTTGTACCTTGTAGATAAAATAGTTCTGCAGTAGGGGACACAAAAAGATTAGTAAAATTTATTTTCTAAAAAATTTGACCATTAATTTTCCAAATAAGTTCACGAGTTTTTTAGGATTCCGCGACAGCTGATTAGCTAGGGTCGTTCTCCAAAACTGTTTGCACAAAATCTTCACTGTTTAATTTAATATTATTTGGGACACTTAGAGCTTTGCCCTCAATCTTCATTTGACCGAGTGGGTCCGCGTTCAAGGTCAGCAGGTCAATTTTCCTGTGCACGGTCCAATTTATCAATTTTCATGAAAAAGTATCAGCGACGATGGAGGCCCAACATTATGTAATTCATGTAGATTCTTTTATTATTACATGCAATGATTATCTAGGGTTGTAATATTAACAATCATTCACCTCTGACCTCTTAGGTTATCATGCTATATGAGTAATTCAGTTTGGAAAGTGTTTTTTTGGCTCCTTCCAACTCTGGGGGCACTGGAGGGGGCATTTATAAAGCTATCGGCCTAAAATTTTAAATATATCTTTTTGAGAGTATTATCTTACAACTGACCAAAAATCAGTTCAAAATTCAACTCCCCGCCAGAGATATTCACCCGCGAATTCGTCAAAACCATGTCCTAACGCCTTTTGTATGGGTCACCTTTTGATAGTCGTTGTTGGAAATAATACATAGGTAAGCATGTGCCGCAAACTGATGCAAAGTAATATCTTTATCATCTCTTTTACGATGACACATAAGCAGTATGTACATACATATATGACAAAGTTATCACGATTGCGTATCATACATTATTTTATGCGATATAATGTTGGATTTAAAATGTTTCAAATAAATATAATAAATAAAACTACCTGCAAAATGTTGAAAATATTAGCTTGCTTAACGAAATTATCCAATTAATTGATGGCAATTTCAAGATCGATAGATACTAACTTATTACACTTGCTTACACTACTACAAAAAAATTGATTGAGCGAATTGAAAATTGATTTTAAATTCGTAGCAGACATGATCTGTTCTTAAGAACAAAATCAATTTTATTCGATCCTCGTGATTTTCTATATCTCCATTCATCAATCGTATTTGAAGAAGATGCAAATTGATATTTCTGAACAGTGGACACATAGGCACATGTAATAGTGTGATACACATTCCGATTTGCAAGAGCATAAATGAACATATTTATTATTATGTAGAATAGACATACATGCATTAAAATTGTCTGTTGAAGAAACGTTGGTTCTCTGCATAGTCTGCATATAAAAACTTTGACATTAAACCGCAGAGTTGGATATAGCATGAAACTATCATGAAACTCAAGGGATTCAAGCCTTCCATAAATTTTTTTAGCGTACTTTGACTACTTATTGATTGGTTTATTGATTTATTTAAATCTTTGTATCAGAATTTGAAGTGATACACAGATTACTAATTTAAGCAAATGATCAATTGACTTACTTGTGAATTGTTATCATTGTCTGGAACGGGAGGAAGTGAGTTTGGATTTCTGCTGATGTGATGAACATTATGAAGATGAGAATTTGGGGTGTGATTGTGTCCATCTGCCCCCACGGTGGTCCCATCCGTAATCCCGGACATGATTCCTACGGAATTGACCCCACCCCCCACCGCATTATTTCCCGAAGTGTCCAACTGCCCATTCGCCCTCCCACTAAGCAGCTCCCCCGAGGTTCGGCTGGGTCCCGTGCTCAAACAATTCCCCATCTTATTTCTATAAGAAAGATTCGCAAGCGAGCCTACGTCCTTTCTTGGAAGGAAGAATGGGTGGCACTTGTAACGGGAAACTCCCACACACACACTTTAATTATTATTATAACCTTTTGTTCACTAGTGCAGCGTCCCCGTGGATGTAAAATTGGCACATCAACACAGATAACTGGTCACTCTACCTACACACGCACTCAATCTTTCCGCACTAAACTGGCGGATTTAGTTCATTTCATTTTTTGATCTCTTAAATATTTCCCTTGTCACTCAGTCAAGATTGATTATATTTTTAAGATTTGGATTTGCGAAAATTCTGAACAATCCATCAAATCACATAACTCCAAGTGGTAATACTAATACGTAAAACTTGTTCTCTGACGAATTGAGCCAAACACGAGGAAAGGAAGAGATAATGTATGTATCTTGTAGTATACAGATTATCCCGTCAAAAGCTTGTTTCTGCAAGTTGTGAAAAACTTGTCTAATTGTAATAAATCCGCATTAACTTGTTGCCGCGATTTTAATCTTTGATACTGACCAGAGAGTAGAACGACAAAAAGGTTGCTGGGTTAGAGATGAAAAAGGTTTGGCGTTACGAAGGATATCATATATTAAGTTGATAAGTCCAAGAATTGCTAGGGTTTACTAATTGTCGAGTTATTGATGAGTTTTGAGGCAGCATTAGGCGACGATGATCTGGTTCTTCTGAGGAGATGTCACATATATGTGGTTGTCTGTTATGGATCCTGTTGCTCTGTAGTAGGACTGTTGGGGTTTCGGCGATCCGGTCTCATCTCTTTACCTGAATAATTTTTGCATAAGAGATAAGTTAGTCAAGTTGTTGAATTAATTCAGGTGAACTGAATATACGAGTTTTCATGTGGCAGTTGTGGCATGCATGATTTGATGAACAGAAAAGTAAATTCAACTTCAACCAAGTGTATTATCTCTCTACATATTTAATAATTGGTGTGGATTGGCGGACCAATCAATTCCATCCTGTTTGTCTTAATATTGATAAGTAAAGTGGGATTGAAATGAAACTGGCAGATTACTAATATTATTTGCACGATACAACAAAATTCAAACATCAAGTTTTGAAATAACGATTGATAAAATAAGTCAGCTAAAGTACTGTAAATGTGCGTGTCTCACAAGTAAATGTATTGGAAATTTCAATTTGAAATTAATAGAAATGAATGAAAAATGTATAGACAGAAATTCTTTGCATTTTCATCTTGTCACAGGATGTTTCAAATTATTCATAACGAGGAATGTCGGATTGTATGAATCAATGGCCTGGATCCTTTATAGAATTTATAATGGATCGTATCTTATCTCATCCTATCTCATAAGACGCACATCATATAGCCAAAATTATGACCTGGGACCGTGGTCTTTCGTAGGTTGAATTAACTCTATCATTTCAAAATTGTGTTGTATTGCCTCTGCACTTTGTATGAATTTGAACAATTTCAAAGTGTGGACAAGGAGTTATTCATTAAGTATATATGACTTGATTGCTCCTGCTAAATGATTAAAGCTCCACTTCCTCTCAATGTATATTTATAATGTTAACTATTATTAATGTTAACCAGAATAATATGGCAAAAGTACTCGACGATCGAGTTGAACGATCCAACTCCAAGTTCGAAAACAATCACTTTTCTCAAAACAACCAAAACCTCACACACCCTTAGACTACAGTTGTCATTATAATAAATATTATTAATTGTTAATCACTGTTAAATATTATTGGAGAAGTGAGAGTTGACCTCCGTTGTCTATGGAATTAAGAAGATTGTACGAACAGAATGACAAGTGCATTTATTGATTGCAATCTTCGCAATTAATTTTACACCTTGGCGAAATACTTTAGTTATATTAATTACCGATTACTGGCCTCCACATTTGCACCTCCGCATAGCCACATCCTAATTTCTTGTTAATTGTGTAGAAACTGATTGGGTTGGAAATTTATATTCAGCCACACCTCAGTCAGGTTGAGGCCGGTATGAAACGGTGAGTCAATCTCAAAATCGATCTTTTCTTTAGCCATCTAGCTCAGCATTGCACTTCACCGAGATTTTCCCTTAAATTGCAATAATATTCTGCTTAGTTTTGGTATTTTAACTGACAATCAACTTCCACCATTAATTAATTAACCACCATTAAGTAACGAGTAGCTTGTTGGCAATGTATTTGCTGCGTCTAATAAATATTTTTAGCTGCCGCAACCTTTATTAAAGTTTAAATTTCACTTGGGTCACATATTTTAAGAAATTGTTATTACTATTATTGTACCACACACAACAATGCGCAGCAGAAGTCGAGAGTTTTGTGTAATGAAAGCTGTTACACTATAAAGAAACTATTTGATGCAAAACATTTATACACACACATACACTTAATTTAATTATGTGTAATTCATTAATAAGGCCTGCACAAAGTTTAAGTTGTAGTATTATCAGTCCTTCATTTGCAAGGTGGGCCGAGTACAAGTTACCAAAAACAATAATACTTGAGGTGCAATGCAGCTCAGTCTTATTGCATTCAAAAAGGCAGCCTGTTAAGGAGTTAAATTTAAAAGTAAAATATAAAAGTAAGTTCTGCTGCTGAGCTTTGTGTAACAATAATATATACAATATTATAGTATGTGGTTGATAGTGGTATACGAGAAGACAATGCAATGCGGGGCTATCTCTCAGTATTCTGTTGGATTGGATTGGATTTCTTCTTGTTGTAGCTCGGTGCAGCTTACTTTACTTACGTACATATTTTATCATCTCGTAGGCTGTAAACCAGCTCACAAAATACGATCCCTGCCGAAATGAATGAGATTTTACTGCGCTACGCTCAGCAGAAGCAAAGTTCGTAAAGGGGTTGCTAAAAGGAGAAAAAGAAGGGATGATGACATGTATGCAGCTCTAGTGGATGATGATGTGATATGCTTGTTTAATACAGAGTGGATTGGATTCCTATGGATGGAAATGGAATGGTAAATATTTAAATATTTATTTTATTCGAATTTACTAACTACTTAGCGTTTGTGAGTTAAACCTAAAAGTCAAATTTAAGAAGGAAACGGTATGTCAGATTTCATTACATGCTGTATATTTTTTCCTGCAGTTGCATTATTGGGCGACGTTGATGAGGTCGAGATATGTGTATGGTTGGTGATTGCTAAATTCATTTGGGCACGTATGGGCAATGTCATGAGATTATTATTTTAAATCCTTTCAATCATAATTGCTGAATTTAAACGGAGAGTAATAGTTGTTTTTTCCTTGATTAAGAATACATACATGAACGTGCATAGAAAAAGAAAATGCGCATGAAAATTGATGTATCGAGTATCGAATGGTAATAATTTCATATTGCAATCTTGCAGTGCAATCGTCAATCACGTTTCTCTATTCAATAACGAATTTTGCATTTTTGTATCAAATTTTATGTCATATTAGTTTCAATAATTTCATATTTCATTTATAATAATGCATAATACTATGATTTACTTGTGAAGTTGTGACTTGTGTAAATACTTGTGAACTATTCTCGGTCGTACAGTGTGTACAGTTACAAAATTCAAGATTACGATGCGTCGGAGGTGGTGTATGTATTCAAGTCGTTTGAAGGCACGTTTTATTAAGAGATCCGCTATAAATTAGTTTCAAAATATTTGTACATTTATAAATTATATAATGATTACAGTTGGTTACAAATAACTTATAAGCAACTTGACTAAAAATTATAACATAAATAAGTTTACGTTAAACACAACAAGGAGTTCATATAAAGAAGTGCATCATATCACAGAATATGCAAAACCAACAATAAATTGCAGCTTAATAAAAATATTGGGATCTTCCAAATACAAAGTATATCGAAAAGTATAAGGACGAAAGTAAGATGCCGTCTAAGGGAGCACTACTGCAACAACGGCAATAATATAGCATATTATCTCACTTTCGGGTAGTACATCAAATGTATTGGAGCGTGTTCCAAAGAAGTTGTAATTAGCGTGTCTATAAAGCCCACTACGTTCAAAATCGACATAGCTCTGGAAAGTCTGAAAAGTGAGAATACCTGGTGCAACCCATAATCTAAAATTTATCACCCCGTGTGGATAACGCCTTGGAACTATTTCTATCCCTGCGAAAAAAAATCACATGAAAGAAAAGCAAAATCAAAATTAAAAGCCCAAACCAAACCAAACCAAAAAAGCAATTAAAGGTGCACTACTTTTCTCTGTCAAGGAGTCCAGAATCTCTCATTTTGTTCATAAAAAACTTCTCGAGACTATTTGCCAACTTATAATAATCCGTTTCTTGAGAATTGTAGGTACGACAATTGGTGAAGACTCTAGTCATGTCTGCTATAAATAGCTTTTTGCTGATATAATACCCCTTTTTCAGTCGATCCCCCATAGTTTTCAGATCTGTATGGAAAGTATAAGTATATTTACACTGTAACAACGCTATGATTAACAAATACTTGACTACACGTTAGTAAATCTGCTTACCCATTGGAAATTGAATATGCTCATAGTAATCAGGAACTTCGTTTCTATCAACGGGTTTCAAGAATGGCTAGAAAGATGATACAAGAAAGGTTTCAGATTTATAAAGAATCAAGGTCCTGAATTTTACTTAGTTACGTGTCTACATAAGGTTAGCTCATTTGATGGTAAATTTTGTGACCGAGAGCTTGGGACGAGTTTGGGATTATTTTTGGAGAAAAATTCGTTGCCACGCGAAGTTAAGGCCGTTTTCATGTTTTATAAAATATTTATAAAATTGACGCCTTTTCTATGGCACCGAGCCATGAAAGCGGTGTAAATTAATCGTGGTCACTACCGGCGATGACAATCTAAATCATTATTTTATAAATTTACATGAAAACGGCCTTAACTTCGCGTGGCAACGAAGTTTTTTCCAAAAATAATCCCAAACTCGTCCCAAGCTCTCGGTCACAAAATTTACCATCAAATGAGCTAACCTTATGTAGACACGTAACTAAGTAAAATTCAGGACCTTGTAAAGTAAAATAAAATATTACCCAAGCAGCACTATGACTCCGAACTTGATTTAAGATGGATTTGTACACCATTTGTAAACCGGCGTTACTTTCGTCTTCTTTGTGGACCAAGGGCACTATAATAACAGAGGGAATATTAAATAAGATGTAGATGTCAGGATTAACGATCTTAAATTGTACATATAAAATTAAGCTTAATACATGGTAGACCGCAATAGTCTGCAGCTTGTTGTAAGCCAGGAATTTCTTCCAAGCGTCTCAGTTCTTTCCATTGTATTCCAGGGTACTCCATAGCCTAAGGAATCATTAGGATTTTGGTTAGAAAATACCCACATCATTTCTTATTGGTTATCGTTGTACCTTCAAAGCGTCATATTTGTTTTGAACTAGTTTCAGCATAAATTGCTTTTGTTTTCGGATAACAGCCGTGAAAGCGGTATATACTATCTTTGGATTTAACTCGCAGTGCATCAGGGTTGCACCTTTAATAAGATTTGGGAATTTTAAAAACCTAATTATTGAAGAATAATTACGAGCCACTTACCTTCATACTCTTTAATAAAACCCGTGTACAAGTTTTTCCCGATGGTAATTTCCATACTAAATCCTTGTTTCTTAAAGTAACCTGGTTGAATAATAACATTCAAATTTAATAATTATGACATAGTATTTTAACTTATTAAACAATAAACATTAAATGAAATGACAAATAGAGTAAGTAAATATAATAAATACCTATCGCGAACTCATCAGCATATGTCAAGAAATGTAAAACTCCCATCTTAATGTGGTAATCTTTGAGCTGGTTCATTAAATGCGTCCCATATCCTTTTACCTTTAATTTTGAGAAGCATGTGAGAAATTATGAATATTGTATTTGTTTTACTAGTCTAATCTATACATACCTGCTCGTTTGAAGTTACAGCACAAAAAACGATTTCTGTAAATCCTTGAGTAGGGAACATGCGGAAACAAATACCGCCGATGGGTCTTCCATCCTTGATTAAAGCCAGTGTTTTATGTTTTCTAAATATAAATGTTTCTGTATTACTACATAATTTGCAACCTGATTATATGCAAAATTAATGAACATTATGAACATTTCATTTTGGATATTTGGTACTATGGACTTACGGATCAAATACAAGTCTAGTAATATACTCTTTTGGCATTCTCGGAAGTTGGTGTGAAAATACATTTTGAAGACCTACAAGCCACATCATAGTCTCTTTTGATACAGTCTTAGTAAGAGAATTTCCTACAACGTGACATGAAATGATCTTTTTCAGTTCTTCGATTTTCGCAGCTTCATCTCTCGCTGCTATATCTTCGAACAACGTCTATAATTCCAGTCATAAATATGTGTCTTAATAAGCACAATTTGATTATAGCAAAGATAATCAATTGTGTACATCTATACTTACATCACCGTCCCCCCTCTTTTGAGATGCATCCAGTTCACGAAACATTGATTTTACCAAATCCAATGGCAAGTCTCCATCGTCTGTAATTAATGGAATGGACAGCACAGATTCATTACTTGTAATTGGGTCCTCCACCTCCATTTTTGACACTGGACTCTTTGCAGATAATGACCCCATTGTGGCCGCCGAAGGATGCACATCGGGAAGATCCACGTCCATCGTTTCTGCTTCAGCCACTTCATTCTGTTCCATTTTTATGACTGTGGAGCTAGGGGTTACGACCATAGTGGAAGAAGCACCTGTTGCAACGGCTGGGGACGCGCCCTGAGATGAAGCTTGACCACCCAATGCTTGTTGCTGTGGCATGGAAGTGGCCACTGGTGCTCTGCCAGCTTGTTGAGCATGAGGAGGTAACAAGGGTCGAAAATTAATATCCCACACTGGTGAATTGGGAGAATGGATAGTTTGTTCAACGTTATCTAGAAATCTACACATAAATTACAAATCCAGTCAAATATATAGCTCACAAAACGATAAACAAAAAGACGCAATAATATCAAGTTATCAACGCACCCAGGAAGCAGCTTGGAAAACAGGTCTCTCTTTGGTTGAGGAATTTTGTCTTGCTCCGTAATAAACTTTTCGATCTGCATAATAAGGTAAATATTACCACTTTTTACAATAAATGTGTACACATTTTTTCTTACCAAATGTTTTTTCACCGAGCTAAATATTTCTTTCATAAATTGTCGTCCGAATGCACTGGTCGCATCATATTTTGGCAGCTATATACATACGCATTTGCTTAATTGAGTAAATCATAAGGCAATAGTGTTCGAAATATATTTAAAAAAACTTACCGAGTCACACATTAACGGTACATGACATAAAATGAGCCATCTAAGAGAAAAAAATTTGCACTGTGAAGATGTTGAACAAGGGCAATGATTGATAGGTGGTCTATGCATTGTAATTTAATATGCGAACCTGGTATAAAGGTGTTTGTAGTGGTCATGCCCTCCTGCCCCTAATCGTGTTGCAGCTACCGATGGAGGATCAAGTTTACAAATGTTGAACGTGTGTAGCAGGATTTTGCCGAGATCAACCACACCGGACCATTCTAATTCGGAAACTAGATCAAAATAGGAATATTATGAGACGGGTTATATAATTTGACTAGGGAATATGAAATCAATGACTTAAAATTCTGAAAATATATAAAGCCATAAAAATGAACTCTATTCGATTAAATGAGCTCAAATGCTGAGTGAATTCTAACACACAAAATTAGCTTCACGTGCGATTATAAAGATTTCATGCTTAATTATAAAGCAATTATACAACAGCAAAGACTGCTATAAGTAGTAGAATATAACTAAAACTTACCATGTGCATAGCGGAATGCTGTAATTAAATTATTATGTGAATTTAAAGAACGTCAAGTGCATACATAGTAAGCTTCGTAATTGTTCTAGTACCAATTGTGGCCATGAGGGCCCTGCTGACACAAGGCTCTTCATATGGAGGTTTGCCTAAGTAAATAAATATAAATTTATATAATAATTTATATTAGATATTTTATATTATGAATCATACCTAAAGTGGTAAAGTCGGGGAGGGGGGAACAGCAGGAAGCGACACTTTTCCTCAAAAGACGAAAGAGGTAGTAAAGAGTGTTGAAGATCATTTTGTCGGCATCTATTACGTGGCTACCAGTTGTTTGTCGTTCTGAAATTAAAATATTGTGAAATCATTATTACTCGTAATGTTACATGAACAATACATATAAATTAATGTGATTATACCAGGCATTAAAAACGGTGGAACTGTTCTGTCATCAGACACTGGGTCCCTTTGTAGGACAAGGAATAGAGTCTCTACATAGGTCATACAATTATACAAAATTTGCTATATATGTACTTAACGTTTGTTCAGCATTCAATGATTAATTTTATACCAATGTCCACCATGGTCCCGACCAACTCGTCAATTTCTACATCTTTCAACTTTACTAAATCGGATATGTGTTTTTCTGTGAAAAATATATACACGGGGGTGAGCATAAGGCAAAAAAATGAATGATTTCAAACTATTTTGCTAAATTATTACCGAAAGTGTGCTGGCAATTTCGACAAGGCTCATTTAGGTTTTCAAATTGATTATCCGTGGGAGCAGATGTGGAGGAGGGTGGAAATAAAAAGTTTCTCCCCGTTGCCAGACTTTTCCAACCAGCACAGTTGCACCCATCCACCTGTAAAATTAAGCAATACATCAATTCCATTTAAAACGGAAACATGAAAAATTGCTCCTTGTTCTTAGGTGATCTGATCTTTAATAAACTTATGTTTATGAAATCATTTATACTAACAATGGCTGATTGATGAAACGGCTAGCTGACCAGTCATGAGTAATCCATGATACAAAATGCGATCGAAGCCACTTGAAATTTTAGCTCTGGTTGAATCGGATTTTGAACTAGTTCTACTCTATATTTATATTTTTCTCCTTTCAATTATGTATAGGGATCGAAAAAAGTCGAGTATATCTAAAACCGCTCTTTACAATTAATGGATCAGATTTAAAGATATTCGGAAATCTCAGTTTCATGATGATTTTCATGTTTCAAATTTTTTAAGCAATTTTGTACATTCCGCCATTAAGAAATTCCTATGATAAGAATCTTATCACAAGAAGTCAGATAAAATGAATCGAGTTGGCATTTGGAATTCATTAAAGAAAAGGGAAGCAAGAAAGTTATTCTTGATGTTTGGGGCAGCATTCAATCGGAGAGTTTCACAGATGCAGTAGTCTCTTCCTCACCTTACACGAAGAATGAGTTGCGAGCTTGCTAATTTTCTCATTTTTCGGCATTGATCGAAATTGCGCTTTTCTGTTCGCAATTCTCGCGGAATGCCAGATTCGCTGTTGTTGTGGGTCAGCCAGCTGGGAGGTCATGTTGTTGTTGGAGGAGGATGAAGAATTGTTATTTTCTCCCCCTGGGGACGGCGCCTCCATGATCGTCGAATTGTTATTGCTCATCGTCCCCTAATTTCCACTCCACTACCACCTCCACTTCAGAGAGAGAAAATAGAACGATTTTTTTAGCAACCACCTCGCAAAGAAGCAGCCTTTTCTCGTCTTCACACCATAATTGTTTTCCACTGATTTGTTGTTATTGCGTTCCTTGAAGACTTGGCTCCTTATTCTCTGCTGGTGTATAACAATAATATGATTCAACTGTAACTTGGGATGGACACAGCCGTCACCATCTTTCGTAGCGGGCTATACGAAAGCCACTGCATAAAAACACAGAGCGAGGCTGTGGGAAAAGTGAGCCGACGAAGGAAAGTGTGAGAATTCGCATCAGAGCAGAGAAAGAAAGATGATACTACTACTATACCAACAAATACACCACGACGCAACGTAGAAAGAACCCAACTCACTCCTCGTTCATAAGAGCAAGTGATCATTGTTGGATGGCAGCGTGGATGAGGATGAGACAAAGAGCGGAGTGCACCTTACAATTTTTCACACAAGGACTATGGACAGAGTTTTAAAAAGTCTACAAAATTATTGGAAGACACTTTAGTTGTAAATATTGTAATCAAGGATAATATGGGTGAGTGGAAAATGAATCGGGTTTCTCTGTGTTGAAGTGAGAGTGAAATGAAACAGGTCGATTATAAGTTATAATTTATAACTTATGGTGAGACATACTTATTTTCTTGCATTATATAAAATTATAGGTAGACCCCCTTTACAAAATGCGAAGTTTTAAATATTTCAAAATACAAATTTTTATGATATACAAGCTAAACTATTTTCAGTAATTTTATATTTGCATATGCATGGTTTTAATTGATTAATTGATCACAAATCTATATCCAGATTATGAATGTTCTTCATGGAATGAAAATCATTGCGCATTCATCTTTTCAGCTTTTACTATTAATAAAAAAGTTTTTATTATAAAATCACAATTCTAAGGATGTGTAATGTAATGCACACTGCTTTCTCTCCTGCAGGGTACAAGGACTCGATCTTGCGTGGGTGAGAGCTGCTGCTCTAGGAAAACTCGGAAATTGTCGTCATTTCATTCATTCATCACACACGACGTCAATTCACTTCCTTTATACTTTCACTACAAAGCAAGATGTGATAGTGCTGGTGTTGCACTTGTTGCTTTGCGCCATTAATGTTCCATTAATTTTCCAAAATATGAGCAAAATCTTTAAATGAGTTGAAATCTAATATGACTGAGTTTGCACAGTCTCAGTTTTTACCTTCCAATTCTGGTTCTTCCACCACTAAGCTATCTTACAAGAACGAGTCTGTAAGGGATTTTATCAATTGAAACTATATTCAACTGATAGCGTAACATTGACCACTGTGTTTTTTGTCTAAATAGAACCAAGTAAGATATACTGGCGACTGGAGTGCGGATTCCAAATTATCAGCAATCAACAATGGATACTGGGAAGATCCTTTCTTCAGACTGTTTAACACTACTGATCCTTCAAAAATTCGAAGAACCTCCCTGATTTGTCGAGGTTACTTTGTCAGATTTCGAGTGTGTGATTATTTTCTTAGACGAATCATTCGAGAGATTGGCCAGCCTATACAGGTAGTGGCAATAGGATGTGGGATGGACAGCACATACTTTAGGGTTCTGCCTGAATTGGAAAACTTAATTTTGAGATTTTACGAATTAGATTTTAAGAGTGTTATCACTACTAAAAAGTCAATAATCCTACACAATGAAATACTTCAAGTTATGGCGGACAACAAATTACGTCTTTTACACTGTGATCTTCGACATGTTTCTTCCCTTGAAGACGCTTTAAAAAGTGGTGAATTTGACTTTCAAAAACCAACTTTATTCTATTCAGAGTGTGTTGTAAACTACCTTCGTCCTCATGAGTAATTTCAAGCTTAAGATTTTATACATTAACTGACTTTATGAGAACTGGTACGCTAATTTCAAGTTTCAATTTATTTCAGAAACTTCAAAATTCTACAATGGATCACAGAGCATGTTCCAAATAGTGTTTGGCTAGCGTATGAACAATGTAACGCCAGCGATCCATTTGGACAAATAATGGTGAGTACTACTCACTGACAAGTAGATAGAATAAATGTTACTCATGGGATACTTGCTTGTTTATTTTGGAATTTTCTGCCATGAATTAAAGGAAAGTGTAAAATTCGGTAAAATGAAAATTCCAGGTCTCACATTTCCTAAAAAATGGCTGCCCATTACTTTCTCTTTTGTCAACTCAAAGCCGAGTTGACCAAGAAGCACAATTACTGAAAGCGGTACGATATTGTTATTAAGTTTAGGCTACTTAATGGGTTATTAACTAATGTTCTGATTCAGGATATCTGACTTATGAAGTTACGTATATATTTACAGGGTTTTAATCAAGCCAAAGTGATCAATGCATACGATGCATTTTTAAAAATTGGAGCTGACGATCCTCCATATTTTCCTGTTTTAAACAAGTTAGAACAGCAATTTGATGAGTATGAGCCGCTACTTGCTACATGTCTTCACTACTCTGTGAGAATCGGTGCTAATGGTAGTCTGAGTGATTCCAGTGGCTGGTGGAAATTTCTCCAAGAATTTAACAACAAGATTAATGAGTCGTCAACATCTTACAGGCAAGAAATGGTGCCCCTAGTTCCACAACCAAGTTCTTACTATAGAGTCAAATCATTCCCAATATCTAATTTGCCTAAACTAACCGGCGGACAAAGAGCTATTGCAATGTCAGATGGAACAATTCTTACATTTGGTGGTTCAGGAGAAAATTCAAGAAGAATGAAACATCTAATTGCTTCAAAAGTTGACTTGGATTCGGTTTCTGTTGGTGGAAGCAGATTGACAAGCGTAGCAGATGACGATGACGACGACGACGAGGTTGAAGAAGATTTATGGAGAAATACTGGATCCCACCTTCAAGTCAGCACTAAAATTTTGTCGGAGAACTCAAAATTTTATGAGCGCTTGTATGGAGCATGTGTATACGTTCCGTCTGGTGCCAAAGATGGTGAAAGGGCAGACTCGGTTTTAATTTTTGGGGGACGAAAATCTCCAGCAAACCCTTGCACAAACGACTTGATTGAATTAAACTTGGATAACCCATTGTTGACCGGTGATGTGGGTAGCATCATTTTATCACCAACGTATGGAAAATGTCCACCTCCTCGCTGGCGTCATGGAATGGCCTTATTTGTTAAAGGAGGATCTCCATTCGTATTCTTATTTGGGGGACGAAACACAGACGTATGTCATACAGATAATTTGTGCGACTAACTTACATTTGTATATTTTAAAATATATATTTATACTTACATAAAGGTGGTACTCGGCGATTGTTGGTGGTATTCAGTGGAAGACTTTTCTTGGAGTGAAAGGATTAACACTGCAAAATCTGAATCAATAAAGACGATTGAAACCAAAGAGCCTGGTCCAAGACATTCCCATTGCATGGTCTCTGATAGTGATGGAAATCTAGTTTATATGCTGGGGGGCATGTCAGAAAATGATGCTGTTTTATGTGAAGATGCGTTTTGGGTTTACGATTCTGCCACAAACAAATGGAATAACGTACAAGACTTTAATTATTTTGTCAGAAGAATCGGCCATGCTGCGCTTAAACACAAGAACAATATAATAATTTTGGGGGGATATGGAGCAGATTCAACCTACGGCTTGGACTTTTTCGCAATTGTGATTGACTTGGAGACTAATATGATAAAACCAATTCGTCCGGTGAGTTTGACCTCATAAAACCGTACATACATAAACGATCTATAAATATATCATCGGATTATGTGCTAATTTTCAATATACAGACAATGCCCAGAGAAGAACTCTTTCTGCCATTTGGATTCTCAGCATGTATACTTAACGACGCCAAAGATGAATGTCCTAACATTGTCGTGTTTGGCGGTGGGGGAAATTGTTTTTCCTTTGGTAGTTATTACAACCAAGTGTGTTTTACTATTGCATTAGACTCTGAAACTGATGACAGATCTTCGTCAATTTAGTCACCGTCCCAAAACGAATAGTTGAGATTTTGAGATAAATTACCTATTTATTTTTAACGAAACGCTACAATATTCTACTGATATATATATTTATACAAGATGCACAAACTTTATTTTTGTTATACATATCCCCTCTGTGTAAATGCAGAGGAAAACCAAAAATACTAGTGTGAATATTCTTATAGTTCTTCCAAATATCATGAGATGAATGTCTGCTTGCTTTAAAGACTATCATTATTGTTTTTATGGTCATGAACAATGTAATAAATGCGTTGGTAATGAAAATCATCAAACCGTGTCTCCCTTTCCAGTTGTAAAGACTTTAAGACTTATACATATTCCTCATAAAAAAAACTTGCAAATCCTCTTCGCACCGTCTGCATTCACATAAATTATAAACAGATACCCAAACTACTAAACAGCTAAACATAAAATTCCCAGAAAATGGGGAACCGAATTTGTAATATTTTGAAAATTGCTATTCTCTTTCCATACCTTGCCACGTATCTTGTTTGCTGTTACATTAGAGGGTTCTTTCAACTATTTTCAAGATGGAAGAAATCTCTGAACGGAGAAACCATCCTGGTACATTATTGTCCTTGTCCTATTTATTTAATCGTTGAAATAACATAATAGTGAATAACTGGTCAGATAACGGGGTGTGGGACAGGAATTGGGAAGTTATTGGCCGTGAGACTGTCCGAAATGTACAAGGACAAGATTTCCCTGGTTTTGTGGGACATTAATCAATCATCCCTTGAGGATACGGTTCAAATACTTTTGGAGAACGGCACGCTCCGTGTATTTCCATACTGCGTCGACATTTCGAAACCGGAACAAGTTGTGGCCACCGCTAAAATGGTAATAAATGTAGAGCAAAATGGACAAAAAAGCTACAATTGTCGTGAATGACCTAAACTTTGAACTTGCTAGGTTCATTTACACGTTGGAAACATAACCGTGCTCATAAATAACGCTGGGGTGTCATACAACCGAGATTTTCTCAACTTGACTCCAGTGGAAATAGAGAAAACGTTATCCGTAAATTATATGGCACATTTCTCAATAATTAAAGAGTTTCTTCCCAACATGATTGAGAAGAAGAAGGGACACATTGTGGCAACGTTGGTTTTATTTAGTATATATATTAACTTTGAAATGTACTTGTTCCTATATTTGTATGGTATATCAATTGCAGTTGTTCTGTCGGAGGACATGTCGGTCTTCGGGGTAACGTTCCTTACTTTGCAAGCAAATTTGCAATCCGTGGTGCTATGACGGCCTTAAGAGAAGAAGTCCAGTTTGACCATCCTGATAAAACTGGACTACACTTTACCACTGTTTATCCGTGGTTTGTGAAAACTCCATTATTAGATCAACTTAATATCAAACTCAGGTTGGCTATTTGCTATTATTTAATCATTCACCCAGATCCAGACTGCATGCGTGCAAATGTATGTATGCATGCATTCCAAGTTGCATACAATTATCAATTTATGGATTTCTAGATTTCCAAAGTTAATGCCTCTGCTGGAACCAGCCTATGTCGCCAAGAAGATTGTTGATGGGATCGAATCAAATCTGGAGCATATCTTTGTTCCTCCTACATTTAAAGCATCTCTCTGGATGCTCAGGTACACCCCTTCTCTAAAATATCTAAAATCTCTAAAATAAATGACAATGGACAATATTCCTTAATTGTACTCTCAGAATTGTTCCGGAGGTGGTGAGATCCAAAATTTTAGATTTTATGATATTGGAATATCGCGGAGAATGATCCACCAGTTCCTAGTATTTGTGTAAGTGTGTAACAATTACAAATATCATGCAGAAGGGTCGTGAATAAATAAATATCAGTTGGTCTTACAAAATGCTGTTGGTATTTGCATGATTTTCCTCCATACCTAAATAATTGCATTTATTGTTACACCAAGACTTGCAAATAAATACACACATCTGCACATGTCTAAATGCAATAATAATAATTATTTTACAACTTTCGTATGTTATAGGGACATATTTTCTTACTGATTTTCACTACATGGAGCTTCGTAATAAGGACCTTTGTACATGTTACATAATATTAGGTGCATCCCAATTAAGTTTGTATGGTGGTTCAACGCTAAATCTAGGTCCACTATTTACCATATTTAAAATTGAAATTTTTCCTCGTTTTTTATACGGTAAGTAATTATGAGATTTGGGGTACTGATTCAAGTTAGCTGATCAACAACAATTCCATTGATGTAGTTTATGCTATATTCACAACGTAAGCAACGTACATTCTATAATATTGGTAACACGACCAGTAGAAATATGACTGTATAGCAATTAATAATCATTGATGTGGAGATTTGAAGGGCACAGCATGTACTCAAAACAACTTGTGCACTGTATCTGACGATGAACCAGAAATCCAATACACTAACGTTGCATAAATTGATGGTAACGCTAGACTGATTGCTGCTTAGTTTCGTATTAATTAGAACGCATGCAGATGAACAATAACTGTGTATCAACCAATGTATGCATGCATGTGCATATGCAGTTTGTTCCCCATCACCAATCGTACATATTTGAATTAAGTACGATTTACATATATTCTTATGTACATATATGTGCGATGATATCTAACAACAACAATGCCACCAACCAACTAGTGAAAAGTCAACAATGAAAATTCGAACGCCTTAATGCTGTTGATTCTGATTTAGTCATCAGTCGTGTGGCAAACTTATATTGCTTAAATCTTTGGTGTTTAGAAATATTTGCATATATTTAGTCGTCCTTAGTCAAGGTTTTGTTAGTCCAGTCGCAGTCCTGTGGGCATTATGACTAGTGTCAAATGTTGGTCAAGTCTGGTAGAATTAGTGGGGTACATACTCTTTGTGCTATACGACTATGTGCACTCCTTCTACAGATTATTTGTCCCAAAACCACTGAAATCTTTAAAATCCGAAATAATTTTGGTAAGCTAGGTTTTGGGCGAGAAAAATTATTCCAATAAATTGATCAAATAAAGAAATATGTAGTCGCGGTTTAATCACGATGATAATCATCATTTTCAGATTACTGGAAGTGCATCAGGTATCGGGAAAGAAGTTTGTTTTCATCTCGTGGAGGCTGGGGCGAAATGTTTAGTATTGTGGGACATTAATAAAACAGAAAATGAGAAACTTGCAACATCTCTTCGGAAAATGGGGGCTGCCGTTTATGCCTACGAAGTTGATGTAGTCGATAAAATAAGCGTGTCCACAACAGCGAAAAAAGTGAGACGAGATGTTGGAAAAAACGTTACCATTCTCTATAATAATGCAGGAATTGCTCACATTTCCAATTTCTTTGAATCTCAACCACACCAACTCGAGAGAACGATCCAGGTAATTATGCAAATTAGATTCTCTACTCGATGTGTATACCTTGTACATAAATACATATGCGCAGATGTAAAACTTTTAAAATTCAGGTAAATTTGATCTCCCACTTCTGGACCTTGAGAGAGTTCTTGCCCTCAATGATCGCTGAGGGAAGGGGTCACGTGGTCACCAGTTGTTCAGTACTCGGGATGAAGGGTGTTCGCAAGGCTGTAGCTTATTGCGGGTCGAAATTTGCGGTTCGAGGATATATCGAAGCTCTGGAAAGTGAACTGCGACACCTCCCAAACAAACCCAACATCAAATTTACGACAGTGTACCCATTTTTTGTGGACACTCCTATGGTGGATAATCTCAAGATTCAATACAGGCATGGCCTCATTCTATTATGGCATATACTAACTAGTACATTATGATTATCACGCAATGTAATGTATGAATGATAACTGTGTAGACTTGAAGGTTATTTTCTTATTTTTTCAGACTTGGTTTCTTGTTTAAACATTTGGACTTGTCCAGCGTTGCCACAAAAATAGTGGAAGGTATCCGACAAGAGAAGCACTCAGTAGTCATCCCGTGGTACCTTCAAGTTCTCATCGCATTACAAAAGTAGTACCAATCAATCTCTAACATACTCACTAGCAACTTTTGCATGTATCTGATGTATCCTGTTAAGTATTATGCTTTGATTTTTACACGTTTTCATTGTTTCTCGTGGTATATTGCAGTGTGGTAACTCAAGCGTCCATTGATCGTACAATGGATTTTTTCGTAAGAAATATCGAATATGAAGAAAAAAAGACAACGACGATCGATGCTGGGTCCATCAAAAGCAGTGCAGATTTGCTTCACCCTCTGGAAAACAACAATGGTTTGATATCTTTCATGGATAATTAATCAAATGAAGCCATTTTAAAAATAATTAATTAACCCTTTGTTAAGCCATTTCAATATTGTTTAAATGTGTAGACTTTAATAAACTGTACAGCATAAGTAGAGATACGTACGTCTTTTAGTAGTTAATTTATCATTCGTGCATGTCATTATTTACTCATCGCTCTATATCATCATCATAATAATAAAGATAGCAGCCATGAGTGGTTTATAGTGATTATGGTTGAGGTTCATTATCAATGGCATATGTACCCTATGGACACGTATACATCAAGCATTTTTATGGGATACCCATCACGCATTTTTCACAAATATGTACATACAAATAAACCTTTAATTAGTGCCGTATTCAGCCAGACACACACGAAGAAACTAACTTATACGAAACATAGCATTAATATTTTTCGAAATGGGGGTTGAATCGAAAGAGAACAGACGGTCGTCGTCGTTAATTCAGAAAGCCATATCTTTCTGCTTTCTTGTCATTTTTGCAATTTATTGTTACTTGAGACTATTTTATCGGTTCATTGTACCACGATCGTTGAAACCATTAAACGGTGAAATTTTTCTAGTAATAACCATTTGCATATTTAACTAGTGATTACAGCTGCAGGGACAATTTATACAACTGCTATTCGTTAGATCACTGGATCTTCGTCCGGAATTGGGAAAGCTGTAGCATTGCACTTGGCCAAGCATCATCCAGAAACGAAATTGGTTCTCTGGGATCAAAATCTGCGTCTTAACCTACAAACGGCGTTCGAGGCAAGAAAACTGGGCGCCATAGTGCATGCCTATGAGGTGGATGTAACGGACCGTAAGAAAGTTCGTGAAACGGCTTTAAAGGTAAATCTTTAACAGCAAGCAACTGCTGTTAAGGGCTAATATGCAAACCAAGTTTCCGCTCAGGAAAGAGTAATTACTTACTAATGGTAAATGTATTAAAATTAGGTTCAGAGCGAGGTTGGAAACGTGACCATTCTGTATAACAACGCCGGCATCGCTCAAGGAACACAGTTCTTTACTTGTCCTGAACAAGAACTGGAGAAAACTATCCAGGCAAGTATGCCAACATTATTCCAGTTGCTTATGGACATTAATAATAATAATGCATGCACACGTTGTGCAATTTTACAATATATAAAATATATAGGTCAACTTGATTTCCCACTTTTGGACGCTCCGAGCATTTTTACCTTCCATGATCGCCAATAATCATGGCCACATCGTGACCACTGCGTCGCTGGGATCGTTCTTCGGACATAAATCTTGTGTCCCTTATTTTGCTGCAAAATTTGCTATCAGGTAGATCTACACTTGTAGATCTACACATCTATGTGTAAATTTTAATTATCATCATATTTAATTATATGTGTAATTAGAGGATACGTCGAGTCACTACAAGATGAGCTTAATTCCATGCCGGACGTTCCGGATCAAGTTTATTTTACTACCGTGTACCCCGGTTTCACGGAAACGCCAATGACTGCAAAGTCTCAAACTGCCGTTGGGTAATAAATAATGCACTTGATTAAAAACAAAATTAGCTGTATTATACGCTAATAAATAGTCCGTTATCACAACAGCCTTGGGAAAAAGACTTACTTGAAAGCTAATTATGTGGCAGAAAAAATTGTGGAAGGGATTCGACAAAATCGACAAGGAGTCGTGATTCCACGCAGTGCAGAAGTAGCAATTTTTATGAAAGGGTGAGCAAACAATACTGCGAGCTTAAAGCTACGAAATTATTAATTTGACACATTATTCTGTAGACTGATGCCAGAGAAATTATTTTGGGAAATTCGCCGCTATCTAGTCTCAAACCAGCGGAAGGCTCAATAAATTCCATAAATTTGTGATTTTAAGGAATCAAAATTTATATATTCAATTAATGTTTGTAATATCAATTATTGAGAATGTACTTGCATAATAAAATATTTATTCGAGGAGTACATATACATACGCAATATTTGTTTTCCTTTGTGGACATGTAGGGATAAATATGTCCATATAAATAGTTACGTAATATGCGTAAAAATAGAAATAATACAAGTTTGTATACAAATAAAAACTGAATAATTTAAGAGCAATCTATTTATCTACCTCCAAAGCATACGGCACCAATATTCGTTTTTTATTGACTGACATATAATCAATTTCAATCTCATTCTCACCAACTGTCAAATGTAGAATGGTAAGCTCTACGAAGGTCGAATGTGATGATGATGCTCTTTCTAATGATTTGTCCATAGGATGATGTGATGATGTTTATAATAAATTCGAGACATAAGAGATTGCGAGGAGACAATGTCCAACGTGCAGATCAACTGACTTTTCTACATTGACAACCAATGAGGTGTTACCAACTGACTGGTCAAGGGTCAAGCGAATTTCCAAACGCATTTCTCCCGGTAAGACCAAAAATTAATCATCATTTAATTAACAACCTCATCCAAGTCCACTACCATTACTCTACGCACCTACTGAATTATACCAAACCGTGAAAAACTTAGCTGTGCAAATATGGCAGAAAATAAGGAAATAAGTGAAAAGGTGCTGACTGTTTTAAAAGTGATTGGGGAAGTTCTGCTTATGCTCCTTTATGGACTCTACTGCTATGCAAACCTACTTTTTAGGGTATTCGTCCCAGCCCCCAAAAAGTCATTGGATGGAGAAATTATGCTGGTATGAAAGCGTCGCCAAAAATTTAGTTACGATTTATGAAAAATGCAGAAGCGTGTATACATACACAGCTTACTTATACCGTGATATGTAGATAACTGGATCGTCTACGGGGATCGGGCGAGAAGCGGTTCTTCAGCTAGCCAAGAACCATTCGAGAACAACCCTGGTCTTGTGGGACTGGAATGACGAGGAAAACAAAAAAACTGCCAGTGACGCAAAAAAACTTGGAGCCAAGGTTTTTGCATACCAATTGGACGTTACAGATCGATTGAAAGTTGAAGAAACTGCGAAAAAGGTACGAAATCAATATCAAATATTCATATCAACTGACGACTGGTCGTGAAATAAATATACTTCAATTTAGGTACAACAAGAGGTTGGGGATGTGACTATCCTCTGGAATAATGCAGGAATTGCCAGAGTGAAAGACTTGATCAACTCAAAACCGGAAGATTTGGAGAAAACAGTCCAAATTAATCTGATCTCCCACTTTTGGACGCTCCGTGCATTTTTGCCAAGTATGATCCAGGTAAACGTTCGGCGAATGAATATATAGGTAGAAAATTTATGAATCCCCACATGGAAATATTGTCCATGGATGCGAAGAAAATAATCATATTGGTAGAATCGATGTAGAGTTACACCCCTTTGTCTCAAACTTGTCCTCTGATAAATATGTTGTGTTGTTTTACATATTATGTATATATTTCCAGAATAATCACGGCCACATTGTCACCACTGCATCTCTGGGTTCCTTCTTCGGCGCTAAGTATGGTGCTGCTTATTTTGCTGCAAAGTTCGGAATCAGAGGCTATCTAGAATCCGTGCAAGATGAGTTACGGGTTCACCCTTTGAATCCAAACAAGATAAAATTTACTACTATTTTCCCCTCATTTATTAAAACTCCGCTAACAAAAGGTGTAACTTTAAGTGTGAAGTAAGTTATAACATTTGAATATGTACAATACATTCATGAACTTTTGTTCGGTTTTCATGCATATTTAAACCACTTCACTAATCATTGCAGGGGAGCTAATGAGAAGGACGTTTGGCTTAATGCTGAAAATGTGGCCACCATAATCATCGATGGAATCCAGCGAAATTTGGAGAAAGTCATTATTCCAAAAGGCTTCGAACTAGTCATTCTTTTCAAAAGGTATGTAACCACCCATAACGTGAATAATGGAACATTGTGCCAATTTTCGCACTCTGTATTTATAATTTTTTGCATTCTTTGCGTAGTCTTACGCCCTTTGCATTCTTCCGGGCAGTGAATAACAAACTTTTTGACGGAGACTACAAGGAAGACTAGGCTGACAAGCCATACTCCAATGAATTGAATTGTTAAGGTATCCCTATTGCTACATGCATATTTAATAATACTTTCCAGACATACATATATACCCATTATAAATCTATTAACATCCCAGTCAACATTAACAACTGACTAAAGTCAAAAGTGCGTGCTTTATGTATAAATATGTATAATTGAATAAAATGAGTTGTCATTCTTGTCATCCATGTGCAATAGAGTTTTGTTATTGGTTAACATCAGCGTTATCACTGTCCAACCTTTGACTTATTCACGATTGTGCATTTAATGTTGTACCACCACTGCGCACTGTCACTTTGCAGCTTCTGTCAACCACGAATTTCAGGTTCAAGTGCTGGTGATCTCTAACTCGCAGGATGATATGAGAATATTCCTCATCAAGCACCATTTAACGGTCTCCAATTCTGTTCATTTCCACATTTGTGATTTAGCAGCTCAGACAAATTATCCCTCTCATCTTGGTATCAATAAGTCACAAAAACTGATATTTTTATTATGGAAGCCCAAAATCTACTGGGAAAGGTTCCCAGCCAAAATACGTTTTTCAGTGGATTGCTAGAAGTTATCTTTCTGATAACTTACACTGTTTACACGTACATTCATTTAGTGTACCGATGGATCCGCCCACGTCGTTTGAAATCCCTCGATGGTGAAGTCTTTCTTGTATGTACTAATTTTTAAAAAATGCATAGCACATTAGATTTCATATGGCATGTCTCATCGTATATGTATTTGTCTAAATAAAGATCACGGGGTCCGCTAGTGGTATCGGCCGAGAAGTAGTTTACAATTTGGCAACCAACCATCCGCGTACCATTCTAGTGCTTTGGGACTCCAACGAGTCGGCTAACCAACATATTGTTGACGCTGTTAAACTTCTGGGGGTCGAAGTCTTCAGCTACACCGTGGATGTTACGAATCGCGAGGAAGTGGAAGAGTGTGCCAGAAGGGTAAATTTGTGCAACCTGCGATCTGAATTATATGTACATATGAAAGTTTTACACAAATTGAGGCAAAGTTATTGTGCATTTTAGGTGTTTGACGAGGTGGGGTTCGTTAGCAGGTTGTTCAACAATGCTGGAGTTGTAGGTTTAGGAGACCTGTTGAGTCAGACACCGGAAAAGATCGAAAAAACAATGGATGTAAATGTCCTATCGCATTTCTGGATTCTACGGTATAAAACTGTCGCCTAAAATTTAAGACTGATTAAACTGATTAGACTGATTAAAAATATGGAAAAAATAAAATTTATTACAAATACAGCTCCTTCCTACCTCAGATGATCGAAAATTTAGACGGTCACATAATTACCACATGTTCTTTGGCAGGACATATTGGATTGCCTTATGACGTTCCTTATGCGGCCTCGAAATTTGCAGTTAGGTTGTAGGAATTAAACTAACATAACCTAACTATATACTCGGCGCAATAACTCACTTTTTACCTTTTTAGGGGATATATCGAGTCTGTCAAAGCGGAAATGCGCCTCCATCCCCTGAAACCTAAAATTAGATTCACAACTATTTACCCCAGTTTTGTTAACACACCCCTCATTTCTAGAGTTGTTTACAAGTTCAAGTAAGCTGCCGTTTCATTTTTAATACGAATGTACAAATTCTGGAATTATATATACTTGATTTATTTACAGAATGCAATTCCTATTTAATCCTTTGGAGCCCCGTTACGTGGCTGAGAAGATAGTTGAAGGCGTGAGGAGGAATGAGGAGGAAGTGTTTGTTCCTAGAATCGGAGAATTCCTCGTCTTTTTGAAAGGGTACCAAATATTCTATACATTAACCATTTCTGCGATTTGTTGCATTTCTTTTCTATCGTTTTAGAATCATGCCGAAACGAGCCTTCCAAAAGCTAAGCGACTCGATGATCGAGTCCCTTTATTTCAAGGAGGAGAAAGTGCAGTAGTGGAGAAAGCAGAATGAACAAAGAACTAGAACTGCTTTCAGCCTTGGAAACTTGTAATTAACGATGGAATATATTTATAGATATTTTATTGTGGCAAGAGTTCATTGGCCATATTCCATGTAGATTGTACTATATAAAAACATTAATAAAAAGTACGTATTTCGTACGTATTGTATAAAATGATGCATTTCAAAATTTCCAGTTAATTGAAACATCCAATAACTGATAAATTAAGTAGTAGTCGGTAAAATGCACATAATTATTAGCAACGGGAAATGAATTATAAGAAAGAGATTATTATGGCGTCACAAAATTCCGCAGTTTCAGTTCCAATCCCGGAAAGACCGATTGGAAACAGTAGTGATGCAATTAACTCGGATCATTCTCTCCCCGTGAAAATCCTCCAGCTCTCAGAAAAGGAACAAAAGTCAATGAATCCATCAAAAAGTCTAGACATATTTATGCCACAATCAAACCTTATCCGAGAGCGAGTTAATTTGCATAATGCGGAAAAAGTTCAAGTATACAACGTAGTTCCATCAGATTCTAAACGGAAATCTTCAGCTTCGAATGCAAGTGCATCTCCTACAAGCTCTTCCAAGGAGTTACATAAACATCAAAAACACAAAAAAGATTATGATTCTTCTTCTGGGTCCCCTGGATCAGAGTCGTCCAACTCTAATACCGATGATTCTAGCGATATTGGGCAGTAAGGAATAACTGATCGCAGGTTTAAATTGAATTTCACCCCGCTCCCAATGTAATCAAGTGGGCACGTGATTTTTGCGCGAAAATATTCTGCGATCATTTATTCCATAATGACCAATAGTTTGCCAACAAATGAAGCCTTAGACGGATCTGTGAAAATTACAATCCATCAGAACGGTCACAAACATGATGGCAAAGATTCTCGGTCTGGATCTAGTCAATCGGGAAGTGAAAATTCTAAACGAAAGCACAATGATAAAGGCGATCATTCGCATGACCGTTTACAGAAGATGTCCAATTCTAGTAGCAGTGGATCAGTTTCAGGATCAGGAAGCTATTCGGGAACCTTCTCTGGATCTGGGTCAAGCAGTTCAGGGTCCAATCACATGAGTAGCGCTGATACTACTGTTATAACGGTCAATACAGAATATAACTTGCACGATCTTCAAGCAGACGGTTATCATGGCAAGTCCAATGACCATCACCATGTGCTAAATGATCATCACAACATTTCAAACGATCATCACAACATTTCAAACGATCATCACAACGGGTCAAACGATCATCACCACGGGTCAAACGATCATCACCGCGGGTCAAACGATCATCACCGCGGGTCAAACGATCATCCCAACATTTCAAACGATCACCATCACAGGTCAAGCGATCATCACCACGGGTCAAACGATCATCACTACGGGTCAAACGATCATCACCGCAGGTCAAACGATCATCACCGCGGGTCAAACGATCATCACCACGGGTCAAACGATCATCACCACGGGTCAAACGATCATCACCACGGGTCAAACGATCATCACCACGGGTCAAACGATCATCACCGCGGGTCAAACGATCATCACCACGGGTCAAACGATCATCACCACGGGTCAAACGATCATCACCACGGGTCAAACGATCATCACCGCGGGTCAAACGATCATCACCACGGGTCAAACGATCATCACCACGGGTCAAACGATCATCACCACGGGTCAAACGATCATCACCACGGGTCAAACGATCATCACCGCGGGTCAAACGATCATCACCGCGGGTCAAACGATCATCCCAACATTTCAAACGATCACCATCACAGGTCAAGCGATCATCACCACGGGTCAAACGATCATCACTACGGGTCAAACGATCATCACCGCAGGTCAAACGATCATCACCACGGGTCAAACGATCATCATCATGAACGACCAGATTCTCGCCGCTATGATGATGGTGGATCGATTCTTTTAGAATGTCACACCCCAGGAAAGCACCAACTTTTGGACATTGACCATCAAGGCTATTATCCTTACTACCAACCTCAATCTTGGGCCTACAGAAACAGTCCTCACCGGAAACCTGCCTATCACTTATCCATGGAACGAGTTCCCATCGGAAGCAATAATGTTTCCTCTTCAATTCAGAATGCAAACCCCTGTTCCACTCGTGGGGGTATTTCGGACGCTTTCACCTATGAAACAGGAGAGGAGTGTGAGCCATGTCCTGAAGAATGTGTAGACATCTGCAATAAAGAACTTCTACAAGATGACGAATGTGATGACGATCCATGCTTAAATGAATGGAATACTGCCACCATGGGAGTAGAGTGCGATATTGAAGGCACTGGTGGTACCCAAGTCTCCAATCTAATCCCAACTTGTTGCGCCGGTGAATGTGGATGTGTACAATTAGGCGAACTTCCTCAACAATACTATTCGTCCAGACTATCTCCCACTTATCAGGACTATGGTCCACCCTTCTCACCCGGGTTTATCCAGCCCTTTAATCAAATTACAACTCCTAGTTGTAGTCCACAATGCACATTTCACAATGAAAATAATGTGCTTCGTAATGAAACCACTGATACCAAACGGAAACGCAAGAGAAAGAAGAAGTGCGTTAACCAGTGCGGACCCTCGGATGCGGAGAAAGCAAAAGATTTCCTCAGCGGGCTCGTGTTTTTACAAAAGTTGATCGGTATGGTTGTCAATGAGGTTGATGTTGTAATGATTACTATTGTATTGACTCTGTACGACCGTTTAATAATTTCAGCCGCTACTACTGATCCTCCAAAATCATATGATACAAAACCACAAGTTTGCTGTCTAATGCCCATTTGTCCCCCATGGTACTCATCGTCGATGTCATGTCCTCAGTACCAAATGCTTTGTCAAACCCCTTGCATCATCCCAGAGAATAGAGGTGCAGACCAGGGAGCAAATGTCTTTGAAATTGAGGAACGTAATGATTTAGCGTCTGCCGACACTAACAACCTTTGTCAAAACTCCCCCATGCAAACCCAAACCGACGAAAGCTCCTCCTGTATATCCTGCAGCGAAAGCAGTGATTGTTGTGATGACGTCGTGTCCCGTGAAATTCAAACTGACCAGGAGAACCGACGTGGGGAGATCTATGCTTTAAAAGGTATCACAGAATGTTGCAGAATTCTATCAGTTTGCCTTCAAGAGTTTTCTTCTGATGGGAAGGGAAGCAAAAAACCCATAAATTCTGACAGGAGGCAGTATGGAGAAAGCAGTGAAAATTGCGAGTCCAGTGAGTCGTCATCATCTTCTGAAGAGGAAAGTAGCAGCGAAGAAGAATCTGACAAGTCCGACAGCGACGAGGATTCTGACAGTAGCTCTGATTCTGATTGCGAGTAATTTCTAATTTCAACATGAGAGTAGCATGATTTGCTTATACAATTATTTGTGCATACGGCCCACTCACATTTCTTGAAATTTTATATAAAGTACAACTTTATGAAAATAAAATTTGCTTCAGTAAATCCACTTTGAGAATGAATTTTTTTCGTGAATCCGCAAGCAATGTGAGACTCGCAATAAAACCAAATATCGAATGCATTGGATGAGAGTCTCATCTCATGTTGATGTGAACGAGAAGCCGGTGAGCGAACTCGCGTAAAATTTCTTCACTCGTCTCGCCGTATTTTGATTTCTTATTGTTCACCGTTTTATCGGAGTAAATAAGGAACAAAAAAGGGGGAGATGGAGAAAGGGTTGATATCAACGTTCTTCGATATTATTCAGTCTTTGGCCACGGCGGTAGTGGTACTAGTTTACATAATCTACTCATATTTCGAAGCCTTTTGGAGATTATTGCGACCGAAACCAGCCAAGTCACTTGCCGGAGAAATTATTTTGGTTTGTTGCGTCACAATTTACCAAACAAACTATAATATTTTCTAGTGTTTGTGGATTAATTTGATGTAAATGGTAATTTGTAATACAAATTTTGTATTCTCAGGTAACTGGGTCAGGAAATGGAATTGGGCGTGAAATTTGTCTTCAATTGGCGAATTCTGGAGCTAAAATTGTTTGCTGGGATATTCACAAAGGGAATAACGACGCGTTAGTCAAGTCTTTAAGGAAATTGGGCGCATTTGCGTATGGTTACATGGTCGACGTATCGGATAGATCTACTGTGGAGTGTTTTGCAGATAAGGTTGCACATTGCTATTTTTTGCCGACATGAATCACTCCTTCTTGTTTGAACTAAACTGAATTGAGCTAAAAATTATTGTATTTATAGGTTAGAAAAGAAGTCGGCGAAGTTACTATCATCATCAACAATGCAGGGGTAGCTCCTTGTCAAGAGTTTCTTAAATGTAATCCACAACTAGTCGAGCACGTTTTTAAAGTAAATGTACTCTCCCACTTTTGGATTTTACAAGAATTTCTTCCCAATATGATCGAGTGCTCAAAAGGTCACGTGGTGACGATGTGTTCATTTGCTGGGTTAAAGGCTACTCGGAACATGGTGCCCTACAATGGGTCCAAAGCAGCCATTCATGGCTATTTGGAGTCTCTGAAATCGGAAATTCGACATCATCCTAAGAAACCGGATATTAAATTTACAACCGTTTACCCTTCTGCAGTCAATACGAGATTATTTAAAGGACTATGCTGCAGATTTAGGTATTTATTACTCAATACATGATATACTATGACCTGGTTGGGTAATTGCTAAAATCTATCTCTTAAATTGTATTTTTTTTGTATAAACTTTAGATTCCCATATTTTACGCCAGTTCTTGAGCCGGAATATGTCGCCAGACATCTTCTAAATGGTTTAAAAAGGGAAATAGAGTATGTCTATTGTCCACCGCACATACCGCTGTATTTGTTCCTAGAAAAGTAACATCCTCAAACATAAATACAATATGCAATAAGTAAATCAGTATTTTTAATACTCTTGTGCTCTTTTTAACCTGATTTTGCAGTTTAATCCCGAACAAGGCCAGAGGAGCTGTTACAGATTTTCTTATGCCCTTATTCGAACCCATTTCTACCACCAGCAATAAATCTCAACTGGATTCTCATTGCACTTCATCCTCTTTGTAGCCAATTTTTATTATGCTATTCCTAGTCTTACCATGTATTTTAAAACAATTGCTATTGTCCTTCCTTATGTGCTCTGTGATACACTTATAATTATGTAATGGTAAATGATTAATCCTTGATCTCAATCTTTAAAGCAGATCTGTGAATAAATAAGTAAAGTCAAGAAGAATTATTTAGTTTTTTAATCTGTGAGAGGGATGCAATTGGTTCAATGAGGTATGGATAAGATAGGCATATGTGGCAAGGTTTTAAATCCATGTTGTTCAACAGGACACTCAATTGTGGATAAAACATTTTCCATTCATGATCAGATATCTCTGCGGTTTTCGAGGATTATTACATTTTCATTTACACTGCCAGATGAGAACTCACTTTGCACTTCAGTATCAGTATGTTACATTACATTTCATTGTTATACCACCACCACCTTGCTTTGTCCAGCATTGGAAATCAAACGAGTTCATTGTCATTTGATGGCAAGCGATCTCATTCTGTTATGCAGATTTAGTCATGAGAAAATCTTATCGCCCTGAGGATATTTGCGATTTATTGTAACCACAATTTCTTACTTCCACTCTGCTTGTTGTACTGCACATAATACGCAGTGCACAACATCAACGGTTGCATAATATTCAAAAGTAAATTCTCTGTATACATTCTCTGCAAACTCTAGTTTGTATGCCGTACCTGAGCTATTCGAATTGTAATCGTTACATAAATAAGAAACAGCAACAAATCGTGGTGTGCAGTATGTGCATATGTACGTCGTACGTTGGCACGCTGTAAGCATAATTTATATAAACTAGAAAGGAAATACAGGCGACGAGGGACACCTTAAATATTTACTTATTGCAGATTATCTCATCTGAATGAAGAACTTTGAAGCACGCTCACATAATAAATATAATATGCACTTTTCAACTAAAGAAGTACAATAACTTGACCAATTTGGTTCAAGTTGGTTGCTCCATTTAATTACTCCGAGTTCAACAACGGTTCGGTTTCCAGCACTTGATTTTCGTGTCTCCCCCGAGTCTGCTCAGAAACATTCCCCGGAAAATCAACCTGTTTTTGAAACCTGCTTCTAAAAGAAATCACCACACAATTTCAGTCGTCTAATAATGAATCAGATCAAGAACGAAAATACCTTAAGTTTAACATCTAAAACTCTCCCAAACAATGATGACGCGGACTTGCAGAGTTGGAATATTAACGTAAATGAAGACGCTCACACAAGGGAGTCTTTTATTTCTGTGCCAATTTCTGAAGGCGAGGAAAAATCGAAAAATATTATTAGCCAATCTGGAAAGGATGCCACGACAGGAGGAGAAACCAATAAGACGCAGAAGGGATGGAAGAAATACAGAGGAATAATTTTGACAATTGTCGCAGCGATACAGTTTTCGCTAAGTGCACTCATAATCAAAGTGTTAGGTTACCATCCCTTCAATCTCGGCGTTTGGAGGTTCTTGGTGATGATGATCATTCCCATACCATTTATCTGGCATGCACTTTTCTGGAAGAAACAAAAAGTCTTCAAAGCACTTTGGCCAGTCAACTCCACGCTGGTTTACTTGGTGGTGAGTATATTTACATGTAATTGTAATGTACATATGCAAACAGTGCTAAATTTACTATTGAAATTTCAGTTCCAAGCCATCGTAGGATCAAATTCGCTTGTCCTCCTGTTTTATGCACTAGAACGATTAAACGTCGCAGATGCGCTGGTCATTTCCACAAGTAAAGTTTTATCTATATATTTAAGTATATTTTGTATATTCCTTACTGTTAATCAAGTAATTTTTAAAAGGTGCTCCGATTTTCGTTACGCTGCTCGCCTTCTTCCTGTTGAATGAGAAATCTGGCATATTTCCGTTTTTCATGGCGATTCTGACCCTACTTGGCGTTGGTATAATATGTCGACCTCCAATTCTCACTGGGGCTGCCACCTATGATAATAATTTGATGGTAGTACCTCTTGAGGAATTTATGCAAATTTTTAATGGATACAAAATTATCAGTGATATAAATTTGCATTCTTTATTTAGATTGGAGCAGCAGTAAGTTTTGGAAGCATGTTGTGTCTTGCGACGTCCTACATAATTATTCGCTACCTTAGAACGGTTCATCATGCCGTCGTCAATTTCTTTTTCTCTGCGTGGGGGTTTTTCCAGTGTGTGAGCATCGCATACTATTTGGATGTTCTAGGTCTCCCTAAAAATTGCACCGAAGTGTTTCTAATCATTGCAACAGCAGTCTTAGCGTTTAGTGCCCAAACTTTTCTTACGTTGGGATTAAAATACGAACAAGCAGGACCAGTCAGCCTGGTCAGAACGACGGAAATTTTATTTGCATTTGGATGGCAGCTCATTTTCCTGGGAGTGGTTCCAGATTTATTTAGGTAAGACGGCTGAGTGTGAAAACTGGTGTGTTTGAAATGTTATTTTGTTAATGTCTAATAAAATTAATGATCTTGTACTTGGCACCTGCAGTGTACTTGGAGCTTTTCTGGTGATATTTGCCGTTGGTTTAACTGCAATCAGGAAGATGCTCGCTAATCTACCTGACGATCACAAATATAAGAAAATGTGTGGAGTGTTGCTCCGCTAATTATTTTAGTCAATCGAAAATACGCAATACTTTTGTACTTGATTTTTTTGACGATAACGCAAATAAAGTGCATATTTGACATTAAAATTAAATATTAAAATATGTCATTCATAAGTGCATGACTGTTTATATCGGTGCGTTTGAATCTTTGTGCGAATAAATAAGCATATCATTTTGCTTTGTCGCATACATACGATCCACATATAGATTAGTGGTGGTTAGAGTTGGTACACATAAATACAAATGCTATAGAATAAATGTCACGCAGGCGTAACATATATAATATTCAGATAAAGTAATGCCGTAAAAGAGTAACCACCGTGTGGACCGTGAATAAGTAAACCACTTATGCAACAGTGTAATTCAAAGATCGTAATAGCTCTTTGAACTCGTATCAGATCAGTTTTAATTACTTATCTGTGGAAATGTTGCTTCTTCTATCTAGGTGTACATCCTCGACATACTACCCGTTGTCTTCTATAGTTATTGTGCATATGCGTCACCCTGGCAAGGCCTACAAGTAGCTTTATTTCAACAAAGGCGTTTAGTTGATTTTTGGTTTGGCATTGATCATGTTCCCAGTATTTCTTCTTCTGGTCGTCGTTCCATGAACCTGTTTTCATTGAATTTCATAATCATACAACTCTACTCTGTACACCTGAGTCACATTATAGTTATCCTGCTAAGGACTTATTTTGCTGTAATGATATCGTTATCCCAAGTGACCAAAAGAGTGTGACGTGGGTGGCAAATTAGTATTGGCATCCTTTATTGAGAACATTTAAACAGAAAGTTAGTTCCAAGGCGTTTGTCTCTATTTGCCTCCAGCGTTTTCATATAACAGATAATAATACATGCTCCAAAGTTTCTTAAGTTCACAAATGTTGTTTGGTTTATAAGTGGCAATTGTCGTTGTTCCAGCATTAAAAATCTGTTTACTCGTAATTTCAAGTGTATACTATAAATTAAAACGATGTGTTCACCAACATCAAGTATATTGACTGTAATTTTGTTAGCAGTTGCTGTTTTTGATGAAAGTGAAGGGTACGTTATAAGCAATAGATTTTTTGTGACACCACGCTTCCAAAATTTTGGAAACTCCATAGTTTTGGGTGAAAGTTCTGAAGAAGAGCGTCAGGACGTTGCAAGAATTGCTACTCCAATTCGTATCTTCGTTCCGACGAGGTCTCACAGAATAACTCGGTATGCTCATTTTGCATATTTTTACTAGTTATGTTATATCATAAATGGCAAAGTGTTAAATCTAGGAGCTACTGCAACTTCTCAATATCCTTGAATATGTAATAGAAAACACTTAACAAAAGCAGGCATTTTATGCGTGGCGTATCGTGCTCACAGAAATAATGAGAAAATATACTCTTAGGTATATTTACCTAAAAAGTTGTTATTGTTATTCATGTTCTGCCAATTCAGCTACATATATCATAATATGATTAACGTAGACGTATGAAATCCCTCTATTTACGCATAAATTGTTCAATAAATCTCCAGCATAAGATTTCGTAATACTTCTTGTTATCTTTCATGATTGTATCAAATTGTATGAATACAGACTCATTGGTCCAGCATGTGAAAGTGAGTCTCAGCGGTTGGATCCCATTAGTCTTGCCTGCTATGAAATTGACACTGTCGGTCCTTGCGGCTCCCGAATGCTATTCAAGAAACATCCGGAAGAGCAAATGTACGGTCACTGTGCGTGTGAACCGAGTGGAAATAATAATCGACCCATGGTAGCCGTTCGAGGACAGTGTCACTTCCTTTACTCACAGGTGGATAAGATTTAATCATTTAATGCTTCCCGTCAATAGAAATACCCATCGTTTCCCTTATTCTTTATTGTTTGCTTAATGAGTACCTCATTAAACAAACTCGCATGACTTTTTGCTACCCAATGTAAGACAAAGAAACAAGCAGTACATACGAAATACATAATTCTTGCATACGTATCAAAACAGGGTATTTGTGACCGTGGATATTCCCTCGTGTTGGAGTCATCTGCCATATATGGCTTAGAGCCAGTTTGCCGGCCCAACCCATGCGTACGATATGGCAAGCAAGGTGATGCCACAGATGAGCTCGTACCGTTTGAGGGTCACTGTGTCAGGCTGAATGTCCCGTCAGTCCTCTGTCCCCACAAGAATGACGTGGTGTCTTTTAAGAGAGGAAACTTGAGACCCGTCTGCACCACCGGCCCAGAGAAGATCACACGACGACGACTCTTTAGAAGACAAATTACGAAAACTAATGAACTCAGATGTCAAACGGGCTATGGCAAAGCAAAGGCTGGGAGCACGAGGTGCTACAGACTATTGAAAATATCCAATAGTTAGAGGTAGTCAATTTAATAACCTTAAAGTGATATATGTTGTATTGATATGATTGTGTACAATTGTGTGACAGCGGCGTTTGATTGAATTTAGTTAGTGAGAGCAAATCTACATGATACCTTCAACATACACGTTTCTAATATATCAGTATTCTGCACATTGTATCAATCAAATGTCTGGTACTCTTGATTTCTGCATTATGCGATCTGCACAAAATCTTTTAGCGACTCGTTAATAAAATACTACACGAGTACACAAATGTTATGTGATGTGATATGGGGGTAGTACATAATTTTAGTTATTTTGTATATGCATGTACATACCTATAACTGTTGTAATTATTTTACATGGACACTCTTGGAGTTCGCTACATTTCAGCTGAATTTATGCAAAGTGGAGACAAACTTGTGTCAATTTTGTAGCCAGAACGAGGAAGGTGGACTGAGAAATTATTAAAAGTATTAGAAAAAATAACAATGTGATTGATTATACTTAAGATTTAATTTATATGCAAGTTTTTTAACGTACGTACACAAGTTGTTCTTTGGTTTATTCTACATAGATATGTGCATATCTGTGCAAAGTTGAAAATAAAAATAAGCTCTTTTACAACGATACACGAAACATCGCTGGTTAATAAAGGTATCAATGTGTTTTAATATTTTCTTATAAACAACCGCATTCTGAAACAATTTGGCTAAAAAACTTAAGCAATTATATTTAGCTCGGTTCTTACAATTTCCCATCATAATTGACAATCTAATTACAACTTCCAACTGTCAGCTTGTTAATCTGTGTTATCAATTATATTTCGACAGCTTCGTTTTTGCTGTGCATGCAAATAATAAGCATGGAACACGGAAATTAATTACTTTGAAAAATGTAAATATGTAGCATGAACTAGAGGCTCCATTGGGCTAGTGTAAACGTATGGCGGAATTGCCACTTTATTTAATGACCAGTTGGAATGCAATTCAAAATTAACGAGTTTACTAAAAAGCAAGTAGCGGATCCCATTTAAATATTTTATTTCAAGTATCCTGTGTTTCCCAAGCTGCTCCTTAAGTGAAAATACTTGAAGACTTGGTCGTGGCAGATCTTCACAAGTAGTTCTTTCAACAATAATCCGACGCTTTCAAAAGTCCAAACGAGTTCACATCTTCGTGATTACGAGACGTAAAAATTATTGATTTTATCTCCACCCCATAAATACGAAATGACACGGCATTATGACATACGTATGCATATATATGTAAGTACCTACCCATGCAGCTCCTGATCTTTTTTTATTATCATTTTGCATCGGCAACTTTCAAAATTGAACTCCATCGAGATAAACATAAATGTGCCATAATTTCAGTTCAGTTTGCTCAAAATAATAATTATAAAACCAGAATTTCGCAGGCACAACACGAGACATGACCTATGTGGGTCCGCTTTATTAATATTAAAACATGAGAGACAAAGACAAAAAAGATGGCTCCAGACAACCTCACTTTTCAGCTCTATTGACCAAATACATAGATTTTTCATGATTAGCCAAGTGCAGAGATTAAGTTGTGCAACTATTAGGTTGAACACTCACCTTGCCATCGGATAGGACATTATTTTGCAAAACAACAACCACTTTTATGTTACGAAAACTCGTCGCATCTTAAAAGCAAGATTCCTGATTCCAGGCATGCATGGAAGAAATACATAAACCAGTAACTCATTATACTTCTATCACAGAAAACATCTTTGGTTTATAGATACATATTATATGTGTTCATTGCAATGCACATACATACATTCATACATATTTAAAATCCTATTAACCAACCCAATGATTAAGCAGTAATTCGTGATTCCATATTTTGTCTGATTGTCCTGACAAATTGGATGGCAGATTAATCTGACAGTAGTTTAAATATTGGCTTGTTTTTTCAATTGATTTATAACACAAGAGTTGCATAATTTACATAATTCTTGCATTTTATCGCAATTAAGCTGCTGATTTTACTGTATTCAATGAGGTGAATTTTAAGCTAACAAAATTGTTGTAAATTGCACAAGCCTGTTGTACTCCTTTAAAAGGTAGTAAAATAAAAGTATGAAAAAATGCTTTTTATTAGAGTGTCAAGAGCAAGAAATGACTGATGATGAACCCGAATTGGTGGTTCATAGTACCCCGGAAACGCTTACAAATTCATCCGAGGTTCCTGGCCCATCAACTGAAATGCCGACCCCAAGATCAAAATCCCGTCAATCTCGTCCTAATCCATCACTTTCATCGCAACTCAAAATTCCTCTTCCATCCGTGGCTACCACGTCATCCGAAAAGTTTGGGATTTCTGAAAATGAAACAGTTACCCCCGAAAGCGGAAATAGTCAGACTCCCAGTGATAATAACATTCAGGATGCCAGGAAGGAGTGGAGTAGCTATTTTGGTCTCCTACTTGCAATTATGTCATCACTAATGTTTTCCATAAATGCATTGATTTTTAAAATCCTAAATTATAATCCCCCTCTGATTCCCGCTTTCTACATGTTCCTTGGGACGGCTCTCTTAATGTTTCCTCTGTACCTGTATCACCGGTACAGGAACAATTCGAAGCAGGACACCGTTGACATTATTGATGAGGACCTTGGACTAGGAACGGTTGCAATTCTTGGGGTATTACTAACATTCATGCATTTAATTTTACATATATACCCACACAGATTCAACCCACACAATTGCCTTTTTATTCTGTGCTAAAATCAAAAGAAACTTTTTTTTAGGCTAGAGCATTTACGGGGTGCTCGGGAATGTTGTTATTTTTTTATTCTCTGCAATACCTAACTATTGGTGACGCACTGGTCATCGCCTGCAGCTCTCCCGTCTTTGTCTTTCTCTTGGCGTTCGTTTTTCTCAGAGAAAACTGTGGTATTGTGCCAGTGATAACAATTGTGCTGACACTAATTGGCGTGGTTGTAATTACGCGTCCGCCATTGCTCACTGGGGAGGAGTCGTTTAAAAAAGATGATCTGGTAACTACCCAATAATCATCAATTGTATGCGCATCAATGAATATTAATTGACAGCTATTAACTGACTGTACTTGTGCAAACTCATAGATGGGAGCAGGTTTAGCATTTTCCTCAATGCTCTCGATTGCTAGCACCCTCGTACTGATGAGATATCTGCAAAATGTTCATCACAGTGTAATTAATCTCACGTTCGGGATTTGGGGAACGCTGCAATGCGCACTCTTGGCCTTATTTTTAGGCGTTTTTTCCTTTCCAAAAAGCGTGTTTGAAGCTTTGATAATGTTCACGACCGGATTTGTTTTTTGTTTGGGACAAATTTTCCTCGCTGTCGCCCTTCAACTAGAACAAGCTGGCCCCGTGTCACTACTAAGAACGTCAGAAGTCATTTTTGCGTTCGTTTGGCAACTTGTCTTTCTGAAGGTTGTTCCAGATTGGTTCAGGTATACGAGTGTTTTTCAGTGGTGAATCAATTATTATGCTTTTTACACACTACCGATAATCACCTAATCGATCTGTAGCGGATAAACTGGTTAGTCCAGTGCTCACGGTGCTAATACCTATAACAAGCGACAACTTGTCACACCGCTATATTTATGCATATCTTACTACCCATCCGCTCTCTTGCTTTGTTCAAATTCTTATCTAACATTTAAAACGAGTCGTTGGGTTCCAAGAAATTTACTTTCTTTATGCTCTTGAAAAGATCTCAACTTCAGAGAGTCGCATGAAGATTCACTTATTAGTGAGTGCTTAATTGCCATATTCATAGTGCGAACAGCAACAACCCACGCGTTTACTACTGACTCAGAATTACTTTACCAAAAATTTGATTCCCGCTTCGTATCCCTACCATACTAATAGCATGGGAAGGATACCAGCGCGGGATGGAAAAGAAAAACTGAGTTGATATTAATATAAGAAGCCTAAACTTGTTATTTTTTCCTGGGAAGTCCCGAGTGTGATAAAAATTATTATTCTGCGCATTTTTATGAGCTTATATCTATATATGCACTTAGCACATTGTAAAATAACACTTTTATGACTTTTTATGCCTAACAGCATATCCGGAGCGATGCTTATTATGATTGGAATATTGACGACAGTTTTGCGGAAATGGATTGGCTCCCTGCCGGCCACCAACAAAGCAAGACAGCGGTGTAATCTTTTACTTTGGTGAAGCAAAAAACAAAGTCGAGGCAAATTGCATAAAAATAATTGAGTACTTGTAAATAAATCTAATATTTTACTGCTAGTATTAAATGAGGATGCAAAAATGAGTTGCAATAAACTTGTGTTTTTGCTTTGCATTACTTTTTTGCAGTCGTAACAAGTGCATGCGCATTGGTTGTTTGTTGAAGTTTGAAAGTAATAAATCTCAAGCAGCTGAAAAAATGTTCAGAACTGGTTACCCATCATAAACTTACATACGTATTGCGTCTGCATATTTGTGAACTTCAAGTTTGACATGAGATTATCAAGAGGTTTAATCTGGTTTTCCAGAGTCTTTACTTTCCAGTGGAAGACTTCCATGCATTCACGACTGTCATGTGGCTTATGTTCATTCTACTACATATACATGTCTAAAAATCCATAAATCTCTCTGGTTCTGGTGTCACAACGAATGGACAGATATCAGATCCAGATCAGACTATATATGTGTACATAATCTTCTCTTGTTTTTACAGATTTTTAATAACATTTGCCTATTTGCAAATCTCTTATTTGCATGTGTACATAGGTATAAATGTGCGAATTATAGTTGACAACTCAGAATTTGTTCTTTCGTCACAAAGAGAAACTTTCTCCGGTCTGAATGATGTCAAAGTCAAACTCGCCGAATCATCGGTATGGAGAAAGTGAAGAAAACCGTCATTCTTCTTCGGGGTGGTCGAAGAGGACACGGTTTTTCGGCATTATTTTAACTACTCTGTCTGCACTTACATTTTCACTAAATGCACTAACGCTAAAATTGCTCAATCATCTGCATCCCTTCAACTTGGGTGTATGGACGTTCCTACTAATGACGGGGTTCTCAGCACTCTGGACTGTACGGAGAAAATGTAAAACCAATCTTGAAACTGGGAACTCTATAGCGTTATTACCATCAGTGGATAAGAATAAAACTATTGCATTATTGTGGGTAAGAATTCTAACCTGTTTTGAACACAAAGATGAAATCTGGTCATAATATTTTACTCGTACTGAAACTTTGAATACTATTACATGCTGCAGTTGAGAGCATTTCTGGGGGTTTGTGCGTTGACGCTATTTTTCTACGCAATGAAGTTTATGGATGTTGCAGATGCTTTATTAATTGATTCGACATCTCCTATTTTCGTCCATATTTTTGCGTATGGGTTTCTCCAGGAGAAATGTGCCATTAGTCAAGTCTTTGCAACAGTTTTGGCTATCGCTGGGATCGGCTTTGTTGCACGACCTCCGCTATTGACGGGCGATACTCAATACAATGCCGACGTGTTGGTGAGATTTTATTTTTTCAAACAAATAAATGTAATAACACATGTTATTACCTTTTTGGACTTAGAAAATATTAATAATATGCTAGGTATCCGATTAATAATTCAGTACATGTAACTACTTTCAGATTGGTTGTGTTCTTGCATTCGGATGCATGCTTTGTATCACCTTGTCCTTAATTGTGCTCAAATTTCTAGAAACCGTTCCACAAGATGTTGTGACTTTAGTGTTAGGAATTTGGGGAACTGTGCAGTGCTTGGTCTTGTCCTTGTTACTTGGAGTCCTCCAGTTCCCTACTCATTTTGAAGACATTTGTAAGATTGTTGGTACGGCCGTTCTCTTCTTCGTAGGTCAGACCTTACTCACGGTGGCACTGAAGCATGAAGATGCTGGACCAGTTGGCCTCCTTCGAACGACCGAGGTGTTGTTTGCTTTCGTTTGGCAGTTTGTCTTTCTCAACGTGGTCCCCAATATTTACAGGTATTTTAATTGTGCATGCAATTCCTGACATGAGACTTGTATAAATACGTAAGTAGCTGCATAATACTTCCATGCATTGCTTTTCCAGCATTCTAGGCGCAGTACTGATAATGAGCGGTGTTATTATAACACTTGTTCGAAAATGGATGGATACGTCTGGTGGTGGAAATACATCAATAAATTAAACGGGTTGATTGTATGAGCTCATGGTGTATTTTTATTTCTTTTGAAACTAATCTCACTCAAGGATTGTAGAGTGTTGAAAATAACTACAAAGCAAAAATATGTTCATGTTCCCAAGATTATTTATGGCGACACATTTGACAAGAATATGGAATAAACTCGAACCAAACAGTAAAACTCGAAATTAAAGCAAGAATTAATGGCATCTAATTTGATCAGAATGATTATATAATGACACAGAAATTTTATTCCTGTGAGATTGTGTAGGCTACGGAAATGATTTAGGCCATTCGTTTTCCCTTGTCTATAGTCTAGAAGGCCCAGTTGTTGTAGCGTTGCTTTCATCTAGTCAATCAGCGCAAACGGAAAATGCTTCTTCGCGTTCTTCAATCAATTCTTGGCCAGTTTGCTCAAGTTTGCCCTTGCTGAAGTCATCAAGCGAAAGTCCCTAATTGAAGATAATGAATTTATGCTAATGCTCGTATATGGTTAACTTATATTATAATGACCAAGTTGTATTTAATTACTTGGAGAATTGTCCATTTCTTGTCCTTGATACCCACTGGGAAAGAGAAGATGACACCAGGTGGAGTATTGTATGAACCTAATAATGGAATAATAATATTATACTGCTTTACTGTACCCTCGCGTATACCAATTCGCTGATCCTGATCATTATTATGTACTCACCGTCAGACAAAACGCCCATTGAGACGTATGACCCATCGGGTGTTCCCAACCACCAATCTCGCATCTATAAAATACACTTATTAGACAACGTAACGATGGATGTCTGATTTGATAATTTTGCTATATAATATAACTAGTCAAAAACACATACATGGTCGCAAGCGGCCTTTGCAGCAGACATTGCGGAAGACATTTTCCGAGCTGCAATTATTATTAATCTTTTGCCCTTCACGTTTTTAGGTCACATGTCAAAGAAATCAAGATCATTCATACCTGCAATAACGGCAGCACCTCGTTTTTGCACAGTCTATTATCATAAAGAAATAAAATAATATACAAGATTCCAAAACAGCTAAACACGTTGTTTCCTCACCGTGACAAATTGATCCTGAAGCCAAGCTTGATCTGGAAGAGCATCGATCATTTTGATGTCGTCGTTTCCTTTCTTGACCACACCGTGACGAGCATCTGGATACTGTGTAGAGCTGTGATTACCCCAGATGAAAATATTTTTAACTGCATCAACTCCCACGCCCAACCTCGCAGCAATCTATAGCAGACGAATAGTTTAGACGAATTTTAACTTCATTCCTACACTTAGCGTCTAGATTTTTACCTGAGCCTGTGCTCTGTTCTGAAATTCAAATTATATGATGATTATGTTTTAATACTCTATCTACATATATCCCAAGTGTATATAAAAAAGAAGTACCTGATCAAGGCGTGTCATTGCAGAAAAATTCTCTGGTGGAATAGTAGGAGCATATTTCGAGCAAACCAGAGCATTTGTATTTGCTGGATTCCCAACCACCAGCACCTTCACCGTTTTCTTGGCATATTTATCCAAAGCTTGTCCCTGAATTTATTCAATGACGATTTAGTACCGGATTTTAATAAATTAAAAATACATACTCTTCAAATTAAATGGAATCTGCACCTGAACTTTGAATATTTTAACATTTGCAGCGAGCAAGTCTTTCCTTTCCATTCCTTCCTTGCGTGGCATAGCTCCTACCAAAAACGCGGCGTCCACGTCACGAAAACCTTCAACGGGATCAGCAGTCGGAACGACGCCACACACCAGCGGCATGGCACAGTCCATCATTTCCATTACCACGCCTAAAAATCCATTTTTTTCTTCATAAAAATTTTTGTAATGGTAAATTGGAAATAATTAGTAAGTCACTTCATACATAAGATTTTGGGAAACAGAAAAATTAAGACACATACTCAAGCAGAACGTCGTATAAGTGATGGCATTGGCGACGCACATTTCTATCTATATGTACGCATAAAACAAGTTTACCCCACCTTCCAGCACCCCCATCATAGCTGGAATGTCCAAGAGGTGAAGATAGAGAGGCTGATCTTGTCCGAACACATCACCCTTGCCGATTTGGTACAAAAGTGAGTATGCAATCTGCCCAGCGGCACCGGTGATCAAGACACGGATGGGTTCTTTTTGTTGAGACTGTAAACAAACACGCTTTAAGTCAGCAAATCTGATAACCTTGACTTGTTAAATTCATAATCTTACCATGTTTAGTAATCTTTGGCTCCCTTAGGCGTGTTTTGTTCCAGAAAGTACGTGTCGTATGATATGTTGACGAGAAAAAGGCCTGGAAATGAGAATATAAACAGTTAAAATATGCCACATCCACCCATATTTGCATGCACACCTTTATTTATGTATTTCCTTCCTTGGTATTATGAGCACAGACAGACAGATAATACTTACCACTTATCCTTAGTTGCTGGTTACCCGGAAAATTATTTATCGGCAATTAAGCAGCGAATTGTGGTGTGGTGCAGTTGCGGTGTGTTTTAACTAACGACTGGGGAACGAGCCTGGGTCGTGACAATCACATGAGCGCAATGCCCAGCCAAGGCCACTCGCAATGAGACAGAGTTCAACTTGGCCAACCAATCACAAGAATACACTCAGTTTTCTCAAATTTACAAATTCTCAGACTGCCAGATATTTGTGTACTATTCCTCTCGCTGTTATTATTATTGTTGTTAACTAAATAAGTACGTAGCAAAATAAGGACTCATATCGAATATGAGGTAAACATACGTGGACAATTCGGTGGATTATCAGTTTGAATTTTGAATTGTTGGACAGTCCAACTTGGACTACCATTGAATTAGCACTATCAGTTTGTTTTGGTTTGAAGAGTTAGAGTTTGCGAACTGAATAAAATGGCATTATCGGCGAGTCAGAAGCTATGTTTAGGAGTTGTTGGGCTGAACATGTGTGTCGCAAGTCTGGTCGCTGCAACTTATTTTGATGCGATGGATGACACGATCTTGCACAAAATTAATTGGGCAGGACCACATCCGGACGAAATGTTGGTATGTGTTAATAAAGATGGCAATGTCAGTTGTAAAATGAAACATTGAACAATGAATGTCATACAGGATCATCCACTGCAATCAGAATCCGAAGGCACAATCTCAATGACCACAGCAAGAAATGAAAAGTATAGTTGTAAACTTCCAAAACACTTGGAGCATTCTGGGGTATGCGAACGTTAAAAATGTACAATTCTTAGATAGTAAGGCAATTGAAATAGCGATTTTTTTTATAGGATGACAATAGCCCTTACACGGGACCAAGTCCATTGGAACTTTTATCGCCGCTCTTTACACAATTTGCATGCACATTCAAGGTATAGACAATTTAACGATATATATTGCATCAAATTAACTACTTATTCCTACATAGTTGGAAACCTACTGGACCTACGAGCTCTGTCACGGTAAGATAAAAAAAGAAAATAAAAAACCCACAGTCAGACTCATTTAGTCCGAGTCAGGGACAGTGTCCGTCAGCTTAATTGTATTTTTGTCCGAATTGACCGGACTACAATTACCACGCTTCGTGGTGGGATTAGTCGAATATTTGATAAATATATTATTTGCCCGATTGCTTGACATTTAGTGACTACTTACTTACAAGGGAACATACCGAGGTGTCCAACGAGTTGAGGGTCGACACCTATACCAAAATGACCACAATACATGACTTGTTAAACAAACTGGAGGAATTTCCGTGTAAAATTCACTTTTCGTCAAGTTGTGACGATATTTGTGACGAGCGCATGACCTCGGGTCGCAAGCGGGAGAGGTCGGCCGCTGAACGATCAGGTCGACCACAGAGAAGCGTCGTCGTCTTCACAGATTTCGAATTCTTGCATATTTTGAAATTTTGAACAAATTTTGAAAACATTTTGAAATTTTAAAAACATTTTGAAATTTTGAAGAAATTTTGAAATTTTGAAGAAATTTTGAAATTTTGAAGAAATTTTGAAATTTTGAAGAAATTTTGAAATTTTGAAGAAATTTTGAAGAAATTTTGAAATTTTGAAAAAATTAGAGGTGTGTCGAATCGAACACATGTTGTCTTCAGAGATTTCAAATTTCAAATAACTTACACACCTCTATTTTTCCAAACTTTTCCAAACTTTTCCAAAATTTCGAAATTTCTTCTAAATTTGAAAAAGTTTTTCTAAATTTCAAAATGTTTTCAAAATTTCTTCAAAATTTCAAAATAGTTTCAAAGTTTGAAAGAATTCGAAATCTCTGAAGCCGACGTGATCACGACGACCCTTCTCTGTGGACGACCTGATCGTTCAGCGGCCGACCTCTCCCGCTGGCGACCCGAGGTCATGCGCTCGTCACAAATATTTCACAACTTGACGAAAAGTGAATTTTACACGGAAATTCCTTCAGTTTGTTTAACAAGTCATGTATTGTGGTCATTTTGGTATAGGTGTCGACCCTTAACTCGTTGGACACCTCGGTATGTTCCCTTGTTAGAGTAATATCCCACCCACCTACATGACCTCCACCGGTCAACCACTTGACCGATTTCGCTCATGTTTGAACTTATCCCTAACTTTGCTTCATGTTCATATACATGTGTGCAAAATTTGAACTCAATCGGTTCAGCCGTGTTGGCTTTATGGCGTCTCGGACAGACAGACAATTACAGTTGCATAAGCCCTGACTCGGGCTAAAAATAATTAAAAATAAATAAATACTCTCCTAAAAATAATTTATATGTGAATTTTTGAAGCCGTTTCGTAATGTTTACAGGCAAATACATCCGTCAGTATCATGAAGAACGGGAGGGTAAAAAAGTGAAACTTCAAGAGGTAACTGCCTTAATAATTTGTATGTAAATGTTATGATAGTAGAAGCGTAGAATCAATCTGCAGAGTTACATTTAACTCTTTGCGTGCTTCACTCAGAAACTTTGATCTATTATTCGCATTTATACAAATTATTTTTGCATTCCTGAAGTTCTTTTTAGGACGATGGGACAAAAATGACAACGAGAAAGCAAGTAAGGACACTACAGTAATAGTAACATCAGGTTGAACATTCTTAAATTTATGATATGAATTCCATTGCAGGATTGAAGATTGAGGAGGATTTTTCAAATCCTGATTACAAGAATCAAATTCCGGTCAAGAAAGTTGACGGTGTGAATATGCCGTATCTACAAATTAATATGACGGACGGTACATTGTGCGACCTTAATGGCCAAACAAGAATGACCAGGTCAGTTACTAAACTAATTTTTATTTACACTACCATTCGTCTTCACCTGCAATACATTACTAATATTGGACATTTCAGAGTATTATATGTATGTTACCCCTTTGGCAAACATGAAATCTACTCTTTAGAAGAAACGGTGAGTATTCAAGTGTACTCCACGTTCGCTTTTATCCCACTGAGTTTTCCTTTAAATTGTTTATCTGTTAATTGAAAAATTATTACTCGATATAGTCCACCTGCGAATATGAAATTGTTGTCCTTTCGCAAAATTTGTGCCAACATCCGGATTTCAAGTAAGTAGCATTCATTATGCTTATTGAAAATCGTTATGTAAAGACTTAATAATAATAAAATCACCCAACATAGATCAAGGGAAACTGGCGAGAATATCATAAATTGTCACAGCATCGATAGTGCACCAAAAATGCCTAAAGCATTAGTTGAACTGGAAACGGAAAGTTTTAAAATTCGTCATGAGGTATCAAAAAAATCTACAAATCGAATAATTGAATACAGTGACGAGACGACGTAACATGATCTTGGTTGTCTTTGTAGCACTTGCTACAAAATCTCGAATCCCTACTGGAAACGAAGATTACAGGAGATGTGAAACCAGTCGAGCTATTTACGGAAGAAGACGAGGAATCTCTACTAAAACCGTTCAAGCCAGCTTTTCATGACAATTCATTCTTAACCAACTTTTTGAACGGCAAATCTTGTCTGACTGGGGTAAGCAATTTATGGAGAAAAATATTGATTGAATTTGCTTGTATGATCAACTAACAAGTCATCTACACTGGTTACTTATTTATGAATTTTAATTAAGGGCTCTCACTGGTGGAAGTTTGAATTCTGCTATGACAAACACGTTCTGCAATTTCATGAAGAACCCAACAGCCCTTCTCGGACTGAAATATATCTGGGGAAATGGGACGTCAACAAACATAAGGAGTACTTGGACAAGAATCCACATAAAAAATCAATTTCACTCGCATCCAAGAAACAAGTTGTTCACTACTACACCGGAGGAGCTGCTTGTGACCAAACAGGTCAACCTCGTGTTGTTGAAGTAAAGTTTAAGTGCATCGACACTCCAAGTCCATCTGCAATAGCTCTGTACCTTTTGGAGCCAAAGACGTGTGAGTATACTTTAGGGGTCGAGTCATCTGTATTGTGTCCCCTTCTGCAAGGGTCGAATGACTATGGCCTGTTTGACACGTCAAAATTTATCGAGTCGTCTTTAGACTCTAAAGGGAAGAGAAGAAAAACTCCAGATATCAGTGGGGATGAGTAAACTAACGCTTCACGCAAGTCCTAGGATGGTATTTGTTCTGTGATGTTATATAACTAGTTTCATATGCAACTTGGATGTACATATTGTTGTTTAAAAAATTATCACTCGCGTCATTTTTATACCGCACTTAAAATCCACTTGTAAATTGTGTCATCCTCATTATATAAATTGTATATAATTCGTGTACACACATGGTTTGGTCAGTCAAATAATAAAACTATGAATTATTTATTTATTTAACAACTCAGATATAAAACTTGTCCTGTTTATGCATGCATTAAAACTGTCTACAAACAGGTTAGATCTAATAAATACATGGATTATCTTACAACTGTATAACATATGTAGCATGAAAGAATCATACCATCAATCTATATTTGGAATATTATGCAGCATCATTGATGTTACAAAGTCAAAATGGGATTAATCAATTAAATATTGAACATTTCACTTTAAAAAAATGAGGAGTGAACAAGCCGTTGAACTATTAAGCTGTTAATAAAGAGTTTGAAGGAGAATTGTGATGCAAACTTTTTTTTAGTGATTTCAGTCATTGCGTTTGCTTGTTTACTGCTTCTTAAAGCTCTTTAGGATGGGATATATATTTTCAAACGCTTCGTAAATTTCTTGTCTCACTTTAGCACCTGCAATCAGTAAAAATAGTAATAATACAACGAGCATTTTTTTGTAGTTGCTTAATAATTCCATAAATCATACCTGTGAGTACCACTTTACCGGACACAAATATCAAAAGTACAATTCTGGGTTTTACCATTCGATAAATTAATCCAGGGAATAATTCGGGCTCATAACTGTATATCATCAAAACAAGATGGACTTATTATAAGACTTATATTGGATTTTCATAAGTTATTTTTAACAAACCTGCTAAACTGACTATGTGTGAGAACAAGTCCTTCTAACCGGATTGGAAACTTTACATCACAACTGCCAACCATATTTTGAATCTTAAATTCTAAAAATTTCGCATGAAATCCAAGTTTTTGGACGATTCTGGCATATTTTCTAGCTGCTAAGCGAGAGTCTTCTTCACTCTTGGCTCCCGTGCATACCATCTTCCCAGAACTAAAGATCAGAGCTGTTGTTCTCGGTTCTCGTATACGCATGATGACAGCTTGCAGAAATAAAATATACAAATAGGTCAACGAATTATTTCCTTAACAGTAGCAGTGCTGAACACGAGAGTTTCTGCAAGTTGTGTATAGCAAATAGGCATATCCCTTGTCACGGGTTAAGCCCAATTTTAATATATGGTGCAAATGTCTTACGTACCGGCAAAACGCTTTGGATTGTACTCGGCATTTCGTGCGTGCAGGGCAATCTTTTTGAGATCCAATTTACACCCAAGATTTACAGTGGAAACTATATTTCTGTAATATTACAACAAAAAAACATGAGCATACTCGTATGTCTCTAATAATTCAATTCGTGACCATACTGTAATTGTGGTACAATGCCAGGGTCTGCTGAGGAAGGTGTGGCTGGTTGTCCGTAGGCACCCATGCTCATCGGAACACTCATCGGCTGCTGTAAATATACTGATCCACTTGGTTCGATTGCCGGAGAAAGGAGGTTTTGCTAAAACATATGCAGAACGAAAATTTCTAGTTAAATTTCCCAAAACAGACCTAGAATCAGGGTCCTAGATGAACAATACTAAGCGCAAAACTTACCGGTGTCTGAGGTTGCATAAGGCTGTGCGGGCCGCCCAAAGAGTGAAGGCCCGATGAGTAAGAAATCACACTTGAACTTCCTCCAAGCCCCATGGGAGTGACCGGAGTCTGACTATGTCCACTATTACCGATGGCATGTTGTTGCTGTTGAGCGGAGGGGAGGATGAGGTCTTCTTCTGGCTGATGAAGAGGTGTGCCGATGGAGGGGATGTTGAAGATCCCAGGACTTGGGAGCATCTGGTCCATCTTGAAATATGTATCTTCTCACAACCGGCGTAAAATGACAAATCGTCGGCAGCAAAGGTTGTCGTAAGTTCCAATTTGCAGTTTCTGCAACAATGTCTAGTTAGTAGAACCCTCTCTACTTTCCTTCAGAAATGTTATTGTTGTTCCTGCAAAATAAAAAGTATGAGATTCATGTAAACACAAGAAATAAGACACATTTTTCAATTAAATAAGGTTAAACTTTGCTTACCTAAATACGTGAATCCCTCCTCTTAATAAACGTGCTGCATAAATAAAATAACTGGTGCGCTCCATTCAAGAGTGCAAACTATTTATACCACAAACACTTCCAGTCCTCCATCAGTGTTCGTCTTTATGAAAATTTCAGCTTGACGAATTTAAAATTCCGGAAATACATAAAAATTAGCTTTGTCTTTTGAACAACAAACTTGGTTGACAACAAACTTGGTTTTGTGCAGAGTAGATTTCAAATCAGGTTTACGACAGGGCCAAACAAGATGGAGCTGAGTGCTGGCTGATTTCTGTCGGGAGAGGCTGAGAAATCTCACCCTGCCTCCTTCTCAATTTGCCCAATTTGGAAAATCTCCCTCCACCACATTAATTAATCAACCATTAAAATTGTTAATACTAACGATTCATCATTGTCACTGGTCTTACTACATATTGGTCTCGACGATGAATTACGGAGCACTAATTTCATTCAATAAACTAGGCAAGCACATTATTCATGAGATTTACATGTTCCATTGGTCAGTATGCAAATAAGTATGAAGACTGAGGAGGAGGGTTGGCTTGGCTGGTTTATCAGCATTTATTATTCTCACATCGGGAAAAGTCATCCTCAAATAAGTAGCGATGATAATAGGGTGTTGGTGGGAATAAGTGTAATGTGTAACTAATTTGACCGTGACTGTCAATCTAGTTGGTGAAATAAGTAAGTACTTTTAAATTGAATTCCCTGTCTCCATTTGTCATTTTAATGCTGCTCTGACTTCACTTAATCAAGTCAAATCTAACATCTTCATCTGTCCATCATCAAATACATAATTTGGGACGAGCAAAATTATTTCCTACATTATAATGCGAGCAAGGAGTGTGTTGTGTACGTGTCGTTTCTTATACAATGATGCACACTTATCAGAAATTGTAATGAAGGGAGAATTATAATGGGAAGAAGGGCCCAATGGTTACATTACATTGAATATGTAATTATGATGCAATTATCGTTACTCATGATGACAAATACGTCGAAACACCAATCCATTTAGATGTGTTTACTAGGTAGTAGGTGTATCTTAATACCTTGTGAGGGGCCGAATGGTGATCTTGGACGAATGGTTATCCGAATCAGCCAGCACCTGGTTTTCCTTCTGCTCCCCAAGCCAACTAATTGCAAGTATCTTTTATGAATAAGTTTTGTTTTAACATTATTTCGATTTTATGCTTGCTATTTATCATTGAGCATACATATGCATGTCACAGCATACCGTACGTTTTGCATGACTATCAATTAGATACAAGAAACATTTCGGAAAAGCTGACTACAAAGGAGTCGAACTATAAAAAAAACACTAATCTGTTACTAATAATACCTACGCACTACTTGTGGAGACATGAAGAAATAAATCATACAAGTTCGGAATCTAATCTGACTATAAGAACAAACAGACCAGACGAATCTCTTAAAATAGCCACTCGCACCATGCAAAAATCTTAAATAAGCATTTTAATTCACACTGTATACGTGTATAAGTAATAACTAATCAGGTGAGATAAGGTAGGGTAATGCGTGGAAGGTGAAGAGCGTAATGAAAACGAGATCACAAATGCCTATCAATAAATATCCATGTATGTAGCTACGAATTTACATACATGGCGATTCTTAACCAAGATAGCAAAACACTTAATGAGTTAGGATTGTAATAAAATTCCATTTTTAGTAGATTAATGTATAATTATCGACGTGTGCTAAAATCATCATCAGCATAACAGCATAAACTTTAATCTATTTGGGCAACAATCACAAGTCTGATGTAATTAAGTTACCTCAAATCTCAAGTTTCTGAGGTGAGGTGAGACGTTTAATCGTCGAAAGTCTCTCAAACCTCAATATTTAGAAATAATCTGATATAATAATCTGACTCAATTTGTAGTTAACAATTAGCCCTCAAGAATAAAGACGAGAGCTGAACTAATAAGTAGATCTTGGACTGGTTGGACAGTAATGATAGCAAGCATAATTTCATCGTTGTTTATAATCCTGACTGATACACACTTGTTCGTGATTATGGAGATAGTCCTTCACTTTAGCACTGTCTAACTGCCTTAATATTTGCATTGAACATCGCATGCAAGAAAACTAGTCTACTTGGAGTACAATAATGAATAAAGATCTCCATAATAATGGCCGAGTCTGTCTTAGTTTGCATCCAACGATCATCAAATAAACAACCATCTCCAGTCAAATCATAAATACTTATCGTGCCAGTTAACAAAAAGTACATACGATAAAATATTAGCAGAGAGGTTTTCCTAATCCAGAAAGATTTGATTGTCATCGGCAGCCGTTAATCAATCAACTCTAATCAAACTTTCTATTTCTCTCACTCGAACATCTACATAAAGTGAAATCTACCTCATGGCGAAAGTCATCGGGTCCGAATTCTGATCAGTAATATTTTTTTACCTGACGTATTACACGCCTTCATCACTTGAGTTGCTATGCACGAGGTTGTTTTGCAATAAATTAACGCAAATTAAAATTCCTCGTTACATGAGTTGATTCATGGATGGTGGTGTAGTGGTCTCGTAGAATAAGGAAATGTCGTGTCGAGCAAAATTTTTGTAAGCCATCTCGAGAGATAGTTGTACTGGAATCAGAGATGGAAGTGGAACGAAATTTAGTGGTTATCTCACCCGCTGGTGCAGGCGGCACCGTGGGAAGAAGACCTTCGCTAACGTCATGCTCAACGACCAGATTTGAAATTCGCAAGTCCTCGGATGCCGAAGCGAACAAAAATTTGGAACCCAGGTTTAGATCTACAAAGTCCAAGTTTTGTTACCGAACGGCAGACTTGGTTATGAACATGCTGGTTTTGTTCCCCCTCTCAATTGGGTTTTGGCGAGGGGTGTGGCAGCTGATGGAGTACTACAGCAGTCCAGAAGTATGGGGGGTAGGTCCGTGGCTGAGCATGGGACTTGGCTACCTCATCCCCTTTGTCCTCTACGTTTTCCAAGAACCCCTCAAACGACAGGTTGCCCCTGGTCCCATGACCTTCGTCCCCTTCTACGTCCTCTCGAGGTCTCTCCTCCTCATCCACTCCTTTGGCTCGGTCAACCAATGGCGAGGGCTGTGGCAGCTGATGGATGACGAGACGGGGAAGGGGCCTGAGTCCGCCCTGGTCAGTTTGATTGTCGGCCTCTTTTTCAGTCTCGTCCTCCGAACCTTCAGCAACGTCCTCGCACCTCCGCTTCTCGTCGTCGTCGACGAAGCTTCGACTATCCATGACTGTCCCTTGAGGTTTAAAACGTCGGTGAGTCGAGGTATTATAGGCGTGCTCAAAATTAATCTATGATTCATGCATACATAAATATGTACATAGTTGATAATGGTGAGGTGAGTGGACGTATTATAGGACGTTGGATGCATTAAATTAGTTCAAATTAATGCACAATCTTTACATTGCATAGGTATTCACGATCAGTTACTAGATTTTATGGGAAGTAGCGCATTGAAAATTTACTCCTGATGCCGTTGTATAGCATTTTGACATATTATTTCATGTTGTGCAAGGTATACATGCGATTTGATTTTGATTTCATTTTCTGCAGCCCGAGAGAAAGTGGTGTTACCTGTTTGACTGCACATTTTCCGTCTTTGTTGTCCCGTCGCTGACTGTGTGCTGTTGGAGAGGCGTTTGGAACCTGGCAGATCTCTACCTCTATCCCGATGACCCTGCCGCGTCTGCCCTCTCGTCAATGGTGAGTGGCATGCAAAGTGATTTTGGTCTGCTATATTATTTAGCATCCCAACACTTGTTTCCGTTTGAAAACATTTCACTAAGCAGACGAGTTCATAAGTAAAGTTTGAACAGTCTGAAGCATAAATATAAATACAAAAGTAGTTTTCACACATTGTATTTATATTGTATTTTGTATTCATTGTAAGTGTGCGGTTCGTTTATTGAATATGACATAAGTGGCATTAGCTTCAATTAACAAAGTGATTATGGTGATGGCGATAAATCTTTTAGCGGAATAAATCATTCCAATGTCTCGAGTTGATTTGCATTTCATTTTACTGTGTTATTCAAGGGGTTTGGCTACCTTCTCTGCATCATCCTCTGTTCTACCCAACCATTAATATGTGAATTGGTTTGCAGCCTTAAAGGTATCTTGAGATTAGCAGTGATTGATGCGTGCTACTTCGTTGGTAAGTGCCACAGACGATCACTTAATTTTACATGCACATCTGATAAGTTGTATATTCATTTTCAGGTTTCATAGGATGCGTCTTTGCCTGGAGGGGTGTATGGAACTCGTACAACATTTACATTGTTTTTGGTGGGTGGGAAAACTAGTAACGCATTGGCATGAGTATTGTAAATATTATAAATACATTCTCGTAACAGATTAATTCAGTATTTTGGGTTCACATTTTCAGAAACACCTTATCTGAGTGAATGGGTGACCTTAATCATTGGAACGATTGGCACCGTTTTATTCGGTTGTGTATCAATTGTTGTGGTCCGTGGGATAGCGATTGATGGGGAAATTGAGAAAGATGAAGCTGCAGAATGGCTCATTCCTTACATTTCTCATTTGAGAGAACGTCACAGCGAAGTTCCATTCCCTGAACCGTGGATTTGCAGACTCCTGTGCACAAATCAGGCACGTATTACTTATGGACTTATTTACTATTCGTAGCATTTGATTTAAACTCAATTCAACATTTATTGTGTCTAAATTATCTACTGTTTATATCACAGAAAATGAACTGGAAAAATCTCAGAGCATATCGACGGACGAGGCCGGAAAAGCTAGACCATTTAGATGGCGTCACTCAGCCATTAAAGAAAGCGAACAATGTGCCAAACTCTCATGGAGCAGATGATGGTGACCCCACTCGCAGAAAGTACCCTGCAAACCCTCCCCCTAAAGTTCGCCTCAGTCAGATTCCACACATTGACAGCTCTTCGGAAGACGAATTGGGGGAGAGGGAGACGCTGAACCCAAATCCTGAGCTGGACGGTCAAGACGAGGAAGAGCAGGACGAAGGGAAGAAGATCGTTTCAAATCCAATAAGACAAGCTTAAATCAAATCAGGTTTTAATTTCTTACTTCTACATAAAATAGGCACAGAGACTTTAATCGTTCGCATGGGTTCTTGCTTGTTAATAAGTACTAAATTATGAAAATTATGATACAGAGACGATGACGATGCTTCCTTACATTCTTATTCTCCACGTTCAGCTCCATATTTTACACAATGTTTCGTTTTAAATTTAAATTCAGTAGAAAACAGTAGTATGTATTTTGATGTATTCACTGGAATATGAAATGATACAGCTCCCTTCATAAAAGCTACATAATGTTGGTATATTATCTTTAGAAGCATGAGCGTATTGCCATTTCATTCAAACAGTCTCACATTTTACTACATCTCCGTACATGGAATTAATGGCAAGCGAGACCAGGCAATGTAGTTCATAGTTTGTACATTATCATCATCCAGTTTCTTGTACAGAACACGATATTTCTTTGTGATTCAATTATTCAAATTGGTAGTGTAAATAATGCAGTCGAGTGATTTTTATATCTCTCCAGTGGTAGGACTAGCATTAGGCATTTTATATTCTGACCAAATCTGACCAGTAATATAAGAGTTTATACATAATTAGTGTGTAACTATGTTGGATAAACTTTAAAATTTACTGTCCACGCATTGTTGGCGAATTAGTAACAAGAAAGTTTATACTCTTGATATGACGCCTATTATTGCCTAATCAAATATTGTAATGAGCTACTTTACGCACAACTGCAAAGAACGGAGGGAAAATAAACAATAAAAATAGATAAAAATATTCTCTAAATGTGTTGAGCGTCTAATATGTATTTGACGACATGTCATTTGTGTTCAGGAAATGAAAAATTACAACTTAAATGGGCGAAGCTCATGTCACATCTACGTTTTTACAAAATTGTACTTGGGAAAGGACGCACGTCATAAACGGTATAATTGATGGTGTACGTCATACATATACATTACACACAAATGGATGCTGGAGAGAATTTTGTGTATATTTACATACATATGCAAATATACTCGCGTAAGATTTTCTGTAAAATTAGAAAGGTATTTGTGTTGTGTGTGCACAATAGTACGAGTGATCTTGAAATGCATTTGACGTTGAACTTTAATGAAGGACATGATTTTATAATTTCACCAAGCTGAAGGGGACGCGTTTGGCCAAACTTGAGAATTTACCCGAATTCGGCAACTGGCCAAAAATCTTAATGCGCATCTCACTTCCCAATATTCATTAAATCGAATAGCCAAAAATGTCTCATACATTGCACACTCGTACCACACGTAAGTACAAGATCGGACCGTTACTGTTGTTCTGACTTCTTCTGGGCTTCCTGGCACCGAAAACCTTTGAAATATATACAAGAACAACATGCACGGAGACGCCTCGGGAAAACATCTCACATGATTTTGTAAATTAGGGAGTGGAACGTCGTCAACCAAATAGTAATCCATCTTGAAAGTGTGACATTACACCAAAGCATATTTTAGAACCACCCAAAGGAAACGTCTGCCAGTGTCGAACGGAACAGCACAAGACCAACAACTACTCTTCTCTGTAATATCGTAGTATTTCTCCAAGAATCATCAGAATATGGGAGTTGCGACAGGTCCCAGAGTTCCAGATGGACCAGATGGTAACTTGTTGAAACTAATTTCCATTGGGCTAAAATAACCCACTTTTTACATAGGTAATCCCATCGTATCGGTAGAGTACGAACTCTTTGGTCTAGTCCAAGGTATTATGCCATACACATTTACATATGTACATACATACGTCTCACATTTGCCATTGTTGTCCAAGTTAATATTTTAGCATTCTATTGTCCTTTCACAGGCGTTTTCTTTCAGAAATATGCCAAAGAGGTAGCTGAGCAACTTTCAATTGGAGGCTGGATAAAAAATACCAAACAGGGCACGATCGTGGGTAGACTGCAAGGGCTGAAAAATTCTTTACAACAAATGTAAGCCGGAAAAAATAGTGGATTGATTAATTCAACTGAAACCTGAATTGATTCATCAGTATTTCATGCATATTATGATATTATAGGCTTGAGTGGATGGTGACGGAGGGAAGTCCAGGAAGTCGAGTAGAAAAGCTGGATCTCTCCAAATGGGAATTTACGGCAATGCAAGACTTTAAAAACTTTAGTATTCGTTTCTGATCTGTGCCTCGAACAGCGTGGGATGACGAAAATGAATTTCCTAATATGCCCTCGATTTTCAGTTTGTAAATGCACCTTATTTTTTTGAAACGCAAATAAATTAATATATTTTATCTTTACGAAATGGATAAAAGATAGATTTGATTTAATATTCATCATTTAATGATTTTTACAAAATGAAAAATGAAAAACAAAGTCCAACTTGCATACACGCCACGCTATATTATGGTGTATGTTATATGTATAAACAATAAATCGGCAATATTAAGTAATTACATTACAACTGATACAGTTTCGAATGTAATCTTTTCGCTAATGTTTTTCGTCTTGACATGTTCATCTTGGTTTGAAATGTAAATCATGTTGTTTGGTTCTTCCTTCCATCCATTCTTTGCAATCCAACTCCTCAAATCGGCGTCTGTTAGCAATTAATTATTTATTTATTATATAGAACAATGGAAATTTGATACTAGTTTGCTTGAATATTCAGAGACAGAAAGACAAAAATTCATGACAAACCTGTGATTCCGCCCAGCAATTCTTTTAAAATAGTTTTGTCCATGCTTTGGTATGTGATGTTCACAACGTGGCACACAAACTTCCTCACAGCGTCGTCAAATCCAGTGATTTGGGAAATAAGATTAGCATCTTGGGCTTTTTCTTGCCAAAACCGCTTAAATTGACAAAGTTCTAGAAGATTTGCCAAATATGCGATTCGAGCAATGTTCAAGTCGTCCAGCTGAAATAAAAAAGTTACAAGATGTATACACAATCAAACGAAGCACAATAAAGTTACATCAGTCCCTTCCTAAATACTTTGTCTCATAAGTGTTGGAGAGAGATTTACAAAGTCCACATAAAATGATATGACAAGTTAAACCAGGTGCTTCTCTCGGCATAATAAAGATATAGTTTTATGTTGTGAGCTACTATTACTTCATAATATGATATGCGAATTCCTCCTTCTCCTGGTCGGCTATATATATAAACGACCTGTGCAAATCTACTCAAATAAATCAAAACGAAATGAGTTCGCAGCTGAAAAGACCAGAGATTTAAATTGAGCCTTGACCAAGCTGAAGCTTGCAACGAGAACAAGGGCTCAGATGCAAGAGTTAAAAGCTTTCCCGAGAATGCAGAGGGGGTATGCATAAAGGATTTAGCGGCTCATGGGGAATCTAAGAGCTCAAATGGGCAGATTTATCGGCTTAACTGAAAATAGTGGGGGCTTACGCTCCCGGATTTCGCTGGCTTGATAGGGATTTTATCAGCATTTTACTGGATTTAGTAGCCCCGCAATTGCAATTTTTCTGGCTTCACTTGTCCTTTTTGCATTTACGATCCACGTTTGCGTAAAAAGTAAAATGCACATTTGCAAAACTATGTGAATTACACGAAAGAGATTTTGATGGTTGAATGAGTCAAGAAATCAAGACGCTAAAAATGCTTCGTGGAGTTACAGTTTTCGTTATCCCGTTCTCGTTTGATGCTGGTATAATACTAATACTACAATTCATGAGTTAATAATAGGCAGATGATCATACCTGACCCGCGCCAAGAAGGCAACGACAGAGGACAAAATCCGTGTTGGGTAAATTGGTCAACGATTTCAGAAGGATCCAGCAAACGATCTCGGGTTTGTACAAATTTGGGAAAAATTGGTACAACTTGAGGATGGCCAAATTCGCCTCCAAATCGTACATGTTCTCCGACACTTGAAGTTGCACATATTTTTCAAATTTTGGAAGATTGTTTGAATTGTACCTACAAGGAAAAAAATAAATTATAAAACATTGAATTAACAACTATGCCGTGACGGCATTGCCGTCACGTCACACGTAGTGCACGTGCAATTTATTTAGTTATATATAGCATAGTATCTTAAAATTTTTAATTTTTCACAAACTCGTACATAAACCACAGCGTTCATTCGTACTTGCACAAGTGTAAAAGTTTGGCAAACATATAAACAATCATATTGTATAAATAATTGTACAAGCATTTCACACTTACATTTACATTAACGACTATGAAATGAAGGAAACTTGATTCGACAAAATTGTTAATACGTACCTCTCAACAGAAGTAAGGAAAGAATTGACCTCCAACTTTAACGCTTCCAACTCCTCGCGTCGCGTACCTCCAACCATTACTAAATTTGAAAAATTATTTCGCGTGTTAATAATAATAATTTAAAAATATTTCTCAAACAATAAGTCACAGGCAAGCACTCAAAATCTGAAATCAACCAGCACTCGTATAATGCTTACTGTGAGCTTTGTTGTTGTAACGTTACTATCAGTGAAGCCTTTAAATATAAATTATTTAGGCCAATGGTTCCGAACGCTTTATCAATTTTGCATCGATCGCACCCAAATAATTCATCTTGAAGTTATCTGGACTTTTACGATGCAGTCAATATTTAATAAATACTACGTTGTACTTACTTTCTTTCTTTATTGGACTTGCTTCCTCGTACAGAAAATCTTGTCGTAGTTTGGTTTTTGTGTAGCAAAATAGAATTAAGATTTCGAAAATATAAATATTTCAGAAAAATCTGTTCAATTGTGCCAACCACACCGGCAGAGAAATGTGAATGACAAATCGCCCTCGTTCTCCACCACGCGGAGTCGACCGCGAAGCCCACAAACCTTGTTTTTGTATCTTTTGATTGCATATCACAATCAACGCACTTTCAGTTTTGTTACAGCTGGGATTTTCTGGATTGTATTTAAAACAATTTTAATCGTAAATTATTATTGTGATTATTATTATTGATTTGTATTGGGATAAATATGTGGTAGCGACTTTTACGTGCGATAAGTTACCCAGTTTGTCAAGAAAATGAGCGGGTCACTGGAGATTCACGGATTTATAGACGACTGGTCGTCAATCGAGAACTACCTTTTCGATGCCCCTCAACAATCGTGCGAAGGAGATGGTGCGTGTTTAATTAATGGGAATTTATTTATTGGTATTTATTCTTGGTGACATTGTTGTTTGTTGCAGATTGGAAATGGGAGGATGATGAAGAGGAGAAAGTGTCCTCGACTTCTGCAATTTCTCCTATGTCGTCGGGACCTGGAGGAAAATGTGGAAAGACAACGTGGATTCAAGATTGCGTAATTTCTGTGTCCCCGATGGCGGATGTTCTGGTGGTGTGCAGAAAACAGAAAGCTATATTTTTAACGAGTAGGAAATAATATTAATATTAGGATAAAATATACCAAAAAAGGTTATTTAATTTATGCATTCTGACGACTTTCAGGTGAATGGGATGTTCAAAGTAGCAGGACAAAATACTGCAAACTGTTTGAAGGCAATCTGTCTCAAGAAGGGTAACTTCAATAATTAGTGACTCTCAAATTGAGACCTCAATCATTATTATTTAATACGCTGCTGTAACGTAAATAATATTTAATTTAGGGAAACTATAACGAGCGCATTGTGCATTCCATTGATTTCCAATAAAAAGTCTTCCCCAGGAGGACCAGATTGGACTTGTGTGTTAATTGGATTCAGCGACGGATCAGTCCGATTGTACACTGAAAGTGGGAGCATATTGATTGGTCAAATGTTTCATGATGAACCTGTGACTGGTTTTAAGTGTCGATCCTACAAGGCTGCATCATCGCATAATGAGCATGACCAGCTAGAAGAGGTTTTTATTCTATATCAAACGGTTTTGGTGACGATTGATGGATTTGGATTGTTTCAAACTCTACGGGGCTGCAGAAGTCGTATAGCTCGAGGTAAACTTTAAAAATTGAGTTAGGTATATAACATTAATCATTCTAATGCGTTAATTAGTATTATTTTGTTTAACTATCGGATATTTTGTAGTGCAAGCAAATGCTGCAGACGGCATGATGGATCCACCTCCCCTTTCGTACAAGAAATGGCAGTATGACAGTAAAGACGTTTCCGATTGTGAAAGCATTGGCCTCCAGACCCCAAGAACATTTGACCATTTGTTGACAGCATCCATCATTGGTGGAATCACTGCAAAACCAAACAAGATACCGTATACATCCACTGTGTTTGCCACTGTTGGTGCAAAACCCTACGTTTCATTCCATTATTGCAACCAAGAGGGGCAAGCTCCATTTATGATTGGGAAGTTGGCTTTCTCTGTTGCCAACAAACTCACAAGCAGCTTAATTAGTGCTGCATCGTAAGTTGAGCTAATAATAAATAGTCCATATTTTCGTCACGTGTATTAATTATAAATTTATTTATATGTGTTTATTTACAGGGGATGGCTTGGTTTTGGTGGAGGTGGAAGTGGAAAGCAATCTGGGCAGCAGGTTAAGCAGGAAAAACCTAAAATTGAACGTGCAACACCAATGGCTGGAAGGTGAATACTTATCATTTCGATAGGCTGATTATGAAATTGTAGGCAGAAACTCATTTTATCTATTAAACGATGTACTGAATATAGATTTGGATTGCCTGACAAAGGCCGGAAAGGAGAGTCAATTGTTATATCTCCGTGTCACAAGCTATCTGTTATAGCAGGTAATTACTTCGAAGCAAGGAATTACTGCCTTGAGTAATTACTTATTATATAACAGATTCATTGGGACGGGTTGTGCTAATGGACAACGATAGGGGAATTGCGGTTCGGATGTGGAAGGGATACAGAGATGCTCAAACTGCCTGGCTGTCCGCTAGTGATGATATGAATGCCAAAACTCGCGTGTCTGGAAGGAAAGCCTTGTTCCTCGTAATTTATGCTCCACGCAAAGGACAAGTAGAAGTGTTTTCGATGCAGCAAGGCCCAAAAGTGGCAAGTTTTCCAGTTTCAAAATCCGGAAGGTATCAATTAATTGTTCCGCCACATGATGATGTGACGTATAGTTTAAAACTGATCGAAGTGCATGTGTACCATAACAATTCTCATTTCTTGTACAGTTTGATTTCATTGCCATATGGCATGATGGGTTTGAACAACATTCCTTTGAAAGGAGTTCACCAACAAACGCTACCTTGTTTGTTTCTTGATCCTGAAGGTCAACTTCTTCAGTTACATATCCCATTTCATCTTTCACTAAAGTATGTGCCTGCTACTCTTAAATGGACATACGTATATGTACCCTTTAATTTACATTCATTTGGATACTTATTATTTGAATATATATGTATTTAATATAGTGATACAAACAATAGCAAATTAAAGGACATGCATCTATTGAAATCATTACAACGTATGCTGAGAGACAGACAGTCCTCAGTTGATGAAATTAATGGACTAATTTACGACATCAAAACCCAGACTATGATAAATCAAGCATTCAAGATTCTGATTCAATATTGCAGCCAATATGAAATTGTCTCATCTGTAGTTGAAGGGTATTTGGAAAAGTTTTGTGAAAATGGTACGTATGGCATTTTTTATATATTTTAAGTGTACACGTAAACTATGCGTTATAGATCATTTGTGTATTTTTTATAGAACGACACGACTTGACAGTTCCTTTTAAAATACAATCTCTTTTGCAATTATATTCGTGCTTGGTGGAAATGATGGAGGCTCCACCTTCTTATTCTTCATCGGGTGAAACTTCTTCCGCTGATAATGTAAAACTAAAAATACTAGTTATTAGTTATACACTCAATCAATTGGCATATTGACAATGCAGATAATGTATTTTTTAGACGGTGCTGATGTGCCTACATGCAACCGACAAGGAAATTAAACTAGTTAAAGATATGGCCAACAAAGAGCTTTTTAATAAATCATCACCCACGAAAGGAGTGTCCTTTGCGGACGAGAAATCTATTTTAAATGTCAATGACTTTTTATCACTTTTTCGTATTGAATATGATCCTGCAAAAATTAAGCTGACAGTAATGTCAAATGAGAACAAGACGCAACTGAATCTAAAAAATGACAATCTTGTGAATTTTGGTAAATAATGTACTATATCTTACGATTGAGAGACTTACTAATATCTTGTATATATATATAATTTAGAAAAACTTGTGTTTTGTGGATGCTTTAACAGCAGTTCAGATTTGAAGCAATGGAAAACTCTCTTAAAAAATGCAGATCTTGTACCAATAGAGCTGATCTTGGAAACATTGAAATTTTGGTGCAGTAATGCTTTAGCAAGTAGCTCATTTATTGGCATGATGAGTAGACTGTACCTTGTGATTCGTGCTATCTGTGATTTGGAAGGTATACATAACTTTAAAAAATCTTACTTTGGGATAATCATATTTAATTTGTTTGCTAAGGTGTGGCTAGTACAGCAAATGTGTCTAGCACGTGGTGGAATACGGTTCGAAAGGAGATTGCTCAAGGCCATAAAATATTTTACAATTACACATTTTCAATTGTTTGTCGGGCAGTAACCATTGATCTTAATCAGGAAATAGATAAAAACGTAAGAGAAATAATATAAATGTACCGCATAAGCATATAATCCTTAAAATGAGAATCAGTTTAATCATGATCAAACTTATTTAATTATAGGATGAGCATTTAAAAACTAAGAATGAAAAAGTTTCTGAGAAAGCAGAATCGGCTGTGGAAGTGGAATGTTTTGATGAGGAAGGTTGGGAAAACGTATCATTAGATTTAATACGATGGAACATTCTTTTGAAACAAATCGAAGACCTTAGTTTCCTTACGACTATTTTGGCACAAACCCCCAAATTAAGTAACCCAATTCTACCAAAATTACGAACTACTATTGGGGACCTTTCGGTTGTCTCGTTGCTGGATAAAGGGACAGGTTCGTTAGTTAGTTTGTATATGGACAAGACAAGACACTCCACTTGGTTAGCATTCTCTTGTGTAGCATTACAGTAGATCTGTTTTTGTTCGATTTTAGGCTGTATCGCAGAACTGGTTGGAATTTGGTTAACAGGTTTGCGAATGATATTTTTGACAATTAATTATTATTCAATATAGCTACTACTATTAACCAGTAATTTAATATTAATAATATTCCAGCTATTGGAGTTGACCCATCAGTCGTTGTTGACAAATCAGAAATCGTTATTCCCGAGTTGCAGGTTGCACAGGAGTATACTGTCAAAGAGATGAAGCAGAAACAAAAATTAGAACCTGAACTCTTTGAGGATAAAATGGAAGTTGACGAAGAAACACAATTAGAAGATGCTGCAAATGTTGGCTCAGAAGTTAGCTACATTGTTGGTGAGTGTGTATAGGAACGGAACATTTATGGGTTCAGTTGAAATCCGAAATCCAACTTACTTTCAGAATTGCTGCGATGTTTGAAAGAAAATTTTGCTGTATCTCTTAATTCCTCAATTATCCTTTCGAATTACTGTTGGGAATATTGTCTTGCGTGGAATAAAGAGGTCGACAATGTCAATTACCTGCAGGCTGCTATTCAATGCGTGGCAGTCATTCCTTCAAATTTCATTAAGCAAGGTAATGGTTCCAGTTTCTTGGATTAGAATTAAAGAATTAACCACTTGTGTATTTCTTAGGATTAATGTCCATGATGTGGAGTACTTTCATATCCAAACAACTTTCTAATATCGTTGCACGGAAAATCAAGAGAGAAAAGCTTTTAGAAAAGACCAGTGTTATCAATAATCCAGAAAGCAAAGTAGAATTTTTGAACGCTTGCGTGCGATTTTTAGATGAGTTCATGGAAAACAACGTTTTGTGTCAAGGAGTCCCAGTTCCGAAATCAAGTTTTAAAAAGAGTCACTGGTCTGGTGATGCATCAGCCTCTGCAGCAACTTTAACTGACCTAGCCTCCTCACAACCTCTAGCCAATTATGAAATGATTTTGCTACATTACCAACTGTCACTTGCTGCCCTATTTGTGTACAATTTTAACATTAGGAAAACAAGCATGAAACCCATGAATCTTTTTGATACAAAGGTAATGATCTTCCACAACACAAATGCGATTTCTTGTGCTACATCAAGTCTAATTTGTTTCAGGCTTCCATGATGTTTTTCATGGCGATCAGCAGTCCTGCTCCGTATTCTAATGAAGTTGATCTTGGACTAAAAGTTTTGAGAGAAGAATTTCTTTGTCTTGTGGTAACAAACGTGATAGGGAAGGTTCCAGAGGATTTAGACAATTCTGAGGACCCCGAAATTGAACCACGCGTAAAAATCTATATGGTCTTGTACATATATTTTATTCTTAGGATAGCTTTATCTATGATATTAATTCTTGTTGTAGATATCCCCATCACTGAATGGGGTGAAGGATTGCGAAAATTGGATCCATAAATGTTTTGAACTCGGTTAGTCCATGCGAATTGTTTAATTGTTCGATCCACTCACTTGATGTGCAGAATGAATGACAAATTTGTATACTATAACGTTTTATTTGCATTTTTAGGAAGAATTTGGGGGCTTGATTTGGATAGTCTACGAATTAATCAGGTCTGCGAGTATTACTCTTCAGGGTTTGACCTCCTTGGTTTGGAGGTAAATAATTATACACAATTTTTACAATCGTCATGCACGTATACAAACAATTCAATGTCATTCATTGTTTATTTAGTCAATCGGCGCTGTGACTGGAAAAGACATATTGGGGTCAAAAATTCTAGTTATCGCTGGGATGAGATTACATTATTATATCGAGTCAAACCGTGATTCAACAACAGAAATAGTTTCGTCCATGTCTACAAACTTGTCAAACTGGCTCAATAAACTGGTATGCACATAATCCAGTAAATGCAATCCTACTTGTGTGCGTATACATACGTTTTTAGGCACAATCCTGAACGATTAAAAAATATGATTATAATTTTTTTAACAGGATTATAGCAAATTGCGATGCTTGAGATTTCCAAAATCTTCCATTTCCGAGCTAGCTCAGCACGTTATTCAATTAATACCTGAAACAAGTTACGACTATAGGCTGGCAGACGATCTGCTTGTGTGCACCAGTTTTTTAGTACATTAAGTATTCCATTTTCCACGTACTGATTTTACTATCCTATTTTCGCATTGCACGTTGTACATATCTATAAATGACTCGAATAAACGTTTGGTCTTTCTAGTCTCCTAAATGGGTAATAAATTATTGCATTTTTTCATACAAATTGATGATTGTACACATCGTCAAATTGCAATTATGGCGAAAAGAATTTCATTTTATTTATTGACAATACGAACGACATTTTACATATAAGTGCATATTATTTTGAAACTTATAGCATATTTAAATATAATATAATAAAAATTGTAATATAATCGCGTCAGAGATCCAACTATAAAAGAATTTAAGTTTCGGTAGACGGTTTGAAGGATAAACAATTTGAGTTCGTTATATTTTTAAAAAAATAATTTTTTAATGAAATATAAAGTACTCAATTCATAAACCAAACTCAAGATGTAAATTACAAATGTGAATAGAATTATTTTTAGTCACTGTTAATCATCATGACAATTGGCGTTTCTTGCTAACGTTGATGTTTCACATTTTGCGAAGTACATATTTGAGAGTTTCAAGTTGAAAATTTATGCACTGCTCATTTCTCTACTACATATTATTCGCACCTGACTGACATCAACTAGCTTTTTAAAATAAAAAATGGACCTCCCCGGAACTCACGCGGAAATGGTAATCCACATAAGCGAAACAAGACGTTCGTATTTGTCATTATTGCATGCAATCAATAAAAAATACATATTAAATAGATGGAAGCCAATCCAGGTCTGAGATTGCCCGAGTGGGCGATCAAGAAGGTACATATCTGATTTTATTCTGAACCTAAATTCTAAACGTCCAAATCCGAACTGATTATTGTCGCACGCAAAAATAAGTAATGTATGTTTTGATTTTGCCCTCCCTCCCTCCCGACAGCGATCTTTCCTGTCTCCATACTTGGAGCAAGTTGGCGACATTCGACCTCCATGGCGATTTCAGGCGAGTATCTATCTCGCACCATATCGTTCTTTGGTCAAACTCGTTTCATTCCCACTGTTGTGCTTATCTTTCAGTGGGTGATCAAACGGCGACTGGCACTCATGGCTTGGCCACAGTATCCTGAACACCTCCGCTTTTTACTCAAGAACGGTCTCCGACGCCTCATCTCGCTTTCCCCCGAGTGTCGACCTCCCATTCATCAGTTCACTGAATTCTACTTTATGGAAATCCCAGTCGAAGAGCTTACCCCTCCAACCTTGGAACAGATCAAGCTCTTCATCTGCTTCTGCGACCAGGCGCGGCAGTTTGATGAGGCCGTTGGAATCTGCGACAGAGTGGGCAGAGGACGCTCAGGCGTTTTTGCTGCATGTTACCTCGTTCGATACTGCGGACTCACAGCGGAAATGGCCATCATGCAACTACGGAAAACACGACCTGGTGCAATTGAGACTCTTGCTCAGGAGAAAGCAGTGGAAGAGTATTACAAGGAATTATGCAATTGTCCTCCAGAAGATGCATGCTGGCAACCTGGTCGATTTCAGTAAATCGTTATTGCACGTTGCAATCCAGGGTCAGCATAAATGTTTTGCACACAATCTAAATCTTTGTGACTTTCAAAAAATAAAGGGGACATTTTATTTACTTGCAATAATCACACATTTATTAAGTATTGATGATTTTACACTACATAAATACTCCATATGCAGAGCTACATATTTAAATATATATTTTTCAGATCAATTAAGTTTCCAACAGACTGTTTTATAATATAAAGCACATATGTACATGTGTCATGTTTAAATAATATTTATATAATATTTATATAATATTAATATATACTTGTATCCGTATACAAAAGGTACATGTATTTACCCCACTCGTTACACATTTGTCCATCACATACGTTCATTTTCATGCTTTTAATGTTATTCCTTAGTGGAACAAACATCAAACTAAGAAAACCCTGAGCATTTTCATAATCGTATACAATATTTTACGACCAATCGATACCAACATATATCTGTACTGACTATACATATGTGACCTCTTGTACATATTACATAAAAGTCGGCCACATGAACTATCAACTCCGAATATTAAATGACGTGATGTGTTGGTTGTGGTTCACAGGTTTGTTTATTAAAGATGAGCCACTGCAACTGGCGTAGGAATTCACGACAATTTTGGTACAAGGAACTATGTATACTGCACTCATGGATTGCACTAAAGAACAAGTGCATACAAGGAATGGCTCATTTGTTACCCCATTTGCATAAAATGACATTTAAATTTTCAATCCGCCACTTGCTTTCACCTCTGCGATGGTATATAATAACACTTTCACATGTAATTAAGCCAAAGGCAGGAGCATTATTTCAAATCGTCTTCAACGCACGCTGTCTCATGGGCTGAGACATTTGTTGTTTCTCTTAGAAGAAAACCCAACCGAGGGGAAAATACTTAGTGACGCAATAACAATAAAAAACCGTTCACAATCTGCTTTCACCGTTGTCACTCTATACCAGCAGCGTTACGTAATATATTGTGTTTTGTGGAAAGAACTTGGCATTTGTTTTGAAATTGACATTAATTTTCCCAGTCACAGAAGGGGAACACAAAATAAATATTCCATTGACACCGTTTTTATGGCCTCCCGTTTTTATAGAGTGGTACAGTGTCAAGTAATATTTAGCTAATTCCAATCGTTAATGAATTGTGGAAAATTAAATGAAACGTAGAAATTTCACGAATTAGTTACTCCGTCCTTCTACAGAATGGGGTATCTTCCGAAATCTCGTGATCCATCTCATCCTCGTCTTCGTTTGTCAACAACTGCTTCGAGTCTTGACCCAATAGTGTCACATGACGACCCGCTTTCCCTGATCCGTTGTTATTCGACGTATTTTTCAGACAACTTGGTGACCTTCCAGCAGTCGGACTGGGGGTTGGAACGGTAATAAAGCTAGTTTCTGCCAACAATCTGCTATTGTTGAGGGCATCTTCATCATCAGAGTTGTTTCGGTGGCGACTTTCTCCTTGCTGGTTCCGGTTGGGGGGCACTAAGTTGACCCCAGTAGTTGGAAGAAGGGGATGGTCAAAGATGTGAGAAGGTGAACTCACCTCATTCAAGTTGTTGCAACTGGTGCCAGTTCCGGACAGCCTGTTACCACTTGTTGTAGTTGGAGAAAGTCTCTCCGTTTGCGACAGTGCTCCAGTTTTCAAGTCGCTGCCACCACCAGAAACGGTTCCGACTGAAATATGACCACTGCCGTTGGGCGAGTTGTTATGGTGCGTGCTCATGACCTTGGTCTCAGTGAGGGACCCAAGTCGCAGCACCGTTTGCATAGTTTGCAACGTGTTGTTGGTTGAGACACCTCCTGCTTTGTATCGAGCTGCTCGTTTGGTGCAGATCCCGTGCCTAAAAACGGATGGTGGCGTTTTCGCAAGGAATCGAATGAAGAAAGAACGAAGGAAAGAAACAGAAACAAAATTAGCCATTACTCGAAATCATAAATGAAATGGAATGTAAGATGTTTAAAAGTTTCACAATTAACAAAAAAGACTAAACTACAGATGTATGTTGTTCCAGGGATTAGTATTACAGCTTTTGACGAAATTATGCAACTAGTGCCACATGCAACATGTTGACAAAACTGGTAACGTTTTACGTTTCATTATTACAACATGTCTCAAAGTACGTAACACAACACAGTTACCAAGAACAATTAGACCTCAGAAAACATGGACGATAAGAAAAAGTTTGTTAATAAGGCAGACACGTATATTAAGTGATTTACAAAAGTGCAACAGAATCACTGCAGAAAATGGTGAGAGGTGCAATAGGCAACACGTTCTGTGTACAGAGACGGCACACCCGTGTGTACATGATACTACTAATAATACTGAATTGCACCTATTGCTAGGTCTGACATCACAATGGTACAGGTACGAGTAGAGTTAGATAAGCCAGAAAAATATACCATTTGTCGCTACCTGCTGAGTAGAAGGAGTAAATCCCGACGGTATTGTTTGGTCGTTATTGCGTAGAGGTAGGGGTTGAGTAGCGCGTTCAACGGATAGAAGAACACCAATAAAATTTTGGAGTCTGTAACTCCTGCAATTTAAAAACGAAAGTTTTTTTTACTTCACGCTCACTTTTTAAAACTCATTACGTCCAGGCAGGCAGGAAGGAAGGGAGGAAGGAGAAATCTCTCGCCGCATTTACTTCCATTTTCCTCCCCAGTAAATTACGTTGGGTGATAAAGACAGTGAAAGTAAAGTGAAAGTAGTTGTGCGTACCAATGAGTGGATAGCCTCCCACTGCGGTTAGGCCGAAGAAGGCAACCGGAGCCTGGATTTTTAACACAAGCTTCATAAAGTTATATCATACATATTCCGATATTTTCCTTGGCACTTACCCAGCAAGCAAAGTCGCTGAACACTAATATGCTCATCTTTTGCGCGATGGCCTGACAAAAACAAAAGTAATTGACTCACATGGCATAAATAAATGTAGTTGGAGCTCAATCAACCTCAAGGACATGCAAATTTATAAGTGTTTGTCCTCCACAGGATGAGCCCCAACGTATAATTGATATAAATAAGTATTCAACGTAATATGCTGTACCGCATCTGCTGAGGATGCTCCTGGTGCGGCAATTGCCCCTCCACCGTGACCAGCCACTGCTCGGTACATCTGAAAATATGCCGTGGCCACAAGGAGGAAGGCCAGGCCGTTGAAGAGTAGGAGGAAAGCGAGGTAGACGATTGACCCCACCGAGTTGGCTTCCATGGGCAAGCAAATGCTAAAAAGCAACAAGTTTCAAATTATATGTTCGGATTTGTGACATAATTTTATAAAACGGAGGAGAAAATTTGGGGTGCAGGGTAAGAAATGCACTCCTAACTGCATGATGTACGCAATTTTTCCATGAAAATTATTGTTGTAAAAGATTTTTGCAGACTTTTCACATTTGCAAAACTCTCGAAATATCACGTTGAGGATTCTCTTAAAGAAATAATCCATAACTTTTCAATTTTACTTTAATACAATCTGGCAAGTTTTTAATTTAAGAAAGTAGCCGTCTAGGTCAGTGACCATCTATTATCTATGTGGCATCTATTGGTTAGCATTGTCTGGCATGATAGCCGTAAATAATCCGTGTCATGTCAAGACGTTAAAAACGTCTCGGAAAACCCACTCCTTTTTGTACTGTATTATTTACGAAAGTGAATTGTAATTCGTTAGAGAACTCATTGCACGTCCTCTGACAAGGAATGAGTTTTGACAGTGGAAGGTCGAAGCCAATTTACTTGAAGTACGAAACTCGGAGAAAGCTGTACAAACAGATATCGCACATACCTGGTTTTGGAGTAGGAAGATACGCCGACGAGAGGCAATGCAGCCAGAACCATGGACAGAATCCACCCCAACGACATGAGCTTACAGGCACCCACAATTGTTAAGCGCTTGGTGAGATGAATCGCACGGGTGAGAGCATACCACCTGCAGGCCATCAAACCCGCATGAGGAGAAGGAAAATAAAGCGCCCCAAAGTTTGTTATAAATTTACCTTTCTCCCGTAATTACGACGAGTGTGAACACTGACAGCTCGGATGCGAAGACGGTGAGGAATCCTGCAATTTGACATCCCCACCTATTGCATTATAGAGTGGCCATTATTAACCTGCACCCATGAAAAATAAATGCAGTGAATAAATGAATACCCCAATTGCCAATCGATGGCGTAATTGAAGTAGGATCCTAAGGAGACGAGGTCCTCTGTAGCCACCATCAAAAGATAGATTCCCATGCACAAATCTGCCAACGACAGATTTGCCATAAGTACACGTTGAACGGTCATCCGACCAGGCGCCAGCAGCAGGACGACGAGGACAGCCGAATTTCCAATTAGAGCCAATGAAACCACAACCCTAAAAAATAGCACCCAGCATCAGTATAATTAAACTATAGACATATACATACGTTTATATTGGAAAGTCGTGTATCACTAAGATTTATGTGGTTCTGCTACTGAACTTTAGTAGCGAAATGTGTTAATTAGATTCAACTTAAGCCTTACTGAACCATCTACTACACTTTTGTTTGTTATTTTTCGCAGTCTGACCATTAATTATATGGTCGAGAAATGGATAGAGCGTATTGAAAGCAAGAAATGTATTACTGGTCATTGGTGGGAGAAAATCAGCCTTGGGTGAAAATGAAGAGAGCCCAGGTGCACAATGGCGTGCAACTCTCGGTTCAAGCAGTGCTAACTAAGGCGTCTTATGCAATTGAATTTAAGTGGTTTCTAATTAAGTATGTATAGGTCACTACTTCCTGAAGTTTACATAAACCGACGTACCAGAAGTGAGACGAAACTATTCACAAATCTACCCCCATTCGATATGAGTACATATGCTATCCTCACTGATTTAAAGCAATTATACATGCAAATATCCGAACCATTTAAAAAACTTGCGCAGCATGTATTCCGTAATTTTAAAGTGTTTTTATCAAAATAAGGAGTTCCCATCAACATATATGGCTTGGTTGAGAGAAAGGCAAAGGGGACATATTTATAGTACAGACATAAAGTACATAATGGGAATGGAGGAAAGTCAGAGCTTCCTCCTTTATTAATGGAAGAAGCAATGAATTGAGCCACTGAACAAGAAATAGATGAAAGTGTACAGATTCGTTGTGAAATAAATTTCGAGCAGAGCGAAACCCAAAATCCAGCCAAGGCGATCAAGGGCTCAGTTCCACAAAATTGGAGGTGAGAGTATCCATCTGACAAATGTAAATTACACTTGAAACGCACACCACAATTTTGCAATGTAGTGGATGTTCAACCAGAAAATAGAATTCATCAAAGACTTCTCCAAGCCTCCTCTTCCGATTTGTCTTATTGGCTTTTACTAAATCTGATGCACGGCTGACTGAAAATGTGAATTTTTTATAGATTATGCACTGAATCATCAGATAAGGAAATATTCATGTGTGACGATGCTCCATTTTGTATTTGACATTATGTAATCATAATTTTAAAAAAATTTAAAAAAAAAAATTTATAAATGTAACCATGTAATTATTTGATATCAAACAAAACTTGACTTGGAGGAGGAAACGTACACATGAATTTTAGTTTACAAATATATTTTTGCCTGATGAAGAAATTCTGTATGAATATCGAAAGCTTGCAACAATAAATACTTCAAGTTAAAATGTCCTCTGATGCCGATGTAATGGATCAATATATATGTCGAGGATGGAAACATTTAATAAATCAACTAAGACCGCTCTACGGTGGAGCCCTGGTCAAAGATATCCGAAAACTGGAATTCATGTACAAACGTCAAATCCAATTCCACAACAATACAGTATTTTTAAGAAGATGCCAAAAAATGAAAATCATCCCCAGGGGACTTCACAACCAATTCATCACAAAAAAATTTGGCTCAAGGTCTTATTTTACAAAAATTGAAGAAGAAACAAACCAAAAAATCCTCAAAGGACTCATCAAGTCGAATTTTCAAGACCTATACGAAATAGACAAGAAAATATATTCACTCCGGAACCAAATTAGATGTAAATTACCACAATATTGGCATTTGATTTGTCACCTAATAAATCGAACACGACAAAAAACCAATGATTGTATCAGAAATCGGCAAATCAACAAATTCAATACTTTAATGAACGAGAAATTAAGCCTGATAACAAAGGAAAATCCACAAACCATTAAAAAAGTCATCCATAACTTATCATCTCATCCACTCTCGGAGAATGAACAAAAACTACTCTCATTAGGTCTGAATAACTCCCTCCCAATCAAAGACATACGTGTAACAATGATGGATACAGCTGCAATTATTGACTTGAAACTGCACGAGACCGATTTGGAGGAGAGAGAAAAGGAACAAGTCAGAGCCGGAGTATCACACATCATGAAAAAACAAATTAATAGTGGAAACTATATGAACAAAATTGATACTTGGATATCCTCATCGATCAAGTCCCTTACCACAAATAACAACATTTGTATTACTAAGGCAGACAAAGGAAACGCAGTGGTAATTTTGGACAAAAATGATTATAACCAAAAAATGCAGACAATGATCAATGAAGGCCCCTATGATGAACTCATTCAAGATCCTACTCCAGATTTCACAGATTTAATTGAAGTCCACTCAAGTTCATTGAAAACAAATGAAAAGTTATCTGATGCAGAATACTCCAAAATAAATCAAAAAAACTCCCAGAGCTCCACTTATCTACGGTGCACCTAAAGTGCATAAACCAGACACACCTCTCCGGCCGGTGGTAGATTTCAGAAGTTCCCCTACATATAATCTTGCAGCAATGTTGTCCAACATTTTGAAGAAAGTAGCCTCGAAACATGAATATACTGTCAAAAATGGAGAAGAATTCGTGAAAGGAATAAAAAATATCAAAATACGACCAGGGGATCAAATGATTTCTTTTGATGTTGTCTCACTTTTCACAAAAGTTCCCATAAAAGAGACCCTGAAAATCATCAAAAAAAGACTTCAAGATTATGATAACCTAAATGAACTGACAAAACTCTCAATCAATGATCTAATGGAGCTGATTAAAATTTGCTTAAAATCCACCTATTTTAAATACAATAGCAAATTTTATCACCAAACTGAAGGTACCGCTATGGGATCCCCCATCTCACCAATAGTCGCAGAAATATTTATGCAAGAATTGGAAAAAAAGCTTGTCAAAAACAATCGCAACATTATCTACTGGCGTAGATTTGTGGATGACGTCTTTGCCATAATAAGGATTCGAAGGAAAAGCCACATTTTAAGTCTAATCAATTCGTTCCATGAATCCATTCAATTCACATTTGCGGATGAACAACAGGGACAATTACCTTTCCTGGATCTCATGCTGTACAAGAAACCGGACAACTCGATTGGTCATCAAATTTACAGGAAGCCTACGCATACAAACTTGTACCTGAATTATCACTCTTTTCATCCCCCGGCACACAAAATTGGCGTAACGGATACCCTGCTGACAAGAGCTTTAAGACTGTCAGATGAAGACCATTTAGAGAATGAAATCAAATACACAATCAAAATCTTGGAAGAAAATAATTACCCACGAAAAATGATTGAATACAGACTGAAGAAAGTCAAAAACAAAATGCAGTATAACAATAACAACAACTCACTAGACGAACCAGTCAAAAGAATTATTTTACCGTGGGCAGGTGAAACCACCACAAAAATTGCACGATTTCTAGAAAGAAAACTAGAAATGAAAATAGGTTACATTCCTGGCCCGAAGTTATCCAGAATGCTAACCAACACTAAAGAGAAACCGAGAACAATAAATTGTGGAATTTATTCAATTCAATGCAGTAATTGTCCAGCAAAGTATATTGGAGAAACAGGACGTGATTATACTACAAGAATTCAGGAACACATTCATGCCATTAGAAGTGGAAATGTAAGATTATCTCCTGTTGCTCTACACATGCATGAACATGAACACAATTTGGACCCAAATTCGTATAAATTAATTCTAAAAGAACCTAGAAGATATTTTCGGAAATTTAAAGAAGCACTGTTCATCAAAAGTACCACTAACAAGATGAATATTTCGAGAGGAGTCGCAGTCAGCCCTATCTGGTCAAGTACACTAACAAACTTTTTAACATATACACAATAGCCCTCAAAGTCCACGTAAAAATTTATAAATGTAACCATGTAATTATTTGATATCAAACAAAACTTGACTTGGAGGAGGAAACGTACACATGAATTTTAGTTTACAAATATATTTTTGCCTGATGAAGAAATTCTGTATGAATATCGAAAGCTTGCAACAATAAATACTTCAAGTTAAAATGTCCTCTGATGCCGATGTAATGGATCAATAATCATAATTTACTTTATTCACATGTCAAAGGTTTGGACTTCCAGCTATACTGCATTTAGTATACTGTTCAAGTAGAATTTCTAGCTGTTCAGCAATGTATACCGTGAAAATATTTATTTTTGGAAGGACCACCAGATAACAAATAAGTCAATCAATCCCTAAATCCATCCCTCAATCCTGTGCGGGCCTTCCTTCTTAAGACTATCGTCCTCTTCAATACTGCTCAACACATATATATCGAGTCAGAGATATCTGAGTCAGATACTATCATTAGACTAGGGTCGGATAATCTGACCTTTCGACTTATGCATCAAATATGCGCGTTACAACTAATACTAATCAATGAAATTATGAATAACTACGAATATTTTGCAACACTGCAAAAAACCAACAGCACCCATTTGATTAAAACCTCTTTCAATTCTGAAATATCTACATATAAGTCTTATATTGTTTTTACCACAGCTAATTGAGCAGTTGCCCATTGAATCAGTTGCATAAAATGTACATATGTAGCTACCCAGCCGAATACTCTTTAGTATTTACTGACGCTGTTGGTGGACGGGGAAAACTACCTGTTTGATAGCGGCAGCGAAAGAGCAAGAGATAAGACCATCACCGAAATAAATTGAATGCTTGGTATCAAATGGGAGTGGAGAATATTACGTATTCCGTTGACACTCCTGCCACCCCTTGATTTAATCAGTGGGACCGACGGGAGAAAGGAGGCGAGACTAAAATTGGATTTGAGGGCAGTGGGAAAAGTGTACAAGCTTATCTTCACTCTCCCATCCACCCAATGCTCACATGCATTTTTCGCAGCGGGTGAAAGTCTGCAGCAGCAACGTGGCAGAATTAGAAAGCAATGCAATGACTAGCTCCATATTGTACCGTTGGCTGACTAAAAACAATACCCTCCTATTGAATAACGGGTTTTATTGAATTTTGAAAATTAGATTTGAAAAGTCTCGCTTAAATTGAATGTTGACGTTTACTGGGAGGGATTTACCGTTTATTTCATTTACGGCAAGAAAAATACAAAAACAATTATGATGTGATATGAACTCGCAATTTAAACGCATTATTCAATAATTTATTGGAAACACGTTTTAAATGGATTTCACATATAAAAAATAAGTTGCCTTTTATCACATTTCTAATGCGGCCCACGAACTCCTCTCCCAGAGGTTTTGGACCCACAGAGATACATCCAAGTATAAAAATATGTATATGCGGTAACTACTTGTCATCATTCATTTATGCAAATCAGGATGACAGTTTGTCTCAGACCTGACAACTCACTTGGCTGTATTTGTATTTAATTTATGAATATTTTGCATAAAGATGCACATTCATATCGGACCATTTTTGCTTCACAGCACTTTAAGTGCACTTATATAGTAGACAATTTTGGACTAAAAACTACCGTCGTGCAATCCTTTCTTACACAAGACAACTATGTGCATATATACCGTTGTGCTTTACAAATTTATATCAGATGGATTAGAGAGGGGACAAAAGATTCCGATGCCATTATTCGCAACTGACGTGGGCAGAGTTTTCACTCCATCGTTCGTCATGTCATCAAGCAATCGCCGCAATCTTGCTCGTAGGAGTATATCTAATTCCATGCTCGCAGCTTCGGTTCCACCATTTACTACGACTACCATCCTGTACTGGATAATTGGAGCCAGTGCATTATGACCAGGCCACCCGCACACTCAGGCAGGATCAGCTTTCTCTCTCTCCTCTCAATGGGAAAGTGGCCCAAAATATGCCAACTTTCTCCTCTCGTTCCCAACTCCTCAGACAGGAGAATTTAATAATAATTCGAAATTTAATCCAGGGTGAAAGCTAGAAACTTTAAATAAAGATTTATTTATGTAGTCGATTTTACCGTTAAATATTTTTTAGCTTTCTTGTGGTAAATATTTTTCTAGAGGATAAAGTCGAAAATGTCAGGTACCATTATCTTGTCTCATGCGTAATGTTTTCTTTGACATTTTTGGTCGTCATTCCAATCTAAATTCAACAAACATCTTACCAAACTGCGCCCCTAAGCCACACACTGCCCATGATATCTTCACAAGGGTTGAATGCGTCTGGGATAGGAGTGCAAATAACTTTGGGGTGTTTTGGCTTCATGCTGACATTGCCATTGCCACAATGTGTGATGACTGTAGGTGAAGGGTCAACGCTGTGATGGTGAAAAACGCCAAGATCGTCATCAATTCCGGAATCGGTATTAATTCCTGTGGGATAAAAAAGACATGTTTACATTTCAAGATTGCTATATAGCCCAAATTATGCATTGTCTTGAATAGGTATGTATGTATAGGACAAGTTGAAACGCCATACGCTGGCTATATTGCTAAAAACTAGTAAAACTACCCACTAAAAATAGCTAGAAATTTAAGCTGAAAAAGACTATCCCTCCTTCGTTCGTTTCTATATACATGCTTTAGACGAAATCCTCTTAAGAAATAAGATATGTGAAAGGTTTGTTTGGTAGAGACATTAGTTTTTGTCTGTAATGTAATGGTCACTGAGTTGAGAGGCTGTGAAAAAGCATTTATTTTCATCTCAAACAAAGTGGACATTAAATTCAAGAAGGCAGGAGGAAACCTCGACCAAACAGAACCCAACAATCCGAAAGACAAACATTCGAGAAATTCCTCACTTGAATCCAAAACATCTCCGAAAGACCTCGTGGGGTCCCTGGAATAAGGATCAAAAGAGTCCAGATGCTCACGCTCTTTGAAATGCTCCACCGGATCATCTGCTGGTCCGTCATGATTACTGTCAGCTTGTTGACCTCTATTTCTCAGGTCACCACCATCGCCATTCCTCCTCGTTGTCCTACTTTCTCGACGCTGCCTACGCAATAATAATGCATGCTCCTTCTCATCTATGGCTGCTGCTGCTGCTGCTTCTGGGCCTGCCTGGTCTGGTGTCCAGATTGCAGAATTAATTTCAAATGATGATTGTCTGCTGCCAGGGTTTACAGATCTCCTCCTTTCTTTTGTGCTGCTGCGGATGGTGTTGCTGGGCTTGAGGGGAAGTCGGCTGTTTGTTCGAGGAAACCTGTTGTGACCGAGGTTCTTTTGCACTTCCGTCGCCGGAGAAGAAATGTGTGCCTCTGTGGAGCTGCTGGTCATCGTTGTTGTTGTCGTAGTTGTTCCTGAAGCCTTATCACAATGCTCTTGAACAGTGGCTTGAACATGTTCCTGCAATTACAATATTAAGACTCTGAAACTCTATGAAATAATTCGGCAACGAGAAGAGGGTAAAAAGAAGGCTTATTTATATCAGGATTTAACTTGGTTGTAAGAAACTTTCTTAATTTCGAGGTGGTGCTGAAAAGTTGCATGAATTGTGAAATACTGTAACGATTTAACAATCGGTTAATGTGAGAAGTCTGATTCCTCATAAAAACTTTCAGTTTATGTCTCAACAATCCAGAGAAAATTGCATTGTAGAATGAAATCGAAAGTAGAATTACAGACTTCTTGATCTAAATTTCCTAATCAAAAATCCAAGGCAGTAGTTTTCAGATTTGCGTTTAGTTCTGCGCCATATTCTACATATGTACATATACTGCACCATCAACGGAACGGGGGAACAAACCTCGTCGTGAAAACTTTTCTACCTTGTTTGCTAAGAACGAAAAGGCTTTATTCAATATGACATTTCTTAGCAATTACTGTCGTTCCACTAAAAGTTGAGTTCAATAATCTCTTTTCTCTGGAGGTGTTAACGTCACCTCTCATAAACTGGTTAGCCACAAGGAGCTGGAATGCTAAGGGGTCGAAATGAGATTTGGTGAAAATTGCTGTTCTTCTCTTAATCATAAATCGTGCAAAGTGATAAGGGACGGAAATCTTGAAGGCAAAGATGAGCAAATTCAGCAAGTGGAATGTGCGACTAATCAATGTATACGAATTTCATATCACCTACAATTTCTCCCCGACATATGTCAGACTGTTCATAATTAACACTTATTTGATAATGCTTAATGCTATTAAGAGTAACATGCTACTGAAGAAAGAGAAAGTGTTTGGATTAAATGGGACTTACTCGATATACTTGATACGTAACAGGGTCGTGGGCTTCGGGATTGGCAAATCTAAAGAGTGTAAATCATTAATTAATAGAGAGCATTTAATTCTTTTTGCACTCGACCCAATTAGTTTTGTCTCATTTATAGGACGTATAATATGTACGTATGCAGGTCTATTGCAGCAATGATAATAATTACTTACGCGCAGCAGTGATAGGGCCAGGTCAATACAGCTTTTTGCAAACTCTGAAAGTGGAATACAAAATTTTTCAAAATTTCTTACCCCAGCGTTTATGTAACTGAAGAGATAATATGATCCAACTGATTCGTAACAAATAGAACCAAATATTTTTCAGTAAATAATGCTCATTACTTTCACTTGTTACATGTGCTTGTATTTAAACGACATTGGAAAGTACGATGCAAAGGAATTAGTACTTATGTAATGCACTAATATTGCATACGTCATAAAACCACGGAATTAGAAATACCTCAAACAGAATTAAAACTTAATCGAATGAAAAATCAAACATGTGCAATTGTTGCTCTATTGTAGAACCTCCGAACTGTCATCTGTCCCTTCAAAGTAATAACTTTGATGCAGAAAGCTGATTTAGGCTTTCGCCAATGTCACATACAAAAATTTAGTTGAAGTCTAATCTCGTTTCACCAGATTTAATTAAGTCCAATTTAGCAAGACAAGTAACTTTGATTTGTGATTAGTGCATTGATGCAACGCGTCACGTACATAATATGAACACAAATGCCGTGAGGGATTCACCTCATCACCCAGTTCAACAGAACATAACACCAAAGATCTATTTATATTCTTCAAATTCTACCGCAGATGACGTCTACATAGGCGAAAATCCTGACTAGGTCAACGTACATACATGCATAAGTGTGTGCATGTTGATAGAAATCGCGTGCAAAAGCGTGAGAAAATAAATCTAATTACTTACTTGAAAATGGTAAATGGAAGGAATGACGTTGAGTGTCCAAACATTTTCCAACTTGAGGATTTCGATGCCTCCAAGTCCTTGAGTGGGCAGATACGTTATCGAAGTTTCCGATAAATCCCTGAAGAGATCAAAATCATATTTCTCTCGTAATTATTATCGTAAGTTGTGAACGTCAAGCTGAAATGGAGATAAATGACTTTGGGGGCAAGCTGACAACCTCCTCGTTATTGTGCTACACTGCACAATTCAATTCATTAGGAGCACGATCAGAATAAAAATTCCCAATGTCTAAAGACTCCATTCTTTGGAGAATTGATACAAAATTAGTGAAAGTCAAGTGTACATGATCGCAACAAGAAGAAATGGCCCTCGAGAAATACGTGCAAACGCAGAATATTACATTATCCCACTTATTTTTTTCCTTTCTTCCCTCGCACCCACTCACTCACTGTAGTAAATACACTGTTCAGCTATAAGTCCCTCAATATTATGGCACAAGCCGTACAAATTGCGTATTTCTAAGATACACACAACTTGAGCAAAAAAACACTAATCGTAGTAAAGGCTCAACTTCTTGGAGATTGGGTGGGTCGTGACACTTGAGCAGCTTATTGGATGAAGAATCGGACACTACTTTCATTTAATATTTGATTTGAAATAAGATTGGATTTGGACAGATGGAGAATTTAAGCTGTCTTTATTCTCAACGTTGTCACCACCGTCGTTGAGGATTGCTGTAGAGTCCCAGGAAAAGAAATAAAGCTTATCAAGGGTTGGATCATGTTCATGGCAATGTTTAAGTTTTACTGCGGCATGGGAGGAAATCGTCTTGTGAGACTGAATGGTCTGTAAATTGAGTGATAAAGTCCTTCGCTCTTACTCCCAAACTTTCTCCAAAGTTCATCTCCTGAGTTATGTATTGCGAGTATTGGGACATAAGTGGGCAGGCGAATAGGAAATAAGTTTTTTTCTCTCGCAATCCAGGAAAATCAAAGTCTGCTCAGAAATGCTTCAATTTTACCAATTCATCCTTTTTCTCGTGTGTGAGTAGGCGCATACCTACATTTTTGCGTTGACGTACATGTATGTGCATGAGTTTCGTGATGTTAGAGCCATAAGGTGGATTTCGCAGGGCTCCGGAAACAGAGTTCCACTTGTTTTCTAGTTATAAATTAAAAATGCCACTTGAATCCCATTTATTTTCCGGAAAAGAATTTGGGAGAACGTGCCTTTTTATAAATAATATTCTTCTTCTTTCACATTTACGCAGTTGTACACGTTCGTATGTAATGTGTATATATTGACGACAAGTTTTGAGCCGACCTTCAAAATCCACTTTTCCAATTCCTCAGTGGCTTCCTATTTACATATGCAATTTACATTTACAAGTGCTTGGTCACCAACTCGTAGAGGAATTTAGAAAAAAAAGTATAGCTTAGTAAAAGTAGTTTAGAAAGTAGGTCGAAGGGATAAATTTGGGAGACGAGTAATAAAATTTAGCATTTGTCATTTACTTTCACTTTCTTCACAAAATGCAATTTCATATGAATTTCGAGGGACCTTGAATAAATTGAGAAATTGACTGCGTACGTATATATATGCAGTACTATTGTATATACTTATATGTGTCTATGTGGTCCGTTTATACCAAATATTTTCTGTAAAAATTGAAAATGGGGTCATTTGAGAACTCAAATGTTTACATTTTTCTGATCGAAAATCGAGATTTAGATTGAATGCAGTATATTTTAAAGTATTTATTTTAGGAAAGTGAATATGAGATTTGTGGAATATAAGAAAGATTTGGGTGTAGAACTTACAGGACTCGAAGGTACAGAATCCCCAGGAAGCTATCAGGGTGAAGCGTCGTTAACTGGCGATTTCCATTCAATCCTCTGATGATTAAATACAAAAATAAAGCATTATTATTAGTTCCTGGAACAAAATCATTTGCAATGTGTAAATTATGTAGTAACAATAATGGCGAAAATAAAGTCGAGAGTGTTGCATATTCATATTTAGGTAAATAACTATGTTTATTTATTTCTGAACGCCACCTTCTCGAGATATTAAACAGGTCATAAAATAAATTGATCTTACAATCGAGCAATTGTTGATCCGTTGAAAGCCAATGGTCCAATCTCGCGTAGATTATTGTAACTGAGGGACCTAGACACCAAGAACAAAAATATATTTTAGGCATCATGCAAGTATCTACTTGGAATTTTGTTGTACGAATCATAAATTAGTTGCAACTTGCAGTTGGTCATGTATATAATGGACTCATGTAAAAAGCTAAGCCTGCAACGTCCGACAAAAAAACTGCTTCATGAAGAACGACACGTTTGTCTAAAATTAAAATCGGGACCACAACAGACACAAGGTCCACTTTTTGAACTTACAGTTTTGCAGTTCCAATAGCTCCTTACACACATATTTACCTACTGATAAAGCAATATTGCCCAAGCCACAGAAATCGGAATGGGTCTTTCACTCATAACTTTCACCACCATCACAATAAGGAAAAATACATTTGCTAATAATATTTTCCGCATTATTCAAGATCCAAATTCTGGTATAAGCTTGTATGGGTGGTGCCGCGAGAAAAGTTGCTGGAATAGCGCGGTCCGCAGTTGATAAGATCGACGTGAAGAAATGCGTGAGCATATCAATGCGGCGGAATAATAATATGACTTTCACCAAGGCCAAACTTGAATTGAAGTGACAAGACGCCCATGTTTTCCACATTTTAATAAATAGCATGTTTATACCAAGCACCAACTGAGTGGGGACCACTTTTGTGCTAGCTAAGCATTATTCTGCGTGTCACCATCAGAACGAGAGAAGGTGTGGACTTGCTGAATTTATGTATTTCAGAAAACACCTCCTTCTATAAATCCATATGACTTAGTTTTTTCAATATAAATTTAAAAATACAAGGAAAATTCAGGAAATGTGCAAACCTTCACTACATCCGACTTGTCATACCCCGAGCCAGTCATTTTCTTCGTTTCACATACTATACAGGCATAGACACATGACGATTCTTGTTCGGGCTCAAAACCTATCGGTAATCCTCACACACATCAAGAGTAACAAATCCAGTAAGGCATCACCCAAGTGTAACCATTGAATTGGACATTTTTCTGTAATTTGACCTTTTAGTCATCAAATATTTCATTTATTAAATGTATTAATCTAGCTACTGGACTCATTGTGTATGTATGTCTGCATGGGCAGGCATTGGTCTCCTGGTCCAATTTAACATTTTTAGGAAACTTGAGAAAGTCTCTTGGGCATGGCAGCAGAACAATTCTCGACGACCAAAGAAAAAATAAATTTGACGAACGTTCAGTCATTTCATTGTGCCAAGAACCATATTCATGAGCTCATACACTTTTTCTCATCTTTCAAGGCCCCGCATGCACTCGACATCGTCCTTCAAAAACTTGGAGGCTGCTGGGACGGAGTCAAAACCGTCATGTTTACTCTCTTAAAGTAAATCTCGTCCTCGCAAGATTTACCTGGAAATGAATGATGGATTATGATCATGGCAAGAACTTTCCAACAAAGCTACGAGTACATACACCTCACACTGTCATGGCCTGAATACAAAGAAGGGAGTTTGAGAATACCAAAGTGGTTTAGTGTGGGTCCAACCGAGTGGGAGTAAAGAAAAAATATAATAATTCGCGACACTGGGCCCACGACGATATCACGACGACGCCGACATTTAATATTGCATTTTACATTCATGCATGGATGCTAATAAGATTCAGGAAAAAATGTCGGCCTGGATCAAGAGATTTTCCGCATCAGCTCGGATTTGACAACCAAAATCACTTTTCAAGACTATGTATCTACCAAATTAGTTACCACGACGTGATTTGTATTCTAGAAGACATGACCTAAACAAAGTAGTTTTCAATTTCAGTTTCCACTGGAGTGACCCCATTTCATTTATTCTTTTTTGGTGGTTACAATAGGAAGATGCGGAAGGAAAGTGACGCATAATGTACGTATGTATAGCTTAATACAATGTATGTATGTATTATGTGAATAGCTTAATACAATCTTCAGAGAGTTATTTTTTTCTAATTTCACAAGTCGTGATTAAATATGATATTACCAATATGCATGCATTATACTATGTACCAGGTATTGTGAGTATGTATAATTTAATAGAAAACCCCTTGACATCTATGCGTTTAGAAAGTAATAGTATGCATACTTCATATGTACTCCACTGCATAAAGTATATGTGCTACGGGTGGAGTATGGGGGTGGTCTGTTAGAATTGCATTTATTTAAGCAGTGCAGTTGTAGTCATGGCGCACTGCCGCTTACGCCTTGGGTGCTGATACAAACGATATCATTATCTATGTATACTGCGGAATCCTCTCTTCATTCTATTTTCTACAGCCACTATCGTTTGTGCATTCAAATCTGCGTAAGGTAGGTAGTGACGAATTATGGCTTGTCAAGTACTTGTTTTATTATTTTGAATAAAGCAAAAATTCACAGAAACAATATGGTTTCAGAGTCTCTGCACATATTTCGTCATTATCCGTGATTTTCAACAGGAGCAAAAATGGGAAAGGAGGACCAATCTACAGATAAGCCTTCGATAGCTCAGCTCACGTCTGTTGAGACGAACTCTAAAGATGACGTGGTTGGAGGAGGAGACGCCATTCCTGAAGCAATCAAACCTGGAAGCACTGAATTTGCTGGATATGGAAAGGCTGAGCTGCAAAAGTTGGCGAAAGATCCATTTTGGGTGAAAGTGAGATGGATACTGTTCATTCTCTTTTGGATCGTGTGGTTTGGACTATTTATTGGAGCAATTTTGCTCATCGTACTCTCAAAAAAATGCTGAAATTCGTAAAAAATATCCTTCCGACACGCAATTATTTATATTTTCCATCCAACACTTCCCAAAATATGAGAGATGTCTTATTAGATAAGTTTTCTTGCCAACTTTACCAGTATTTGTTCTGTCCAAAGAAAATGAATAAAGAATGAGGTAAACAAGCAGTCAACAGTTGCTCACATATGAACGACAGACATCATCATCATTCCATGTTTAGAACAAAAACTAGGTCACACTTACAAATGTTCTGTTTTGAGGTTGTAGAAACCACCTGGAATCAACTGGGAAATCTTTCCGTTCTCGAACTCTCTGCAAAAAAATATAATGTTTTCAGTTTTTTTCTGGAAGTTTTGCAATTATATCACTCATTCATTCATCCATAAATTTCTGTACTCGTACATACGTACATAGATATAGACGTAGATATGAATACAACAATCATGAAAAGGTACGTATGAACAAGCACATACATCTTGGCTAACAATTTTATTTGTGTCGTAAAACCTTACGTGGTTGATCTTGTGGTACTTTACGAAAACAAATTGCAGCACTTTTAGCATTTTTATAAGGTTATTTTCGTGTAGACTTGTAATAAAGATAAAAGGACCTAAAAATGACACGATACGGCTGGAGCTACTTATACCATGCATTCAAATACTCTCGAGATTGGGGCGTAAGAGGAGCATAAATAAGGTGACCTCAGGAATGATTACATCCGTTTCCAAGTTCCTATAAATATATGAAGCGGAATAAGTAGTGAGCAGAAATAGGCGTCCTACACAATCATTAACTAGTCACGTTAGAACCCAGCAGTGCATCAACGAACGAGGTGCGGTGGGCGGCGAGGAAAAGAGATGAGCTGAACTATCATCATCACAATCTCGTTCCCCATTGTTCTCTTTACTCTTTTCCATTGCTCTTTTCCTCAGATGTCAAATAAGACCAAATTTAACTACTGTTCCTTAACTTGTAACTGTGACACATTTCTCCACATATTATTCCTGGCAAGGATGGATGGTGGAGAAAAATACACAAGTTATCATATTGGAAAGTGGGTCAGCATTTGTCCTTCTTCCCGTCGTCTTTCCGCACAGATGGACACGCACATTCCAAAAGATAACGTCACTGCATATCACCACCAGAATCCACTCTCTTTACTTAACTAACGACACAAACAACTTTGTTTAACTAGGATTGAATGAAGAAACTTTGCTGATGAACATGCGGAGAAAGTACGAGGAGAAAGTTGAGATGTGACAAAAAGGTTTGTTCTGTGGTTGCTTAAGTCGCTTTAACGACCACCATTGCCATCCACATTTATTAATTATTAAACGACAGGGTGCTGGCGATAAAAAGACGACTAGACGCGGGAGGGAACCAATCTTGATTGAGTTTCAAGGCCCACTTATTTTTATCCGCCGCACAAAACAAATGGAGTGGACGCGATGAACAAACTTTCCAGGTTTACATAAGAATGTGACGATGCCGAAAAACTTATCGCTTTTCCCACACAGTTTTTGTTCACATTGTATACTTACAAACGAGTAGGTACATAGTACACATATTAGCGTCGTACGGATATACGTAACGAACATACATGCACAAAACCAAAAGCGGGAATAACTTGGCGCAAATACGTATACATAATATGCGAGAATATGTATCACCTAAAATGTGGATGAGATAGTTTACGTACACATTAAGCAACGTATTTCCTGAGTGGTGGGGCCGTGGTCTCAAGAAGTGTCTATCCCTCGGGTGGGATGGTAAACAAAGAGAAAAGTAAAAGTATGAAACCTAATCCCTCAAAAGTAGCAATTCCCTCGACTTTCACTCCCACTTTATTTCAAAGCAACAAATAGAAACAGCATTGCTACAAGTAAAACGAACTGTAGAAACATTGAAAATAATTTGTATGAATATGGTAGATGTATGTTAGGCGGACATCAAAGGAGGGGGTTGAGTTGACTCTCCGTCCGGATCGGCGTTGTACATATGGACCAGGACTTTGGCAGCGGTGGTAGATATTGTCGAGCAGCAGACACTGGTTTCCAAACAGCGAGAAGGAAGATACGTTTCACAGGAAAGCATCAAAGGTTTTCCACCTTTCATCATTTCACTCAACTGTATTGTATTCGCAATGGTGAAAGTACTGCCTTGTTACATATTCCACGGGCCGTATGACAACGACGACGAATAAGCAACTATCAAACAACGGTAATTCTAATGGCTTTTCTCCTGACGCGAGAATAATTAATTTTGGTTAAATAAAACTAATTTATTGAAGAGTACAACTAAAAACCAGGCACAAAAGGCTTGGATATTTTTAGTCCGGACTTCAATAAGAAGTCATCTTGACTGTCCCTTTGTTTGTCATTTTAAGATCAGCTCCATAACTCGGGAAGTACTTAGGTTATAAACAACATGTCAAGTATTTTTGTACGTAGTGTGGCCCATGCCGATTTTTTATTGAGTTCATTTTGGTTTTTGGGGTAGGGTAACTTTTCGGTAAATGAAGGGTGGAGAGTTTTCATGTGTGAGTAGATATTTTTGAACCTATTTCGTCATGGAAGGTATTGATGCATAAACACCCACATTTTACAGATTGGGAAACTATCTAGGTGTACTTAGAAAAGTGTTTCAAGTAAATATTCAATGCTGCACCCAACTCAGAGTGATATTACAAGTAAGAACAGATAATATATACATAGGTACTTACACCATGTGCAGTACGTCCTTAACGTGCAATTTTCCAAGGTTTGGAGCGGATGTCAATCCGGTGTAGGTCAGGCGTCTGCAAAAACAAGTTGACGAATTCAATCAGTATACAGGAAAATGACGCCAAGAATATGCGAGGAACAGAACAGTCCCTTAACAAGTTCACGGTTGATTAACTTGCACCGCATGAAATGAAATGTATGATACAAATAAGTGCACCTATCAGAATTAGAAAATTTAATGCTAGAATTTAAAGTCGAGTTAAGGTGATATTTTATTATCCACATTTATTAGCGTACATCCAACCAGTGGCACTATGTATATATTGGGTAGCGTGGGAAGTAAAGACACGATAATTCTTAAGTAATATTAAAGCTCATTAAGTATCTAACCTACGATTGCAACGTCTGTGGTATATGTGACCTTGATGACTTTGATTTGGACTCAAATGCCGGAATTATTTTCCAATTCATGTGACCATGTCATAAATCCCATTGCATTAGCTACTGGAGTGAGTTATTGTCTGTGGAATGGAACTCAAGTTATCCATCAAGGGAAGGAAAATGGGTGAGTTCCGACGAAACCGGGTTTTCCTTCCTCTCTGACTTTTGAATTGCATTCCAGCCAAGGCCAAATGCGATGATGCAGGAATGTGTATTCAAAGCAGGCCTCCGATTCGAATAAAGGACCAACCAAAAGTGCCTCGAGATGACGTTTGACATTGGACATGAGATGGGATCACACGTATTCACATAGGTTCACAAACTTTTGTCTTCAGAACACAATGCATTGATTGCTTTCAAGATTGCTCCAAACAAAATTCTACCAAAATTGTCAGCAAGAATTGTCTGTAAAATTCCAAAGCTCAATTTATATACTTACGCTTTTCGTTTGTCCCTTCCTTTAAATTTTACTTTGTCCAATAAACATGACCTTTGTCAGCTTTCCAACCAAGGTCTGCTTGTTTTACTCATTACACTTAACTGAGAAAAAGTTGACCAGTTACGTAAATACATTAATTTGGAGCTATCGTATTAAAAACTAGGTTGGAGAAAGACGTTGGGACCATTAATATATCAATTGAGTGGTATTTAACTAAATACATAAGTTAATTCATAGCCTGTTTTGTATGTTCTAAGACCGTGCGTTCATACGATTGACGATACGGCAGATCTAAAACGTGGATACCTTGAAATGGGATCAAATTGTTAAAATTTACTTACATGATTTTTAAGTTTGGGAGAAAAACTTTGAATACGTCATCAGAAATCTCCTTTAGAGAGGCGGCTTCATGGATGTATCTGTCGTGAAAAATACAAAATAAAGTTTTACATCACTTTATATTTAGAACATGAAACTTCGTGGAGGGTTAACCTACTTAAAAAATAGGGTTAACATTCACTTGAAAAGTTGTTAAACATGTATTGTCAAGAAAGATAATTAAAAGAAACAAGCCAAAAATATCAAGTGCTAATGTCACCTCTTTCACCCATCAAGATTTTAATATTATAGACCGGCGACCAATTTAATCACTTTTGCTCAACCTGACGAAATTCTGTCATCAACGCTAATTGCATTGTCCTGAAAGCGGCTGTCTGAACTCAAGGTGGGATATATGGTTCTGGATCTTTGAAGGGATCAAAATTAAATAACTATGTGCATATATCAAGTATTAGTATTATGGCAAAGGTGAAAAGTTGAAGTTAATTCAAACTCAAGGAGGCAGAAGTAGGGCGGATAAGTGGTGTTAACAACCTATATATAAATTTAAACGTACACAGAATCAGTTGTACTCAGCTTCTTCTAACCAAGAAAACCTAAAGTGTGCAGCCTTGTTTAGCCCGAGTCAAGCTTTACAGTTTTCCCTCAATCGGCAAAGCTCGACAATTTAAGGTCCATTTAAATGGAAAATTCATGAATTCAAAATAATTAATTATATGTTTTTATGCATTTTAACCAAACACAGCCTGGGGAAAGCACACCGCTTTTTAGCTTTCTCCGGCTGCAAAACCTTAATGGGTACTTCAAGCAACAATTGGCTATTATGACACTTTATTCTTACAATGCGATGACGCCAGCGGTCTCGCCCCGATTTTGACGAAACGACGATAATTATGTAGCCTTAGATAAATAATTAGACACGTGTTTCAGGATTTTTCATAATGCTCAGTTTAAGCGAAATTATGACGAAATCCGTGAGCGAGAATTCCCATTTTAACCGTGACATTTTTCTGGCAAGGCAGAAAAATACAGATTCTCCATTACAGAGTCCATCATAATTTCGTTTAAAATGCGTGGGCATGAAGTGTTTTTTTCGATTTTATGTTGCCTGTACAAATTTTGAGTTTTGAAAATTTTTGAACATTTCCAAAAATTTCTGAAATTTTGGAAAATTTCTGAAAATTTCTGAAAATTTCTGAAAATTTTCAAAAATGCAACAAACCAAAATCGTAGAAAATCACTTCGTTCCCACCAATTTTAAGTTTAAACGAAATTATGATGGACTCCGTAATGGAGAATCTGTATTTTTCTCCCTTGAGAGAAAAATTTCACGATGAAAATGGGAATTCTCGCTCACGGATTTCATCATAATTTCGTTTAAACCGAGCATTATGAAAAATCCTGAAACACGTGTCTAATTATTTATCTAAGGCTACATAATTATCGTCGTTTCGTCAAAATCTGAGCGAGACCGCTGGCGTCATCGCATTGTTAGTTTGGTATTCAAATATAGGCATAATTGTCCCGAATATCACGGTCATTTTAAATATCTGCACCAACGACCCCACCCAACCTATGTGACCCCTATTACATACGTGTACAAAACTTCACGAGTTACCGGACTGAGAGACACGATACGTACATAAGGCCCTGACTCGGACTAGAAACAAGCTCTCACAACAAGTTTCAATTTCTTTGAAGACGTTATTTCTTCATTAACCACCATGACTAATATATATTCACCGAGTAGAACTACTAGAACTCATGTTAAAGGATCTTGTACTTGAAACGAGGAAAACAGTCCAGCCCAGGATGTAGCCTACATCATGCATTGAGCAGTGACGTACATATGTGTATTTATGTTGAAGTAAGTACGTAGCCAGAGTGAAAGGTAAATAATGAGAATGGATCAAGTGGTGTAAATTTTCAAGGATAACAGGGAAAGCCTTATTTGGCAACTTAACTGGATCCTATCACCACTTGACTTTCAGTAGCGCCGCCATCACGTCTTAACCTAATTACAATTTATTAAACTACAGCCACTTACATGGTATTTAAATTCCGCATCCCATAAAACGCTCCAACCTGGATTTCCTTGAACTGTGGTAGCTCACTCAAGACTCTGTAATAAGCAAGTGAGCATATGCATAATTGCACGTCTAACAACAAACAATTGCCCACCGAATGCAGATTAAATATGGATAGTAATCATGATTAACGGGTGGGTCGTAATCGCAGCGAGGGAGGAGGAGGGAGAAGTAGTAAGGAAATTACGATGTACTGCGACGACGGAGATAATTAGGTAGGAATTACAGATGCAGAATAACAAGAGGCCACAAAGTTGGATAACTCACAATTCGCTAAGTGTTGATGCATATGGGAGCAAATCTCCGCTGCCCAAGGTTGTGAAATCCTTTGCATGCTCCACAGTTCTAGAGAAGAGGAAGAGAAAAAGTGATTATCAGCAATTTAAGTTGCATTTGCCAAATTGAATTACCACGTAACATTCAGGTGCCTAAGAAAACGAGTAAGAGCCCACAGTGGAAAGAATGCTCATTCATTATATAACAACTCCTGATCGAATTACAGATATTAGTCGTAACTTATTTACATGAATGAACTGCGTACATAAATCTTATAAATATGCTAATTGGATGACTGGAGAAAGCATGTAGCAGTGCTCACTAATTGAATGTACCTACAAATCCCGCAACTTATAATTACATGTAGTTTACCGACAGTTTGAAGTATATTTCAATTTGAAAATTACATGGAACGTGATTGGTCCAGCAAACGAATGGTCTTGTTTCATTGAAACTCGTGATTTTTGTTGATCTTGAACCAATTATTATTCCGAGATCACACTGCCAAATCTCAGACTTTTTGTAAAGGCTGAATGAATGACACATTAATGATGAGTGGCATTAAGTGGCATATTTTACCCCGTTTTGATAACAACGTGTTTGAATTATTGAGAAAAAAGATTAAAACGAGGCAATCATTTTGTTTATACTTTTTGGATTTTACGAATTTTAGTGGACGGCTACGGGGGTTGGAAACTTGTTTATGTACATTTTGTGGAAACGTTTGCACGTGTATTTTATTTTGAGGATAATTGAATGCCAAATTGCCTGTCCTGAAAAATATGTTGTTCACCTTCAATGATTTGAAGAACATTGCTACTTAATAATACGAATTATTTATTACCAAGAAAGCTGGGTATAAAAGTATGAATTTCCATTCATACTGTTATACCCTTATGCATTGCATATCTGGTGTACAAAGAATTAAGCAAGTAAAACCAGATGTTTTCGACCCACATTGTATTGTTATCAAATGCCAATTTAGTCTTACCAAGTCTGCACTTGTCTGTCAGAAATAAAATAATATGAGAACAACAGCAACCTGGATGACAACTTGCAAGGCTTTAAACAATAGTGTAACGAATCTCCAGTTTATCTAATGCATTAATTGAAAAAAGTGCAAAAGCCATGATTGTGTAGGTCATAAACTTGTTTTCCGTAGTTTCTCCTAAGAGGCAGGTGATGCAAGGATGAAATTGTGTAATTAAAAATTCCAAGTTGGGGAATTACGTGCAATTTTGCCATGCATTTAGTTGCCAGCCAAATGTTAGAAATTACAATATTAATCCAACCAATATGACCCCCACCGGTCAATCCCTCTACCGATCTTATCAATCATTGAACTTTATAATAATGTTTATTCTTAAATCCTACGTTTTAAAAAATGCATTGGCTTTATTCCTCAGTTACAGAAATGAAGACCGATAAGATTTATTCATTTATCTAATTCCTGATTTTTTAAATCACGGAAAACCAAAACGTTTATTTTATATATGTGTGTGCCTAATAAAAATTTAATAATCGTGAAAAAAGGTTTATGCGCCCCCGGTGTAGTACATATTCTGGTTTTCAGTTTCATAAAGCCTTTTAAAATATTGGAAATGTATGCATATGGGCCAGGTTAAAATGGAGGCAAGTTGAGACTCACAATCGGTGCACATCCGACGGGAGCAGGTACGACCTGTAGAGTTGAGTAAAGTTGGCCTCGGAGCAGGTGCATTCGACTTCGCGTCCCATAATGTCGCTCGTCGTATTCCAGCAGGAACACGGACCGGTCTTTAAAACATTCGAGTGGTCCACAACCTCTCTCGACGTCAGGATCAAGTCCCCGTCCGGAAATTCAAATTCGATTTTGCGAGATCGACGAGAAAATTGAGATGATGATGATTTCGGTGAATTTTCAGTCTCAAAACTCTCCCATGCTGCAAAAGTGAAAACCCATCAATCTTATTTATTAATATGTTATATAATTTATCTGTTAATAAAGCACGACAATTTACTGAGAAATACTCACGATGAGGACTTGAACCATTTTCTATGAAGTGACTCCACACTCCGAGGTGGTGGTTTTCGTGTGGAGGAGACGCGTTGCAAGATCCAAGGACACAAATGAGAACAAATAACACGACGGTGGCGATGGTGGTGCAGCATATCAAGTGTTTTCTTCCAAGAGGTTGACCATCCTGATGATCATCGTCGTGGAGGGACGAGGACGACGCAGACCTTGAAGAAGATAAAGTGAGATCAGGACATAATCTTACGACATCAGAGAGTATTAGTTATCATGGCGGAATAATTGCGTCCATTTTCATTCAGCCTTCGTTTCGTATCAACCAAGTACAAGTTGTAATTTAATGTTTTTCTGGAGAATGCAGTATGCGTGTATGTAGTTTAAGCTGTCGTACATACATATACCCCCCTTAAACCGCAGTCTGTGTGGCACGACAGTATATGAATGATAATTTAGCCCCTGTCCTATATTAGTCCATAAAGTAGGTACACATTCTGCCAGTAGCCCCTGAGTAAGTAGCCATAAGGCCATCTAATTAAATATTAGTCCTTTAATCCACCTCCTCCCTACTAATCCAGGTATGGTAAACCATCATGCATGTTGTAATGGTACAAACAAGAGCCGGAAATGAGACCTCGTGTTGCATGGATGATAATAATTGGATGCAAATAAGTACTTATGATATTATCGGATTATCGAAATAGCCGATTCATGGTTTGAATGAGAATTGCAGAGCTAAATTAATCCTCATTTTCCAACAAAGGGATTTTGGTGTCCAGTCTGCTGCCACTTTTGACTGTCCTCGACACAGACCTTTCTTCAATGCACGTCGTCATTCCAGTCTCTGCCGATGTGTTGCTCCAAGTGAAATGAACAATGATTTTGATGGGGTCTCGACATGGTGATGAGGCAGCGCTTGAGGACGCTCATCTGCATTTGGTCCACAGTGCCTGAGTAGATCTGCACAAGTGTGGTGACAGGAAAGGGATGGAATTGATTCAGCAGATATTTCACCGACAGACCGACAGAAAGTGCTGATCGATGAGCATCATCACCCTGCCAGGACCATGTTTATGTCGACTGGAATCAGGTTTGGAGGTTCGGATAATTGGAACGAAATTAGATTGTCACACATCTGGCTGGATGACAAGTCAAGAAATATGAATGATGAAGTACGATTCAGAGAGGAAATGAAAGTTCATGGGATCCGCGTAAATTTAGAACTTGTAAAAATATTTATGTATTCACAAAAGTGCTGCACTACTGGAGTAACACTAGTAAACAGTCGAAATAAGCATTTTTAAACACAAATGGTATTAAATTGCTGTTCAAAGTTCTGAGTTAGGATTTAAGGTGGCAGAGGCCCAGACTAAAATATTTCTAGCAGATTCACTCATCCTCGTGCTCTGGCTTATTTTCTGCAAAGTGCATTATGTTATTTTCCATATGCTAAATCCAGTAGTACATAAGATCATATAAATTCTGGCCGAGACTAATGACCGAAATATTAAGGGGGGTTAATATAATAAATAAATCCTACACAAAGCTGACATAATGGTTAATCCTACTTATCTGGGTGGCATATTCATCCGCGTGTGTGCAGTTTGACATGATTGACGGGTTCAAGTGATTTACGGCAACTGATCTCAAGAACGCTTCTCTACCACCAGCGAATACAGATCACTTTATGATACCATGATCATTGCTCTACCACTAATTTAACTGGAGAGTCTTCTCTCTAAAGTACGTGCACATCTGTATGCACGGATATACTTATTTTCGACGTACTTATATTAGGACAGTGACAGGAGCCATAAAACATTCAACAATAATGCTCTCTTTTCTAGGATAATTCGTGCTTAAGCGAGAAATGAATTCCAAAATCTATTAAAGAAGTATATGATTATGTCAGATTATGTCTTCTAGCTATGATTGTTTAAGTTAGTAAATATGTTAAATTTTATGGACCCGAGTGACAGCAATATAAATATATACATGCATTTTCAGTATGAAGTTGGACTAAAAGTCGGAAATAAGACTAGGTGTACTGATTTTCAGCAAATACGTGATATGCAAAATTTCAAGGCTCTTTGCTACCTATGCAGACAGCAACATTTATAGGTTTTGTGACTGTTGAGAATTTGAGTTAAAATTGCTTGGGGTAGTGGTTTTCCGCTTGGTAATTACAACATTGCCATTGAATTTAACGTTGTATGCCCTTGAACATTAACTTGGGTGTCGGAATTGTGGGATTCACTCACAATTCATTGACACCTCAAATTTTTCCTTGACACTGCATACTTTTAAAACTTTGTATGTCTAAAGTGACAATTTAACCCAGGATTTAAATTATTTCATCCACAGAACTGTTTACAGTTTCATAAATACTTGCAAATTATTGTCTGTGTGACCATCACTGTAATCAGAAAAAGCCTAATAATTCACGTGGGAGTATTTCCTATTAAAACGTATTCAAAGCATTAATCTGAAGGCAATGGACGTGAAGGCGCATATGTATCTGTGGATTGCTTTGATGAACTGAAGAATAAAGAAAAAACCAGACTCATATGTATGGCCCTAGTCAGGGACAGAGACGGCGTCTAAATTTTGTAATAATTGACCTGGCTACTGCTATACCACCCCGTGGTGGGAATTGTCGAATATTTTGCTATATTCTATTATTTGGTACCGAATTTTTGAAGTATTTACAAATCCTTCCTTTTGACATCACTACCAGAGCTCGCTTCTTGGGAAAATCTTCCAAAATTGTATTTACTAAGCAGAAGCCATTTTTACCCTCCATACCAAACTTTAGCTTAAAATATCAACTTTCAAAAAAGGGTATGGGTCACGTTCTAGGGTGCCCAGTTTTCTAACAATATTTTGAAATTGTAGTGCATAACACCCCACCCACCTACATGACCCCCACCGGTCGTCCACTTGACCGATTTCGGACGGACAGACATGACGATGAGATTTCAGAGTGGTAGAGAATATGGAAACTTGAATAGAAAACTATCAAACAATTTTTCAGTTCTCCATTTATTATTACAAGGCAGACAACAAAATTGCCAGTATGAAAACCCTATTGCATCTGAACTCCCACGTGAACCTAAATGCATACTTTTATAAAATATGATAAATTAGGAAACGATTCATTTTTTCCTTTCTCATCCTCTCCATCATCTTCATCGTCCCACTGATCCTATTACTCGGGTACTCCAGTGAACAGGTAGATAAAATACTTAGCGGTATGCATGTCGCACACATACTCCATAAATATGTCTCCGTAATAAGAGCATAGCACACGCGTCATCCTAAAATATTTCAAATTTACCTTTCAGCCCAAATTTCTTGTGACGGTAAAGGTCGAATCGGGGTGGAATTTGTGGAGGAAGCGTTGACGGTGGTGGTGGCCAAGCTCCCATGGGAAAGTCTTCTCTTTTGGCTCACCCACATATTTGCTCACCTCATTTCATTGATTGTCGGACAAGTGAGTGACGTTTTGCGTAGATATTTGATGATGAGGTTCACTGGCAAAACTTATATATTGGGAGATGGTTTCTCCAATTCATGTGCACGTGTCACTACCGAGAGAGGGACAACAACTAGGGTCGGATGAGGCAGGTTTAAGTATGAGAAATCCTGGAGAAATTACATTCTCCGCGTTAAGCCGGGAGCAAAAGTGACGTGATCCAATTATGCGGAGTACTTATTGGTAATTTTATACTTGATGGCGGCGTCGTTGCATTAAATTAAATACGATACACACTCCTCGCTTCGTCCTTCAATCGGCAAGCACACACCAGGTTTCCTTGTAGCAGTGGAAAGTTCTACTTTCTCTACGTCACGGTATATACCGCTGCTATGTAACTGTCAATTATACTGGTAAATATTTTTGACACCGACGAAATCAACCTGAACTCGTAATGATAGTCACTCAATTTCCTTCGATTCTGATTATGTGCTCTCCAAACTAGAGTAACCCACTTGTTTTTGACGAAATAATAACTAATAGCACTGGAAACTTGTTGTGTTATTGTTTCTTGTTCGATTATTTGGCAGCAGAGTGAGAACATTACTCATTACTCGAGGATCTGAAAGCAGCAAATACGCATTTACAAACAAAAATTACAAACTTACTATTTACGTGGCATATATACAATCTCAAATACTTTACCAAGTGAGACACGCAATAAGTTGTTCGCACACAATGGAGATTTTTGCTCTACTCTGCCTGTGAGATTCGCCCGGAGTTCGTTTCGACACTGATCAAAGAAAGAAATAAACTTTACGTCTACATGTTCTCACTTACGGTCAAATCAGACACACTTTTGAACCAGATTTAGCATTATAATCTGTAGGCTGCTAACTGAATTGCATACAAAATTTAGCAGCCCCGTACAGAAAAGAGTTCCAGCTAACAACATATGTATAGTTATAATCCTTCAGAATTAGGAATCAACCGTGTTGTGTACCATCTAAATAGGAGCACGTTATGATGAGACCTCTTGCTGGATATGAAATGAAGCAAAACATTCCACACATGCAGATGCAAAACATTGTGTAATGCTCATGGCTATTGTGTATTTATATATTTATAGGAGCACAACAAACTCTGGTTGAGGATGAGACAAAACGACAATTATGTATTCAGGAACACTAAATAATTGCCCACTTTTCAGATTACTCGTCGAGGAGCGAGAGATTACCTGTAGTAGAAAATTAAACCGTCGATGATAAGTAGTGCCAACCCAGAAGTAGAGAGAGTCAACTTCCAAGCGAAATTCGCCAATAATAATATACCTAATTTTATGCATGAAGGAATTTTTATCAACTGGAACTGCTTGGCAATTCAGCAAGGAATGGCCGGTCCCATCATAATAATCCGGTGAGCGGTGGCAATAAGTAGCAGCAGCAGCACAGTAAATATATTAAAACTTGCTACTGACACGAACTGTGAATAGTATTACAGAAAACCAACACCAAACTAATTGTAATCGACGTTTGTCGTCTCGTGCTTCTCTAAATTCGTTCCTACTTGATTGCACCAAGTTGTTCAGGTTGTTGCTGTAATAGATTTCCCTCGCGGCCACGCATCTCATTAAACAACATTATAATAATTATTATTTAAAGGATCCAATTACAATTTTAAATCGATCTGCACAAAAATATCACACAATAGCACTTTTCACTAAATCCTATTAATGATTAGATTTTCCGGGATTCACAAAAAAAATTCAACAAGGCAATAAACAAGAGATGCACACGAACTAATGATGCTTAAACAGGTAGATGCAAATCATTATTTGTATGCAAAACTACGTACATGTGGACAATGTTGCAGACAAGGCAATAACATTTAGTGAATAAATTTAATAATGTGTTCTAAATCTCACAATAATTTCTCTCCTTGTGATTCTTAAATATTTTGCAGATCGTATCAAGTAAGTAATAAGCAACAAAGCTGCACGTTGATTGTTATTATCGTAACGATAAACTTTGATCATTTGCACCATTATCCTTGTCCCAATGAATATTTGCCTTCGTAATGCATATGGGTGCAGAGGGAGATGACATATTGCTGCTGCTGCATGCCGACACAAGCAATAAGACGTCACAACCTTTGCATGTTCGTTGCCCTTTCTTAATTTGCTGTTATTTCTCGAGGTGCAATTATGATTTCATAAAATCTCTACCAAGTTCAACATCTGCATCAATATGAGCAATTATCCCTATTATTATCGCTGCCACTAAGGTTGGTGCTTGATTCAGATACACACGTAAAACACTTGATGGCAATTTGACAGTTCATTATCCGTGTTCCTATCAGCAGTAAAAATATTTGACGTCCAAAGTCTCATCTCGTCAGTCACACCCTTTTGTAATTAAGGAGACAAATTCGAAGAAGGATAAGCGAGCAAGTAAGAAGCGAGTGACCCCAAAGCCAACGGTTGGGGTAAAACGCAATCATCACGCACATAGTTGCACTGCTGACCTTAATTTAACAAGTAGTAGGCTAATGCATGGTTAGTTGGTTTGGTATGAAGTTGTCATACAAATACGTGCATGACATAGGTATACATAGTTAATTGACTAAATCAAGTCAGGCACAAAGGAAGGAACACTCTGTACTTCAGGTTAGGCTAGAGCATCTCACCGACCGACCAACAGATGTACATGAACAAAGTCAAGCCAAACAACTCAATTACCTGCAGAATATACAACACATTAGGGAGAACAAGTTGGAGAGGATTCGACTTAATTTGCTCATTACCAATTCCTAAATGTCCTTATACCTCAATAACCTAAGGCACACACACACAATTATTTATATGCAAGAGCAACAATGCTAATACATATATGCCACCATCGAGTGAGATGTCTAATAATGAGATCCCCATACTCCATCCAAGCCTCACGACTGAAAGTGAGATGCACAACAATACATTTCTGCATGAAATGATATGCTCGCATAGACCGGTTTGAACTGGACTCGGTACTTCCGATTACCACCCAGCATAATAAGCAAATCTAACAAAATAGCCGACTGTAATTGAATTACTGTGAAAGAAGTGACATTTTCATGCCCAACCATTAGGGATGCGATTATATATACGTACATATGCAAATTTGTATTTGTTACAGTACATGCTGCTCGTATATGTGTCGGCATATGCACACAGTACAATATTCATACCAGTATGTGTACAATGGAACAATGTTGTACAGCCAAACCCACATTGTTCTCAAAAACTTTTTAATATTTTATTGCCAACTCACACGCCTGCTTTTCGTTCATGGGCAAAATTGGGCCAATATGTAGAGTTTTGGCTAAGGGTTGAACTCGGAGACCAAGGGGTGTGAAATGAGACACGGAGCAAAATCCTGCCAAACGTGAGATGAATCCATTTCTATAAGCTTGATAACATGTCTCGTTCTTGCTTTTGAGCCATTTCTCATGTGCGAAACAGATTTATTTCTTGCTCATACTTTTTCTATGTTGTTTCCACCCAAAATTAACAACAACTACTATAGGTCGTAACATCACGAAAAAAATAGAGCGACGAGGACTGCCCAATTTCATGGTCTCTATGCTATATTAGACTATGAGACCATGATTACTTGTGTATATTTGAGTTAGTGAGTGAGAGCAGAGGAATATATGGACAATATATGTATAAATAGTAATAGGGAAATGGACAAACCAGTGGCGAGTACATCTGACGTAGTTAAAACAGATCTGACGAATGACAACTTCGATCCGATCCTATTCCAGCAGCAGGAAGTGAGACGGGGTTTTGTGCCGAAAGTGAGAGTTCTGGGTGCTTGGCGAGACTGAAAGTTTGCGGAGAAAGTGGTTTGATTTTATGCAACTGTGCTCACGTATTCCTACCACCGACTCATAGAGCCTCGCACAACCAACCAACCTGCCCTCTCACCATCAGCAGAGAAAGGGAAAACTTTTTCCGCTTCCTATTCCAGCGTATAAGACGCAGATATTTATTTACACAAGGAGTTCGAGTAATAAGATTCCTTTGTTCGAGGGCAATACGAAAATATTGGATCGTATAACTCGTCAAGCGAATAAAAATTGCACAATTCTGCTTCTGTTCTTTGTAAAGTGATTTATAAGCAAAATAAATCCATAAACTGTAAACGACCTTTTGCCAACCGACCAGTAAGATTCAACTTTGCGATTTGTTAATGGAATGGAAATGTCCATTTCTATTAAGAAATCCGAAGCAAGCAAACGTCTGGGATGAACTCATCTAGAACAAAATTGGATTCCACGACTGGCTCGTAACGATCCATAATATTACTTAAGAAAAACATTGAATAATTAATTAAATGGTCTTGTTCCGTGAAATGGATCCACTCTTCTCTTCTTGATTAGCATTCTGATGGCCATAAATGTGTTTACTTTTATCTTTACTGCCTCCTTGTGTCCTCCTTGTGTCCAGATTGAGCAGTTAGAATAAGTGTTCCAATTCCCATGCGGAAGTGGATCAATTACAGATTCAATATAAACTTGCTCGTCTTCATTCATCCTGACAAAGTTCTATATTGTAAAGTTCTATGCGTATCGGCCAAGCTCACATACCTATGCACCTCGAACCCTTAATCGGTACACATTTTTGGGGATCATAGTAATCGAAAGTACTTCGAGTAGAGGTAGACGACTTCATGTTGAATAATGAAATAAGCGATCAAACCGGAATTAGTTCAATTTTGTTGATCCATTTATTTGTGCTTTCTGTAGAGTATTTATTCCTTGTATGCATCCTGAGCACATTTGTGTACACGAGAGTTCTATAAAATGTCAAATTATTTATTCATTCTTATTTATTTATGTATTACGGTTACACTTCATTTCGGTTGATTTTGGCGTAAGAAACAATAAAGCTAATATTCTGCATGCTCATTAATGAGTTAGCAAAAAAGTAGCCAATAACCAGTACAACGTAAATATTTTATGTCCTGGTTGATTGGAGCATTGAAATGGCCAAGTGGAACAAAAATCTAAATTTAGCGAACCAATATAAACAGTTCATTGCTTGAAATCAATATTTATTCACAAAATTAAAATCCCACACACAAGATCCCTCGAACCAAAGAAGAACGGTTCACTTCAGCTCGCTTGACTGATGGATTGTTTACATTTGGTTTGATCTCTATTTTGTTTGGACTAGGAAAATTAGAAACGTGAAACTGAAAAAGAAATCATCTTTTGACAAATAATATGTGGACACAAATTCTTGGAAGCAATACATTTTTCGTTAGAGTTGACTCAACCAGAACCAATTACAAAATGTGATGAAATGTGATGTGTCTTAATGCAATCCTAAAGGTCATGCTTTCCTTCCTCCTTCAGCGTCTAACGTTCCTGGTCATTTTACTACTCAATGTCATATATCCGTATATCCTGCATATGTAGGTATGTTATAATGCGTGATTCTTTGAAGGGTAACAGCAAGGGCTCTTTTACCGATGTGGAAGAGGGCTTGAGTTGCAGGAACAATAATTGTGTTTGTTTATTTACCTCGAGGGGTACATAAATAAAGAGAAATTCGCAAGATTGAAGTTGAGTTGACAATTTAAAGACGATTAAAGCTTTGACTTCAAGGTCCACTATATGTAACAGTGTGCTCCACATCCTTGACACATGTCGCCAACGATCTTGCGGAGAAAGCACAAGTTTAATTTACACATTAAACTATAAATGAAATCCAATTTTATTGGGACTGACAAGGGAACCTTAAGTACTGTCACCTCTCGATTTCCTTCCAAATAGCCTTAATCGACAGATAATTTAGTGAAACTTAAACTTTGTCATAGAACATGCGGTGCAAAATCGCGTTTTCGCGAAATATTTGGCGAGAGCTGCACCACAACCGGCATTTTCCCAATGCTTTTAACATAGCCACCAGCCTTTCGAATGATGAAATGAACTTCATATAATCTTATTAAATTATATTTGTACCTGTCCGCGTAATTTCAGCCCGATCACCAATATGCATAAAACAATGCAAAGATTCGCAAATTTTTTGCAAATTGCGAAAATCTGAAAACTTGCAAATTTGAATTTCTTCGTTTCTTTAAATTCAACAAACTTTAACAGTTTAACTGTTAGAAAATATATTTTTCTTATTGCAAAAAATTTGCAAAAATTTGCAAAAACTGAACTTCGCAATTTTTCATGAAAATAACTTAAATAACCAAGGCTAGCCTATTTTTACGTATTTTTCGAAATTATTTGCGGTATTTCTTTTGGTAAGTTGCAAAAACTTACAATGTGTGCAATTTTTTAATTCAATATTATTATGTAGAATTTGTTTGCAATGTTTGCATGTTTAATTGTTTAACAAATTATCTTTCCCTTTATTCGCTCATATCTGCATATATGACAATTTTTAAGTTTCTCTAAAATGCGAAATTTAAAAAATGTAAACTTTAATTGTTACAAATTTTTGCAAATTTTTTGCAATAAGAAAAATATATTTTATAACAGTTAAACTGATAAGTTTGTTGAATTTAAAGAAAGAAAGAAATTTAAATTTGCGAAAGTTTTCAGATTTTCGCAATTTGCAAAAAATTTGCCAATCTTTGCATTGTTTTATGCATATTTGTGATCGGGCTGAAATTACGCGGACAGGTACAAATATAATTTAATAAGATTATATGAAGTTCATTTCATCATTCGAAAGGCTGGTGGCTATGTTAAAACCATTGGGCAAATGGCAGGTTTTGGTTCAGCTCTCGCCAAATATTTGGCGAAAACGCGATTTTGCACCGCATGTTCTATGACAAAGATTTAGTTTCACTAAATTATCTGTCGATTAAAGCCATTCCGAAGGAAATCGAAAGGTGACAGTACTTAAGGTTCCCTTGTGAGATACACGGCGTCAACATGCTTTCATTTTTATTAGAATCTCATTGGGTGACATAAATACCTCCATAATTTCCTCCTGTAGTACAATACATAAAATTGGACAAATAAGGAATAACAAAAAGTGTTCGGATTTAGGTTTCGTGAAAAGAGTCCTCAGACTCTTGATGATCCAAATCGGCACTATCGTGGCTGCTGCTACGCTTGTTAGGTGCTGCAGAGTCTGGGTTCTGTTTATCCAGATAGACTTTGATGCATTGTTGTCCTTCACGAAGCAGAGTCACATTTCCCTTGTTTCCACATTTCAGAGCGTAGTCTTCAGCTTTTTCAAAGTGGTCAAGAGCTTTCTCAAATGAGCGAGTTTTGGCTGTGGGCAAAACGAGAGAAAATTGAGATGGCAGGAGTTAGATTATACGCATATGTAGATAGGAGATACATTGAGGCAAATTGGGACATACTGTCGCACTGCCCTAACAAAATACAAGCGTTCATCGCCCAAATGTCGTCGTTGATTTTAACCGCTTCTTCCAAGGACTGGTGTGCATATATTTTTGCAAGGTCCAACTTATTAGTTTCTAATAAGTAAAAAATAAAACAACAAAAAAATCGAGAAAGAACATGTGTTAAATCATATTATAAGATGTTTAACCATAATAGCATCGCCCAATCTCATGGTATAGATAAGCCCTTTCGACCGGCCTGTCCAAAGGGAAACATTGACTTGAACTTGACACGACATATTTAGTTATAAGTTAATAAATAATAAATACGTTTTAGCAATGGCAAGCCGGCTGTCCCAAACTTCGGCTGCTTCTGCATATGAGCCCTTCAGGGCAAAGCTACACAACAATATATCTGTACAAGATGAATTAAGTATACGTTAAAGAATCAACCAACTAACCTTCTCCCCAAGAAATCCAATGCTCGAGACTTAATTTCAGGCATTTTGCTACGTGAATAACACATATTTTAGGATTGAAAAATTTTTAATTTCCTGTCCTTTATAATTCTTACTGTTGAACGGCCACATTGAACTCCTCTTGAAATGTTGCCACTGCTGCGTCTGTAGAAACAAGTAGAACAGAATCGGAACAGCACTTTTAATATCCAGTACTTACCAAAGTTTTTGAGTTTCAAGAGTGCGAGTCCTTTGAAATGCAAAATTTGCGTGGTAAACTCTGGCTTTCGGGGGAGAAGTCGAAGACTTATTTCCTTGATTTGTCTCAAAGCTCGCTCGCATTCAAGTTGACAATCTTGAGCTCGGCCAATTTGTAAAGCTACGCATACATAATATTTCACGTGGACAAATGAAAGTGAACTCAAATACAAATAATAAAACGAAATATAACACCGTGCTCGATTTGCGTCAAATTTTTCAAAACAGCTCCTTGAGCAGCGTCCATTCTGTATTAAAAATAATAAATTAAACACAACACAGCATACATTTTTTTCAGAGTTGAGGATTGCATACTTGATTTTACGACAAGCTTCCATCCTTTCTAGCTCTTGTTTTTCGTATTGTATAACCATCTAAATAACATATAACACATAACATGGAGTATGTATGATTCTTGCTCAAACTAATACTAATATGTATGTAGTTGTAAAAAAACTGCATAAGCGTATCTAAGCACTTAAATGGACATCAAAGCAATGAGATAAAAACAAAATATTTACATCATTGTTGAAATTTAGGCCAACTTTACGAGAGTACATTGGATTTTGCATACGCCAAAATTGTTCTCTGATTTCAAGATATTTGAGGGCTTCTTTTGCCGAAGTTCTTAACGAATCTGAGCCACTCTGATGGTTTCCCTCAATATCTATTTTTGTGTGGGATTGAATTAGTGTGGAAAGGCCATACCAGCTACAACACCGTCAAATGCATTAATAAGTACCTGGCCGTTTCAAAAATTTGGTCAGATAATCCTTGTCTTGTTGCAAGACGCCAAGAACTTCTCGATCCACCCAGCGAGCTCTGGCCTTTGAGGTTACGTTCTTTTTAATACCCTTCTTTCTCAGCTCAATCTCACTCGCTCTGTCCAATACGCAGCAGTGCCCAGCGTTGCCTATGCACGCCATTCACGACCAACAGATTTTAAAGCGAGTTTAAACTTATTATTATTATTTTCGTGCTTGACCTTTCTCCGTGTTGTTAATTTCATCAATTTGGGGGAGAATCACTTCGAGATCTTCAATCTGTGTGGCTTGTCTCTCTGCGTTGTTGTGGGTTGTGCAAACTTTAGTGCTTGAGTCAAGTCTCAATGACGTAATTTTAATTAAAACTCTTTGTACCTCCAATGGCTCGCCGGATGGCTTCTTGACACTTGTTAATCCCAACTCGGAACTCCTCCTTGTCTCTACGAGCACGAAATCCCCGGTGGTACGAAATGGCTGCTTGCTCGAACTGTCCCAAATTGAACAACGCTTCGGCATACTAGAAAACAAATGATAACAACTAAATTATGACAAATATTTTTATTAAATGCGATAAAGACAAAACCTGCGCTACATTCTTCACTCTACTTATTATTGTGATAACATACCTGGTACAGGCCTTGAATATACGTGTCGTCCGACTCAAATGAAGCTTGAGCATCTTTAAAAAATGAAATGTATTACTGTATTAGTAGTGATCATCACCAAAATGTGAAAAGTCCTTTATGATCAGAAATTAGGGAACGTTCATAAAATACGTAACGCAGCGGAGGGGAAGGGAAGTGTCGGACTGTTGCGTTACAGGTCAACTAGCGCCACATATTAAAAATGGGGTGTAACCAGTTAACAGGGGGGAGGGAAGAGTAAAAAATCGCCAAGTTTGTGCTACGTATTTTATGAACATTCCCTTAGCGTTTGTGTTAGGATAAGGTATTTAATATCATATCATTATCGTCCCTCTGACACATTTTTTCGTCACACATCCACCTCAAAAAGAGGTATAAAATAAGGGACGCATACCTTTCAAAGCCGCCTGGGCGTCCCCCAGTTTCAAATGACATTGACTTCTCCAAACGAGAGCAGCTTTACTCGTTGATTGTAGTTCCAATGCCTAATGTTGTGACATTTAGCTTGGTACTATAGGTGAAAAGATTTAAAATATGGATATTGTTTTACCCGATCAAAACAGAAGAGTGCCTTTCTAAAATGTCCAGCTCGGTAGTGCATGCCACCCTCGTCCATAAAAGTGGTGAAAGTAGATTTTGGAATTGGACATTCTGAATACTTTAACTCTTGTTTCGCCATGATTTAATAAAAGGTATACGAAACAGGAAGGATGAAATTACAAAATCTGTGGATTGAATAAAAAATTTGCTCTGCTATTGCATATTGCACTAAAAAGATTTCCCCCAAATAGGTTTTCTAGATGCTTCTATAAGGCCATATTGTTCTTAGCAACGCCAAACAAATCAAGCCAATTGTTCCTAATTTAACGCAATTGAACGTGGACAAGTCGTCACTTGCTGTCATTGCCGTGTGCGCTATATCTTTGCACAATGAGCGATAATTTTATGTGGCGATGCTTAAAATTTCAAGATAAGAATTCGAATAATCTATTTCATATGCTATATCAAATAACAAAAGTAAAAAATGAGCAATTATTTTTTGGGCCGTATATAGTTACAAAATTAACTAATAATGGTCTTAATAGGGAAATGGAAAATATATACATGACGAAAGTACATTTTTCAAGTTAATAAAAAAACACTTATTAACCCAACACGTTTTATTATTTTAAATAGTTATATATATTTGACATTTTCATAAAGTACGAGTAGAACAAATGTCAATGATTCCTAGGTAGAGAGTATAAATATGCAGGCGAAAAACATTGATTACAGATGCATAATTAATTATATTGTCGATTAATAACACGCGAATAAGCAGTTTGGCAATAAAATAGAATCCCATCACGTATTTATAAGGCTATATGATTCACGGTACACCTTCTTCAGGTGGGTAAGTCTTGGCATGGTTTCCTACATAAAGCAATAAAACAGTACCTTAATACACCTTCATACATTTTCTACGATCTAAATATTACTGGAATGAAATACATACGTACATGGAACAAAGGAACGATAATTCCCCCAGACTTATCTGGTGAGTTAAGTATCAACGCTAAATATGTGACGACTCGTTGCTGAAATAATAGAAGTTAGTACGGATTAATAATTTGCAATCGAGTTATAGGCTAGCAGGCTAGTTATTTTACTTATGCATACCCTTCTTATCGTCTCATTGATCACAAACGCCTTAATCTTGGACTTTGGGAAAAATCTCGTGGACGTTGCTAATCCAAAAACATTAAACTGTTTGACTTGCACCCCGGTGGATAGGATAAATATGACGGATTCTAAGAGAAACATTACATATACATATAACTTAGCATCTATATTTTCAAACATTGAATAATGATAATATTAGTTTCTGTTACCCTTAATGACATATCGGTTGAGTGACAAGAGGGTTGCGAAAATGACCAGAACGGATAAAGTGAACATGACCCAAGGGTTTTCCGTAATAAAATGCATAATGTCCACTTGCGACATGGGAACGATGACGGCTGCAAATAGGGCGATGACGAAGCTGAGCACAAGTCCACATTTGGGCTTTGCAACGATAAACTCTTTCACAGATGGCGAAATTCGTTCTTGGAAGAGGAGTTGCGACATCACGGCGGAAGACAGTGGGGTTCGTATTGATGATAACCATGAATAAAGGCCTCGAAAATAAAGGAAACGCCAGAACACATTTGTGGAGACACCAGTAGTCGACAGAAAAACAGTCATCCTCTCGTGATCGTTGAGGTCTGCTTATTTTGGAATACGAAACCTCGTGTTCTTTCTTTATGCGAGTACGTCATTATCAAAGGATAATCATTTTTAGTGATTTAAAGAATAGTCAAACCGGAAAAATGTCTTGTGTCTGTTCCGTTCGCGGCTACGCGAGTATGCAACTATTGGAGTAGTTGCAACTATTGAGATATTGGGGTGTACAACGTGTACCACTTTCATAGTTTGTATAGTTTGTAATAATGAAACTTGCCATTTATCGAGTTATTAATATCATCAAACCAACCATTTAAGAAAAGCATAATGATAATGACTTTATTTGACAGTTAAACACTTAATATAATGACTGATTAATTAATTTAGTTTAATCATGAACTCATGAATACTCAGGATGCATAAAGCATAGCCACGCATTAAAACAAATACTTTATTTCGCCCATTTATCGAGATTTGAAAAGTGGCAGGATAGTAATAGTAGCACAGAAAGATTGTGGATACTAGACACCGTTCCTGTTTCTCAAAAAGGTGAAAGGCCATGATTTTTTAAGCTCACTTTTCACCTCCCACAGTGATTTTTCTCCTAGGTGTGGCTTTATTTTTTGATTGATATTTAGCAAGGACAAAAATCAGTGGGAGTTGAAAATAAGCTTTAAAAAGCATGTCCCTTGAGAAACAGGGTCCACCCACAGTCTTTCTGTGCTACTATCCTGTCAATTTTCAAATTTTTATCTCGAAAAAGTGCGAAATAGAGCATTCTTTAAGTTTGTGCCCACCATGTACATAAATACTTTATAAATAAAGTATAAACCGAAAAACAGTTAAATGGCTTTAACTTGCATTATTATTAAGTTGACAATCGTAATTTGTAAAACAAGCGAATGGATTCTTCAAACAAGTCTTCTTATGAATTGGAACGAATGCGCACGGTTTAAGACCCATTGTTTCAAAAGCTTTCGCTTCCATCACGTTTCCTATAAGACAGAAAAATATAGTATGCTCAGTTATATTTTTGTCTTCATAATTAAAGCGAAAAAATAAAAGTATTTAATTATTAGATATTTACCTGAGCATAGGATGATCTTCCCATTCGCAGCAACAATCTTTTTTACCGTGATTGCAACCTTCTCTAAACATTCCTCACTTAAAAATGGGGGATCCACTATGACGACTTTGTAGGCCTGTAGGCACTCCTCAGGAACATTTTCAGGGTCCTTGTAGTCATAAAAGATGAAGTAGGATCCGAAGGCGTCGAAACGTTTGTCAAATTCGAATAGGTCAACTGTCCTCCCAACAACTACACAATTAGTTTCAAATCTCATAGTCAAACACAAAAACACAAAAAGCGAAAACGAAATAAAAAGCTAAGATTAAAGTAAAAAGCAACAAACCAATTTATAAGTATGATAAGTACTACGGAACATATACTCATGCTAAATGTTACAGATGCTATTCATGCTCAAATGAAACCTAATTTTTACTACATATATACTACGCTATTATATTTTAATAAATGGTGCATTATTAAATTAAAAAGGTAAATTAGATGTCGAACAAATTAAAACAAATTCGTCTTAAAATTTATCAAAATCTCACCGTTCTCCGAAACCTGACACGCTCTGAATATTGAGGGACAGCTAACGCAGGCAACCCTTCCATTAGGACCAGCTTGAGCAAGGACCTCTTCCGCTAATTTTCTTGACGTTGTCTCTTCATACCAAAATTGACTCAATTGCTGTAAAATAAATATTTCCATTTTAAATTATGACATATTCTACATAATTTATTGATGACGTTAATTAAATACCCAATCTTCCGGAAAGAACTTGCCCAAATCTGTTTTGAAAAGGACTGAGTTGTCGTTTCCGTTTTTCTTCGCCTCCTCCAAGGCTTCTTGAATCACACGCTGATCATCATAAAAGTCATGAAGGGCTGCAAGAGCGTGAGCTGATAATTGTGGAACATCGTCGTCTTCGTCGTCCAACACGTCTGTGTTAGGTTTCTTTGGTGTAGAAAGTTGTTCATTTGCGTCCGTGGTGGACATTTGTATTACGGGGACAACCGATGGTGTTTGTCGCAGCCAAATACAATTTTTTGAGCACTATCCTTCGTGGTAAAAGGTAAAATGCAAACCAATTTAGAGATTCTTTGGATTGACTATGTATGCGGCGTTTAATATTACTCACTCCCGCAATCCAAAATCTCGAGGATCTTCTTACATGCTTTTCATGTACAAGCCAAGCATTGTCCAAGTCATGAGTTATTTTCCATGGCTTTCACCAGAATGAAAAGAATGATCGTAGCTTTTAAATACTTCTGAGATGAGAGTGGATGAAATATGAGCCTATTATAATCTTTCCTAATAAATGTTTTTAGACTGGATCACACTGTAATTGTAAAGTAGAAAGGAACAATGGAGAGTAAGACATCGCCACCAGGTTCGACAGCGACCTAGCTAAAATTATTATAATCTAACATAAGATGCAATGCCAATTCCTTCGTTAGATACAATTTGCTGCGTATATTATTAATTGGTTTGATTATCATGTGAGGTTTAGAACAACCGAAACCTTCGTCTGCAGAGAGAGAGGACGACAATGTCCAGAGAGTGGCGACCCCACCATCCGCAAATGCAGGTGGACTCAGCTGCACTCGGTGCTTCAAATCCGTCACCCCCATGACTGACACCTACCCCACGACCAAAACTCACGTTCTTGCTGTTATATTATTCTTCCTTGGGTATGCAAAAGTAAAAGTACACCTTTTCCTTACATAGTAAGAAACGTGTCTTTTCTTTTCAGACTGCCCTTCTTGGTCTGCTTGCCATACATGTTCGACCTGTTTGGAACAAAAATCAGACGGTGTCCCAACTGCGGATGTATCATTCCTAATCCTTAATTCTTGAATGTGCTCAAAGTAGAGTTAGAAAAAGCCATACAGTCATCGATCGATATTATCCACAAATCCACATGAATAAATTATAGCCTTCTTTTTTGGTTTTATCTACATTACTTAAATACATACATATGTATGTATGTACATGCCAAACCCATTTTGTGATGATAATGCGGTGTGTTTACGATATATCTGATATGGTTTGAAAACAAAGCTATTAAAATATTTGCGTATTTTTTTTAGGAAAAAAGCCATACTACTTGCATGCGTGGGTTTCTAATTGTATGCAATTTACCAATTTCACGTAGTAGTACAGAAATAATCAAAACAAAGAATTGGAAGTGAGACACTTCAACGGCAAACCGCAGGCACACACGCCCGTTTGTTTGGCATATCGGTTGCCGGGAGAAAGCACTTGGCCAAGCTCAGCACCTGTCCTCCGCCACTCCACTTTCACCACCACCAACACCAATAATTTGATGCCATTCATGGATATGTATGTTTTTACTGTGTTGAAACCAACCCACCCCACTGCTCAATTCCCTTCCCCTTAATTACAATAATACATCTCCTCCTTATATTGAAATACTTACTTATTGAACGAACTACCATCCACTACTGATGGAATGCTTGGCCAAATTTACAATAGCGTGTACCGAGGTAGATAGCTGCACCTCTCACTTTCTGCGTCTGGACACATAATCCTGATACGCCAAAAGACCAGCATTTCTCACTTGGTCAATTACTAATAAATTCCGAGTCATCAAGATTTCAGCGTCACTTTCACCATACATACACTTACTACGAATATATAGCTGATATTATTATTGGTTTTTGACATAATGTCGAACGTGGACGAGAGTGATGGAGATAATTGGATTTTCGACAGCTTGGTAAACTTCTTGCATGGAAATATTTGGAAAATGCCAGTACTTGGATTTGTGGAAGAGAAATCTGTGGGTGAGTTAAATTAATGTGCAATTTCTTTTGTACAAATAATAGATATAAATATATGCGTGTCAAAATAAGCATGCCTGTAAATTTATATTTATACATATTTCAGTGTTTGATCCGGATAGTTATGTCAACCTTTCGGATGAGAAGGAAGAAGAGTTTAGAAAAATCCATGAAGCCTACAAATCTCTTGTTGACTTTATGCTGTCCAGCTTTATGGATGATTTGCAGGTAACACCGGAACAAGTTGAGGAAGCATGTCAACAACGAGAGAAACAAAGCACTGTTGCAGATTCCCACATTACTAAGGTATCTTTGAATACTCGATTTTTAAGTTGGGACTTGAAGGAATATAATGTGAAACGAAATTTTGTAAAATGCACTTACTCATATATGTCTGAAGGTTGCTTTGGAACAACTGCAAGCGGCCGAGGACTTTAATATCTTCCGGAGAATTATGACCCGTAAGAACATTGACCTGCAACTGCAGTCACTGGAATTGCTCGTGTCCAAGTATGGCGTCCTTTCACCATCCCTCCGATCGGAAGGGTATGACCCAGGCGACACCACTGGAGAAGACGACTTTCTCCAAGTTGTGATCAGGTAGTTATGCTTCCATATATGTATTTATATGCTTAAAATAAACCAAGTAAACGCATATATACATTGCATAAATACATTATTCCATGCTCACGAAATCCTTTTCGTCCTGCGGGGAAGAACTATTAAACACAATCTACATATTGCAAATTTATCTGCACATAGATCAAGCATTCTTACAAGAAAATAAGTGAAATTAATTTTAATCTTATTCGTAAAAATGGTGGGATTCAGGTATTGTGGTGAATGTGGATTATTTGATGAACCCAACAACGACACTCACGCCAAAAGTACTTCCCTTCCTCCTGTCATAAGCTGCACCCTGCACAACCAACCTCTCACCTCCTCCTCCAGTGGAGTTAACGACAAAGAATACAGCTTTTCAAAACCTCTGCATGGTGATGATGACGTTGTTCAAATAGCGGCTGGAGACCAGAATCGACCAGAAAAGAGCACACAATCTCACACCCCACAGCCTCGACATGATATTTCTACATCCGTAAATTCACAAACTCCTACACAACTGGAGAAAGTGAACCAAGTAGAACCACTTCCCATTATGCACACCACACCCACCACCACCACCGCTACTTGCCAAAATGCAAAAAATGATTCCAGGTAAAATGATGATCGAAAATGCGATTTTTGTTGTAGATATTTCGTAGACACCAATAAACACTTAAATCAGTGATGCACGCTTGAGGATTAGACTTAAATATAAAATATAGGTTTTAGAGCAATAATAGAATCTTGGGAATGTTTTAGTATAGTTGTATTTGAAAATGTTTGAAATGAATGATAACTATTTTGTTTATGAAAAGTCAGCTAATTCAGCAAGATTTGGCGGATACTGGAGGTCCTGTGACAACTGCAGATATGGGAATAGAATCAATCCAGCCTGCAAGACTGCATCATGAATTCACGTCCTCAGTCCAGCCCACGCCATCACGACCATTGCCGGCTAAACAAGGACTCCAAGGGATTAACAAGGGTCGAAAGAAGGACACAAAAAAATCAGTCAAATTTGATGAGACCACGGTGGCCGAAATTGCTACGGTGGCTCCAGAGCAACATCGAATGTTGACGTCTGTACGGAAAGCCCTGGAGGATGTGGATTTAGAGAATGACCTGGAGACTGGAGCAATGGTAATGGATCTCCATTTAGATAATACGTATTTACTGTTCGTTACTACCTCAGCTGAAGTCTTGACATTGATCGTATTGATTAGAATCTCGACATGACTGGGTCAGAAGAGGACATTGAGAAGCGGAGAATATACCTTCGAGCACAAAGGGATAAATTGGTGGCGTTGAAAAAAAGAGAACGTGAACGCCAACTGGAAGAAGCAGCAGGACAGCAGTCACGACCAAAGTCAGCCAGAGCAGCACAAATGGCAATGTATATGCAGAACTTTACTTACATCATGATAATTATTGCGTGCTTGTGCTCTAAATATTTAAATTGTATGCCATTCAATAGGAGATCATCCCCTTCAGCGACGACGGGTGAGAAATCACTTGCTGCTAGGAGAGCATTAGCCGCAGTTCTAAAACAGGAACTGCTGGACAAATAATTTACGCAAATTTAATGAGTAACCACCGCTGTCTATGTACCATGCTTATCTATGCATACAAACTATTAATACTAGTAATACTATTGTTGCTTTTTTCGAGATATCAATTATTGCAGAGATAATCAAAATGCGGATCTGTTTTTAGATTTTTTTTTGCATTTGAGTAATTTTATTTTGGTTTTTTGGTTGTTGTAATAAATCTGTACCAATAAATAAACAATTTAAATTATAACTAGACTGTCATTCAATGGTAAAATAAACCTTTCGCATTGTTGTCACAATAACTTTTTGCTGGAAAATTGTTCCTCCACAACCATACACAATAGCAGTAGTACATTGAATTCAATCTATCCATTGGCTGTATATATATACAAGTGTATATATATTAGGACTTTTATCAATAGAGTCGTTTTATACTCGTACATATTCCCTCTTTATTATCGAAGTATCAGAGTGTTGTGTGTATCGTAATATAATGTCACAAATTCGAATGGGAAGATACCCAATAACGATTGGCATCGTGTATAAAGTTATGAAACATTTGTAAATTTAGACCTTCCAAGAAGGACATCGCTAATATACTTAGGATTTAGGATTAGTACAACAAAGTAGAAGAAAAAATGAGGCAAAACTAATTACCCGCACATTACATTACACAGAGTACAACAAACGTGACATGCATGCAACTAATTGTAACCCTCTCTCCTGATTGCTACCACTTTCGTATGACCTTTCGACTTGCATAAGATTTGCGTGGTCTGCGCTCATTTCATTTATGTTCGTACAACTACGGTAGCCCAATATTAAGTATTTATGTACAATATGCTGTTCTCATCCACCCTAGAGGATGAAGACATTAATTTATATAACATTCATCTCATTTTGACACATCCATCACCCTGATATAAATGCTACCGCTATATAATTAGAAGTTGAGATTTTATGAAAACTCGCTGCTACAATTGAGAATACATAATATACAATTGTTTTGCTATATTGTCAATATAAAACTGCTACTAGTTCAAGTTTTAGTACATTATTACATAGTTCTTTACATAAACATAATACCGTTTGGCGTCCACCCACTCACATATCCAGGGCACTTTTAAACAAAACTACACAGCCAAAGTCAACGTTCTCCGCAAACAAAAAGGTAATAAGTGACAACAAAAGATATTTATTATTTACACTTTTAAAAGTTGTGTGGTTACATTAACTTGTAATTTATTCTGAGAATCATGCTTTTGAAAAGTTATGAATATGCGCCAATAGCAAAAGTGTACTGAAAATAAGTCATGACTCGATTTTTTCCAGATATTTATCCGCTCCCTCAAAACCAACAAACAACTGCGTGCAAAACAAGATAGCAAGGTTAATATATATTATTTGGTCGAGACCGTGGTAATTTACTTGATAATTAAAATCTTGGAGAAGAGATACAATTTGGATACGCAAATAAATTAACGTGATGAATAAATTTTTCAAACTTTTCATGATTTAACAGAAACATATATGTAATACCGACATTCCGAATAATTCCGAATTTACACATATATACATATGTGCATATACGTTTAAAGCAGGTTCATTGAGTAGAGTCAATGAAATATTTCGAACGAATTAAGCACTAAATATACGGGAAAGCCCACTACTGATTTGTACGATTGCACCAACTTATTGACAGTAAAAAATATAACCTTCTCGCCACATTGATAACAAAATTTTGAAATTATATGCATTCACAACAACAAATAACGATACCTGCGATGTGTCTCCTCGAAGTAACTTAACTATTCTATAATTCTTTACATTACAAAAACATTCATTACGTTAGGCGAGGTCGTTTTGCTACAGGTTCCAGTTTTTCATGATCTTCTTCAGCAGGCGTTGGCGATTCATCGTGTTCTTCAGTTTCTTCTTCATCCGAGTCTCCTTCATAATCCACAAGACCGATCTGTAAAATATAATTAAATTCCTTAGTAGGAACATTTATAATTGAAAACCAAACACCTCTTTCAACAACACCAACCTGCGTGACAGACTCTTGCAGGGTTGCAAAGATTTGTTGAAATACAGACTAGAATAAATAATTAGCAATTCAGTTGATCATGTATAACATATAATAATCGGGAGAGGGAAAATACAAAATGACAGTACCATATTTTATGTAAAATGCTTTAGTTTCCAAAATACCAGTTAGGCTTTAAACAGGATAAATAAATAAAGTCTCACCTTTTTCGCAAGGCCTGGTTTCGTGTCACTACTCGTGGATGTCAGAGATGTGGAAAGGGGCATCGCGTTAGGCGAGGTGCTGTTGGGTGACGATACTGTTATTGGTGATGACCTTGGGCTGAGCGAATTTCCAATGTTCCTCATTCCAGATCCAAGAGAATCTACCTTCTTGTCTAAAAGTTTTCCTGTAATAAAAATTATACCATACACATTACTTCCAAAAGTTTCACAGGATATACATGAGGATGATTCTCACCGATTGATTCTAATTGAGAGTCTGCGTCAGCTTTGGTTCGTCCAAGTACTTCTGGCGAATTACTTGCAGGAACAACGCCGTCTCCATCTTCCATATCGTCATCGTCGTTGAACCACATTTCCTCCTCTTCTTCCAACTGGCGAGGATCTCTCCGATACCTGTTATTACGAAGAAGGGCAGGAACGCTGTCAATACCTCCAACTCTTTCTTTTGATCTATCTTGATTTTGCTCGTATCTTAATTTCAGAGCCCTAAATGTTTGAACATAATTTATTTGATCCAGTAGTTGGCTGTAATTTTCAACAATGTGAGAAACCAGCAACTTGATATCCTCCTATTACAAAATATATAACATTAGTTTATTCATCTCCTAGACCTGAAATGTATGTATGTTTCAGAATTATTATTTATTACCATTACCGCTCTGATAAACTCGAACATTTCGACAATGGCGGAATCTAAGAGGTTGTACCGGCCTTTATTTCTAATCAAAGCATCAATTACTGGCTTGAAGAGGTTTCCCTTGATGATATAGCGATTATACAAGTCATCCTTTAGAGACAAAACTTTTCGTAAAAGTCTGAGGGCTCCCAAAACCAAAAATGTGTGCTTTGAGCTCATCAAAACCAAAACTTTCCGGACCAAATCTTTGTTGATGATGTAGCTTTTAATGTGATAGCTATGATGTTCAACACAAAAGCTTAAAAGTTCTAACAACAACCACATGAGCTGGGCGTTTTGTATATCTTCTTTATCTGGTTTCTCCCCAATTGTGTTGGTCATCAACGGTTCTGCAAATATTGAAAGGGAAAACATAATTATTAGTAAAATATTGGCGGTTAGTATGCATGAAGTACACTTGATTCTAACATAATTTTTCTTTAAAAAAATTACGATTCTCAGATCTCATAACTATGGCCCATTGAACGCAACTACTATTTCATCCAAGTCAACTAAACAGCAACACGTTGCAATAGTTTCATACTTGTTTGAAACAGTCCCTTCTTGGCCGTGTGTGTTAGTCATCATCGAAAGACAAGCACATCTCCTTTCAAGAGGTCTAAATCTACATTTATTTTTACTTACCAATGAGTAAATTCATAGACTGCTTGTAAAATAAGTTCAAAAAGTCTGCAATAAAAAAATAATCGGTATTAAATTGGGTATTATATCAATTGTTACAAATTGAGTGCATATTGCACTTCCAACCAAAGCAAAAGTAGTAATACGAAGCATTCAATCTTACCGGCCTTTTCGGATTTATTTAGCGCTGGAAATAAACAGAAAGATAAAAAGTTAGATTTACGTTCTGCATTGATATAATTAAGGATTCACACATTTGTAATATAAAGCGCAGGACCATCTGCTCTTGTTCATACCTGCCATCATATTTTCAGGATCTATAAGCAATCTCAACACCCCGCTCAACTGTACTGCACCCCCTAATTCTGGGTCTTTGTCGTTGATTAATTCTTCAATGATGACATTAAGTAGTAGCTGATCCTATGTTATTGTAGGAATGAAACACAATATTATTACATACGGCGACAATACGTAGTTACTTTTTATTGCTACTTGCATTAATATTTAGCTATGACTTACATCATCAGCGTCCGCCGCTTGGTGCAAACAATATTCTCGAACGATGGTAGGGGAAAATTCTACCACTGCATTCAAGACGTCTATACAAGCAGCTTTCGCAGCAGAATTATGTAGCGGTAAGGCCAATTCTAATGCCGGAAGAACTCCTTGATTTGTGAGAGTCTATGTATTAAAGAAAACACAGAAATTAAATACTCATCCTCCAGTAAATGAAGTCATTTTTAATTAAAATAATAATAACGATCTTCAGCTCTCATAATCAATAGGCCCATTGAGGGCAACACATGTTTCAAAAAAAGTCTCTTGTATTGCAACCATTCACAACAGGGTCATTCCTCTTTGGATCGAGGTCTACTACATGCAAAAATGTCACAATACAGTCGTCCTTTTTTGAAACATTTCCCCCTAAGCTAGTGTATTTGTCATCATCAGAAAGAAGTTTTACAAAAATGAAATAAAATACAATGATTTTCAAACGAACCTTGTAGAATGATTCGCGAGCTTTGGTTGAAGTTGGTTGTAAATGTTTGAGCATAAAAATAAAATAGAAAAAATAATTATCATTTGAATTATCCACTATGATTTGATTGCTTTGTTGATATTCTTGTCTGCACTCTTGGATTTTTAGCACAAACGTGTCAGAGTAGAGTTGACATGCTCAAACACGTGTTTTTGCTCAACTGTTTTATTCATTCGAGTTTTAAGCAAGATTTATCCCAAATTATAATCAGTGTCAATTATTTAATTAATTGTTTTAACTTTAAAAAACGTCATGTCCCTACGAAAAAGAGGTTATCAGGAGAGTGAGACCAGATCAAACAGCGACGGGGACACTTATTATGACGTGAATTTGAGTGACGACGTTGATCAAGATGAGGAACCAGGAAAGACTAAAAAAGTGAGTTGTATGGTGTTATATTTTCTGGTTATTAATCTAATTATGAATTACCAACTTTAGGAACGGAGGGCATTTAATTCAGAGTACAATGACGCAATCAGAGTCTGGCTCGGTGAAAACTACAAGAATAAGAAGGGGATCGAGATAGAAAAATCTGACATTCTTGCAAACTATTTGGAGGAGGCTAAGAAACGAGGTTGGATATTAAAAAATGCTACAACTATTGGAAGACTTGTGGGTGAAGTATTTGGAAAACTTAAAACAAGGGAAGTAATGAGGAACAAGGTCAAGTCATATTATTATGTGGACCTCGCGCTCAAGAATGATGACGAAGAGGAAATCGAAGATGATGATGTTGTTGACCATAGTAAGTAGTTGTTTTACGCAAATTTTAGATTTAAAATTAGTATAGAAAGCAAAACATTGAAGTATGTGGATTTTTATATGTTTAGATACATGTCATGGAATAAATTTTATGGTCCAGCCTGGCACCAAAATATTTGTAAACGAGAACAACAGATTGTTGTACAAGACGTACACTGGAGCGCCCAGTAAGTATATCAATTGCATAAATCTGTGTGTTACATTTTTCATTTTTTTAATTATATTATAGAGAAAGCGTTTCGAATAACTTTGAATTTGACACGTGATCAAAAAAACAAAAAATGGGATGGAACGTTTGTTTATGGTGTGTCCAGTGAGCAGAATGTATTGTCAACAGCATACACGGTATTGTGTAACGTCATAAAGAAGTTAAAAAATCCTAAGTTGGAAATGAAGACAGGGTGTTCGTATAGGTGAGTTGATTAAAGAAAAAAAACATTAAGAATTTACTCATGAATGTTTTTTACTGTCCACTAATGTTGTTCATTATCAGATGGTGGATCAAAAAACTGAACAAGTTTTTCCGTTGGAGTGAAACTGTTCACACGGATCTTGTGGTCGACTCATACCAACTTGCAAAGTACCTCACTTGGTACTTGAGAGGATTAAAAGGATGGAAAGGCATCGGGACAACAAAACCTTTGGAATCCGACAAAATGTTTGACATGTTCAAACAAGAACTCATCGCATCGCTCGAGGCAGCGAAATTAAAATTCGCAAAAATAGATGACAGTTGTGCCCAAGATTTGCACGTGAGATAAATTCAATTGTATAATAAAATATTCATCATCTCAGAAACTTTTGGTTTTTAAAATTATTAAATTCAGATTTGTCCACACGGTCAGTGTATGAAGACGTTTACCATTCCGCATAAATATAGGCGTCATGTGAAAGAGTGTTCAGAGATAGGGAAACCGGGGTTTGAAGAGGATGCTGAAGAGGTTTATTTGTTTTAAATTTTAATTGGGTCCACATTCATTAATTTGTTTTTTCTTTAGTATGACGATGATGAAAATTTATTGGATGACGACGACACTCAAGAGTTACCAGAAGTCAAAGCTGAAGAGGAAAATATGGTTAAGTATTTACTTTAAATGCTTATTTTTGACATAGTTTAAATCATGATTTTGTATGCTAGCAGCCTTCAGATGACCTTTCTGTTGTACTACGTATTGTACGAGGACTCGATTTGGCTAGATTGGAAGTTGCTGGAGATGTGATAAGACGACGTATAGATGAACTTCGACGTAACGACATTATATAAACATTGTACCTTGAGGTTGTAAATTCTGGGCGAAGGCACACAGCTCTTTTAAGAACAGAATGAGATCTCTTCTTTTGTCATCAGGGGTGGATTCATCAGTGAGGCCCGTGAACAAGTCTTTCAGTACCTTTTCATCTTCCTGTTAAGCAATAAGAGGTTATGGATTATTAATAAAGCATTTTTATAATGCGGCTTTTGTTTGTTGGATAGTTTTCATTCAAATTGAAAGTGAGGCTGACGTACTTGTATTAAGGTAACTATTTCTACTTTGTTGAAAAATATAAATGATGACAAAGTTGAAAGCATATTTTCTTCAAATGCATTCGGGGCTGGAATAAAAAAAATATTATTAGAATACTTGGATCATGGAGAACTCTGGCATCATCACAAAGTGCGTTATCCTCCCACACTAATGTTATTTCACAGAGGACTTTTAATAGGTGCAACTCATATATAACTTTTGCAATAATACATTTCTAAGCATGTAACTACTAACCTGGTAGAACCGCATCGTGGATATATCTACAAAGAAATACCAGTTAGCCTAATATAAACATTTATGTTCAATATAAATAACTTACTGCACTCGGTAGGTTTGATGAATTTTGGAAACAAGCTCAGCATTTCCAATGGAAATAACTTGACGGAAGTTTGCAATTCTTTTGAGATATTCTCGATGTTTTTTAGGACACGGGTGATTAGGTTCGTATTCCAGACACCCAACGACATCGAATATTAACTCCTCTGTAAAGTTTTACATCAATTACAAATCCAAAACTTATTAAATTTTTGTATATGTGACCTTACCTGCGAAGAGAATTTCAAAAATGGCATTTTTATTGAGTAGAAATATATTTCTAAAAATATGGTATAGTTGTTGAAGAGCATTGGTGTCGTTATTTTGTTCCGCCAAACGAAAACTTTCAAGAACTTTTTTGAGAAATCCTTCTTGTTCCAACGCCAGTGACAGCTTTTCCCTCCTCAAAGGCACTGCTAAACGAAACAAAAAAATGAATATGTTAGATTGGAACATATCATCATTAGTATTGAATAGTTACACATGTTTTATTTATTTAAATAAAGTAAGCGGGCCAACCTAAACAACTGATAATAAGGTCGTGAAGTTCTTCGAGACGAGATATATCTGGAGTGGGTAGCTCGATTGGAGGAGCCGGATCTGACACATCTTCAAATCTTTCATCTTCCGATTCTTCTACAACGTCCTATATATCAAACCATCGACAAGTTAAATATCGCTTAGAATTATAACAGACAAGTTGTATCATTGTGTAAATACCTGAGTAATATCAACTGACGGATCCTTCCCTTGCACTTGACAGATTTTTTCCCAGATTTCGTCACACCCAGCTTTTTCTTGAAAACTTAATGCCAAGTCGAAATTGTCACCTTCAGACCACACAATTAATGTATCCTAAAGAAAACAAATATTAATTATCCCATGCTAGAATTTTAGTTTTAAAAAATTTCAATAATTAATTTAGTACTTGTTGTTTTTGATACGCTGTATCCGGTTGGATTTTGGATTCCAGAAGCAAGGAGCCTGAAAGAGCAGCTAGATTTGTGAATTACGCACCATACTATTAAGGTAAACCGTTCAACAGAATTCAATATCAAATCATGAATCCTCACCATCCGATTCGGCTCTGACTAGTAAGGACATTCCTTTGAGGCGATCAACATAGGAAGAGGACACATGCCCCTATTTAAAATAGTTATAGTTTAGATTTCGATTGGCTATTGTGAATTGCACATCATTAAATTTAATAAATATAAAAGCTAAACTCACAGTCCCTCTGTCGTCCCATTGTCTCTCCGCATTAAGGGCGTAAAGTTTGACTCGGCGTCGTGTATTATCTGTCACAACAGTGTCAGACACTTACATTGAAAATAGAATTAAGTTCTTTAATTGAACAAATAAGACAATAAAGAAGAATGCACTACCTGTTACACTACTGCTCAAAGTAGTATCCGTCATATCGGATTTTTCAGGTGGAATCACCTCCTCCTCACCCACTTCACTCACGTTCCCTGCCGTTACGTCGTCGTTGCTGGATTAGACTAGATTCAGGAACCTGTTGTAATACATATAATACGTTATCAGACGATTCATTTTCAATCATTTCAATTGTAACGTTACTATCAGTGAAGCCTTTAAATATAAATATTTAGGCCAATGTCAAATTGTCAAGATTTTTACAATGTTGATGCTAGACAATAACAACTCTATAAATAAAAGCCAAGCTACTCACATTAAAACCCAATGATATTGCCGCTCAATGATTCAGAATACGTTTCTCCTTCATCAACCGGAAGTGATCTAGTGTTGGTTGGTTAATTGTCTTGACACTCAATTTGACTTCATTCACTGTTATTTTATTTTGAGAATTGTGTTGTGAAGTGAACTTGTAAATCTTTTTCCAACACCGTTCTTTTCTCCCCTTTCTCTTCGCTTTCCCGACGCCCACGCTCACGATACACCCAGTTCAAGACACCGATTCGACTCGTTTTTAACGCTACAATTTATTAAATTTAAATGAGTGCTTTATAAATTAGTTTTTACTGGATGGAGGGCCTCGCATATCTCTCTGCTGTTTAAATTTACATCACCCACCACCACCACCATATAATTCATTCCAAGCCACAAACCAACCAACCAACCAAAATCTTTTGAACTGAGTGTGAGCGTAAAAATCCACTATCAACAGCCGTGGGCACTTCATCAATTTCTTTCCTGAACCAATTTTGCTTCATTTCAAAATATTTTGAACCTTGACAGACTGCATTGCATTTATCTTTTGATAAGCATACTATTTGCGGAAGACTAATTAAGAACATTGTTGTGGAAGTGTGACATGATATGTGGATACAAGCGGCTCGTTAACTGACGAGAATAGGCGGCAGGAGTTTTGTGCCTGCCACCTCGATGATATGACCACAGTTGTTCCGCACCATTTTCCTTTTTGTCCCAATGTCAATATTTTAAAATTCTACTTGCATTTCTTTAAAATAAACATAAAATAAAGCGGAATTGGATGACACATGTTTGATGAAATGGTATAAGAATTTTTATTTTATTCGAGATGATCATAGATATTGAAATTAAACTGGAGTTAATTAGGGGTCATTCAAGATATTTTGAAGTTTTTATAAAGTTTCGTAAATGTAGAATCGTCATAAATAGAAAATCTATTTTGGAACAGGAATTCATGTGTACAGAATAGATTTTAGGCTAGAATTTAATTTAGGATTGATTGATGTGCCTCAAACCTCAAATAATTTTGTAATGTTTGTTTAGAGTCCCAGATGGCTCGCAGTACCAGAATGAGGATTGGGGTTGGAATTAGACAGAATTTGATATTAGGAAAGTGAGACGGCCCAAATTAGCCAGCAACTCACAGAATCTCGACTCGCCTCGTCGTCTCACAACTTCGTGAATGAATGAATGGTTCCTGTCCTCCACGATTTCTATATGCCAATGAATGCACACATAGTTCAATATTTAATAACTCGATTATTATTATTGACTCTTCCATATAGACAAAAGACCTGTTGACAATATAATCGACATGTCTTTCACTCTTAAAAATAAATAAACAAACAACACATTACACGTGACAATAATAACAATAATATATTCATATATCATCCAATCCTAAACTGTCTCCCCAGAGCTATGTGTCCATTGACTGCTGCAGATAAGAAGTCATCGTGGGGACATTTGTCATCCAATGTAAACAAGTCCCTCCTACATACACGTATAGTCTTGCAATGCGAATGTCCTCACGATGGCGTCATCTTCTTCGGAAGTCTTTGGTATGTCAAAGTATAGTATCGGTAGGTAATAGTAGCAATGTCACATATGCGTTAGCTTTACATATTTAGTAGTTGTCATCTTGTTTAGATATTTGATTCGATAAACTTAATTCGTGCCGAGTTGGCCTACACTTAATTTATTATGGAGGAGGTGGAGCATCATCATGGGTCACAATAAAATAGTTTCATAAGTTATGTAACTTGAATATTAATATATAACGTCCAACTAGAGATAACCTGTGTTGCAGTCAGAAATGCATGCGATTTGTATATCTATTTATTTCGAGTGCAGTTTCATATGTATTAATGCGTAATTAAGTTTTAAATAGTATAATTTACGTGTCTGCATAAATATTCGCTATGTATTTAACTACACTTTAAGTTCTGTGGAAAGTATATGTGTAGGCAGTCGAGTCGACAAAAAATTCCAAAACTTCGCCAAGATAATAACAAATTTCTTTAGTTTTTGTTTCTTCAAGAAGTGTAACGATTCATTCGTGTATAAATGCCATAATATTTTATTTAAATGTGTGTAGAATTGGTGGTGATCTGGTTCTTTGGGCTTGCTGAAGTAAGGACTACCTACACTGTCACACACGTAGGTATTAAATATGCACATACACGCTCGTATCGAAAAAATGAGATAATGGTGTTTTTGCGACTTGAGAAAATGACGATTTTCAGTAGTTCCGTCTTGACACGTTCATACCGTTCTATTGCTTGTGTTAAAAGTTTCGCTTTTAGGAGGAATCAACCGGTTTCTAAAGTACAAAACTGTGTAAAGCTTCAAATTTCTAACCGAACATATATGTATATTTATGGACTTATTAGTATTATATTATATATAATCAAAATAGAGTTTGAGTTTATGCATTCTTCAATAAAACTGTAAAATTAAAATTATTTCATATCATTCATCAAGTCCCAGAAAAAATATTACAGATAAAAGTTACACAGTCCCGACTTCTAAATACATTCGTTTCGTTATTACTGTACTGTACAGTACCGTACTAACATCATCAAAATTCAGGTTTTTGTCACTTTACAGCTCGTTTTAGGGGCTAATATGGAAATCGAACTAACTACTATATAGTTAGCTTAAAATAAGTTAACGTGGTGGTTGATTGATGGGTATATGGACTGACAATATACATAGTGAAATATTTGTCGTCATTAATCCATAAAACGGTGGATAATAAAAATGTAAATATTTAAAAAACAAGCGAAATATCAGTAGTTGGGGAGCACGTTTTGTATTATATAACAATGATAAATAATAATAATAATATAAGGTCTTGTTACGTACGTTCTAGTAGGTAGTGCTGCACTGCAGCAAAATAAACACGAGTCATTCAAAGTATGTATGTAGTTAAGTGAAAAAGTTGAAGATAATGATTAATTGACACGATATCCCGTGTGTCTTTTTAAATGTCTTCTTCGTGGAACGACATAAAGTGCATAGAGTTGGCATGCTGGTCTGCTGCATATAAATGTGGAAAATTTCCACTGGAAATAATTAAACCTCTCTCTACAAAGTGACAGGTAGGTTATCGAATATGAACAAAGGACGACCAACCGCGTACAAATAAATTGGCCAATGAACAATTATTATAACTGACTAACTGCATCACCAGGTCGAGCCCACGTACATAATATCCCATCTTGACAAATTGTCACAATTGATTCTTCCCGAAATATTAACGTGGTGAGTCGTTCGTGCGATATCTTTTTACAAATTAAGGGCTCTAGGAGAGGACACTCGTCCAACCTTGGACAAGCCTGGGTTCCTATGAGTTTAATGGGATCGTCGACTTTATCAATATTCAGTCCTAGGGCAGCTAGTCCACTATTTGCACCACCAAGGTTGGCCTTTGAGCTACTACCAGCATTCTTGTCCGACTTTGAGTTTGACGAGGAACCTAAACTAAAGTTTCGCTTGTGTTCCTTATTCGTGTCCTTATCTTTACTCCTATCCTTGTCGCCACCCCCAAAACTGAGGGCTCCAAAACGTAGGGAAAGGAGTCCATGACCAGAGGAAGAATTATTACTACTGTTCTGCTGCTGTTGTTGCTGCTGTACATTTCCATTCGTTGTTGATGGAGTCACTGTCATGGTTGTTGTTGCTGCTGTTGCCGATGATGATGACGATGATAAGTTGACATTAGATGTTGAAACACTCGCATTATTTACACTGATATTATTTCCGACACCCACAGAATCATCTTTATCACTATGAGATTTGCATGTGGATGTTGTACAGTTATGATTTGGCATAATATTTTGATTACTACTATAGTTTTTAGAATTGGAATGAATAGCGCATGAGTTTGTATCACTGTTGTGTTTCCCAGGTGTTCGAGAAGCAGGACGAGACTTGCCAAAGGGTTGTTTTATAACATCTTCTGTTAAATCTAGATTATGTACAACAAATTTAAAATTCATTACCGGAAATTTATAGCATTATATAATAGATATAGAGAAGGAGAAAAAGCTTACCCCAGAGGCAAATCTGGGTATCCTGTCCCACAGAGCCCACCCGATAACATACTGGGACTCTGTTATTGGAAGATTCAGAGATACTCAGCCGCATGCTATCTGTTGTTCGGCTATGTCGTGAGTGTCTTGGAAAGTTAGGAGTGCACGTGTGCACAGAAGTGGAGTTTGTAGTAGATGATGTCGTCGTCGTTAGCGTGGATGACGAATTGTTATTTACATGATTCACCGTGACCAATGATTGTTTCCCACCACTTGCACTACTAATTTGTTGACAAGCTAAACAAGAGCTTTGAAGAGTTGTTGAATCCGTGTCCACAGAATCACAAGAAAACACACCAGAAGACTGACAATCGTTGCTTGAATGACATTTTCCAATATTTACACAGGAACATTCTTCACGAACCCCATTTTCTTCCGAATCGTCACAATCACCATACGTGGTAGTCACGGGGTCGAAAGCCACCACCGAAACCCAAGACCTTATTATAAAAAAAATAACACAACAAGTGTTAATTTATCTTCGAAATATGGATTATATAAAAGAATAAATTAGTAAGTAGTGAAATACTGACTTGTGTCCTTGTCCTCGAGCAACAACCCGGCGTTCTTTGAAACTCCACATTGTTACTAGATCGTCCTCTCCCCCAACACATATATACTTTCCATCAGGAGACCAACACACGCACAACAACTATAAAGAAACATTTGACAAATTACTAATTTGCACCCTATGAAAGTCATGCATAGGTTCAATGTGTGATAACTTACCCCACCAAAGTATGATCTTGTCAATCCAACCAATTCGCAATTTTCATACCTGAAAAATTTCAAGTTTACCATCATATCGCTGAAAGAGTGACAAGGAAGTCATTTTTGGTAAAACCATATATTATACTCAAGCTTTCTGGAAAATGCTTGACCCTTCATCATTATATTATTCTCAGTGACTTTTCACTTTATAGTAAACTAACCGGAATATTCTTAGGAATCCATCTTGAGATGCAGCTGCCATGTACTGACCTTTATGTGGAAATGAACAATGTCAAAACGTGAATGTACGTGATACACAATTTACTAGAGAATTATGATTATATTACTGACCACATGGAGAGAAGGCAAATTCATTTATAGCACCATCGCCGAGCGTCCACCGATTTAAAGGATTACGAGCAGTTTTGCTCTTGCAATTTGAAATTGTGAAACCTGGACCTGGAAAGAAATAATAAGAATTTCATATCTTAATTCAGGATTCCATTATTGGAATGGCTGCACTTGCTTGTACTTGAATATTGGTTGACGACTTACCTGTTTTATGCACTTGATAATGGGGTGCTGTAGTTCCAGAGGGGTGTTCCACGTTGTACAAATACATGTGACCACTCGCATGTGATACCATGAACAGTGTCGTGGAAGTAGGTACCCAACCTAATCGGAACAAAAATAAATTAGACAAAATCTATAAAATAAAACAATTGATTCAACTTACGAATGCTCGTGACTCTTGTCTTATCAATTACCCTCTGTAACAGGAAAATAAAATAGTTCATTACTAAATAATTACACCATTATTTCAACAACTATAAAACACTACGAGAAAAATAGCCAAAGGAAGTGGAATATTTGAGTGCACATAATGTGCATAGATTATGGTTGGGTAGACTAAATGAAGAGTGAGATTATTATGACTTACTTCCTCATTATATAGCTTGTTGACTTCTTTGGATATAGGATCAACCAATTGAATCTAATTAATAAATATATTATCAATGCAACGGTAATTTTATTCGTAAAGATGTACACATCCTTATTTTACAATGTCACTTTATGCAATTTGCCGTAACTTATTGTTTTTGCTTATCTTACCTGCCCTCCAGAAAACCCAATGAGCAGCATCAGACTATCGTGACTGGCGACAACGGAATTAAAATCATGACATGTTGGGTTCGTTCCTTTATAGATTCGCTTATCTATAATGTATTACAAAACGATGACGCACACATTAACAAATGTAAATAGGCGAAAATGGAGTAAAATACAATTCTACAGAAAGCGAGGAAGTTGCAATGATATTGGAATTGGTTGATATTCGTTGAAACGGTAGTAGCGCTCAAGTCTGACCTTTACCGAAACAACTCAATCCCCGTAAGTTTCGAAAAAAATGTTTTAGTTTGGATTCTATACATAAAGTGAGTGAGTTATGTACTGTGCGGGTGGAGCTTAAACCTTCGGCCTCCTGAAGTACCTTGTGCTGAGACTAGGGTTTCTCGTGAGTTTAGCTCCATCCGCACAGCACATAACTAACTCGCTTTAAGTATAGTATAGTAATTTGCAGTTTGAAGAAGTTAAACAATGGAGAATATGGACGTATTTAGGGAAAAAGATAAATTTTATCCAGGCAAGAACGTAGAAAATACATAATACTCAGCATTAATAAATGGTGAAAAACAATGACGTCAACTCACCAATGGGTTTAGACATATCAACAGCCTAGTAAAATACAAAAGGATATTCATTTTTACTCCGTGTAATAAACAGATGGGTTGTTGAATAGAAATCAACTAAAGACTACCTTGCGAATCCCCATGTAGGGGAAAATGAAGAGCTCCTTTCCGATATTTAAGCAAAATCTATGTGGCGTAGAATCTACGTCTGGATTGGAAGAATCTTCGTGACTTCCATTTGACGCACTCCCATTACTTCCCGTAAAGTACGTCTCTTCATTCCCATGATGAACCATGTTGCTGCTGGCATTGACGACGGGAGATTCTGGAGATGACCGATTTGATCCACCACCACCGCTTTCTCCAGGAACCGTTGTTTTATCGTGATTGGACCTAGATTGCTCAAACATGGACGAATGACTGACGAAGGAAATTCTAACCGGAGGGCTTGTTCCGGGTGCGGGCGTCGTGTTATTAGTGGGGGCAACGTAGGCCAGTGGCCTTGTTGATCGAGCGAATTCGACGGCGGAGGCGAGCCGGTAAGTTCCTTCCCTGATTACAATTATATATAGTTAAATTCAGTGTAATCACGGTATACTCATACATTATAATCTCAATAATTTTTGCTACATATAATTTACCTCGTTGAGAACTGGCTCTTGAGTTCTTCCCGGCCTCCACTCTCCCCACCACTCCCAAGGGATGCCATTAGTTCGCAGACCAGGAGATCTCCCCCCGCATTGTCTGCACCATATAAAACGACTTCCTCCTGTCATTCACATTGTACGGTCAGCTGGGTTTATTCAACATTACTCTTGAACATGTCGAGCTTGAAATTTGTTGCTGGATCAGTAAACCAAAAAGTGTCTTGTCGACTTTACAGTCGGTCCAGTGCCTAGATTCTGAAGCAAGAAGTAAACGAAAAGTTAATGAATATACATATGAACAACAGCACAACTTAATCATGTCACATGCTATTCGATTGTTTTGATAAAATAGGTACTAGTAACCTGAAAATAAATTGCTCTCAGCCATTAATTAATGTATAGTACAATCATTAACCATACGCCAAGTAATAACAAACACGAAATCATTTCTTGAATCTATTTTTAGTTGAAAATTTAGAGTTCGAGTTTTATACACTTCAACAAGTACAGCTACAACCAGATCAAATGATTTATACACAACGTACGTAAACTTTGTTTTTTTAATTAACAATTTCGGACTAGAAAAAAAACTTACGTGAACGTAATTTCCAAATCAATTTCAGTGGTTATCTTCTGCACTTGTACGCAGCGTGTCTTTCAAATTCTTCTCTCTCTTCATCCAAGAAGGATTTACGGTGTTTTATATTAGCAAATATTATTACTGGAGGAGTTTAGGCTGGCTGTCTGAGTCAGGTTTTTAGTTTTGATTATTATTTGTCAACTGAGGGAAGAGAAGAACCGAATTCGAATTTTGGCCAAGTGGATGGACGGGAGCTCGACGGATTGGGATTGGAGTGAGACACGGAGACTGCTTTCCCTGCTTTCCCCACACACACGCTGCTTGCTGGTCGTGCGAGGCAGGATTCGCCCCAACCAGCAGACCTCACAATGTGGGAAACCAAAAACACTCTGATAGATATTTACCTACACAACAGACTTTTCCACGTGCGTTATAAAACGCCACGCTTTCACCTCAAATTTCTGAAAGTAACTACTACCGGTTTGTGTTATACTACTTGAGCTGTGATCAGGTAAGTGGCAGGATAGTATGCAATCAATGTGCCAAGAATCGGTTTAGTTACAAAAAATCAGGCCTAGATAACTGGAGAATCGAAAACCCGTGAAATTTAGAAAGTCGCTTATTAATTTGTAATTCTTTGTTCAGATGGGACGTGGAGGCAATCGGGGACGAGGGGGTGGAGGAAGAGGAGGATTTCGTGGGGGTCGAGGTGGCAGAGGGCGAGGAGGAGGGAGGGGTCGTGGAGGGATGCCACGTATTGACAAACGAGACGCTCGACATCTGCAAATGTTTGGGGAACAACATCCGAGTCAGGAACTAGGCGATTTTGGACCATCCTCATCTGTCAAAAAGCCAAAGTTTTCTCCAAGGGGTAACAATAGGAGAGGAGGAACAGGGAATTCATTCAGCAGCGGCCAACGTGTTAGAGAAGAACCCGATGATAATGATGATGATGACGAAGATAGTGAGGAGGGTGAAACCGAGCAAACGCCGTACAACGAATTGTTGACACTATTTAAAAGTAGGAAGGGCTTGAAAAAGGATGTACAGATATTGAGTGACGAGGAGGAGGAGGACGACGACGAAGATGAACAAGAACAGGAAGACAGCGATGGAGATGATAAAGAAGAAGATGATGATGACCAAAGTGATGTAGGCGAGATAAGTGATACTGAAAACGACAAGAACTCAGTCCTTATTAACAAATCGACGTCTATTCCTGATAGTACTGATGTTGCTAACACTGAAGAAGATGCTGATGGAGAAACACTTGAGGAAACTGTGATAGAAGAGGCAGAAATCAATCCTGATGTGGTATTGTCTATATAATTGTGTTTTATCATCATTGCGGAGATATTGCTCCAGCTAAATTGAGAATTATTTTGCAGGAGAATGAAAATGGGATGGATTGCTGCGACCCGTTTCTCCTGCATTTTGAAAGGGAAATGCCAGAGTATTTACTTAATAGGTTAAAAGAAGAAAAGGCATCAAAGTTACAATTATCCATCAAAGGGTGGCCAGAACTTGAGAAATTTAATTACTTTGGTCTGGACTGCCATGAAATTAACGACCAAGTACAGAAGGATCGAGATCTTCATCGAACAACAATCGATCTGTCCTCCATAGGGACTTCTCAACCTATATTACTTCCGAACCCACCATCTCCTTCTTTATCAAAAAACTTTTCTTTAGAATCTTTTCAAATTAAATCCCAACTTTGCACAACATTTCCAATTGTAAATCAGGTACGATTCATATTCAGCATTACGTTTTAATTGTAAAATTAATTAACCCTACCACTAATTGTTTGTCTTTATTTGTAGAAAGTCATTGATTCTGAATCATGTCATGGCTCAATGTCAAACCTACAGAGAGAAATCTTGGAGCTCGCTTCACAGTATTTTGATGGATATTTTCCAATTCGTACAATTGAAAATGAAGAGGCAATACGAAATGTAAGTGATATTTATTATAACCTGCAATCTAAATACACTATAGTGTGTGTATGCATACATATGATATGTATAATGTACTTAAAAATTAATTATTCTTAAGTGTCATCGGTTTGTTGAATATTTTAGATTTACTGCTTACACGCTGCTAATCATATTTTGAAAACACGTACGAGAATTATTCATCATAATGCTAAATTAAGCACAAGAATGGATGTCCCTGATTCTTATCGAGACCAAGGATTTGTTCGACCCAAAGTTCTCATATTGGTCCCATTCAAGGATAGTGCTTTCAAGTAAGCACGTATTTTCATGTAATAATTTTCATTCAGTTATATGCATTTGATTTAAGTTCATTCATACCCTGTAGGATTGTGAAGACGCTAATTTCCATACTTCTACCAGAGGAGAAAGGAAATGTTGCTAATAAAAAGAGATTTAACGACGAGTACAGTGGATCCACACTGTTTCTCCCAAAAACTAATCCCAAACCTGATGATTATAATGCTATTTTTAGTGGAAATGTAGAAGATAATTTTAAAATCGGGTTCTCGCTAACAAAGAAGACGATAAAGGTAATTAGAACCTTGATTGCTATTATTGTTACAGAGTACAAAACAAATGGGACAGTTATATTACTTGCACATAATATGTTACACTTTAGCTATTCACTGGATTCTACTCTGCAGATATCATAATTGCATCTCCGTTAGGATTACGTTTAATTGTCGGCGCAGAAGGAGAAAAGTAATTAGTAGTTAATATTTACTTCAATATAATCCTCGTTTTTAAACTACTTTAGTGTCTTTTGTACATCTAAAATATGTATCACTTACAGAGATCGCGAATACGATTTTTTATCGTCTATTGAGCTTTTAATTATGGACCAGGCAGACATATTTCTTATGCAGGTGAATAATTTTTGGTACATTGTTGGTTGGTTGGTCACTAACATTAACTAATGAATTATAGAACTGGGACCACATGCTACACCTAATTAAGCATTTAAATCTTCAACCAGTCACAACTCATGGAACCGATTTTGCAAGGATTCGACCATGGGCATTGGATGGTTTAACTAAATATTTTCGACAAAGTCTAATGTTTAGTGCTATATTTTGTCCGGAGCATTCGTCACTCATGAGCAAGTACTGTCAAAGCTTTGCTGGTCAAATACGACTATTAAGACAATACACGCGAGGAAGCATCAACGACGTTACAGTTCAGGCACCTCAGGTATGCTTCATTAATTTTATTTATCACACTTTGGTCATCACTTAAAAAATCAGGACATTTTTCAAAACGATACACGATTGTATTTCTTAGGTGTTTCAGTATTTTGATGCATCCACACTGCCGAAAGCCGACGATGAACGTTTTGAGTTTTTCATAAAAACCGTTCTTCCAACCTTTAAAACCGACAAATTGATGAGCCACACCTTGATATTTGTGTCATCATACTTTGACTTTGTGCGTTTACGAAATCATTTTAAAAGAGAACAGACTAGTTTTGTTCAAATATGCGAATATACCAAGGTAATAAATAACGTTCATTTTTAGGATACGTAAAAAATTATATGCATAATGTCAAAATAATCACGTTAATTAAGAGATGACAATGTTGTTGGTCAATTGCAGGATAAAAAGGTTGCACGTGCTAGAGACTACTTCTATCATGGACAGGGACATTTCCTCGTTTATACAGAACGAGTACATTTCTTTCGGCGTTTCAGAATAAAAGGAATTGGACATATATTATTCTATCAGCTACCTCAGTACCCGCATTTCTACTCAGAATTATGCAACTCAATTCAGGTAAATAGTATTTTATTTGAATATCCTTTGTATCTTGGATGTAAATCAGCATGAATAATGCAATAACAATTATTACTATTTATTGTATAATTTAGGAAGATTTTCAAAACCGAAGGGTTCGCCAGCGGAAGAACAGCAGCATAAATGTAATATATTCCAAATATGACACACCTCGTCTTGCTGCCATCGTCGGTTCTGACCGAGCATCTTTGATGCTTTCATCAGAAAAGAATGTACACGCTTTTGTCAGTGGTGAACTTTAAATTTATTTAATCAAATTTTATTATTGGAATCGTTCTGTCTGCACCGGCAGAAGTAGATAATTTTTTACTTATTTTGGAATTTGCTTGATGTACCAATCGTGGTCTTCGCCTGGAGCTGTAGCCAATAACCCTCCTTGATTTGCGTGTTGTACCTATTTATTCGAAAAATAGATAATTTAGATATATATATATATGAAATGGAACTTTAAAGTTAACTAGAAAAAGTGATTAAAAAGATAGTTTTAATATTAATTAATTTGAACGTCCTACATACATCTTTTGAATACGAGTACGGCTGGCCGGCCATATCTGTAAGTTTTCCACCAATTGCAGCCAATACGGCTTCAGGCGCACAGGTGTCCCACTTTTGGCAACCTGCGCTTGCGAAAACGTACGCGTTGCACTTGCCTTCCATGAGTAGAATCGCTTTATTTCCAGCACCACCCACTCGGATAATGTCGTCCGGTTTCATGCTCTCTAATACAGCTTCAACCCGTGCATTGGAGTGGGACCTTGTCGTCGTTATAACCTTTTTATCTTTGGAAGGAGCTGCTAAAGTAAATCCTCCATAACCAATTCGAGGAATTCCCCATAAAGTTCTTCCAAATTTTTCACCAAGTTTCAGAAATGGCTGATGTATGACTCCAGCAATGGGGGAACCATTGTATGCTATTCCTACCAAAATTGTTACATGTTCTACCATCCCTACAATTTTAATATACGATATTACTCAATCATCCAAAATAAGTTTTTAATATCTTAATTATACCTCTGGTAAATTCACTAGTCCCGTCCAACGGGTCAATCCATATAACTACCTATATTGGCAAATTCACACAGCATTATTAGTTGGATTAAAATTTATGACGCAAGATTAAATTACCTCTGATTCTTGTATAGAACTCAAATCGGTGGGTACACTTTTTGAGAGAATTTCTCCTAGAGGTAAATCATTGGCTTGGATTGGGCTTCCCACAGGCGAAACAAGATCATCTAAATTTTCAGTTAGGTTGTCCCCCTCCTCCCCTATTATGCTAGCCAGGGGGAACTTTTTGTGAAGTTCTTGCGTAATATATACTTGGGCAGCTCGATCGGCTTTCGTTTGTAAATCATCAGTCCCCTTTCATACAACAAGACACCATTTATAATCAATTAGTTGGCGTCTTGGCGTTCAGTTTCCATCTATTAATTCAAAGAACATATTTTACCTTATCCACAATATCCAATTTTCCACTTTGTAAAACTTTCCTCACAATGTTCCCAGCAACATTGACGATTCCTGTAGAATCGTGGACCAATCTCAGGATTAGTGGGATGTCCCCCGAAGTGGAACCCATTGAGATGGACATGTAGTTGTTGTAGCTAACGCCTCTAAAGAGTTTCCGGAAGAGAGCAATTTTGAATGCAGTTCAAACCTGGTGATGAATCAAAGCTATCAATTGATATGATTTGATTGGGATTCCCAAGTTTTGTGGACTTGACTTGTCGCTTTTAGTAGTTATATGTGGTGGGTTGGGGTATTGTCTGCTTGTTCCAGTAGCAAAAAATTGATTGGAGCACATTAAATTAAAAGTATTAAAACCACGTTGACGCAATGTGCAAGTCCAATGCATAATATATGAGACTTTTTGTATGACACGACACGTGTGGATGGCTCAACTCAACAGCGGATGACGATACGGATTCGGATTCTTCAGACATTTGAGACTTTTTCTATAGAACACACAAAAACACGTAATGGTAAAGTCATATGGCATAGCTGACGACGACATCCACCTAATTTTTCCATTTGCAGCCCTGTCAAGTAATAATTTAGTTTGCGTGATTACGTCGTTGTTTCTAATTACGTGCTGTGTGAGTTGTACAGTAAGAACAATAACTGAATAATCGAAAAACAATAATGAGCTGACAAAAAGAAAGTTTGCCTTGTAATTGCAAAAAAAGAAAACATTCGAGGATTTTTTTAAATTATTATTTGACTGCTTGGATCAGCAATAATGTGGTCATTCTTTTCTCGTGATCCTGCCAAAGATTTTCCTTATGATATCGGTGAACCCATTCCTTATGACTCGGAACGATGTTACTGGAGTTTACATAAAGGAAAGAAAAAGGTGAGCATTTGTTGAAAGAGTTTAAATTAACTTAAGTGGTGTGTTGGGTGTGATAATCACTATGTTTTGTTCTTGACATACTATGTACTAATAAAACTACTGAATTGCTCTTGACAGGGGACATCTGAAGATGTGACAATTTTCATCTTGGACGTTAAAAACTCCTCCTCCGCTATTGTTGACGCAGCCAAAGCATCGGTCAAAAGACTGAAGACGTTGAGACATCCGAGTATACTAACATTCCTGGATAGTGTTGAGGTAATTGGGATCTCATTCTCGAGAATTAGGATACTTCGCTGTTGCATAACACATTATTGAACGCATTTTTTTGCAGTCGGATAAAGCAATCTATTTGGCCACAGAGTCTGTAGAACCTTTAGAAAAATATTTGGGACGAAGGGAGAGCCCTCAAAGTGATCTCTCTGTTGCTTGGGGTCTATTTCAAGTGACGGTAGGTGGGAATATACCCTATATATATATTGATTCACAGTCTTTTGTTTCATGTTTCATGCTTCTTTTTATTGTAGAGAGCTCTTAGTTTTTTAATAAACGACGGAAACCTGCGCCATAATAACATCCAAATCAGCTCTGTATTTGTGAACAGTGCAGGCGAATGGAAGTTGGGGGGTGTGGATTATGTGGGTGGAAATGAGGCCTCTCCAGTTGTGGGGAAGGTTCCCTCTTCTCTTCATCAACTTGATCCCCCTGAAATGAAAACTGGTGGCAAAGGAAGCAGCAAGTGGAGCTCAGACACCTGGTTAGAATTTGTTCGATGGCTTATTTTATTCATGTATATTTATTTAATATACTTACAAACTTGATAGGGGACTTGGTTGTCTCGTGTGGGAAGTTTTTAATCGACCTTGCAAGGACATTTCTCAACTACGAAACGCTGAAAATATTCCAAAGACACTTGGAAATATTTATAATGAGCTAACCAATGTGAACTCGGGGTCTAGACCAAATCCTGCCGATGTCATCGCCCGAGGAAGAAGACCTGGAGGATTTTTCAAAAATGATCTGGTAGATTCTCTACTCTTTTTGGAAGAAATCCAAATCAAGGAACAAAATGAAAAGACTAGATTCTTTAATGGATTGTCAACTGCGCTTGACAAATTTCCCGAAGATATATGCCGCCATAAAGTATGTGCATACGTTTAACAGACTAAGCTTGAAATTTACTGTAAATCCGATTTCAAGGTGCCACAATGAGGATATGTATTTATTAAAATTTGAAAATTCAGGTTCTACCACAACTTATCAATGCCTTTGAATTTGGCAATGCGGGATCGTCTGTCCTCCTCCCACTGTTTAAACTAGGAAAACTATTGGAAGAGCCCGAATATCAAACTAAAATTGTTCCGTGTGTCGTGAAATTATTTTCTTCGACGGATCGAATGACGCGAGTGAAACTGTTGCAGCAGTTGGATAATTTTGCAGATCATTTACAACCAGCCACTGTGAACGACAAGATATTTCCTAATGTGATAACTGGATTTATGGACACGAGCCCGGTTGTACGAGAGCATACAGTAAAAGTGGGTCCACATTTAGATAACTACATACATAGTTGTCAATCTATTTCATAAATTAATCAAAATATTTATATGGTTTGCAGGCAATGTTGTACTTGGCCCCAAAACTAAATTTCAATAATTTAAATGTGGAATTGCTCAAACATTTTGCTCGCTTACAAGTTAAAGACGACCAAGTCAGCATTATTATTTTCATAATTTATAAACATAAAAATATTACCTGTTTCAAATTAAATATATTTTTACTAGGGTGGAATACGAACTAACACTACAATATGTCTTGGAAAAATTGCATGCTATTTAAATCCTCAAACTAGAAGAAAAATTCTCATCCCTGCGTTTACTCGGGTATTTCAGGATTCGTTTCCCCAAGCAAAAATTGCTGGTAATTTTAAATGCCAAAATAACTTAAATAAGGTTGAACCTTGGCCTTAAATTAATAATAAAATTGCAGGGATTCTGGGCCTTGCAGCTACTCAACAATATTATCTAATGAGTGAAGTGGCAACAAAGGTTCTCCCTGCCCTTTGTTCCCTAACGTGTGATAGTGATAAAACTGTTCGAGACACGTAGGTCGCATTTCAGTAGTCATAATTTGAGCGTTTGGATATTTCAAATGGCCCTTAAAATTTCTTACCAGCAAAAGTTGATTCTATAGCTTGAAACTGATTATTTCAGGGCGTTTAAAACCATCAAGGGGTTTCTTTCAAAACTTGAAAAGGTAATTAAAATATTATTTAACACCGCAACATAAAATATACCAAGAAAATATTTAGGTTTCGGAAGATCCAACTTTACTTCAAAAGTTTGAAGCAGATGTTGATGCCAGTGTGCCATCAGTTGCAGATGCAGGTATTTGATACTTAAATGACTTTTATAGTCGAGCGCTTGTTTTGGGGGTGTTGTTTATTTAATTATGACGACCATATGATATTTTAGCATCATCATGGGCCGGTTGGGCTGTGTCAGCACTTACGTCCAAGTTCCATCGAAGTCAGTCCTCACAGTCAGTTACAAGTCAAAGTGGGCAAATTACGGGAGCTGGGAGGACGAAAGGAAGGTATACGTTTGGGAACCAGTCAAGCAGTAGCACATCAACTACTACGTCTAGTATTCCTTCCACGCCATCGATCGATCGAGACGTTATGCAACCATCTGCTGGTCAAGAATCCGCCACTGACTATGAAGACGACTGGGACAATGAGGTGGGTGCCACTATGATTTTGATTTTTTTTTATTATGTGATAAATCTTACATTTTTTGGATGAAACATCTATTTATTATCAGGATTGGGGGGCTATTGATGGAGATGGTACACAATCGAAACCCACGGTTAAAGCTTCAGATAGTTTAACTAGCTCATCAGCAACTTTAACTCCTAAAAATTCTGGTGGAGGTGCTGACGGGTGGGACACGTGGGCAATTGAAGAAACGGTGGGTTTAATTTCATCAATTAATGGTGATATTCTATAAATATTTGAAACACCTCGAATTTATTTTTTATAGGAGGAAAGAGATGGATGGGATGACTTTCCAATTGATAATAGTGACCCCATTTCTATTAATAAAGCAAGTTCTAATCATGATGATTTTTTTGGGAATGCTAGTGGAACAAATGCTCAGGTACAATAATTTTTTCTTTGGAATTACTGAATTAATAAACTTCACACATATCGAAAGCTGAAAATTGTGTTTGTAAACTTGTGGTGCGAAGAATACCGGAAATTCATCGGACTGGAGTAGCAGTGATAATGACAGAAGTGGAACAACTATTCCTGGATCCGACACCGGGAAGCTAGATGAAATGCGTAAACGACGCGAAGAAAGGAAACTACACCGACAAAATGAGCTGCAAGCTAAAAAGGCAACAAAAAGTGGGCCGTTGCGACTAGGGGCTAAAAAAATCGAATCGCTAGATTGAAACGTCCCCTCCAGTTACATAGTCTTTGCTGTTACAAGTCTGCACAACTGCTTCAAATTTATTGACCTTTATACATACTTCGTGCAACACTTGCAAATGCAAACATACCACTTCTCTACCACGTAATATATATATTCAATACTTTGTTCTTTACTCAAAAATAGTCCCAAAGTTGGGAAGGTACAAAGTTTTTTTTTAAATTATTGTAATACCATTACTTTTTTTACAATCATATGTAATAAATCCACCACACGGACCTTGCGCATGTCGCACAAACCTCAAGATACTAATTAGTTTTGGGAATGGATTGTTGTTCAGAATCGTATCGTCATAAAGTTGCCATTTCCATCTTCTTTGACAAAGCCAAAAGTTTCATAAAAAGGAATCATGTTATCCTTGCAATCCAATGATAGCTTGTAACATCCAACTTGCTTCGCCAATAAGGTTAGGGCAGCTAGCAGTCTAAAATATAGGAATTTTTTTTGTTAAAATTCCGATTTTTTCAGTTCAACATCATTTTTGCTAACAGTCTATTTTATTGTTCACTTCCCTAATTACGAAAATACTATGCATGAAAAATATCTACAACAACTACAAGTTTATTAATGTTAACCTTACAACTTTCCTAGCTGCCTTCCTCGATATTCATCACTGACCACCACATCTTCAACGCGTCCTCTCTGCAAAAGCACAGCCACTCTCATTCTACATGTATTTACATATACTTTACTAATCCCCTTAAAAATCAGCATTCTTCTCACCATCGCGCAATTATGAATGAATTTTTGTTCTAATAATAACGTGGCAGAACCAACAATTTTTCCACAGCTGGTGTCTTCTATCACAGTCACAAAATAAGTGTCAATACATTTGGACATTCTATCGAACGCTTCTGTAGAAAAAGAATGGAAAATCAAATCCATGTTGAATTAACTCCGTGTTTTCATGCATACCAATGAACTGCTCTTGTGATACATCACCAACGGCTGTGAGTTGGGACAGGATTTGAGGAAACCCTTTCGAAAAGTCTCGTCGATTTAAAGGTCGAAGAATGAGGGAGTCTCCAGGTTTACAGGGTTCAATTGGCGGGTCAAAGGAAACTTTTGACAATTTGGACAGGTCAATTTTCCGAAGGATGTCAGCTTTGTAAAGGTCGTCGCCGTCGTGAACAATTTCCTGTAGGAAGTGAAATCAAATGTATTTACAGTACCCGAAACTCTATAAACTTTTCTAATGTTTGTCGCTAGAAGTTGAAGTTAAAATATAATCTTTACCTTGCTATCCATTTCCCCCACAGAAATTGGAAATTCTTTTTTTGTACTGTTTCAACTGAAAAAGACGCAGCAACAATCTGTGATACTTTTTTTCCTTGTTGAAATTCCCCTTCGAGAACGTGAAGCCAACAATACAATGAGGTCTAGACAAAAGTGAATGTCTTAATGCCAAGGGCTAAGAATAAATAAAGCTCAATAGCAGGAAACAGACTTGATATGTATAATTAAACAGTATCACAATTTTCACCTCCGCATTGTTCTAATACTGCTTGCAACATATGTACCTAAATTTTCCCAGGTGTGTGAAACTGTTAACGTCATATGAAATCAAAGTTGAGCATATGTAGATTTCATCGATATCAGTGAGCTCTTGATTGATTGATTACTATGTAAAATGACCGGTTTGCGGCATATGCATCAGAGGCGACGCACCATGCATAGGTAGATGCATGGCACTTGCGTATAGTGTTATCAATGTCAATCAGGCCGTATGACGTTCAATTTAGTTCTTGTACGCTGTATGCATAAACAATTGACCGAATGAGTAAGCATGTACCAAGATTTCCATGATAAAGTGTTCAATCTATTTTTTTTTTACTTTTGTGCACAATTTTCTGAAACATTTTCAAACCCACTGGCCAAATGTGCGTGAATCAACTCAAATAAAAAGTAATAACAAGTACGTGACAATAAATAAACTATTAAATGATTCTAATCCTATGATCGAACTCTGCATGTATGAATAGATTTACATTGCTTGTGATAGCTGCTTCGTAGCAGGTATTGGTTAATCTGTCTCAGACTAATCAGCCTCATCAAGTTTCATGAGACCAACCTATGTTCTGAAATTGGTATAAGATAAAACGTGTATCTTACAGACTCTTACCGGTTAATGGCTCGACGTGGTGACAAAATACCAATTTGATGTCCACAACCTTAACAATCGCTACGAATTTGTCATTTTGGCTGAGTTAGCTGGTGGCAATGTGCACTGGAGGAGAGATAATTAAGAAAAAACACTCACAGTCGTCGTAACTGACGGAGAAAGCGGCGGGTGAAAGCATGAGGAGTTTGTGGTTTCCGGTTTACTGGAATTTGCCGTCCACGTTCTCGAGTCTCCAGTCACTCGGGGAAAGCGCCACGTTCAGTTATGCACTCGCTCAACCTCTTCGGCTTCTCACTCGCAAAAACTGATAATAATAACAAATTGTTATTAACAATCCAAAGATTAATTTAAGGAAGCATTTTGGAAAAGTTATTTAATTCATTTCACGCAGAATATCACGCACTTACTCAACTGAAATGGTAAGTATGAAGTATTTGCGATTTCAATTGAAAGAGCCAAGATTTTTGGATTTATTCATAAGTAAACAATGATTGTGCTTTATAATTATTTTTGACACGTGTTGCTCATATTTTTATGTTTTGGGTATAATCGAATATCTATATTTCCAGAGAAGGAACTTGCATAAGTAATTCACGGCCTTAATTAGCCTGACGTGGAGATAACGGCTTTCTCCTGGATTTGTTTACTATGCAATTTCAAACTTGTTGCATATTGGAGGTTTGAAATTTAAATTGGTATATTTTAGATACAAAATGTGAATAGTTTATAGATTGTGAATGCATTTTAATATTATATAATATTTTAGACGAACTGTGCCTTGTACGGACTGACTACTGGCGACTACCAATAATTTCAACGATGAACGATTCGTCGCGTTTGTTCCTCCTACAATTGCGGAGGATCATTATTGGTTCCGCTTCCACGGCTGGATCTTACAAAAGGATTTATTATCAAAGGATCTCGGCGTTAAATATACTGCTCCAGAAACAAAAATTATTCGACGTAAATTATTCTGGGGTGACACCAGCCGGCAAGTTTCTTAATAAACCTGGGTCCCTTTTAGCACCCGTCGCACTACATCAGCTTAGCAAGAGTTATAGACGAAGACTTTCTTCTTTGAATGGACTGTTGCATAAACAGAAACTCTTTCATGTAGGAGACCAACAGGACAAATCAACTCCAAAGTTTTACAAAGCCACCAGCGTCCTGTCCTCAGTTTCGGGGAATGAGACCAAGTCAACTACAAAATCCTGTGAGAATGACAAAGTTTCGCCGCAATCAGCTGCCCTTCGAGGAAGCACTGATGCTGGGACGATTGCTGATTCAACGTCAACGCCACCTGACTCCTCCACATCCTCGACCACAACTACTACAGAAAATATTTGGACCATACCGAACGTCTTATCATTTATGAGAATCGGTATGGCACCCGTGGTGGCGTATATGATTCTTAACAATCAATTTGGACCAGCTTTAGGAGTTTTCGCTGTGGCAGGTGTGTCTGATTTGGTAAGTTGCGGTTAGTCAAAAAAAGTTTTGTATGATTTTCTAATCAATCTTCGCAAATCTATGAATGAGTACTCGCCCTGAACACTTTCATCATCTACTCTGCTGGGCAAAGTAGATGATGTTGGTGGTGATTTACTAGACGCAGAAAAAATTATCTAACTAGAGGGATCTATTGTTATTAATTACTTTTTTGACAACGTTACTTCCAGTTAGATGGATGGATCGCTCGAGTAGTACCTGGTCAAGCTACCGTCATGGGCTCGTTTTTGGACCCCATGGCCGATAAAATATTGGTGGGCACACTCTTCTTGTCTTTGACTTACGTGGATTTGATTCCAGGTTTGAAGCAAATCATTTCTCTCTCGCCTCTCTGTTATTTAAAGAGAACATTTCTCTTTGTAACTGGGCACCACCATGTGAAATGGTATACGTGTCTTGATTGCCAAACGTACAAGAACTCTTGCCTTGCCTTTCGGTTGCTCTTCTCCTCAGTTAGTTCGGCCAGCATAGCACAGCCATGAAAGAAAGAACAAGTTCAGATCACGGTGCTGGGCTTTCACTCTAACTCTCACTCTTGCTCGTTTTCCTTTTCACAAACTTTTCAACTTATTGACCTAGTACATTGTTTTTCAACTTTTCATTTCCTCGTGTAGTGACATGCTTCCTAAATCAGGCAAAGATTAAACCTACACAAGATGCGTGTTTAATTTCATTAGGCTTCACTAACTAACTGGGATTTCAACTACCACCCTGATTAATATGATGTATAATGTGTATGTGTCATCTATGTTTTACAGTGCTGCTGACTGGTTTGATCATTGGGAGAGATGCCATCCTTATCGCGTTTGGCTTCTACATCCGGTATCAATCTTTGGATCCACCTGTACGTAAAAGTTACTTCTCCTCGTGTCATTATTTTTCCACTTATTCTCCTGGCACCCTCCTCGGTCTCACTCTTTCTCTCTGTTTCCCTTACTACTATCTTTATTTCTGGAATTCACTCAGCAAAAAATGTGATGGAAGCAATAAACGAAAGTAATGGACTGTTAAAGTACCTCCGATCTGGTGTTATTAAGGATAATGATGTTGTGATACAATTTCTTGAAACTTTATGGTCCTATCATCTTTTGTTACAGCGAACGCTCCAACGGTACTTTAATGTAAGTAATTTTCGCCATACGCACTAGGTTTTTTTTCTAAATGATTAATGTTCAAACTGGGAAGATAAAATAATGGTTAAATTGACTAATTAGTTCAAACATAATTCATAGCAAATAAACTCTGACTATTCCATAAGAAAATTAGAGACAAATTATATTTTCAAGCAGAAGTAATATTAAAATACACACTAGTTTACAAATAAAAATGTACATTTATCGTCTCATCAGGTTACTTATCCTACTGCTCAACTTGCTCCGACATTGATTTCGAAAATAAACACGGGCGTGCAACTTGGGCTGGTTGGTGCTACGATCGTGTCTGCCTCTGCAGTGCTTCCCTATGACGTCCATCCCTTCCTCGAATTTCTCTGGTTTGTACCATTTTGTTCCCACTTTACTTTATCCCTCTCCAGTTGTGTTCTTATGAGTACTAATGTGGGGACTTTCTCTAATTCAGGTACTTTACAGCCACCACTACCGTGGTTTCTGCTGTTGGTTATCTCTTTGCCAAAGATACGGTGAAATTATTAAGAAAGTCATATCCGAATAAACCAAAGTGATTATTTGTAGGCCAGGTGAAGAACATTGTATGTACTCGTATACGTAGTAATAAATAAGTATATTTCCGTATGATAATGTCATTAAGAGAGAACTTCCAATAATAAACGCACTTGAAATGACTCAATTAAACCATGTATCTAAATTATATTATTTTCGGCATAACTTGTTCATTATATAATGAAGTATTTCATTTCATCTTTCATGAATCAACTAGGTGAACGATGAAAATGATAACCCATTTGACTTTCACCGGGGACTTTTCACTACTACTCTAACATTAACCAGTACTAAAGATTAGTATACAAAACTTGTACAATAAGCGAGCACTTGAAATGTGTTCGAAGCAGTCGAATATAGGGAATAAGCTAGAAAGCGTATGAATGAGACAAGCGCTGTAAATACCACAATGTGTCTTATAAAATTACACGGTATACAAAGCTACACTAATGAATTACAGCAATTAGTACTCATACGAGTAATCAACTATGCTTCGTGTGTTATCATACATGTCATGCACAGGGCTATGTAAGGAAATCGATGCATCAGATTTTGCCATTTAACGACTTCCCTATATGAATAGTCATTTGGTCCATCACAGTTTTATAAAAAATATGACAATAATAAAACTTGAAACGAGAAAACAATTGGATTGTGCAAATTATGCTTGTAAAAGTTGATTCGACGGAACTTGATGAGAGAAGGTTTTCATTTCATCGTATCGTTCCCGTTCTCTGATTGCCACTGTTCGTATTTGCCAAAAAACCGAGTTTCGGCAGGATTTGGACAGAGTATCGCCGTGAAAGAAAGATTCTTCTTGTTGCTTGTTGCGAGAGAGAGAGAAGTTCTTTTCGCTCGTTTCCCCAGAGCGAGTGATTCTCAGTTAGTCGCTTCTGGTTCGCCAAGCGTTGCACAACTCGCGAGTCTCACTTCTCCAACTACCAAACAACCTCAAGCCATACAAAGACAGCAATCGTAGTGTCCTCACTTCATCAACAAATGCGAAATATACAAAGTCCACACACCTATCTGTCAAACGTTCTTAAAAGAATTCTACGAGGCTCGAAAGGATCTTACTTTTCAATCAGGTCGCTGGAGAAACAAGTGCAGAGTGAATACATTGCATCCAAAATAATAAGCACTCAAAATGTCAAACATCATTCGCCATATAGTTTTTTCTCTGTGATGAGAAAGAGAAATTAATACGAGAACGATCGACGAAGCATTATCAAGTAGCACACACACCAGCCAGCAGTATCATCAAACGAAATCTCGTTTAGCAATTCATCATCCAGTTATTTCTCGTGAGAATTGTTCATTAAAAGTTATAAAAGAGAGACAAAGATAAGCTTTGTACTTCTTTCCCCCGTGCTCACAAAGCTAGAAACTATACGTGTACTTATGTATGTGGAGCCAGTCCAGCAATAAGGCAAAGTGAGAAGTTGGCATAAAAGTGACAGTGAGACTTTGCTTTCAGATCGTGCGTAAAGTCTCATACCATTCGATCAGCGTTCTTACCAACGAGCAAAGGCAAGTTTGCCCAACTTTTCTTATAATCAAAAACTGATTCAAATCTGTTAAAAGGAAGTAAAAAAGTTTAGGCTTAACAGACGTGAAATAATTCAACTTGACTCAGCTAAAAGTCCAAGTCGGGCGAAGAAGGTTCGACCAAACCGAGTTTAAGCAACTCTGTGTGTCTGCTGGTGTGGTCATATTGAGAAAAAATCAACTTTTCCCTTGCTATCTCCGAAGACGGCTTCCTCTCTCGGTTCCGCCAAACTGTTTTTAACTATTTACTGATAACTGTCTAAAAATTAGGCTGCAAGGTGTATATTTTAGTAGCCATACGTGCTGCAGAATAGGGATGTCAAACGTAGTGTATAAAATGAACATTTAAAATACACATGTGCACATATGTATATTTGCAAGTAAGTTGCAAGCATACAGGAAGAACAATTATTGACATTGTTCGTTCATGCATTCGGTGAGGGGGTAGAGGAAGAGAAATATTTGTATCTACATACATAGCAAGTTGCAAAAAAGATTACTGTCAGGACTGGTTGAAATTGAAAAGCAAGCAAACCCATCACCAATCATCAGGGATACTTTCACCCTCGGTCGAACCCAACTTATTTACCACCATCCTCTCCTCAACTCAATTTCTCACGCCGAATGAGAAGATTTGCCCCACTTCACTTCCAATCTGGTCCGGATTTCTCTGGTTGTCTTAACTTGAAGGATTATTGAATTTCGGGTGAGAGGATAACGTGCCAATAGCGGAGAGAGGCGGAGGAGGCATTAATGGAGCATCGGTGAGTGAAGAAAGTAGTTCATTTTTGTCTCCGTATGACCACTTACTTACTTCCGGAAGAAGGACTTGTACGACGTAATTCCGAGTGTCCTCTGTTCAATTTCTCCTAATGAATGACACATGTGGACATGGGCATCGGCCTAACATACATGTATTTCCAGGTATTTTCCTTCCTCACTTCTCCTTGACGTTGCAGAAAGCAATGAACCACTAAGCAATCCGAGTTCGTTGGGCAGAATCTTTCATACTCCATTTAATTCTCCTAATTAAGGGGAAATTTCTGTGTAAACTTAGTTTACATAAGTAAACAGTGAAAACCCTGAGGGAAATTAGGAGACGGACTGATTTGATAGTTCTGCTGCCAAACAAGTAGTTTTGTGAACGTGTATTGTACGTACGTACCATTCACTCAGAAGGCCAAGTAGAAGAGTGTTTCAACCTGGATGCAGCACCAGAAATTGCAGAATTCATGACAGTTGAATCCAGAATAAATGAAGTGAGAGTGGAATGAACAATTACTTGACTAATGAACAAGTGAAATATTTCAATCAAGTTGAACGTACATACATACACCTCCCATCCTTTTGTGCACTAAAGCACTGAATCACTGACATCAAAGGTGAGACTGGTCGTTTATTAAGCAACATTTGTAGTTATTGGTTGTTGGTACTCCCACACTAATCGTTTGATGTTTCATGTACACCGCAAAACTAGTCCCCACGACTGCAACTGGCAAGACCAACATTACATTACATATGTAATGCACAACGCATTTCCCAAAACAGTTTCGGACTCACTACTCCAACTCTATTAACCAACCAACTAATGCCAAAAGTACCAAACTGACTGCTCACTTCACATTGTGTTATGCAATCAATCACCGACACCTTTTGTGACCCAGTTACGTATACAAATATGTCTCGCACATAAAATTTATTTGACATCCACAAACTTCTCGTATTGTGTCTAATTTCGAGACATTACGGTAAGAGTGATAAATTATGGGATAGAAGAGATTAAGAGGAAAGTCGTAATTGCAGTGTTAAGAACAATTAAATGTAGGTAGGTAGATACTCGCCTGCAGTGTACACACGTACTTACATAACTGAAGACCGTTTTGGAAATGGTTGTACAGAATGTGTGACTAGTGGATATAAAGTTATATGAAGTACATAAGTATCTACCTCCAGAAGGAGGCTGCTTATCGTCGCTTAATTTAGAGTGACCACGGACAGAAATTTACTCTTACTTCCACTCTACTCTACGTATGTACATATAGCGACACTATTTGGTTAGGTTTCACCTGTCTCACACGGCTAGTTCGTGGTATCACGTAATTCACATTGGGAGAAAGTTTCGAACGGCGAACCACATGCATGCAGTTTGTTCATATATATTTAGTATGTCTGATATGAATTACGTATATGCGCTCATGTGTATAATTAGAACTTGCAACACGTAGTGGATGTGAATACACATGAAAATATTAATTGACATGTACAGGACTCTTACGAAAACAAGCAGCTTTTTTCCGTTTTGCATGCCATTGACATGACTCTTTTTGTACTACCTACTGGCACAAAGTGGTAATCAAGTTATGTATTCCACAAAATTTAGCTAAAATAACCAATGATAAAACAATTAAGCGTACCAAATTGTAAAACACAATGATTTTACGGCCTTCATGAGATAAAGCAAATGTGGCTCAGCATCACATTTATTTGTGCACTTGGTATACTAAATCTTCAGAGAGAAAGGGAAATAATCATCGCTGCTTTCTTTTGTGTTCTTGATTAATATATCGCAATAAATCTCCTTAAGTAGGCCTTCCGAGCTATAATTTACATTTAACTGAGAAAGTTGTACACTGCTAATCAGCGAATTTCTCGTTTTTTCTGTTTTGCTTGGGGTTACTTCTGTGTGCATGTTTTCAAGAAAAAAATCAAACCAAGTAAGTCGGTCGAACCCAAATACTATTTCGAATTTTAGAATATACTGCAAAAACTGGCAAATACGGTGAAGGAGAACATTTAATAATTCCCCATTTAGTTTGGCATTAATTAATATCTAGTGCCCTGTGTGTAGCTGATTCAAAGGTAGAAATGAGAAATATACATGTAGATAGGCTGTTGAAAAACAGAGAATCTCAGTTTTCAACTTGACAAAATTTAACAATTTAACTTTAACATTCAAATCAAGATAATCGCTACAAAGATATTTGAGAAACCAGCAGAATAAATCTGACCCAATTTTACGCAAGTACTGTGACTGAGAACGGCGAAAAATTTGTCGAGTGTATTTCTCAGTAAGATCTCCTTCATCTATAATACGGTAAACTTCCAGTCGATTTCCCCAGTACAAAAGAAAAGAGCTCATCCTGTTAGGTCGCAGGTATAGCTTCCCCTCTCGACAGCCTGACGATCCAAAAAGTCATTTAATCCTTGGATCGGAATGAAATGCTGGATGAGAGACAAGATGAATCGTATTTTACGAGGAACAAGGTGGGTGGGAGATATTTAGCCAGCTCCAAGTAGACATTTTATATCATCTTTTCTCATGTTTTAACGAGTACATAAGAACACAAAACTGAACAATAGAAAGAAACGTATGGTTAGACGAGAAGGAATAATAAAGCTGCAGTGTGTTATTTACTTCCCATTTGTACGAGATATCTCCTCCTTATCCTCCGCTTCCAGTCCTATGAAGACTGATGGAGCAAACGTGTTTATGACCCACTGGAAAGGAATAAAGAAAGCAATCTCAAGCAAATTTTGTATGCTAGTGGAAAATTGCAGTAGTTGCAACAGTACAGCAGCCCGAGGAACCTGTTTGAATTTGGCACCTTGTAAAAAATTGATTTGCCATCTGGGGCCCATTTTCAGGAACGGAATTCGGATTTAAATGAACGTTTCCTCAATGCCAATGGATCCATAATGCATATTTCGTACATATAGCGTATATCTTCCTTTAGCTCTTAATAAGATTTACCTCCATAACATTGGATTTTTTGTATGCTCATTAGACCGGTTGTAATAATTTCTGTTTTTTAAATAAATAACGTAATAAACACGTTTCACAAAATTGCAATATCCAGCATACTGCGAGTCTAATCGAATGAATGTGGACAGATTTTCTCTATACGGCTATCCTCGATTGTTACTTTGTTACAAAAGTCTTTGAAGCATGCACGTACAGAACGATCACCAATTACTTTTCACGCATCACAATTTCTATAGGTCGTCGCCATCAACCCACCTTTTTTATTATATAAATACACGAGTGGAAAAATGTGGTTTCTCGATTTGGAGACTCGCTCTGTGAGAGAGATAACTTTAACCAACCGTAACTTTTCTACATTTTATTGGAGTGGTGGTGGGGAAAGCGAGTCAGAGGCACAATCAGCACTGGTGGATTCGAATTCAATCTTAATTGAACTCTTTGCCATTCTGATTTCAGATTTGATACAGCGAACGACGCAACGCAACAAGGAACCCGGACCCAATTGAACTTTCTCACATCGCTTACTCTGCAGAATTGCAAGCCAGGCCAAGCGAGATGCCATTGATGATTGAATTGAATTGAATTTAAGTGCAACTGGGACGACACCAACTATCATAAAAATTGGCTCTTTTGACCACAAATTCTGTGAACCAGCAACAACAGCAGCAGCAGCAGTGTCTCCTGTTGTTGTGATTTGGAGAAGAGCAAGTGAGGTCTTTTACGAGAATCCGATTTCAGGAAGAGTAGCTAACGCCATCATTTTACTTGTTCAGACTATACATCACCATTACTCTAAGCCAAGATAACGACTTTCCACTCCTCAATATACTTTGGGAACTTTTGTGGCTGTGTATGTATGTATTCAGACATTAGTTTTTCTAACACCAATGTCAAGTATCTAAACAAGTTCATTCAACGTTCTAGTTATACTCAAACTTTAGTGATTATTAAACACATTGCTGGATGAGAATATTGTAATTCTCAAAAATCTTTGAAATTAACTCGAACTGATAATCCGTGAAAAGACTAAAAGTTAATTTCCGCCGACGAAAGTTGCGAAACTCGTCGTGCATGATGAAATAATTTGGACTTGAGGAAAGCCTGGTGAACTTGGAGAGCTCAAAGTTTTACCAAATCTCACAACCAGCCGCAATCTTTCCAACTACAAGGTAAGCTTTCCACATGCCTCAGATTTCTTGCTATATTTGACTGAAAGTATCTTTTACGAAAACTTGCGAAAATTTGCAATAAATAAATACCTTAAATAGCGATGTTTTGCAAGAATTACTTCCTTTCGTTAAAAGTAAGATTAAAAGTCATTCAATAGGCACAATTTTCTTCCGTACTTTCACTACTTTTGATTTTCCGACGAGAAGAAAGTGAACAAACATCGTTTCTGTTTGCAAAGCTGCTCCATTAAAACCCGCACTTGATGTGTGTATAAGACCAACTTTCTCATCAAGCACGTATGTATGTTCAGTACATTCATATGTATGCACACACATACAGACGTCGGTGGTTCATGTTTCATTTATGCATGCAGACAGACTCCACGATGCTGGCACCTTCATAATACTTTTACTCATCATTCATCACATATTGAAACTGGTAATACCTTCATTCTTCATTAAAATTTAGCATGTTTACACTTGCAAAGGCTGATGTAGGTCGTCTTCGTCTCAGACCGTTCACGAACTTAAAAGTTGTTTGCAACCAGGCAGCTAATGTGATTTGGAAAGGAAGTGAGACATGGGAGAGAGTGAAACTCAAACAGAACAAGGTGTGAACTGGTGGAGTAACTTGAACGAATTAAAAGTGGCACTTTAATCCTCCGCTACTTTCTCCCTCCTCCTTGATTACTAACCTTTTCTAAGGAAGGGGCTGCTCCGTTAAAGTATGCACAAGAAAAATCATGCAAAGATGAGTTCCCGGACTGACTAATCAACAAATTGGGAAGTTTATATGTACATATGTATATATTTGTGTTATAGGACATCTAAATAAATTGGCATCGTCATTTCGTTTCATTTATATCATTTCTTCAGCGTATTTAACGATAATCTTGCAATGTAAATTTGTTTAGTTTGTGCCATATCAGAGATTCACATCACGTCAATAATAAAATAACCAATCGATTAAATTTTGCACCAAAAAAATGATCCCAGTTGCAACGGTCCCCAGTCGATGAGAATATCTTTTTATTGGTAGGCTTCATAATCCATCCACTTCTTTCGAAACTGTCAGTCGGTTTTTCCTCTCTACTCGGCCGCCTTCAGGCATACGTTCATCCGCGCTGATAGCCGCAATTACTCATAAATTACACATTTGATGGAACTGGCACCGTCTGACTGGGACAGGATGAGGTTATCATTCACTCCGCAAAAGTGCAAGGGTCAAAGTCTTTGCAGCAGGCAAGTCCATAACGGATGCGGATGGTGAGTAGGATGTAGCTCAATGAACATGCAAAGTGAGCGATGCCGCATATAACAAACCATCCCAACTATTTTAACCACAAAATGTCTCTTGTTCCTGACACGAGCACTTATTTGTACCATTCGTCTGTCCAGCAGAAATGCATCCACGTACTGCAAACGACTGTAATCTGATCTCCCACAAACTGTGAAGCTTTCTCTTTGCTGGGTTGTCACCTAATTTAGCATGCTAGTGATCCCAAAGTGTCATTAACAGCTCACTCCACCACCACCACTCATCACGATCTTTTGCTTTCACCTGCACACATCCTCCTTCTCCCATGTGCTCACCATCTCCCAATTAACGTGGGGAGTAAACTTTTCACATTAGTGTGTAAGTCAATGGGCACTGCACGTACATGCACGAGGCAAGGTTACCGAGTCTGCATTTTCATTAAATGCACCCACTATGATTTACATAAATGCATTTATAACATATACACTTTTTACGAGGAGTTGTCCCTCCGTTTGATGTATGTCAAAGTTGAAAATAATTTTGGTAGCATTAAGTAAATTTTACACATTATTTACATAGTTTTAGTTATAAACATCTAAATGTATAATCTGCACCAGTCTTTCAGTTGCACACATCTACGTTAATTTATTTATAAAAATTGATCAAGTGGGCAAAAAACGTAGCACTTCTGAAAACATGAAACTTGGAGTAAACTTCTTTTCGTAGATCCTTATAAAGTTTAGTTGAAGTACTTTCTCTCATATACAAATCGTAGACGAGGGTGTGGTTAATCTTGTGGTGTATAATTTTGAGTTAACCAATTTTAAGTCTACCACGGGCGAATTAATATAGCGTAAATTCAAAGCATTTCATGCTCCCATCATCAAGATACATATGTACATTTCTTGGTTTCTTCGTCGAGCTCGACTCCATTTCTAGCGCAACCAGTAGCATCACGTTGCTTGAAAGCTACGAAGTGTTTTCACCGGACTATACACGAGTAGCTTCAGAATACTTATTGTTAGACACTGCCACGAGTGGCCAAATTAAATAGAGATCCCTGGAAATTGTACATTTTGAATTGGTTTCGTCGTCCATATTTATTTACTCCTTGGAATGAGCCAAACCAGCACATACACACCTACACAACAGTACCAAGTAAATACATATCTGCCCATATTGCACGTGTTACACTGCCCGTCTTGTTGTGCCCACGTGATAAACGTTTGAAACCACAAAGACATGACGGATGTGGTGAGATTCAGGTTGCTCTCCAGTGATCGCTTCAGACTCGGAGTGAAAGTGGTATTCATTGGTGAGCAACCACATTTCTAGATGGGTAACTGCAGCCTATGATTGCCTAGAAGAAAATACATGGTTAATGGAAAGGAGAAAACCTAAAGTAAAGGATTGAGTGGAATCGACGAATTGAAAATCACGTAGGCTGGCAGAAGCAAGCATTAGGCTAAAATTAGGAAAATGTGGATAGCTTGGTTAGTGCAGTCGTACCGCAGCCGCGTCGGTGGCTTCAAACTCCTTGGCTGAAAACAAGTTTGAATTTCTTTTTGTTACAGGATCTGAGCTTAGTGTTAAATTATATATTTCATCTGTGTTTCGTGGTGGATCGACGAGTACTGGCAGCGATTCCCTTTATGATACCAATTGGAATTGACATGGCTGCTTCGATGGTGAATATATACGTAGCTTTTGGAGAGAAAAGGTTCCAGCTAGTTTTGCTGTTTGGGATGCATGGTGGTGTGGTTCTCTGACCCTTTTAACTAATCAATTTGTTAGGAATACTGCTTTCACTACTTTGCCCACTAATTTTCTCCAACAAAGAAAAGGGGCAACAACTTACTCTTCATTTCGAATTCCGAATTTTGTAGCAAGGGGGAGAGAAAGCAAATTTAAGGCATTCACTATTGGGAGTGGCATAGAGTGGTGCATATGTATGTACATATGGCAGGGATTGGTTATTCGAGAAAATAGTAGACGGGCTCGTTATCTAGAAATATAGTATTTTTAAGGGGCGGAGGATCTGCTTATTGTCGTCAATATGTACGTCGTATGGAAACAGCTCGTAGTCTGGAAAAGTGATACATATGCCAAGCAAAATTGCATATAGCTCGAGAATTTGCAAATCAAAGCAAACACGAGTGGAATTTTGTAGGTGAATTATTTCGAGAATAATAATTAACAACACTTAACAAGATTCCATCCAAGATGCTAAAAAACTATCATGAAGCTGGTCCGACTCGTTCCATCCAAATTCCTTTTCTGGTGAAAGTTTCCATTCCGAGAAGAACTCCTTTGTCATGCCATACTTCAACCGAAATGTGCCACAACAAATAAGAAACCCAAATGAAGTGGGGCATTCAGCAGTCAGTCACTGGTGTTGGGGATTTATTTGTTTTGTGAAAGTTACAAAGGCAAAGATTTCTGTTTCTGCATTTGCCAACCAGCATGGCTACGCTTTCTTCTGGCTCATGTCAGTCAGGAGGATGGGAATGGAAAGGAGGCAATGAGGCTGGGACCACCAGAAGTGGCATGTTTTCCGTGAAATTGGGGAGAAGTCGCAAATGGAGAAAGTCGGGATAACTGTGTCTGTCGAAAGAGGAAGGAAGTGAAAGTTGCGTTTTAGAGACCAAGGATAAATGACCAAGTGACTGATGAGTTGGATGGATGGAAATCCATGCAAAATAAAATCGGTCCTAGGATAAATTAGGGACATCACACTCAGAACCAGCAGCAGCAGCAGTGTACAAATAGTCCTCCTATGTATAACTGCTACTGCTTTCCCGTTACTGCAAATAGCGACTATTTCCTAAATGAGCTTCCATTATCTTGCACACCCACCCACCCATCCGCCAACCAACTAACTAGATCGTCTGCCTGGGCTCATCCAAGTCACCAAGAAAGAAATACACCAACCCACCAACTAGTTGTACAATGGAGGAACATCGTCCAGTGATGCTGCTCAAGATGAACTAATATATGACTCTACAAACTGCCACCAAGGATGAAAACTCTCACCCACAAATTGTAACTTTTTACAGTTTTTCATTGTACTGGATTTCAACAGAGTTTCTCTCTAGCCTAACAATGCTGGTACTTTGTTCAGTGTCGTACGTACATAGGAGATGTGAGGAGCTGCTGAAGTACAGCGTGCGAGATCCTGCACGAGATAATCCCACACTTGGCTTATCTTTGGCCGTTCATAATAGAATAATAGTTATTCGTCCTTCCAGAATTTCTAGTCAACTGTAGCCATTTTCTGCCATTTGAATTCTGCAAAAAAATCTTTGAGTTTGGCACAGATTCGAGGAACACACAACCGCGCGACTTTCTTTATAAGTTTTACATCCTTTACTGGGACGACAAGATTTCCTTGGGAAGAAAGAACAACTCGTCAGTATGTAATTGCATCCAATTTGTAATTTGCCTACCTCCATTCTTTCTTTTTTGTCTAGCTTTCCTCCCAACTGCCAGAGTCTTTTATCTCACACCCGTTTTGCTCAAAGTGTGAGGACGACTGACTCCTTTCTTTGATCTCAACGTGGTAGAATGTGCATACATATGTACATATCTATGCATACATGTATGTGTGTGCATATATTTAGTTTTAGCTTAGTGATATATGTGTGTATAAAGGTGGCTGGAGAAAATCAATGATTGTTTAACTAAAAGACATTTCCAGACTGATATGCCACATGGAGGTCAACCTGCACACTGTACCTCTAAA